ACCAAAGCAGACCGCGCTTCGAGATAACCTTGCCGTGCCAGAACGAGATCAGTCAAATATCATTCCTCCCCACAGTCCAGTCTTGTGGTGGCGAAGACCTGGAGATCGATCGTATCAGAGAGCCAAGGATCATTGTACAACGACTCCATCCTGGTCGTGCGTGAAGTCCTCCATTGCAGATCGGTAGAACCAGTCCTTACCGATGTTCTCATACATGCTTGGCAGGACAGTCCACAAGTAGACCTTGACAGAGATTGGCAGCTTCATGTCCTTAGAAACATCCTCGCCGTCGTAGAGCGGATTTGGAGGCCGGATGACATTGACGTAGGGGCTCTTGCCTAGAACAGGATCTCGAGGGTATCGTCTCGGCATCCCGAACTTGTACTGCTGCTCCTCAGGCAGCTGCAGGACGCGTATACAGCTGTAGAGTGCATTGGTATCGATGTGCACACAGTAGTCGGAGTGGTAAATATCGTGACCCATTTTCGCCTGCTCTTTTGTGTGCGTTGCATGCATCGCTTGGACTTGCTCGACAGTTGCTCCGTCCAGAGCTGTTCGGTCGCTGTATACACTCATGTCGAGTGCGCTTGCAATGCGGTCGCCATCAACATATAATCCTCGTACGCCTGATGTTACTTCTTCGCTCCAGATTTGCATGAACGCTCTCCAGGCATCGTCGCTTTGATAGTCGCAGCGGTAGATGTTGAACCCCCATTTCAGCTTTTTCCGAATGATGTCCGGAGCGACGGTCTGCTGATAACTTGTGGAGAGCGAGTCATCTGACCGTACTGATGTTGTGTGAAATGATGACGATTTGATCGACCTTCCAAGTCGAGACGTCGATGAGAGTAACTTTGCAGCACGGATGGCTGAGAAGGTCCAGCAACATGTGCTGATTGGCGATCTGGAAAACATCACGAATCTAGGGTGAAGCTCCCAAGTGATGTTCGTCTAACGTCTCAGCTTGAAATCCTCTGCGTTTGCAGACCAGTCAATCCTCGAGCGGCTGCTGGCGGAATCTTCTGGCGATTCAGTCCAGTCGGTGATGGAAGCATGAACGCGTCGAGGATGCTCTTTCTTCGCCAAGCAATGACATCGGACCCTGACGATCGGCCGCGGCTCAAGTGCATCAACTCACCCACAACATCAGAAGCACAACACTGAAGCTCGCCATAGCTCAGCACGGCATATCCAGCATATCCAATCCCTCTGTATTCTCAAGTCCACCCACACGACCTCACTACACTTACGCACGACCGTACTGCACACGATCTTGAGCATCTCAAAGCTCGCACCCCTCGAAGCTACGTCTACGAAGCCCCCATCTCAGCGTCAATTGAGGGTCGCTACCGTGACACAATCGCAACAACTCGAAACAGATCTCGCTCAAGATGGCGCAACCAGTACAAGCTCCCACCGACACACCAACCTCCTATATCGACCCCACATTCTCCCTACTCAACTCGACATGTCTGGACCTGCTCCTGATCGAGCTCGTACCCATGGCATACCGAATAACCGCTGACCTAGCAGCGCGAGAAGAGGAGTGGACCGGCACATCAACTACAAAAGCAAATAGACTATCGTCACACAGCAACGACGCAAGCAGCACAGCAGCAGCAGGCGGCGGCGCAGGGACAACAGGCGGCGGCGGGACCTTAACGGTCGACGAGGAAGAATCGCGCGAGGCGGTGTTCCACAGACTAGAGAGCCTAGGGTACCGCGTCGGCCTCGGGGTCGTAGAACGGCATGGTCTCCATCCCAAGCTACACACTGCTACGTTTTCTAACACCATCGCAGATTTTCTCGCGACACTCCCCGCCCCACCACGCCACTCGACTGCATAAAATTTCTGTGCAAAGACCTCTGGACGCTCTTATTCCGCAAGCAAATCGACAACCTCAAGACCAACCACCGCGGCATCTATGTCCTGACAGACAACACGTTCAAGCCACTCACACGGATGAGTTTCGACACGAAAAAGTATACGCCGGAGGTGCAAGTTCGCATCAACGAGGCCGCGGAACGCATGCTGAGGGAGGGCGACGCGGACGGGAATGGGATAAATGAGATGGGGCTGGGGCGCGAGGCCAACAGTATTGGGAGGGTGCAGCCGTTTTTGTACTTCCCGGCGGGTGTGGTGCGAGGGTGTTTGGAGGGCTTGGGGATTAGGGCGAGTGTGCAGGCTGAGTGTAGTGCGCTGCCGAGTGCGACGTTCCAAATCAGGACGGCAGGGGCGAAGAATTGAGTCAAGATAGAGGAGCATGCATGATGTGATTCAGCGGCATTGGGCGGCGTTTGGAGCATAGCGACTTGATCAACGCCTCGTCACGGACAAGGCATCTTTGTCTTCAAAGATTCTATTTCATTGGGCTGTCTTGATGGGACTGCAGTAGCTCTTCATGCAGTGAAGTATGCACATCCATGTGAATGCTACATTCTGTGTTTGTGTCTCATCATCCGTTCAGGGTATCATAGCCTATCTGTCGGACCTGTTAATATCTGGCTGTCCATGTAAAGGCAGGAAGACCTACTTGGCAGGAGGGTTCTGGGCAAATTCGACGCCCTTGGAGATGTTGCCCTTGAGGCCGTCATAGCAAGCCTGGAGCAGCTTCTTCTCGTGATCGTTGGCGCTGCTGACGACGTCGATGGCCTTCTCGGCACCGCTGGGGCCAAGCTCGATGGGTACAGAGAAAAAATCGGTGCCGGTAGCCTTAGCGACGACATCACCGCCCTGGACACCAGGGAGGTAGACAAAGCTGGGCTCGACGAGACCCTTCTCGCCCTTGGCTGCCCTGATGACCTTGTCGGCGAAACTAGGAAAATCAGTTGTGATCCTTGAGTGTATGCTCTGTTCTCTTACCGGTAGCCAGCGTAGGCCATGGAGAGAGTAGCGGAACCGGCACCATCCTTGGCCTTGACGACCTCATCACCACCGAACTGAACGCCTGCTTCGTGTTAGCTTATTGTAACTCGTTCTCAAGACGGGAACGTACGGTTTACGAGAGCATCGAGCTTGTCAGAAGGGATGCTGACGCTGGGCTTGGCCTGGCTGAACAGGGGGACGATGGTCTCGCCGGAGTGACCACCAATAACGGGAATGTTGAGGTTTGCGGGGTTCTTCTCGCCAGTGATCTCAGCAACGAAGGTCTCGGCACGGACGACGTCGAGTGTGGTAACGCCGAACAGCTTCTTGGGGTCGAAGACACCAGCGGCCTTCAGGACCTCGGCGGCAATGGGGACTGTCGAGTTGACGGGGTTGGAGATGACAAGGACGTAGGCCTTGGGGCAGTGCTGGGCGACGCCCTCAATGAGGCCCTTGACGATGCCGGCGTTGATCTTGAAAAGGTCATCACGGGTCATACCAGGCTTGCCTACGGATAATTAGCAAGAGCTCTATCAATTGCCGGTATGATCGCCGAGGGACCACGTACGGGGAATACCAGCGGGGATGACGACGATGTCGGCGCCCTTGAGAGCCTGTGCGAGGCCATCGTCCTTGGGGAGGTAGCCTGTTACTTTCTGCTACTTGTCAGCCCCTGCCTGTCTGTGACGCGTGGAAGCTAGCTCGTACAGCTGGGGACGAGATGTGTGACAAATCGGTAGCGACACCGGGCGAGTTGACAACATCGTAGAGGGCGAGCTCGGTGACGTGCTGGTTTGACTTGAGGAGGAGCGACAAAGGCTGTACACCATTAGACGCGCTCTAGAGCTCTACAAATTCACCCTCACCTGACCAATGCCACCGGCGGCACCTGCAACGACTGCCTTGACCATTTTGTTGGGATGCGTGTTGGTGGTGGTGTGTTTGTTGATTGAGCGGGGTAGCTCTGAGGACTGCGGGGATCAAGGAAGAGCAATTAAATCACCAAGTGGAAGGTGAGAGAAGAGAGGTGAAGCTGGGGGAAAACTGTAGGTGCAGCAGAAAGCAGAAGACTCAAAGTTTAAGTACTAGGTACAGAGCTCGTAGCACGAGACGGGGTGAATAGCGTTCGAGCTGACTTGGCGGCAGGGGCGACTGGCGGGGTCCCGGTAGAGTGGACCGTTCAGGCGGGTTTGAGGCAAGGAACGCTGCGAATGCGGGCAAAGGGAGATCGTGACATCTTCATCTTGACTGGGGCATTTATGCTTCTTTATGTTCGTGAGGCTTTCGCTCACACCTGCACATGACGATGATGACATTGCCGGGAGCCTCGGTGCATCGACGGTTACCCACCTTCAGCAGTTCGGAAAGGACCGGACACCCGCGCGGCCGCAAAACGCGTGCGCATGAAACAGGAGAGAAGCATGTTCAGTTTGCTCATCTTGTGTCTACCTGAAAACGCCAGCCCTCCGTAAGGCCATCCGCGGCCGTGCCAATACCAGACCCATAGCTCCAAACACCGCAGGACTACCAAGCCGTGTAAGCTGCCGCTGGGAGCCACACGAGAACGCCAAATGTAGAGAAATATTGTCCAAGCCTATTCACCCAGCGCACATTACTTAATAATACCGCTTGCCTGCGATACAGCCTCACTCAAACAATTCAAGGCCGTAAGTATCTGGGGTCAGGCAGGACTGCTGTAAGATAGTACGGTTCAACACTGGGTCTCAGAGAGTCACAATCTGGCTCGCCTATCAAAGCAAAGTCAGCCTAGATCAAGGGCCAAAGTCTTCCCTCTCGCCTTCAGCATCAGCATCTGCTTCGGCGTCACCACGGTAGCCTTGGTGATCCCCTGCTCCAGCAGGGTCCGGTCCTCGCTGGCCAACGGGGTACATCTGAACACTAGGTTAGCACGGTCCGCCGTGTGTGGGCTATACGAACTCACCTGCTGCGGCATGGGGTAACCTCCATATACTCCCTGGTCGAACATGTGCTGCTGTCCGTAGGCGTTGGGGTCAGCCTGCACAGCACCTGTGTACATGTTCGGCTGGCGGAAGTCCTCTTGTGGCTGCATGTGTTGGCCCATTCCATAGTCTGGGGGAGGCATCTGGTGTTGTGCGTGCACTTGCGGCTGCATGCCACCCGGAGGTACTTGCGCCGCCGATGACTGCACAGGAGCAGTGCCTTGTCCACCACCTCTCTTGTGAGGGTGTGCCTCCTCTCGTGGAACGATATCGATGAGGAAGTCGAACATGTCTGACTTGCTGAGTGCGGACGCAATATCAGATCGCTGAAGCGTTCGACGCTTGTTCTCCTCGGCGTGTATCCATGCGCGCATGGTGAGCTCTGTAATGAAGATGTCGCAGCCCTTCGCAAATAAGATGGGCGCCTCCGCTGAGATCATCTTAACTTCGGGGTCGGCTTTCATGACCTTCTTGATGCGCGCCAGCGGAAGTTGGTGAAGCTTGTAGTCGTGCTCGTCGGTCTCGAGCTTCGTAACTTGTTGTTGCCAGTACGTGTTGAGGATGTCGCGATAGTTACCTGTCAGGCCCTGGTTGACCTGTTCCTGTGTAAGCATTCGAGGCACGTTTTGTATGGACTTGAACTTCATACATTCTGCCATGACTGGGTGAACAGCTGTGGGTCGGGTGCGTGGCCTTGCGCAGCGATCTGGTCCGAATGTCAGCTTCCAATATGTCATGTATTGTGCACGGGTGCGCGAATGTACATACAGCAGCAGAGGCACCTGGAAACAGTCAGCTCGACGTATTCACATTGCGACAGAGCGCGTTGTTGCGCCTATGCGCCGTGGGAGAATGCGAACTTACCATAGTGACCGCCGTTAGCGGGATCATACAGAGGGTTACCCGACTGCCCATCGTACCGCCTCGGTGCAGCTGGCGCTGTGCGCATCTTCTGCTGGTTGTGACCTTGGAGCTGATCCATGGCTGCGTTGTCGCGCAGTGTTACGCGACGACAATAAAGCGCGGCTCCTGAAGTAATGCGGATAATAGATCGCGACGTGTGTGGTCAGATATGTGCAATTATCCTGCGTGAGGCCCAATCGTCGTTCGTGAATATGCTGTGGTGGTGTCTGGCGTGGTTGGTCCCGAGGCGTGGTTGGGGAGCTGCAGCAAGCTCAAGCGGGGCGGTGACGAACTTCAAGTTGGGCTCCGCGCTGGGCCTAGTGATCGATCGCGAAGATCATTCAAAAACAAACAATCCAGAAGCGCAGTGGATTCGTTAATGAGCCTGGAAGCCAATGTGATGGCACCAAGCCTGACGCCATGCTTATATGCATCCTGTGGTGATTGTTGCACAGGAAACAGCCGTCACAGCCCACGGCCTGACAGCACGATCACGATACAGCGCCTATGCATGCGCGTCACATTTGGCCTTACACAGGGCTCTAGTGTTCAGCCATCGTGGTCCGACGCCCTTGAAAGCACTCAACGACGGCAGAATCTTCAGAGCAAGCACATTGCAGAGAACCAGAGCATCCTGGTTCGGCGATCTCATTGGACAGAGACGAGAGTAGCAGCCTCTTGACGAGCCGTCTACTGTGCGCTGGCCTTGCTAGACCCAAGAGAAGTGTCGAGCATGCAGACTCGCATCATAAGCTCTCCAGGACTGAAAAGTGAAGCGAAGCTGACCCGGCTTGCGAGCTTCGGCTGCTTTTGATGCTCAACCGGTCGGCCCGTGGACGGAGGTTGCTTCTGCCGACTTGGTCAAAGCTGAATTTCAGCCCTCTCAAAAAGTTTCGCGATGTCGAATTCTGCAAATCTCTGTGCATCCCACGCAAACGCCAAAATGGAGCTATTGCCAGCGCATCAGCCTCTCCTCGAGGATGACACCGATGAGGAACTTTCCGATCAGCAGATCAAAGAGCTACTGAACGAGGCCGCCGAGCGCATGCGCGCAAAGGCAGCTTTGCAGCCAGTTGCTGTTCCAGAGGCGCCTTTCAAGCTTCCCAAACTGAGGCCAGGGCACATCGCTGACACATACGAGAAGACCGAGGGCAACATCACTCGTCTTGATCACTCGAAGCTAATCGACAAGAAGCAGCTGGCTCTTGCTAACGGTATCAAGAAGATCGATGACCCCATCGCCGACAAGCGCAAGCGCAAAGAGGTACGTGTCAGATAACTTGCAGTCCCCTGCCGGTGATGATAATTATCCCAAACTTTTTCCTGACGCAGACTCGGGCTCCGTCTTGGACGCCTTCCTGCACCATCTGATGGTTTTATTCATAGTTACACTGAGGCACTTCACGCTACACATTTGTGTACACTAGTATGATTTTTGGTTACACACTGACCAACAACAGGAAAAGAAAGCTACTGCCGGCGCTGAGTGGTTCAACATGCCCAAGACCGACCTCACCCCCGAGCTCAAGCGTGACCTGCAGCTTCTGAAGATGAGGAGCGTGCTTGATCCTAAGCGCCACTACAAGAAGGACAACGCAAGGAACGATGTTCCTGCGTTCTCGCAGGTGGGCACTATCATCGAGGGCCCCACCGAGTTCTTCAGCAGCCGTCTGAGCAACAAGGAACGCAAGCAGACCCTTCTTGAGGAGGTCATCAACCAAGAGGAGAACAGCGGTCGCTTCAAGCGCAAGTACAGCGACATCTCTACGAAGAAGGCAAGCGGAGGCAAGAACTTCTACAAGAAACAACAAGCGAAGCGCAACAAGGGCAGGGTCACCAATCCTTGAGCATGAGTTCCATTCGCTTGGTTCTCAAGCGTCTTTGTCTATCCGTTGTGTAAGGCCTTGCTGGCTACCTGCCGCATGTCTGTCCACTACTTTGCTCTCATGTCACATCCCAGCCATGGCGATAAACACATGCAGCGCTGACTGAGTCGATCACTCGGTTCGACCTACTCCTTATGCAGATCGCTTAGCACCTGCTTGACCAAGGCGACCATATCCTTCGCCGCCTCCCGGCCCGCATCCAAGACCTCAGCGTGGTTCGCCATGCCCTTGCACAGATGCGCCGTCAGCTCCGCCCTGTTCATGTCCTGAATCTCCGCATCGCTGCCCTTGGACCCAGCCTCCAGCACAGCGCTGTTGGTTACCAGACTGAACGCTAGGACGCGGATGCCAGCATGCCTTGCGACAATGATCTCAGGCACCGTCGACATGCCAACCACATCGGCTCCTAGCATGTTCAGCATGCGGCACTCGGCGCGCGTCTCGTAGCTAGATCAATCACTCAGCTTAGCTCGAGCATATAGAACACTGATCGATGAACTTACGTTGGCCCCGCAACAAATGCGTAAACACCCTCGTGCAACTTCCTCTGCCCCTTGTCCAGCCCCAACTTGATCCACGCCTTGTGCGTTCTCCGCCTGAGGTCGAGGTCGTATGCATCCGACAGAGGGGGGAAGCGTGTGCCAAACTCCTCAATGTTAGGCCCGCGCAGGGGGTGAATGCCAACAAGGCCCGCCATGTTGAGGTGCTACACAAGTCATTAGCGACGCTCTCACGCGGGATCCTCTGTTGCAGCTCGACATACATCATTGAGGCACACGATGTCGCCTACGCTGTAGCTCTGGTTCAGTCCTCCAGCGGCATTTGTGACAATGATAGTCTCGACGCCGAGAAGCTTGCACACGCGCGTGGCGAAGGTGGCGGCGTCCATGGAGTGGCCCTCGTAGAAGTGGGCGCGGCCTACTAGCAGGGCTACTGTGGTTTTTTGGGGTCCGATCTGGCCAAAGACGAACTTGCCTGCGTGGCCGACGACTGTTAAGGTTTGTTAGCTTCGGTCTTACGAGAAGGGGAGTGTTCATGCCGCAACAGGGTATCTCCGACTTGAAGCAAGAGTCTCGAGGCAAATTCAATCTTCCCAGTTGCGACCAGATGGACGACCAAAACTGAATCTCCTCAGAATCAACCTCTTTGCTCTTCATCTTGCCTCAAATCAGTCATCGTAACCCGTTCTTCGTTGATCTCGCAGCTACATCCGAACATGTGGCAAGTACGTACCGGTGCTCTGGGGGAAGTTGGGGACGTTCGCGTAGTCCAGGGCAATCTTGGGCTCAGCCTCGATGGTGTCTGCAAGACCACCCAATCCAGAGCCACACACGATGGCTACCTTGGGGCTTTTAAGACTCTCAGGAAGCTGGTCTCGAACATATTTTGCGGTCTCGGTTGCGCGCACATAGGCGTTCGGTGCTGCGACTTGATCGAGTGAAGCCATGATTCCTTGCTTTTTCTTTCTCAAATTTGAATCGATGGTATAGCAGAGTGTCAGGAGCCGGAAACCAGCTGCAACCGAATTCGAGAATATCTTGGGACTGTGGATATCTACTATCACCCCGCGGGAAGGTCACGGCGGAATCCGACGCGCCGGGCGGTGGCCGGATACGGCTAGCTCCATCTCGAATTATGTCGGAGACATTACCAACGCCAGCGGCGACGACAGCAGCAATAATGGCGGCGCGGAGATGTATGCGCTCCTTCCTGGGGCCGGCGAAGCGGATGAAGGTGAGATGACGGCACGCAATTGGACGGCAGCGTCTGCGTGGATGTTGCACTGCGGTTGCAATTGCTGGGATATGGTCGACAGTTCAGGGCTCACGCACACAGATCACACACGCCGCCCGCCCCTTCTCGACCACGACCGCACGTAAAGAAGACGCACAGGATGTCGGTCACAAAAAGACCATGGCCACGCTGATGGCCGACGTCGAGGCCGGCAACCTGCCGCTGGACGAGACACTGCAGAAGATGGGCCTGGATCCCGTCGAGTACAAGACGTAGGCAGGACCGCATGCTCGATACTAGGCGGTGCGCTCACAAGGAGACAGTCTTTGGAATAGCCAGAGGAAAGCCGAGAAGGCTGCCGCCAGGCGCGAGCCCAGGACGCGCGAGGAGGCGCAGGAGATGTGGAAGCAGATGCAGTCGACGCCCGACGACCTGACGCTGCTGCGCATGTACAAGCGCGGCGGCGTCGAGCCCATCCAGCTGGCGAAGTGCGTCTCTCCTCAGCCGTGCGGTCGCCCCTGCTAACAGCCACCAGGGAGAAGGGCATCAAGCTCCCCGGCGACAAAGAGCCCCTCGACCCCAAGACCCAAGCTGCCCTCGATGAGCTCCGCCAGCCCCTCAACGTGCGCGCCGTCAACATGCGCCCGCTGCGCCGTGAGCCCCAGTACGGCGTCCCCGTGTGCGATCTGCAGCTGCGCACCTACTCGGTCCAAAACCTGACGCTCTTCGCCGACTTCGCCGTGCGCGCAGCCTACTACATGGGCCTGTCAGCCCGCGGCCCCATCCCCCTGCCGCGCATAACCGAGCGCTGGACGGTGCCGCGCGACGTCTTCATCTTCAAGAAGTCGCAGGAGAACTTTGAGCGCATCACCATGCGGCGCCTGATCCAGATCCAAGACGGGCACCCGGATGTCGTCAAGGCGTGGCTGGCGTTTCTGGCAGAGCACCAGTACCACGGCGTCGGCATGAAGGCGAACATCTGGGAGTACGAGGACCTGGAGACGGCGACGCGCGCGGGTGAGGCTATTCAGCCCGACGATAAGAGCAGGAGGCGCGAGGGCCCAGTGATGGCCAAGGTCGATGAGATTCTGAACAGCAGGGGTTTCAAGGAGGCGATGAAGGGGCATAAGACTCCCGAGGAGATTGAGTTCAGGCGGTAGAGAGGAGGTGTGTACGATATGCGCATTGAAGGCGTTGTGGGAATGTACAAACATATAGCAAGACGTGCAATACAGCATGTGAGCATACCAAGGCTGCCTTAATCTCACCCACGGAGATGGATCGCAGAACCGCCCCCCTCTCTGCCTCCTCCCAAGCGTCCACCCAAGACCCATCGAAGCCGCCCTCAACCCACCCACTTGCTCGCCGCCTCCCAGAAGGTCCCGCACTCGCGCTCACAAATCATTTATGTCGTGCCTTCTCCGACTCTGCCCTCCGCTCCGCTTTCTCCCCTACAGCGTCGGCCCCAGCGGCATCTTGCCCCGCCGCTGCCTCCCCCGCTGATTCCCCTGCCTCTGAATCGCCTTGACATGCACGTCGCCCTCCGCACCCCGCACACCTCCATCCAAATACCACACCAGTCTGCGATCCGCATGGATTTCTCGAGTAGAAACTTGCCAAGACGCCCCCGGTTCGGTTCCCGTAGTGGCGGCCATGTGCTGAGCGGATCTGGTCCTGGTCGCCTAGTCGAGCACTCACGGTCTACGTTGTCGTAGTAGTGCTCGTAGGCCTCGCTGATCTCTTCGGGACCGAGTCTTTCTCACCAAGCTTGATCTGCGGCGGAACTGGAGTGGTATTTCGTCTTCGTCATTCAAGGGGCTATCGGTAGACGAAGGTTATCAATGCTCTGACGGCGCGGTTCGTAGTAGTTGCGCGTTCTGCTCTGCTTGTCGTTCTGCTTCTTCCTTTCTCTGTCGCTCCTTAACTCTTCGCGGCTTCTTCGCAGACGTCGGTCCATCTGCATTACGGTCCTTCCACTGCTGAGCCGTCAGCTCTGAAAGCCGCTGAAGTTCCACCATCTCACGATCCAAACCCATCACGACGTGTGACGCCTACAACGTCTGACTTACCATGCCGCCGTAGCGGTAGTACGGATAAAGCCCCTCGAGGCCCTTCGCGTCCTCAATGCCGCCAGACACCGAGTGCCAGCACTTCCCCGGGCAAACAAAGTTCCACTTTCCCGACTCGTCGATTTGGCACCGCACGAGGACGCCACGTAGGGTGTGGCACAGCGAGCATTCCTTGGTTGCCATTGGAGGTGTAAAGAAGAAGATTCGTAGAGGGAGAGCACTTATCGTTCTGAATTCAACACGCGTCGTTATGGTGCGCATTTGGCAGTTGGGAAGTCGCGCGATGAGCTGGAGCTGAGAGTGATGACATCATTTTCCAAGTAGAAGCGGAACCTATCCTATGGCACAGTTCTGAGGGGACTGGGCGGCGTGAGGTAGAACGCCGATAAGATCGAGCTGCAATCTCAAGGGCATTGCCTTGTGGCAGCTGGTCTGATCAAGGGGCGGAAAGCCTCCAGGACTGGAGATATGGTCAAAATGCTGGATATACAGGGCTTGGTCACACAGTGCGGCCCGTCGTGACAAGAACACACCTGCAACGTTGGGATAGATTAGCGCAGTTGATACAGTCTGATTTCATCAACATATTGTGCCGGTTACACGTAAATCAAAGCTCCGTTGTACTGCAGACGTTGCGAATTGTACAGACATCCTGACGCTCGCTCGTCCCCGACTCCAGAATGTCACCAAACACTCCCACCGAAGAACTCTATCCCTTAGCCAGGTATCTGCCACGTCAGGTATTTCTAAGGTATCAGAGATCTATAAAACCAGACAGATGCTACGCAAAGAGAAAGTCCTGCAACACATGACGGCCAAGCTTCATCTACCTCATCATCAGCTCATCCTCCGCCTCCCCAGCATACCGCTCATCCGCAAGCAACAATTCCAGAATCGCATCCAGCAACTCCTGCTTGAGTCCCCGGTTCGACAGCGCGCGCACCTTGTTCAAGACCGGCTCCGAGTTATTCACGCAGTTCCAGATATCCCACTTCTGATCCATCTCGATCCACGCCTTATCGATAATGTCCCAGATCTTCACATTCGGATCGATGACATCGAGCTGCGGCCCGGACGACGAGCTCGAGCCAAGCTCGATGATACACGAGTGATCCGTTGGGATAGCACCCAGCGTGATCACCGTACCGTTGCTCTCAGTAGCCGTGCTAAAGGACAGCGGTTTCGCGTTACGCTTCGCGCTCGGACTGAGCGAGATACACCTTATCTCCGCATGTTTCTTGGGCGTGTGAGCCAGCAGTCTGATCTTCCAAGTGCGGTTCTTGGGAATCGCGCTGTTCGGCGGGCTCGTGGGCCCGATCTTCAACACCCCGGTTGACTGCTTGTATGTGATGGGCGTGTAGCTGAAGTGCACGGTCTTGTCTGCTGAGGCTTCGATGCCGTCGTCCTCGATCATGCGGAAGCCACCGTCGTCGACTTGAGAGCCGCTGCTGTCATCTTCGATCAGGGTGAAGGACCCGTCGGCGCCAACCGCGAGGAGGAGCTCGATGGACTCGGGGTTTGGTGAGCCGTTCTTCGGTCGCCACGCGCCATCGAGAGGGACGATGGCGCCCTCGCGCATAAAGACAGGGGTTTGGTGGAGTGGGCGGTGGACCTGCAGATCGCCCTTGCGGTTGTAGACTACGCCGGTGAAGATGTCGATGTAGCGGCCGCTTGGAAGCCAGAGTTTTGAGGCGCCGAGTTGAGTTGTGCTGTCACGGCGTTGGGTGACGGGAGCCACGACAAGCTCGCTGCCGAAGCGAAACTGGTTGGGTACATTGTAGGCTGAGTCTTCTTCAGGGTGGTCCCAGTACATAGGCTGAATGAGGGGCTCGTCGTCTGATGCCGAGCGAGCGTTCATTGTGTAGAGGTATGGAATCAGCCGGTGGCGGAAACGCAAGGTGTCTTCCATAATGACTCGGCTCTCCTCGTTGAATCGCCACGGCTCGCGAGTGTTGAAGGGATTGTTGTCGGAGTGCAATCGCAGAATGGGCGAGTAGCAGCCCAGTTGCACCCATCGTGTGGTCAGCTCGTCGTCCTTGTAGCCGTGTGTGTGGCCGCCGATGTCGTTGCTCCACCAACCATACCCAATATTCGACGCCGTAGCTGTGAATTCCGGTTGGAAGTTCAGCGACTCCCAAGTAATGATAGTATCGCCAGAGAAACCAATCTGATAACGCTGCGCACCCGGTCCGCCAAATCTCGAAAAGATCAACGGTCTCTGCGACCCCCGACCGCTATCGAGGAAGTGGAAGTGGTTCAGAACCCAAAGCGGGTCGACGCCAGGAATCTTGGAATTGTTGCCCTGCTGCCAATCAATCCACCAGAAATCAACACCGCGGTCTTCATGCTGATGGTGCACGATGTCGAAGTAGGCATCTATGAACCTTTTGTCCGTGCAGTCGAAATCGATAGTCTTCTTGCTGGCTGGATCGATACCCATGTACTTCGCAACCTCCGCATATTGCGCCTCATGCCACCTGAAGCCATCTGCAGGATGCAGGTTTAGGGTCAACTTCATGCCCCGGTCGTGTAACTTTTTCATGAACGCATCAGGATCTGGGAACAGCTCCTTGTTCCAAGTATATCCCGTCCAGCCGTTGATACCATCGGGCAAGTTGTGCACAAGATGCCAGTCCATATCCACCACAGCCACATTCATAGGTACATCGTCCTTCTCAAAGTGGTCGTGTAGATCCAAGTACTCTTTCTCGTCGTAGGCATGGTATCTGCTCCACCAGTTGCCCATAGCGTAGCGTGGTAGCAATGGCTGGCTTCCAGAGACAGCGTAGTAGGCGCGCACAGCTTCGCGGTAATCGCGACCGTACATGAAGATGTACATATCAACGTCGGCGTGGTTCCTGCGACCTGCAATCCACCCATCCTTCTCGAAGAGCATGGATTTGCTGTCGTCTAGAACTGCAATGCCGTCCCGCGACAAGACACCTGGTCCCAATTCTGTTCTGCCGTTGACCATGTCCAAAGTGCGTGTAGTTCCTCCTAGGTTTGAGACATCCTGCCCATACGCCCAGGATCCTGTGACATTGCCTTTCAGATTGATCTTGAGCCCATCGGAGCTGAACTTCTGCTTATCGTATATGACGTGGAAGCGCTTCGTGACGATCTCGATGCCGTGGCCGCGGTCCCACACATAGAAGTCTGGCACGGCCAGCTTCCTGTGGACCGCAAAGGTCGACGCCCGGTCCTCAAACTTGCCATCCTCGGACCACTCGAATCGCAAGAGGCCGTCTGTAAGAATAGTAAATCGATACTTGTCGCTCGCAACAATGGCATCTGGGTGCGCGACAGGGCGCACGTCGAAGGTGTACCGCGTAGGCTTGGCCATGGCTCCCAGCAGAAGAATACACAGTACGGACTACGTGCCGGGTCTGAGAAATCGCAGGATTGAAGATGTCCGGGGCAATGTGGGGCGAAACACCGGCGCGTCCATCGCGTTATATCGTCTGGGGAAAGACGTTCCGGCCAAGCGATGATGGCTTGACTTCGGCGGCTCGTGACCTCGGTTTAGGCGCTCCCGCCCTGCGAGTGTGTCAGGCGACATCTCGCAAGAACCGGCACTCCTGCCAGGCTCGTGTTCAGCGCATGATCGAGGGCGGTGGAGATCTTAAAGGGGGTCGCGAGGTCGCCGGTGTAACGAATGCGGAGGTGCAGAGGCCACGCGCCGACGTCAACTGCGCGATCGCGGAGAATGCAGGTGGGCTGCAGCTGTGACCACCCACGACTGCAGGGTCTAACGACGCCTCGACTTACGCAGAGCTAGTCATTCAGCCATGGACATATTTGCATCGACGTCAAAGGCAAGACGCGACGGTTCAACCTCGAGCTTGTAGCTATAAGACCACGAAAGGCCTTGGAAAGCTTCCCATTCGACAGATCTAAGAGTGTCCTCGAAGCCATTCATTGAATTTAAAGACCAGTCACATTCGAGAAGAGTACCTTTTCAATGGCAGTGCAAATCGAAGAACCAACGCTCCTCCACCGTGCTTACGTCCACCAGCCTCACAATATAGCCTCAGCAGCCGGCTCCCATTTGCGGCTAGAAGATGACAGGCCTATCCTCGGCCACGCCAGCTCCGAAGTCTGTCCCAAGACGAGAGGTGTCTTGCGGAGGCTATCGATGGAGAAAGTGAGTTTTGTTAGGCCAGTGGGTGAGAATCTTGCGGAAGCAGCTGCAAAGCAAGGGCGAAAGCAAGAACAGAATCTTCAAGAGACCTTCGAGATGAGCAAGCAAATCAGCGCTATCCGCGGTCGTGACCTGCTCTGGTGTGTTGAGTTTCTCGAGAATACGGATTCGAGGACATGGTGTTTGGGCCTTAGGTACAGCTTGCCGCTTTGGATACTGTATCTCCGGGAGCTGGAACAAGTGACAGGCTAAGAGGAGATCATGTGCCCATTGCTTCTCACACGGTTTCAGACGAGAAGCTGGCGATTACCGTCTCGACTCTAAAGCGAGCGTACAAAGGGATCGTAGCAGAAGTGATGGTTTATGGCGACCCTGCTTCTATTGAAGGATCCATTCGACGCATGTGCCTCACTCTCCCCTCCGCTTGCAGTATCATCCTTGCATATTCTGCTCAGTTGATTCAGTTAGAAGGTATATCGGATGACCATTGGTTGTGCTCAGCCTCAGCGCCATTGCTTGCACCAGCCACGGTCCTCGTTACGAGACCACTTGACCAAGACATTGAAGACTCGTAGCCGCAACGTCTCGTGATCGGGTCCCGGCTCCAGCCTTACGACGCTTGTCGTCACAAGCCGAAATGCGGGGAAGCTCTCGGTAAGCGCACATCAGAAGCAGCACATCACAAAATCGCACAAGAGAGACAGTTGTTTGTCGTGAAGCATTTTTTCATTCGATATCATGTCTCCACACGGAGATGTGCCAGTCAAAGGCCGTTTTCAGAAGTGCAACGCGTGTGCGAAGCGCTGGTGAAGTGCGACCGGTGTTAGAGTGACCATCGTGTTCAAGTAAACTCCCGAGACCTCAATGGGTTGATTGACCAGCGTCCATTGCCATTCTCAGTCTTGCAGTCGCCCTCCGTGGATTGATTGGAGCTCGTGTCGCATGTCTGCCGAATGACGTAGCTGGGCGACGTTCGGGTAAACAGTTGGGTTGGGCGGACGGAAGGTGATGCGCAGATCGGTGCATTCAGTGATCGTTATCGTTCAGACTGAGGTGGTGGTTGCTGAGATTGGGGGCGAGCCGTTTATTTGCTGAGAACGATGTTAGTATTGTGCGATTGCGCGACAAGTGTGAGGTGCAACTTACGAACGAGCCCTCGTCTTTCTTCTCTTACGCTTAAGCCTCCTGACGCGCTTCTTCCTCCATTTGGCTCTCATCTTGTCGGCTGACTGCGGTTGGGGTTAGCAACTGTAGCTCCAATTCACGTCATGCGGAGCTGCAGCGAGAATGGCGAATGCTCAACGGAGAACAGGTCGCCACACCAGGCTCAATTGAGCATTGATAGCATGCTACTGGGCGCGGATATCAACTTACGTTGCTTTGAGATGAGTGTCGTGGGATGCAGAAGGAGAGTTGCTGAACTCGCAGCTTTGGCTTTGGTTTGTGGTGCGCCTTGGCAGGCGCTAATTGAGCTAAGCGAGCTTCGAGGAAGGCACGCTAGCTGCGGCAAGCACGGGTCACGCGTCGCGTCACCTTGCAGCGTCACAGTGTGCGTTCACTTCATCTCCGCGATCGTAGGGGTGGTGAAGTGCTGTACAATATGGCGGACGAGATTATGGCGTTCTTCGATATTCGGCTGGCGGGCTGCGATCCTTTCAGTCGGTGAAGTGGAATTGTTCATTAATATACCAAGCTTACACTTACAGATACGCACGGCACGATCGAAGTTTGCGGCAACGAACAGTTCATGCTTGGCAGAGACTCGAACTGGTGAGAGCGGTAGTGATCTGACTGGTATTGTCGCAAATATTAACATGTGTATCAGTCGTTACAGCTGGCATGACGACTTTACGATCTCCAGAGAGCATCTTCGCGTCCATTGCATTCTGTACGAACAAGATCCGATTGCTGACATCGCTCCATTCGTCTATGCAACCGATGTTTCAGCTAACGGCACCTACTTAAAGAAGAGCAACGCAGAGTGCAATGGCTCACAAGGTCGTGGCGTCTTGATGGGCAAAAACGGCACTTTCCTCCTCGACGATGGAGACGAGCTGCAACTGTCAGAGACCGTCACTTTGATCTACCACTCATTCGGAACGGTCAAACACTGCGTTCTCACGTCGATGCAGGAGCGCGAGAAGTTGAGTCTTGCTTCTCGGTACCTCATCACTGGCCGCTTGCTCGGCGAAGGTGGGTATGGCAAAGTGCTCATTGGCATCGATCAGAAGAGTCAGCGCCAGCTTGCTTGCAAGATCGTTAATCTCGAGAAGCTTTATGATCGGCGTGTTATCCTGCGTGGACCTACAAGCAATGGACAGTGGACTTCGAGTCAAGCGATCAGCCAACTTCCTGAGAAAATCCAGAGCTGTTTCCGAGAATTCGACATTCTGAAGGATCTCAGCCATCCCAACATCGTCCATATACAGAAAGTGTTTTGGAGCCGGAGGACGATATATATGTTTCAGGAGCTCGTCACCGGTGGCGACCTTTTCTCGTACATCGAGTACAAGCAAGGCAAGATCCCAAGCATCGAGTCAGCAGTCATCATTCGGCAAGTCTTGAAGGGCGTGGAATACCTGCACGGTCAAGACATTGTGCATCGCGATCTGAAGCCTGACAACATCCTGATGACCTCGCTCGACAGCGGCGCACGCGTAATCATAACAGACTTCGGTAATGCACGCTTTCTACCCAACGCTAACACTCAACACGACTTAACGGACAGCAAGCTGAGACGAATGTTCAGCATTGTGGGCACCTTGGAGTACACTGCACCGGAGATCCACAGAGCGAACGAGGCGATTCCCCGCGCTTGGGGTTACTCTTTGAGTGTCGACATGTGGTCTATCGGGTCGATAACGGCAGCTATACTTACTGGCGAGCAGATCTTCAGCTGCCGACAAAACGGCCCCTTCGAAGAAGATGCTCGACGCGTCATCGTTCAACTTGCTGCGCAATGCGACCTAAGCGTCCTCGACGATGAGTATCATCCGCTGTGGGGATCAATCGCCTCTGCACCGAAAGACTTCATCAAGCGTCTGCTAGTCTTAGATGAAGAAGACCGCATGTCGGCGACAGAGGCTTTGAGCCATATCTGGTTCACACATCCAATGATGGCGGCAGAATTTGAAGCTCAGTACGAACGATCTATCAGGAAATGGCGTCCGCGCCGCAAAGACGACCAACTCATTGAACAGATTTCGACCTCGAAGCCAACCCCAAAACCAGTGCAGTCCTTTGAAAGCGCGCCTGCTGACGAGACGGCCTCTTGCTTCTTCAAGCACAAGCATGCACCGTTCCAGGAGAGCCCCGTCAACGATCTCGAGTACGCACATGAGCCACAGACTAATGATCAGTTCGCAAGCCAACCCATGCCCTATTCTCACGACAACACTTGTGCAGAAGTCAATCCTCAAGAATTCTATCAGAACGACGAATACACCCAGCTCGAGGGCAACTACGATGCGGCGCCTCACTGGGCTTCTGACGATCAACAAACAAACGCCAAGCCAATTGGATCTGGTCCTCCGGCACCCCAATCGAGAAGGTACAAAGTTCCAACCGAAGCGACACCCGGACAGCTTCAACGTGTAGGTACGACCACACGGGGTAGGTACTTCCAGAGGGAGATCGTTGACCTTGACGATCTCGACGGACCTGTTCACAGTGTCAGAGATGATGGCGTACATCCGCGAGCTATTCGAAGAGAGGAAACTGTTCAGGTGCGCACAACTCCGTCTGCAGACAGTGAAGCGTATGACGGCGTAGACCGATGGTGGCATCATCGCTACCCGCAAACACAGTACCACTACGACACACAGGCAGAGCCTAACACTCAAGAAGAAGATCAGGTTCTGGCGCAGGAGACTCCTCCAGAGCTATTTTTGAAGCCTCAGAAGGATCTATTTGCTCATGCTTCCAAGAAATCGCAAGGATGTCGGCAAGTGTACGAAGAACCCTTCGCTTACAAGGTCAGCAAGCCGAGGAAGGTATATGGCCGACACCATTGATCTAAAGATTTTCTCTACGAATGATCTGCGACATGATTGACTCTACGATCTAGCAAAGGAGTGATAGCAGGCCTGGTATTTCAAGTGTATCTCACAATGTAGCACCGAGGATTGTCTGCTCATATTGCTGACATGTAGAGGGCATCCATTCTGTCGGTCTTAGAAGACAGGCGATTACTCAGTGCCGTCTTGCCTTGTGCATTGTGTTAGTTCAGGTCTTCGTTCATGCTTTTCCCACCCGTCTTTGTTCGGAGACTTCGGTCGAAGATCACCAATTGACACGGTGCGATTGTGTCTCATTCCACACATTGTGAGAATGCTGCACAATTTTGGTGTTGCTACGTTGAAGGGGCGAGGCATTTGGTACAAGGTGCATTATTTGCTCGAGCTTCTAGTGACAGTTCATATACTCTGGAACCACTTCGATGGTCTGAGACATCTAATCATCAGACAATTCAAACCACGACAGCCCTGGTTGACGCGCAAATCAGTTTTCACCTACCACGAGAGTCCTCTCTCGATCCCATTGCCAAGAACAATACAACTAACCGCAAACATGCCTCCTAGGGAGAGGTCTAGAAAGGAGGAAAAGGAAGAAGCTAAGAGGGAGTGCGATCAAAAGTACGGGAAGAAGAACTACGAACTCGCTGCGAAGAAGAGACTGAACAGCGCCCCCGATGGGCACAGGCTCCACCTGTCAAATTGTGGACCAGATCCTCTGCAAGAATCGAGTGAGTCGGAAGAAGAGCTTGCCCCTCCGCCACCTATAGTATCAGAAGCAGCATTTGCAAATATTCTCGAAGAAGCAAAGACAGGCACACGAGGTGCCAATGCAAATCCGCCAGCGCATCATCACTCGAGTGCAGCACATAAGGACTGTTCACAACGAGGGCCTACAGTTACGACCAATGTTCGAGATTGGATACCCAAATTACATCCCGCTAAAGCAAGTGAGGCAGATAAAGCTCGAGAGGCCAGAATCCGAACACATCGTGATGGTCTCCTGCGCACAACTGTACCTATATGCGAAATGCAGCACATTTTCCTTGTCTGCCAATGGGAGTTCTCTGACCCCTTGAATCGCAAAGGGACATGGTCCTTGGAGGTTCATGACTTCCGACGCACGTTGTGGCATGATGAAGACGGCGTTGAAAAGCATGAGCAGTGCAGCAGCCTCAGCGGTATGCTGGAAATTGCGAACATGCTCGCAAAGTCCATGATAAATCATTGGAAGGGAGCGCTGCCCAAGCAGATTGCTCATGAAGCAGACGATCACAAGAGATGGCTTCTACGAGAACAGTTGGATGAAAAACTGTCATCTCCAATCAAGAGCATTGAGCGCGAACTGCGTCTTTTGATGATTTTTTCATGGGCAGCATTCCTTCCAGTAGCGGAGGAGGAAATCCTGGCGATGAGTACGACAAGGACAAGAAAAGCGGAAAAGGGAAAGGGGATGAGAGAGGCCAAAAGCTCGACAAGAAGGCGCTGATGGAGAAAAAGAACGCAGTGCAAGAGAAAGCCCGGCAAGCTGACTTTGCAGAGAAAGTGAAAGATAAGAATAGGCGCATGGAAGAGAATGACAAAAATGTCCGGACGAAATTGAAGGAGATTCGACAACAGCAAAGAAGCGCAAACGGCGCGGGGGCAGCGCCACTTGAGATGACTGAAGAGGATAAAGAAATTCCTACCACTGAAACTGAGGACACGACTCCGAAGAAGCCAGCTAGGCCGGAAATGACGGAGGAAGAGGAAGAGCGACTGAAGAACATCCGAGCCGCAGCACGGAAGGAACGCGAACGAAAGGAGCAAGAGGAAAGAGAGGAAGATGAGCGTCAGCGAGAGCTCGCAGCTGCCCAAGAAGAGATTCCGGACGGCGATTTCGGCGCTGCGCTATAGGAAGCTCTGAACAACGCCTCTCCTGAACCCGAAGCTGCAGATAAAACCCCAGCCAAGAAACTCCAGGCGACAGTCCAGGGCTCAAATTCGACTGTGGATTCCCTTGCCAACGACGCTGAATCCAAGGAGCGCAAGAGGAGGCTCAAGCCACGTGCTTCTGCACCTTCAGTCGCTCAAGACCCGTCCGACTCAGACAGCATCAAGCCGCCCCAGCCTAGCACACCAGTCAAACCCAAGCCAAAAGCCATACCGGAAGCCAAGCCGGTGATTCGAAAGCCCCCTGTTCCTTTTGCTGAGCATCTTGCTGCAGAACAAACTGCTCAAGGTGGTGAGCCTAAGCCAAAAACGCCAAAGAAGACCAGTGAGCCGAAGCGAAAGGCAAAGACTTCTGGAAAGTCAGGAAACAAGGAGACGAAGGCTGTGAAGACCAACGGGAATAAGGAGCACAAGTCTGCGGGATTCGTCGCCGACAGCGATCTTGAGAACGATTCGACGGAAGACATTGAACTGCGCAGTGACAAGCTGCAGAGCGATAAACTTGGCGTCGAGATCACTTCAATCACTACCGTAACTATACATAGCGAGGAAGGCGGAGATGCCACACGAAATTATCGAGATGACCACTGTGGCGGTCGAAGTCCAGCAAAGGGACGGCTCGGCAGAGCGCACTCAAGTGACAGATACCACCACGGCTAGACGTGACTCTTCTGAATATGGCGAGACCACAATAGGGCACACCTCCCACGTCCAGACCGTCACTGAACTTGATGTGCTCCACCAGGAACTTCCACATGACTCGCCCTCATCCTCGCCTGAGCAGGATCTGCAAGACGGCTTCAACACATCTACCAATGCCATGGGTATCAAGCTATCTGTCTCGCATCCTCCAGCATCAACGCCTTTGACTTCTCCCAGCTCACACAGGAAGCACAAGAGCTCAAGTGACAGCGAGGAAGCACAGTCTGAACCGAAAGCCGAGCAGCAGGATTTACCTTCTTCACCATCCTCGCCAAAAAAGCGCAAGATCACACCACCGGCATCGCCATCTACAGATGACGGCACAGCTTCTTACAGCCCAAGCACTGCTCCCGCTGAGAATGCCGTTTCTTCCGAGGACGTTACTACCACACCGAAGCCAACATCTTCAAGCCCGCCAATCTCCCCAGGCGCGGCATCGGTAGCATCTTCAATCTCATCGTCATCAAGCCAGAAGCGCAAGGCAATATGGTCAGAAGATGATGGTCAAATTACGATCAGTCCTGGTGGCACGAAGAGGGCGAAGGGTGTGCAGTCCAGCGGTGTAGCAATCAGTGAGAAAACGACGCAAAAACGTCACAAAATAGGGTAAGACGAGACTGGAACCAGCAAGCAGGCCAAGGTCATTGTGGAACTGGAAGATGTCGTAAAGGTTGAAGCTGAGGACGACCAGGAAAGCTTCGATTCGCTGTTTGATGAGTAATTCCCGAAGAACGGCCGAGCTGACACAGGTATGTTGTGAACCTCTCCTTTGAATAGGGAGAGCGTGTGAAAGTAAGATTTTCTATTTTTCAAACGTCTCACTACTCAATCCCGACCTCAAGGCCTCACTGTAAGTACATCACCTTGCTCTCAAATGATTTAGAATTGACCAATGGGGCTGTTGATCGCGTTACCCAGAGGCCCCTTACCCCTGGGATTGAACATCCTCTTGGTGCTCTGCTGATTACCACAGGTGTTGACACGAATACAGATGCTGTAGCCACAGCAGGTGTCCGGGGTGCAGACCTCGTTGCTGCCGCACTGGGAGTCGGAGCTGCACCTAGCGTAGTCGGAGCAAGACCCGCTGAGATCACCGCACATGCTCTTGCCGGTAGAGCCCGTGATGCAGTAGCACATACCAGCGTTGTTGCAACGGCCCAGGCTGAAAGTCTGGCAGGTCCTGGGAACGCAGTCCAAGCACTGGCCGGCGGAGCACTGGCCGCTGTTGCAGACGTTGCCGCAAGTACCGCAATTGTTGGCATCGTTCTGGAGATCCTTGCATGTATCAGGAGTGGAGCCGCACAGAGCCTGGGAGCTGGAGCAGGGGCAGATGGTGGCGGTGGCAGTAGCAGTGGTTGTGACAGTGAAGGAAGGAGTGACGGTGGTGGTAGCAGGAACAGTCGTGAAGACAGTCTCGGTTAATTGAGTGGTCGTGGTGAGGAGCGTAGCCTCGGTGAGGGAGTTGGTTTCGGTCAAAGTAGTAGTCGTGGTGACCTGGGCCGTGGCCGATGTAAGACCCAAGCAGCCGCAGGCAGACGTGATATCATCGCAGGCAAAGCCGGTCTGGACGACCGATGGAGCTGCCTCACAGGACAAGACCAGGGTAGGAGTAGGAGTGGGAATAGGAGAAGGCTTAAAGGTCTCAGAGGAAGAGACGATCTCGCTCGAGTAGTAAGCGGAAGAGGAGACAGTCGGCAAACCGGCGTAAGAGCTGATCAAAGAGCTGATCTGCTCGTAGATACTCGAAGTCGTGGGATAGTCATCGTAGGCAGCGGAAGACGCCTCAGGGTACGAGTAGTAGTAGACAGAAGACGCGCCTGCAGTGGAGCTGGCGTTGTGGTAGGAGCCCGCAGGTATAGAAGGGTAACCCTTAGCACCAGCGTCGGTGTAGTGACTAACTGACTGCGAGGGGTAAGCATCCTTGGCCGGCTGCGAAGGGTAGGTGGCCTTAGAGGCGTCAGGAACGTAGTGTCCGGGCTGAGCGCTGGAGGAAGCCCCCTGCGAGTAGGCAGGAGGCAGGCCAGCGCCGTAAGCGGCAGAGGTAGCGTGCTGTTGACCCTTGCTCTCGGTGCAGGAAGTATACTCAGCCGGGACAGGTGTAGTGCTGGTCTTGCTCTTCGTGCAGGAGGTGGAGGTAGGCTTAGGGGCGGTCGAGGTCTTGCTCTTGGTGCAAGAGGTCGATCGAGCCTCAGCGTAGTCGCGGCGCTTCAGAGCAGTGGTGCACGAGTAGACGGTAGTCGACTCGGTGACAGTCTCCGTAGCGGTAGCAGTGGGAGCAGTCTCAGTGACAAAGCCGTCGGTCACAGTGTCGGTCTGCGTTGTAGTGACGCTAAGCGTGACTTGGCTAGGAGTGGTGATGGTTGTAGTCTCCGTAGCGGTGGCAGACTCGACGACAGTCTCGGTGGTCGTACCGATGTCGAGAACGGCAGAGCAGTAAGCCTTGCCGTCAGCGTTGAGGAGAGCAACCACGTCTGCGACATGCTCGCATTCAGGCGCAACTTGGGCAATGGCAGCGCCGGCCGAGGCCAGAAGGATCAACGAGCGGGGAAACATTATGATTATAGTATTAAGTATAATAAGACCAGCACCTAGATAGTGGAGGTTTCTTGACGATAGCAATTGACAGGAGTCGGACAGCTAAAGAGTGAATGCCGTGCACTGTACAAACCGACGGCCTCCCTCTCCTTCAAATACTCACTGGAACGAGGGGTTCAAGTCATTGTAAGTAGCCTCCCGCTCGGTCGTACAACTGTGCAGCCTGGCCAGGCTGGAGGCTGAAGGCCTATTGTGTGCAATGGCTTCATTTTCAGCTCTGGACTTTGGGTGGTGGAGATTGGATATGGCGGGATTGCCGGTGCGCCATGCCTAGTTCGGTATCGATGGAGCTGCTTGGGCACATCCGTGGAGATTTTCGATTCGGATCTGCCAGGGTTGTGTTAAACCCTCCGATCATGCTGTTTCCTGCACGTTGTGACTTTTCTAAGCATTGATTGTTGTGGAAATGGAGATGGGCAATGGTCAAACTTCTTGACCCCGATCCCCTGGCGCTTTGCCTTTTTGGGTTGCTCGCTTGCTGCAGCTCAAGTCAAGCAACGGTACAACTCCTACTAAACTTGGCCTCTACTCCCTCCTCCTCCCGTGTACTTCGGCGAATGCGCAGAGGTCCACCTTGTAGGCAGGGGTGAGCGACAGTAAGGGTCTACTTCAGCACTACTGTGTCAAAGCTCCATTGATTTAGGCGCTTTGAGCCACGGGTGGTCAAGCACTTGCTTCGCGGTCACGCGGTTCTTGGGCCTCCACTGCAGCATGCACCGTACGAATCCCAGAGAGTCATACTGCTCTTGTCCGGCCAGGGTTATCTCGCAGCTCTTCAGGCTCAAGTTGTCAGGGATGGGAACATTACCTGTGCAGTTACCTGAAGTGTCAAGACAGCAGCATTACTCACTAGAAGAATCTGCGGATTGCCTACCGTCTTCGTCGAAGAATATTTGCTGCGCAGACCTCGCTCGAGCAGGTCTCGTGGAGGTGGCCCAAGCCTCGCCACAACTTCTGCCAGATGCGCTGCCGTCTTGTACCCCCTGCCGTCCGGATAGCTGCCGTAAAACAAATGCTTATTCTCGTACAAGTCCTAGATCTGACCTTTTCATCAGTCTCACTCTGTTGCTTATGCGTTAGTCATGTCTTACCATGGCGCCGACATTCCAGATATCCGCAGGATAGGTCCACTCTGTTTTCAGCATCACCTCTGGGTATCGGTAAACGTCAGGTTGTGCATCGTGCGTCTGCATCTCTTCGCCCTCAACTGCTCCGCCAAAGTTTCCGGGGACAAAAGATCCCCAGCGGTCGGGCATGCCGAACATGCAAGACACATACACTAGTCTATTCCCAAGTTTGCGCGGACCAGGGTACCTCATCTCTCCTTCAACGAATCCGTCCAGCACTTCTTCATCGTCAAGCTCGATGAAGGTTTCCGCGGCCTTGATGTCTGATGCGTGTAAGTAATGTCTGTGCAAGATCGAGCGGAGCTTGACTGACCTGTATGCACGATCTTTCATTCGGTGTGGACGTAGTCTGATGCCTGGAATAGTTGAACTCAGTCGAAATAGCTCGGGCGAGAGTCGATAAGCCGGATTGCGACTGAATACCTCGCTGAAGCTATCCCACACAGGCTTCTGAACAAGACACTGGTAATCCCCGCCTGCTCGAGAAATCCTGAACGCGTCTAAAGCAGTTCTGACATGTCGATAGCCTGGATGTGAACTGTTTTGCCTGCTGAAATGCCGATAGATGTCAATCTCTTCGCTGTCTTGTGGGCGTTCTGCAAGTCACCTTCAGGGTTGCGTACGAACGATTACTGGACGCTGTTAGTCACACTTAGAGCCATACAAGGAAGGTACTTACGGTAGATCTCGAGTCAGCTAAGCTGTAGATGTGATGCCGAAGCCCAGTTTGCTAACGACCTGATACCGGGAACGGAAGTTCTGCCCGATGCTGACAAGGCAAAAAGTACCTTGCTGGAGATGTCTAAAGATTCTTCCATCAGAAGATACTCGTCGCTGACAATTTCAAAATCCCTTGCTGGGAACTTGGTCTCTTGCCAAGGTGATCCATGAAGTAGCGCTTTTGCAAATTTGAGAATAGGAGTCAGCATTGCGAACCAGCGTTCCATATTGAAGGCAGAGAATGCGTGCTATTGTAATTCTTCAAGGTTGTAGAGATGTGTTTGTGATGCGGCGTGCAAGGTTGTGCTTTAATCACCGCTCAGTCTTAGGTAGGCTGCAGCTCCCTTTTCACTTCAACAGAGCAGATTTTAGGACCAGCCCGCAATTCAGACATCGAAGTGAACAGATTGTTCATGATTAGACTGAAATCGACGGAGCGTAGCAACTGATCGAGTGGACCTATTTCCCAAATTTCTCTTCCCAAATTTCTCTTCCCAAATTTCTCGCAAAAGACGCGCAGCTGTTCGCTTTCATGCTCCACAGATCTGCGCAATCTGGGAGTCGGGGAAAGTTTTCCGATGAGCTATCTCCTGCCAAGCCGTTGTTTTTAATTGATATGACGGAGGTATATGGCGTGTATACACCCGGCATAGTTCGCGGACTTAGCTTTAGCTTCCTTTACCGTAACCCCAAACGCAGGCAACTATTGCTTGTAGGTCTCTCGAAATGACTAGCTCCCTCTGTTAGTACCGCCTGGTATATTGGAATACATCAGCTACAGTCTTTCAACCTAACATCTCAACTCGAGCACTGCTATCTCAACTTCCCCTTTCGACACAGTTCACTGCTAAGGTTGGATGTGACGCTGACTGATCCTGCAGTTACGTGCTCTGATGTATAAAATGCTTGTATTATCTTTTGGATTCCAGAACCAGTATCTGGCTCAAACAACATTTACTATACTGACCGCGGAGCAACTCCTTGGATAAGAACTCAGCCAGAAAATCTCTAAGATGCAGCCTTTTCGCTCCTTCTTCTCTACCGCAGCACGCTTCATCAAGTGGCTCGGCTACGATCCAGCCAAGCTCCCATCTGACTGGTCTGAGGCTACCAAGACGCTCTTCAAGCCTAGACGTAGTGCTGAGAAGGTAAACGAAGGCCACATTCCCAAAATGCATTCGCTCGTGGCGGAGCGCTGTTCTCAAGAACGACTCTTCCAGCCCATAGCCCGTGAGAAAGGAGTGCAGTACGTCTCTTAAACTTCTCCACCTCCGTACAATTGGTTCTGCAACTTTGAGGTTTGCACAGAGGTTCATAGAGCGTCTGGCTCTGGTGCAAAGGCGTCGTTAACACATGTAATAATAGGGACGACGAATTTATGACTGACGACCGATAACCATTCAGACATAATAATCATTAAAGATCGACTAAGGGATCGCGATAGCAATACCCGGCACGACAACCGAGACCTAGAATTCTGCACAGGGAAAATGGGGTCGCTGAATGAAATTGATGTGAACTTTGACCTTTGATTCGTCCTTGATATATACGATGCTAACAAAAGAAACCGGACCTCTACGCCCGCGCCTTGGCGGTGGGTGTCCATGCAGAGTACTTGTTCTTGACTCTGCAGTCTTGTCAGTATGTCGGAGATCAAGAAGGAATCGATCACGCACGTGCTGTATGGCTTGTATCCAGAGCGGCTCCAGGTGAGGGTAGGCCTGTGCTCCTTGGGCTCCCACACGCGAGCCTCACGCTGGAGGAGCTTGTCCTCAACCGGCGACTTGTCGACCACGTAGGACATCCAAGCGTGCCATCCGGGCTCGATCTGGGAGCTGCGCAATCGTTAGCCAGGCTCACATGGCTGGTCCCAGAGCCAACTGACGGATCGAACTCATGGTCCTTGTAGTCCACCCAGCGGGTTCTCACTGCCAATCGTCAATTCCGCCCTCAAGTACTCCATTCTTTAATATGCCTACAGGGAAGCTCCTCTGCGAGATTCTCGTAGTACTTGTTGCCATACTTGTCGAGGCCAATGAAGGTTCCAGCCTTGGTATCACCTGCGCCTGGTCAGCCCACCGCCCTCTCTTCGGCATAGTCGTCTCCGAGCATACCAATGTGCTATAAAGTGCGCGCGGCCTCGGTCAGTCGCGTCTACGGGCGGTGGTCGAAGCGTGGGGTCGAATGCGTACCTGCATCTGGTGGCCATATTCCTGTGGAAAGAGGTCAATTAGCGCTGTAATTTGCAAGGGAGCTGCGGAAAATAAATACCTTGAATCCAATCTTGCGCAAATTGCGCAGCGTCCTCATAAGTGTCGACATGGCGGCGTTGTCTGTACTGACGTTCCTGCCGACCAGTCGTGAATCGTTGATTGACGATGCCGCCAAGCCGCAGTTGCGCTTTCCTTGTTGTGGTTTAAGCTGATGTGACCCCTGCTTTGAAAGAGCATCAAAACTTCAGGAGGCTCAAGCACGGCGCAACAACATCAAGGGACGACTTTCGTATTTCAACATGATAATAAGAGGGTGTTTGAGATCGCAACTACCCAGAGTTGCTGCAAAGAGGAGCTTCAGAATATTCGCACGGCCTGCGAGGACAACAAGGCGGTATTCGACAGCGAATGCGCCTCCCATGGCTTCAGCACCGCAGAGTCAAGCTTCTATGCTTGCCACAATCACGACGGATCTGGACAGGATAGCACCAAGATTTGAGATGCAACCAGATCAAATTACGATAATCCAGACGCCGGCCGAGTTCTATGAAACGCTCAAAGTAGGTTGATGGCATTTCCTCATCTCGTTCTCGAAGCGGACTCGAAGCTAGCCGCAATATATGACATTGCAGACCACATCTCCTGCTGTGCCAAACGTCTGTTTTCATTTTCCATTTCCTTATTAAGTGTACGTCCGTTCCGTGCGACATGTTTGGTCTTCTTTCAAAAGTCATCACTGGGCATGAATGGTACGAGCAATCGATGATGCACGGCCAGCTTGTAGGCTCTGGAGCGCAGAAAAGCTCCCCACGTACGAACCATGAGCCCCATCATGTGTTCACAGCAATTTACTGACCAATCACAGACCAACATCTCCAACGCTCAGCGTCGTGTCTATTTGTCAACATTGTACATTGGCAAGACCGAGCATGAGCTCATCTCCACAATCCGTACAGCACTTCAGCACAATCCCAATCTGCACGTGTCCTTTTTGACAGACTCTCTTCGTGGGACTCGCGAGACGCCTGAACCATCAAGTGCATCTCTGCTCGCGCCCTTGATCTCAGAGTTCGGCGCAGAGCGAGTAGAGGTGCGCATGTACCACACGCCCAACCTGACCGGCTTTCGAAAGAAATACATCCCCAAGCGTATCAACGAAGGCTGGGGCTTGCAACATATGAAGCTCTACGGTGTCGACGACGAGATCATTATGTCCGGCGCAAACCTGAGTTCAGACTATTTCACCAATCGCCAAGATAGATACCACCTCTTCCGCTCCAAGGAATTGACAGACTACTTTGCCAAGATCCATGATGGCGTCGCAAAACTATCCTTCGACATCCAACCCTCTGATAAGGAAGGAAGTGGCGGCTATACCATGACCTGGCCTACCAGCAACCCTGCGCCTTCGCCCCTTGACTCGCCATTGAACTTCAAGAGTAGCGCATCAAAGCACCTAAGTCACCTTCTCACGCCCTCGAACTCTCCAGTACGCCAAGTATCCGCCTCACCAAGCACAACAACAATTTACCCCGTTCTCTCCCTCGTCCCGCTGCTCAGCACCTCCACAGAGCTCCCCGCGCTCACCACAATCCTAACCTCGCTCGCCCGCCCGCCCTTCATAGGCTCAACATGGACATTCACAGCTGGCTACTTCAACATGACATCCTCATTCCGGCGCCTCCTACTCTCCACACGCCCAGCAAGCGGCACGGTGCTAACCGCTCACCCGCACGCCAACGGCTTCTACGGCAGCAAGGGCGTGAGCGGCATGTTGCCAGACGCCTACACGCACCTCGCGAAGATGTTCCTGCGCAAAGTGAAATACGAGCGTCTCAGCGAGAGCGTGACGCTGAAGGAGTGGAAGTTCGGCAAGGTCAATGAGCAGGGCGGCTGGACGTATCATGCAAAGGGGTTTTGGGTGTCGTTCCCGACCGCCAGGGAGGAGCATACGGCTAGGCAGGAGCCCACTGGAAGCGTAAACAGCGCCCCCGAAGACCCCAGTCTCACCGTCATCGGCTCGTCAAACTACACCAAGCGCTCGTACGAGCTTGATCTCGAAGCCAACGTCATCATCGCTACCTCAGATCCTGGCTTGAGGCACCGCTTGGGCGAGGAGGTGAAGTGGTTGAACGAGCATGCCAAGCCGGTGAGCGAGGCCGAGTTCGAGAAGCCGGAGCGCAAGGTTAGTCTGAGTGTTAGGCTGAGCATGTGGGCTGTGAGGGTGCTTGGCGGTGCGCTGTGAGACGGAATCGAGGACGAAATCTAGGGGAGTAGACGGTGGTGGGAAGGACTTGTACGATTATGTGTTGAGATCTATGGAATCAAAGGATGCTGCTGTAAACAATCGCCATCTACAGAAACTATCGTCGTATCCAGACCAGATTACCACGCTTCCATTTGCCGCCAGTATACCCTCCAAGCCCGTTCTCGCCTGTCGTTCGCAGGCGCAGCAGTCTTACCGAATGGCCAGCGGGGGTCGACCAGGAAGTCGTGAAGCATCTGCTCAAAATTCCCAGGTGGTAGTGGCGGGAGTCAAAAGATGTGCGGTTGTGGAAACAAAGTCAGAGCCGCATCTGTGCCGGCCTTTAGTCGGAGTCCTACTCACCCGCACCATCGGCAACATCGGCACGAGCATCGCGAATGAAGGCCCCGAAGACGCCCGGTTGACGTGCAGCGTTCACAGCTGGGTTAGGCCGCACGGCAGCGCCGTTGACGAGCTGGACGCCAGGGGCAAGCCGGAGATTTGGCTGCGGCGCGCGACCAGCCTCGCGGTCTTGGCGGGCGCGCTCGATGAGTGCGTTGATCTGGGCGACGGTCAGGTTGTCGGCGACGAAGTTGCCCAGGTCGTGCGCGATCATGGGGCGGTGGTGGGAGCAGGTTTTTGCGTGGATGTCGGGGCTGCCGTTGTATAGTCCCAGGCACTCCCAGCAGAAGTTGTGGCGGCAGCGTTTGCCTGGGAAACGTTAGTGTGCGTTGCTGTAGACAGCGGTAGGGGTGGCTGATGATGTGGACTTACACTTCATGTGATCGCAACCGCCATTCTTCTGGATGTTGACGCCGCACTTGGGGCACGGCTTTGCGCCGAGCCGCTTGATTGTCCTCTCGGACTGCTGGTCCTCGCGCCGCTTTACGCTGTTGCAGGAGCCGGAGTGCCAGGGACGGTTGCAGGATAGACAGATCTCGTGCTCGCAGTATGGGCAGGCTGCCTTGTCGATGTCGGTCTCCTTTTGTTTGGACTTGGACTTGGACTTGCTGCTGAACTTGTGCTTACTGCCACAATCTTCGGCGGAGAAGTAGATGCCGCACGCCGGGTTGAGGCATGCGATGTATGCTGCATCAGCAGCGAGAGTAAACTTTGTGACAGCTGTATCCCATCTGCATGCTGTCAGTGTCTGCGTATGAAAGTTGGGGGGTAGTGCTTACGTCTCAAAGAGGGCCTTGGGCAAGATCTTCTTCAGTGCGGTGTGGTCGAGAACAGCCTCACATTGTGGAAACATACAAGGTAGATGGGCTTCGGTGAGCTCGCGCGCCGACACTTTCGTCTTGATCTGCCTCTGGATGCAAATATTGCATACCTGTTCGAAGTGTTGGCAGTCTGCCTCCATGTCAGATGCCGTGAAGCTGCGCTTAGCGGGCTTCTCAGTAGCGCAGATGATGCATTCGGTTTTCGAAGGGCGAGCCTGCTTTTCCGGCTTCGGCGGTAGTATGGTCTTCGCAACCTTCTTGCGGCCTGCCTTCGACTTCGAAGAGACCTCCGACTTGATGAAGCGCCCTCGAGCATCTCGGGCAGGTCCGGTGGTAGCCTTCTCTCTGGGTTTCGTAGGATGTGCAGCTGATGCTTCTAGTAGTGACGTGTCTTCGAGGACGATGGGGTCGCGGGCTGAGCCAGGTCGAACCGTGGTCATGACCTGACGAGGGTCCATGCGGCGCCCAGGCCGCGCGCTTAATCGCGTGCCCACTCCCAGGCGTGTGGATGGTGCCATTGGTAATACAAGTCGAGGTGGCTGAGGTTGATGTTGAGGTAGGTGGATGGCGAGGTCCCTTAAGAAATGCAGGCAGCCGCGCGAGGTTATGTATCAGGCGCTGACCAGTGGGCGGTGAAAGCGTTTGTTGTCGAGCGCTTTGCGACCACCGCGCGTCCGAGTCATCACCGGTGCATCCTTTTTGAAGTGAAGGCAGAGAGTCTTGGTACTTCACTTGAGACCCATTGCAGGAAGACCTCGTGAGAAGTTACAATGCCGGAACATGTGAGATTAAAAGTCGATACAAACAAGCATGGCGAGGTGCATTCGCAAACACTTCGGAGTGTTCACACGGAGATAGTGATATCGAAGGGGATATGATGCGTTCTGATGCGTGCAAGCATCTGTCGCGCCCCAGAATAGTTTGCATCTCATATCGGATGGGACATGTGCTTTTACATCAAAAGGGAGCCAAAGGACCCCGGTCCATTTGCTGTGAGATTCCCTCCTCTTTTTCACAGACCTTTGACGCGTATTGATGCTTTGCCGATGTCGAAGCTGTTAAAGATGTGGTGAGAAGGGGTCTGATATCGAAGGATCGAGGTTCAATTTCCAATTTGAGCGATGACATACCGGTACCGGTAACGCCTCGACTGCTACTTCTAGCCAGCTACAAGATCACATCTCCTCTACATGAAAGGCAGATTGTCATGACTTGAATGCTCCTCATAAGAACGCACCCCATGCCTTCCCTAATGGAGTGAGTGTTCGTACACACCACTGAGCCATGCATTCCAGCTCAACCTCGGATCGCCGGGAGGTGATTGCACGCATGGCGCGATTAGCATGCACAAGCAAAAGAGGCGTGAAATGTCTGCACATTTATGGCGGGAACGAAAAACCACTTTTTTATATATACGACTAAGTAAACAAACAACAACCCAACGGCCGACGCCTCGCTGTACATAATATGCACACCAAGATCTACAATGCGATCGTTAAAGGTCATCTCTAAGCAACAGCGACAAACAAAAAGGCAAGAGCAATATGTATGAGAAAAGAGCAGATAAAAGCGAACATAAAAAGACAAGAGCAACATCTAAATGTACCTCAGCCTCCTTGCAACACCCAGGCAGACCGCGACGAACAAGGCGATCGTACCCAGGATTCCGTAGAACCAAATCGGGCTGCCATCCTGCCCAGGAACGTGGACGTTCATACCGAACAGACCACAGATCAAGTTAAGCGGAACGAGGATCGTCGCAATGACCGTGACTTTCTGGAGGGTGTTGTTGCTAGCGTTGCCCTGGATGACCTGGTCGACCGAGATCTGCGCGAGGTAGTTGGAGTGCGCGCGACTCAGCATCTTCTCGAAATGCGCCAAGTTGGACATCATGGTGACGACGTGATCCTGGATATCGCTAAGGTAGAGACCGACGTCGCCACGGGGCGCGACGCTGTAAGATTCGTTGCACCGCTTGGCGAAGCCCTTGATGACGTCGGCTTTACCGCCGAGGAGGCGCAGCAGCTGCATGACCCGCTTGCGAGCGTCGCCAACTGCACGCAAGATGGCGCGGGAGTCCTCAATGCGGGCTGTGAAGACTTGGTCTTCGATGGCCTCAGCCTCGTCCTCGATGCCGCGGATGACAGGGCCAAAGCTGTCGACAATGTCGTCAATGAGGGCGTAGCAGATCCAATCGGCGTTGAGGTTGATGTAGTCGCGGAGGCGGCTGATACGCTTGCGAACATTGAGAGTGTGAGGGCTCTCAGAGAACGTAAATGTAAGCAGCCCCTCCTTGAACACTACAGCGTAGAAGTTGAGCGGCTCCAAGTAGTCTTCGGACTCCTTGTCGGCTTGATAGAAGGAGCGAAAAGACACAAAGTAGTACTGGTGGAACAGCTCCACCTTCTCACGCGGCTCCTGAATACAGATATCCTCGCGAGTAAGCGGGTGAACACCGAAAGCCTTGCAGATGGCAAACACTTCCTCCTCGGTCGGGTTGACCATGTCCATCCAGAAGACACCACCATCAGGAGGAATCTCGAAGAGGTCACGGAAGCGCTCACCAGGCATGAGCAGACCGCCCAGCTCCGCAGCGTGGATTGTGTCGTCCATCTCGGAAGAGAAGAATGTGAAGCGGTTCCCAGAGAGGCCAGAAACGTCCTTGTTGTTCTCGTTGTACATGTGCGCCAGGCCCTCCTCTGCAAGCTTCTCCTGGATGGCTGGGTCGACATTCTTCAGAGTAGCAGTCTCAATGTCGTCCTTGCGGTTGGTCTGGCTGGACTTTGGTCGAAGGTCTGAGAAAATCTTCTTGGACATCTGAGATGCAACGCTGGGCTTGTGGCGCAAGTCCTGAGCAATTGGAGTCCTCTCCTGACACTCTGCGACAAACTCCTCCAGCTCTTCGTAGTCGAAGCGGGTTGTCTTTCCAAAGTCCTCCTCCACGGGAAAGCACACGTCCTCCTCGGCAGAGCTGGCGGCTGATACAGTCTTGATGCTCTTCACGTCCTCAGGGCGCTCATCGCTGATGGTCGGGCGGCGTGCGGTAGCCCGGGAGTGCGTCCTCTGAAGGTTCAGCTCGACGAAAGACGGAGGACGGCTGTTGGCAGTGTTTGCTCGCTCACGGCGGCGGTTAGGACCAGCGAACGCGTCCACAGAGTTGGGAGGGGACGTCGAGCGCGATGTCGTAGAGGACGCGCGAGACCTGACGAGGCGCTCGATGGCTGGGTCGCGAGGACGCCTGAAAGTGTCGCGACGCTGTGATGGGCTATGGGCTTGGACAGAGCCACGACGGCCGTAGCCCTCAGGGGACAAGTACGGACCATCATCATCAACCACGGCGTTCTCCTCGAAATCGCGAGCAGTGATTCCACCTGCCTCGAGAGCTTCGTTGACTTGGATGAGCAGGTTCGGGCGGTCGATCTGGCCGTTGATGCTAGCAAAGGTTGGTCGGCGCGAACGAGCAGGAGGCGGCGAGTCAGCGCGAGGCATGGACTGGGGCTGGCGGCGGTGGTCGTCGAGTTCAGACACCGGGGTGCTGAACCTCGTCTCGGACTTGTCAGAGCGTGGAGTGTCAGACATTTTGGTGGCGCGGGCGACGAATGAGCTTGACTCCAAGGGTTCTTCTTGTTCTTTGATTAAGCCAGCTTTGTTGTTGTGAACGTCCAGATGAAGATCTCTTGCGGGGGCAAGAAACCTCAAGGTTCGGCGAGTCGCTTGTGAGCGATCACCTCCAAGGCGCGTTCAACTTGACTAGAGGCCTTGCGTAGGGTCCTCCCCTACACTCAGCCGCTGGGGGAAAGTTTCCGGTAGCCAGACTTCCTGATCCTAAGGGAACAAGGAAGAGTTTGTAGATACGGTAGATCGAAAGCGAATGTGTCTGTGAGTGCTGGTTGAGCCCAGTTATGGCGGCTTCTTGTAGTCGCCTCCGTAGACCCACGCCTTTGGGCCGAGAAGGGGACGGATGGAGGAGAACTTGTGAAGGTAAAGCCCCGCCAACTTGATGGTTTGGTTGAAATAGGACGCCGAGGCGTCAGGAGGCGTTGTGGAGGGTAATGGTGATTAAAACGGGAGCCCGGGGTTCGATCAGTCGCAGTCGTGGGCGGTGACGTCCACTGGTGGGTGAGGGGTTTCCTGCGAGCGAGTCAGCGATGCAGCTCGTGATGTGCAGTCGCTGGTACTGGCGTCGACCGTACTGAGGAAATTCGACTTCAAGTGCTTTGGCGTTGTTTGTCAGGGGTTTTACAAGGTCCTAGGGACGGTGTGGTGGTGTTTGGGCGGAGGTGGGCAGCAGTGAGGTTATGTATAGCGCGCGGGCCGTCGGGCTGTCAAGCTTTTTCAGTGAACCTAGCCGTGGCTGGTGGTTTGGTTCGATGCTAGGGCAACATGCACAAAAGTGACGCATCCAGACCAGGGCCCCTGGAATCGCGCAGCTGAAACAGGTGACTCTCTGTGGCGCTCTGACTGGCTTTGACAGTGTGATGGCAGCGTTTGGCAAGTTTGGGCTTGTCACATGCATGGGTGCGTCAGGTTCGCTCAGCCTCCAGCCGCGTCGGCGGACTTTGCTAGGTTCTGCGGGAGATCCCTGCAGGTGCGTCTCGGGGAAGGTGCCACCTGGGCCCTGGGAGACTCACCCGGTAACGCGAGGCAACACGGTTTCTTGATCGTACCCACGACCAACGTGACCCGCGACGTCAGCACGCTACACACCTACACCGCCGCCATGTCTGAACAGATGCTCGAGCAGGTGCGCGAGGCGGTCGAGGGCCAGATCGTAGGTGCAGCGGTTCGCCAATCGCGGTTACGGGGACTGACGTGTGCAGGACTTTGAGGGCCAGCGGCTGGCGGAGATGCTGACCACAGTGCTGCTCGGTGCAGCAGGCGTACGTTCTTGACTCTTGTCCATGTGCGCTTCACAGCACTCACCAGCCCAGATCATTGCCTTCCTCGTTGGCTTCGCGCAGCAGGACATCACGATCGCGCTCTACATTGGCCTCGCCGGCACCGCCCTCACATTCCTCATCGTCGTCCCTCCGTGGCCTTTCTACAACAAGAACCCTGAAGACTGGCTGCCGGCGCACAACGTATCGGCGTCAAGCTACAGCATCGACGTGGACGGGCAGAAGGTCGGATAGACACGGCTTCATGCAACAATCGTGGAGGCAGAGGTATACAGCCGCAAACAACCCAATAGTATAACCGTACTCGGTAGTTCATTCATTCGACGACTCCGCCGGCAATGCTAATCTGCTCTCGTGTTCTCATGACCTTTTATAAGCCCAGTGACGCCAGACGTCCGTAATGAAACCCAGACCCAAGCGCTGCTTGCTATACACAGAAGATGCTGTCTCCAAGCCTCTATCGCCCGTACTTCTGGAACTCCCAGTCTCGATTGTCGAGCGGGCACACCTGTCGTGTCTTGAGCCACCGCGAGATACAGTGGAAGTGGAAGGCGTGCTGCGACCGATTAGCTACCATGACTCAGGATCGCGTGACGCTGACGTACGTTGCAGATGCCCCAGGCGACGGTGCACTCTTCGCTCGTGGCGGACGCCTGGTTGGCCTGGCACTCGATGCAGAGGTCCATGATGTGGTTGCGGCAGATGGCGCAGTTGTCGACGACGATGTCCCAAGCCCAGAGAGCTACCGCGTTCCACTGCGCTCTGTTAATGCACAGCCAGTCTTGCCTGAATCTCACACGCCGACTCACCTTCTTGACCTCAAAGCGCTTCTTGTCGCCGCTGTCTGTGCTGGCACCAGCCTTGGCGACCTTTGTCTTGGGCGCAGGCGCATCTGCCATGTCAACGTCCGCCATGGTTGCTGCGGATGTGGGGGTTGCGGGGAACTGATAGAGCTGTTCGACGGCGGTGATGGCGGCTGACGGTGGTATCGGCAGCGGTAGCGTATGGAGAGACAGTCCAGCTCACGGGGTATTTGGGCGCGGCGCAGTGGAGGTGAAAGCTGCTTGCCTTGTCGATGTTCACACCATGGAGAGGCAACAGTCGGTCGTGCCTGCGGAGCTCCAGCAAGCACAGACCAGCACCTGAACCACAGGTCGACAAGTCGACGAACATTGAAAGGGAGGGCAAGAAGCCCTGAAACCACTGGATATGTCCATGTAGTCGCCTACAGACCCTTTGCCAGGCCTCTCATTCACGCACAAATGCTCGAATCTGCTCTGTGGTCAAATTGTCTCAAGAGAAGCCGTTGCACGCACCGCTTGCGTCAGTGCCTGGCCGGGTTCAGGCTGAGGCTGTGACGCTCGCCGCCCGAAGAACAAGGCTGTGCGAACTCCGTATAGTCACCACCGGCGCAACCGACAACGTATCTCTCCACTCTCTCACTCGTCCTCCTCCGTTTCACACAACGACCCGCGCCTATCACTACTCTTGCGCCCTGGACATGAACCTTCCACTCTCTCGCAACCACCCAACTACGCTTCACCAGACCCACACAACAGCCCCGTCCTGCCGCGACATCAGTTGATCTCACCCAAAGCCATTTAGCACCCCGACGACATCTACTAGAGTCGCCCACCCTTCCACTTGCATACACACACGTCGCGCCTGCCTTACATGTCGACTGGCCAGAGTATAGCGTCTCCTCGCGCCCCGCGCGGCCAGCGCCAGCCGAGCGCAGCACAGCCCGGACAGGAGAACAGCAACAACGCCAGACAGTCACAGCGCCGGCCGAGGGGCGGCAGGAATCACCACAACGCTGCGCATGCCTCCCCGACCAAGGCGCCAAATTTCGACCCCTCATTGTCAGAGGGCGGCGGCGCCTACACCACCGACGATGCCCGAGCACCCCCTCGCAGCGCGAAGAAGCACACGCGCGGACAGTCTTCGCACGATCGCACCTTCTCGCCCATGGGTGCGCAAACCTCCTTGACCGACACCGAAGCCGGCCTGAATCGTGCCTCTGCCACACCCATGAAGATCCAAGGCGCATATGCTGGTCCTACCTTCCACGCTTCTCCTGCGCCTTCGGCCTTGCCCATCCCCAAGTTCCTGTCACGCTCGGTGCCAGCAAAGCCTGCGCCAGGTCCGCCTACGCCGCCTCCGGACAACAGCTCCGGCTCCGACTCTGCGAGCCCGTCTCCTTCGCCGTCCCGCGCACCCATAGCCATTCCTGCACGTCATGACGACTCTCCACTCGACATGCTTTTCAGGGCCGACAAGGCTGAGAGGGCCAAGAACACCGCCTTCAGCCCCAATCAGGCTCCAGTCAGGCCCCAGCAACTTCAGCAAGAGTACAATGTCTTCCCCATCGAGCTCGACGGAGAGGGCAGGAACTCACACATGTCTCCACCTCCCTTTCAATCGCCCGGTGGACACCGTTCTGTGACAGATCCTTCGAGGGTGCCGCAACTCAAGGATGTGCAACAGCCGAACAATGGAAACGGCGTTATGCAGGACCTCATGAACAGGTTGTCCATGTCGCAGAAGAACCCGCAGGCTCCCATGGAAACGCCGCCTCGACAAGCGCTGCAGGCTCCAGGCAATTTCCAGTCGCCTCAGTTTACACCTTCTCCTTTCCACACTGGCCGACCTTCGGCCAACCGCAGCGTTTCAGGTCCTACGACGCCAGCGCAGGCCCCTCAGGACGGTCCAGACTTCTTCTACGGCAACCGCAACCTTTCACCGATGTTCAAAGCAGCGCAGGGTGACACGCCGAAGCGCAACTCTGGCTTGCGTACTGAGGTCACTGCGGACTCTCCTACTGTTCAGCAGAACATGTTTCAAGACTTCCCTTCTATTGCTTCTGCAAACGCTATGGATCCCAACGTGTTCTCGCGCGATCAGCCCGCTAGTGGAGGTCAAGGGCCGACAAACACGCGTCGTGGGTCTGTACCTTACGGCCAAACCCAGCAGAGGCAGCCCAACAAGCACGTCACGCAGACGCCTGGCCGATATCAGCAACGCCAGGATAACCATCAGCGCGGCAGGGGCAACTTCCACGGACAGGGTCCCAAGCACGGCAAGCCAGCGGCCAATGCCCCTCCGGCAACTGCGCCCAGGCCCGCTACGACTATGATGTCTTTCGTACCTGCCTCAGTATCCGCGAAGCCGAAGGCAAAGCTGGCAGAGCAGCTGGCTGCTTCTGCGCCTCCGGCGACGGCCGTCCCACCTCCCAAGACTTCAACAACCGATACGTTGGCTCTAGAGCAGGATCTCAAGCGCATGCTCAACCTTAACCTTACCGGAGAAGGCGTTCGATAGCCTTGGGATCCTTGATCTCTAATCGTGGAGGCAATCAGAGCACTCTCACGGAGTAAGTATTTCTCGTTGCATGGCTTGCGGGCGGATTCTACTCTGCTTTGCTTTGCTTTGCTTCATGTCCATCACCTTCGTTTGTCTATATGGTTTTCATTGCGGCCTTTTGTCATGTCCGAAGTCATGTTGCATGACGATTCTGTCTTTTCTCGCTCAGGTGTTGCATGGCGTTTCTCGATATCCCGCAGTGATTGGCATGTCGTCCGGATTCATGGTGGATGCGCTATGGTTTGATCGACTTACTCCAGGCTATGGCATGGTATGGCGGGAGCATCTTGCAGGGACACTTGTTTGCGTGAGATGCATGGTGATGGTGTTAAGAGCAGGAATGGCGTGGTCTATGGTACTAGCTTTGGTACTTTGTTCATCTACATTATTCCCTTCGAGGTGTTTCGGCCGGCTTCAGAGCGGCGGACCTTCTTTGCTAACGATCTGCCATCCGCAACTGGACCCAGGCACGACTTGAACTATCAACACCCGCCACGACATAACACAACTAAAAATAATAAAATATATGGGCATAATGCTCGGCTCAGTCTCTCAAAGAGATTGGGTTTTATGCCTAAGGCGGCTCCCTGTTTGGATTGGACTGTGATGGTGAGCTTCTATCTACTACTGACGAGTTGCAGATGCAAAGAATGACATGGTACCAATCAGATCCACAGTTGCATGGCATCGGTAATGTTCTGCGAAAGCTGTGAGCACTTCCGCCTTCGTGGACATCTCTTCCCACGTGGAACGACGTCACTGCGACTACACCGACATGGACGATCGTAAAGCTACCCGCGAACCCCCTTTCATTTCTCTACTCGCTGACCGGCTGAAATGTAGCCAATCGATGTCGCAGTGCCCCGTGCGGTGAGTGCAGCTCCCTGGTCACGTTCACTTCACTTTCACCTACAACTCGCCACACAGAACGAGTCTTTATTTTGATTTAACACGCGACGCGTTTTACATACCTACTGTTCTCGATCAACCACCTTAAATTCATATCCACACCATCTGTTCGGCGTTGCACACTATTCATAATGAACCGCCTCAAGTCCAAAGGTACGCCTTGAATAACATCGAAACACGAGATACATCTAACGCGTCATAGCTTCACAATTCTTCCAGAACAGCCCGACTCAAGACGAAAATGTGGCGATCACCGCTACAGATCAGGAAGCTGACTTCAGCGCAGGCATCGAGCGCAGCCTGCGGAAGAAGCGTAAGTACGCCTTCTTGTAAGAAGAGTCGCTGCTAACAGGTGCAGCATCGCGGTTCTTTCGCAAGCAGAAAGACAAACCGCTTCCAAGTCCCCCGTACCTCGACCCATCTGAAGGCCCTCCTCCACCACTGCCAAAGGATCATGACCCGAGTGAGCGTGCAGATGCTGTGGTCAGCAATTTGGCCGAGACAGCGGAGACAGAGACGGACAAGTCGCTCCAATCACCTCCAGCCTCCCGCAAATCAGCATCTTCAAAGACACATACAAGTTCAGATAAGGAGAGCCATGACGCAGCACGCAAGACCAAGCAACATCCAGTGCTTAAGAAGCGTCCCAGCTTCGCGTCCCTACGAAAGTCTAGTACGATCCCGTTACTCTTTCCTTCTTGTCTCAGCTAACAGAACTTAGGTTCGCGCGTCTTTCGCTCAAACACGGAAGGCCAGGATCCTCCCCCGCCACCGATGCCCCAGATCCCCATCAAGACACCCACACCAAAGCCGCGCCGACCGAACCTGAGACCATTTGAGTACATCCGCTCCGCACGCTCATCTCGCTCAAACCAAGGTCGCATCAGATCCATCTCTCGTCCAATCTCCCACGTGCAATCGCAGCTGCCTGCGAACTTCGATTCGTACAAAGTGCCCTTCACCGAGCCCATGAGCCCACCTCCGCCACGCCCAGCACGCCCCGGGAGCCTTGACGAGGACCTCGTCGCCCTCGCCCGCGACGGGGGCGCACGCACAATCCTGCACACGCCGAGCCGGGCGCGCACACTCACCGCATCGACGGTCTCTGTCGCCTGGTCTCCGGCCCTGAGCCGCGTCGGCTCGGAAGAAGCATACGCGCGCCTCGGTCTCCCGTCAGGCCACTCGTCGCTCTCCCTCCCTCGGAGCCCGGTCTTCGACTCCCCTCTCGCGGCAAACTTCCCCCTTGATCCGAACCTTCCGCTGCCGTTCTGCGACAGCGATGGCAGTGTACTGGGCTACGGGCGCTTCAGTGCGTACGTCAAGGCGCGCCAGCAGTACGGCAGCGGCGGGTATGGCGACGGCGTTGAGGCGGGCGACAGGGACCAAGGGCCTCTGGAGTTGTACCGCGCGAGCAGGTGTGCGGATTGGACGTTGGAGCGCAGGGTCAGTGGGAAGCTAGGGGAGAGGGGGATGTTGTTCCGAGACCGGTGGGGTGGATGGCATCTTGTGCGTGATATCTAAAGGGAAAGGGGCGCGCGTGAGAGAATACAGACAAGTAGTCAATCAACTAACTTAGCAGTTCGGTAACGACAGCATGCTGCATACGAAGTACATCCAAGGCAAAGCTACAATAAACGACGGCCCTCGAACTCGCTCCACGTCTGCGTCTGCACAGTCCACCTCAATCCATCAGCCACACGGTCCCTCCCGCTTAGCACACGATTTCCTATATTTATAATCGTAGCACCCGCCCTCCTTATTACACTCATACACATTGTCCGCCACCCACGGCGACAGAACCTCATAGCAGTATCCGCAGTACTGGCCCTGTTTGGTGCCCTACACACGTACGTTAGTCATTCGCTTGGAACAAGGCGCTTCGAGAAGCGCACCTTGCGGCATTTGCACGCAGCCTGCGCAACGGCATTGTCGGGGAGCGGCTCTGCGTCGCGAAGGGCGAGCGAGCCGTCGACACCAGCCGCGGGTCCTGTATTGGGGCCCGCGAGGGCGCTGGCCATCAGCACGGTGAATGTGAGGAAGGCTGTGGTTGGCAGCATGGTGGGTGTTTGGTTGGCTTCCAGCGTCTTACAGGGGTGCTGTGCTGGGTGGATGGGCTGGGGATGTTGTGGGCATGGGCGGACTTGACGCGGGGGAGGACGTGTTTAATACGCATTTTGCTTCTGAGGCGCCCTCTCTGGTGCTTAAGCTACAATGTAGAGATGCTGCTCATCCGAGCAATGCGGGACGCTGTACGATACTGCAGAGTTCTCCGTGAGGCCGGTCTGTGCAGCCATGGAGACGGGGGGGTTTCAGGCATCGGTACCTCGTGCTACCGCGTGGATAGGGAGGTGCTGAGAATGCGTGTCGCGGCTTTTGTGCCGTATGACCTGTCGATGATTGAGGCTAGTATGTGAATTCCGGTAAGCACCTATGGCTGACAGAATGACTCTAATTGTTCACTGAGTTCTGACGCTAGATGACGAGATATCTCCCCAAGATGTGCTCGTACCGCGATCGATCTATAGATCTGATCTTCCAGACTATGTCAACTTATCTCTGGTAAGCTACAGCGCTATTCGTGAAACTGGTCAAGTGCGACAGGTGCCATGATACTTTCTTTACAGATGTATATTGGCACCTCAAGTCCACTCGAGACTTGGATTGGCTGACTGTGCTCGCGTTGTATGCACTGAAGGCCACTCATCCTCGATCTTGTTCTGCGTCTTCGCCTCTAGCTATACTCCAAGTGGATAGGAGCACAGGCTGTATGATGTCCTGCTTTGGGCAGCAATCATCACAGTGATCTTGGTGGTTGTCAACATCGCAAAAGCGAGCAATGCGAAGCTGGACTTCGGCTCCAAAGACTCGAAGTGTCACTTTAACCATCCTGGAGAACCGCTACCAATCAAATTTTGACGTCGGCAACATCGAGTTGCTTTGAGGGTGTACAACCACTGAAATGTTGCGTTGCTGGATACAACATCAGAAACAAGATGACTTCAACATTGCTGCGGCATTGTAGCGAGCTCTTCCAGTGAGGGGTAGTTTCAGATAGGTGGTCTGGAGTAGCATGGAATGCTGTGACACAACCAACATGTATCTACGCCATGCAGTTTCCACGCATAATCTTGGTTGGTAACACATGTAACACGCCGGCCCTAAGTTCAAGTAATACAGACATACTACACATCCTAGGATAGATATGGGCCTTTCTTATCATGGGTCATGCTTTCTGCGCGAAAGTGTCATCGGCTTCTCACATATTGCAATAGTTCGACACCCAGCCCATCTCAAAGCTCAGCCTTCTCGTTTCCAGGCTCAGGCTCATCAAAACGATACAAAACATCCGTAAACTATCTGCAGAAGATGCATAAAGCCACACCAGGTCTTCGTCTCCCACGTTCTCAATACCATGCTCCGCATCTCCAAGTATCCAAATCACACTTCTCTTGCTCACCGCGTGCTCTTGTCCGTCTATCATCACCAGCCCGTTGCCCTAAGTGACATAGTAGATCTCAGCCTGCTTATGGCGATGCAGCTTCAAGTGGCCCCGACACCCGGCTGATGCCCCTGGTGCATAGGTTGCGACGCCGACGGTGAATGTGTCTGTTGCCGTCTTCGGAGCGGAGATTTGCATCTTCCAGGAGACTGTGCCGTGAGCGCTCGGGTCCGGGAAGCTTTCTGAATCGACTTTGGTGATTTTTCTTGCGCTCAGAACAATCGCTTTCTGCGACTTCATCTCAACGTTTGTCATGATGGAAGCGCGACGTTTGGAGAGGTTGTGAAATATCGGGATACATGCTGACTTTGCTGCGCCGACGGTTTGATATGGACGACTCTTCCGTTCGCCCTCGGGACAACGGCGGCTTCAGGCCAGTCATCGTGCATGGATGGTTGGTGGAGGTGTGTGAGCAAGTACTTGCCGTTGGGAGTGGCAGGATTACCGACCTTCATGTGGACTGGTTCCCGCGTCTGTGAAAAGCGGCGCGATTGGGCCCCTTCTTCTGACTACTGAATGGGCTCTTTGATGCCTTGGGATGCCAAAGGATGGCCTGATGACTTCTCGAAGAACATGGATGTTAGGACTCAATGCATTGAGATTTAAAAGAAAACTGAAACGCAAACAATGTGGACTGATAGATCCAGTGGTTTTCATGTCTCATTGTACGGCATGAACTAGGCCTCTGTACAGCGTGGACTAGGCCTCTGTACAGCGTGGACTAGGCCTCTGTACAGCGTGGACTAGGCCTCTGTACAGCGTGGACTAGGCGTTGAAGGCAGATTTACGGAATATACAGCAATGCACTGTACACATCTCATAGAATTTACGCCAGAAACGCAAAATCTGGCGCAATTCATGCCGTACTTACTCCACAGGGCTGGAAAGTACAGCATTGCCGCAAGACGAGAGAAACCAAATAAAAACACAGAAACAAGAGTAATCACACAGATGCTCTCGTATGCCATCATTGTGTACAAAAGGTGACCGAACTTCGACGTTCCCACAACAAACACATTGTATCGTTGAGATGATCTGCATGTTGAATAATATTGCATCAGCCTCCCTTGGTGGTCATCGGTTCGGACTTGGGAACTTAGGAAGTGTTGCGAAGTCGCTGCCATCTTTCGGCGAAAAGATCATCCTTTGAGGTTGTTACAGTAATGCCGTCTTCTCTACCGAATTTCGGGCTCTGAAGATAATACTTTGTCGTGCATCAAACTATAGTGAGCAATAGAATGGCCACAGTGAAGCCGCTAAACATGCAAGTACAAAAAAACAGAAGAGAATGGGCGTAGATGAAGCCACACAGACGCTGATGGACACCTTCGAATCGTAAATCTCTTTCTGCACAGTTCTTCTTATAGGGAACTTGCTCGCTGGCATAACATCCCACTGTTTATCTTGCTAGTCGGTAGGCACACATACAACGTTCCGCCTTTAAGGCACCAGAAAGACAAACGCGCCGCCGTCGTAGGTGGTGAATATTATTATAAGGATGATAAGAGGTGAAAAGAGAGGCCAGAGGCGATAACAAAAGTCTAATCCTAATACATACACTCCAGCTGCAGGCTAAGACCTGGGGGCCAAACACACGGAGTACGCAGTGGCAAGGAGTATGGCAAGCCTGAGCAATTAGAGTGTAATCCTTGAGGATGGCTTACTAAGAGACAATATACCTTGGGTAAGAGCTTGTATCAGCGACGAGGTGTAGCGTCGTCATCAATGCAGGGGCACTGCCAGCGCTACGAGGCAGGCATAGGAATCTGGGCATCCGCCGTTGCCTTTTTTCAAGGAAGCAAATTAATGGTGAGATACTGCCGACGCGAACGTCGCGTTAATAGTATATGCAAAGGCGTTGGAGTGGGAATTTGGTGATCGTGATTTGGGCGCAGGGCTAGAAACGCTTCAGCCCGTCTAGTCAAGACTTCAGTGCGACCCCACGTGGCTCTCAGAAAGGGGACCGACCCCTAGACCATATTCACATCGTCACTGTTCTTCCTGGGTCTCCGATCAAATGAAGGTGATCTTGCGGACGCCTGCTGGTACATCTCTCAAGCTGGCGAACATATTGACCATCATGTAAAGCCTGCAAAGAGCGTAAATAGCAACGAGCGGCCAACCCATCCATTCGAACCAAGATTCCAATACGTATAAGTTGCCTATACGCAGAAACAGCAGGGACAGTGCAATACATGCTATACTACTTGCCCTCCACAATCACAACTCAATGTTGGTTGGGAAACGGAACCGCCCCCCAAAAAGATGCAGCGCCACGAAGATAATAGTAATCAAACCAGTAAGAATTTCGGGCCCAACAGATCCAGAAATCCCCGAAGTCCCCTTGAGCTCTATCCTTTGAATAGGGTATGTGTCTTCCGGCAAGGCCTTAGGTGGCCATTAAGTTAACTACCGTGGGCCTGCAAACGTCGAATGGCTTCGCCCACCATGCACCGTACGTGACCAAAGCACATAAGATAATTCCCAGAGTGAACAGTTCCAAAGTCTTGGAATGTTGACCTGAGCGGCGCGGCCGATGATTTGCGTGACGAACCAGACGACTTGAACCAAGGTCAAGGATCTCAAGACCCAGTCAGCCTTGCTGTGATCTTGTTTGTCTGCTCCTTTGATCTTAGGCTAGGAGAGGACATTTTCCTTTAGCTATTCCAGTATGACTCCCGGAATCAAACACATCGCCCTCTGATTGATTTCGATGAAACCACCCACGGTTAGGTAAAAGCATTGCGCAAGCGACCACGAGCGTCTTGTTGACCATGGTCCCTTCAGTACTCTCCACGTTTCTCACCGCACGGGCAACCGAAAGTTCACACAAAGCCCCTAGACACATGGCCCCAGGTGCTATCAGCGCGAACAGCAGGTATCCTACCCACCGCCAGAGAATGCGAAATGCACTCTCACCCTGTTCTGGAAGATTCGGATGTAACGCATTGTAGGTGCAAAGGAAGATAGTCGCAAGGCAACTCCAGGTCAGACCCATGGTACCACAAATCCGCGGTCCGGGTGTCCAGCCAACGGTGCTGGCAGCGTTCATGGTAAAGGATAGAATCGAGACTATCCGTGGATGGGGCGTGCGGAGCTTCTTCACACTGAAGGATGTAGGCAGGCTTTTTTAGGTTGCGATGACACGGTAAGGCTGAGCATTACCTTGGGGACGAAGTTGGAGGACTGGGTTGCTGATCTGAGACGCTGCTCGTATGCTGCAGCCACACGTATGCCCATGTACACTATGGCCACCTTGCGCGTGATCAGCATCGCTCAGTGAGAGGCTATCGAAACTTGCAACGACACCTTGATGTGTGCGGAGGAACAAAGGCGGAGGAGAGCGACGTGTGGGAAGATTGGAATCGAGTACCGTGCTTACTCCAGAGCAGGCTGGAACAGCAGTCACGTCACGAATCGCGCACATCGGGACTTCATTTGAACATGTTCAATTCATCCTACGTATGCGCACATGCACACACCAGAATGAACAGCCCACGCCTCTCCACCTCCTCCCTCACATTACCCCAGATCCACAATCGACACCACGTACGCTATCAAAGCCCGCGCAGCGCCCAGAAGAGAAGAAACTCCGTCAAACAAAGCTGTGCTCCAAACCACCAACGACCAGGCCACGTTGTGCCACGCCTACGCTAATGCTCAGATGGAATGTGAGAACAGGGTGAACGAATGCTGCGTGAACGGCAGTCGAGAAGTAAAAGGGTTAGGTGTTGTACAAAAGGTTGCAGATGGGGATGAGGACAAGGTGGCAAGAGTTGCTGTGGGCTGCCTTGTGTCTAAGAAGGGTACGGTTCGTAATAGAGCCGTCTCGCGAGGTAAAGCTCGAGTTGAGGTGTCCTGTGTGGGACACATGTACAGTAAGATTACGCCGACCGTTGTATCGAAATGTTGGGAATATGGCTGCTATAGTGCCTGACGCTCCTGCTCCATGGACGAGAAATGCGCCTGAAAGCTGCCGATGGTATCCAGTGGTGTTCATGTGTGCAAACATGGGAGACAGTCGCCAGTACGGTGACACGATGTCACTATATCTCGACTGTCTTGAGGTCTGCGGTTTCCGTAATTGGGCTCTTCAGCGAGGCGGGCTTTGTCTTCTCCTTCTCCTCGGTGGTCTCCTTCTTGTTCTCCTTGTCGCTGCTCAAGCTGGCGCGAGCGGGGGAGTCCTCGCTGGGCCTGGGAGTGTCGACTGAGATCAACTTGTCCGCAGGAGTGGCAGTCTTCGCATCGAGATCGGTGTGTACGCGGATTGGTTGCGCGTGCTCTTCGGCGACCCGAGCGAGAGGGCTGGAGAGCTTGCCTCGTGGGCTTACACCCTTTTGCTTCGTGGACAGACGATGAGGGCTGCGGCCACGGTCCTGAGGGCCAATAACCGGGCTGTGGTACGGGCTGCTGGCAGTCGAGCTAGGTACGACACCACCTGGAGCGTTAGGGTTGATGCGCAGGCCGCTATTTGGCCGACGCTTGTTCACAGGCCTGCGACCGAACTTCTGATCGCACCTCCAGCGCAGGATCTCGAGGAACGGAGGCTCGACGTTCTGTTTCCTGAATGCAAGGAGCTTGAGCTCGCCAGTTTCCTCATCGATGTGAACGTCTTTGGAAGCCATGTCGTCGGCGATCATGGCGAGCAGTGCAGCCCATGAGCGCGCGACAACAAACTTGCAGTCGTAGTCTCGGCCGAAGATGATGATCTGACCCCATGTGCCAGTAGGACCAGGCGCCAGGTCAGTAGCGAGGTAGTTGCCTCCCCAGTCACGAGCAAGCGGAATCCAAGCAGGGTGGGCGTAAGCCTTCTGGACTGCGTTCGGTGGCTGCGAGTCTTGGCGGTTTTGCAGGTCCTGTCGCCAGAGTGGATTGCCGGAGGCCTGGGGCTGCGCAATCGGGGCCGCTGTGGAGGAGCCAGCGAAAGCCTTCACGGGAATCTGAGGAGAGCGGTAGTCGGGCTTGGAGGTGAGGTACTCCTCGGCAACCTTGCGCCAGTTCTTCCACTCCATGACAATCTCTTCGCAGTCAAGCAACATCAAGCCGAACAAGACACCGGTAGGAAGACCACCGCGCTCCTGACCGTCGTGGACTTGCAGCGACTCGCGGATATCCATGGGGAGGGTAGCATCAAGCTCGTGCTCGAGCTCGTTGACATCGTTTCCGGTTGCACCCTCGCAAATGTTGTCGAACAGCTCCTCGTAGTGGTCCTCGACCCAGCGGTCGATGCGCTTCCACGAGTGTGTGACAGGCGGAGGTGGAGGCAAGCCCTCGTTGAAGTTCTGCATCTGGATCTCGCCGTTGGGGCCCTTGTCGAACGTGTCTGCGTCGCCCGTTGCTTGGCGGCTCAGCGACCCGCGCATCCCTGGAGAATAGGGCGAGCTCGGCGACATGGGCCCCTTGGGCGAGCCGATGAAGCCATTGCTGGTTGCAATGTCGTCGTGTGCGTATGGGGAAGACAGGTCGACGCGCGAGTCGACGCCGCTGGTAGCAATCGATGTGAGGGCGCCGTGACGGCTCTGCGGGAGAGGGATGTGGCGCCCTGTCCGGTACGGGGAGTCGTGCGAGGCATGGCGGTCGTTCGAGGTCATTGTGTGCCAGAACGACTGGAAGAAGGAGCCGACCCTGGCTGCAGTCAGTATTGAGGGCGCCAGAAACGGCGGCTATGCGCAGGTGTATGTCTTACGATTGTGCCATGGTGTCTGTTGGAGTAAGGGAGCGCGAGAGAGGGTCCAGGTGCGCTCTGCGCTGTGGTGCTGCAAATGAAGAATCCTCCAGAGAACGTCGAACTTAGAAGGAGGTAAAAAGGTGCAGCTGATCGACGTGAGTGGTTTACAAGGCCGAATTGCAGGAGAAGGTGTGAGCCCTGGAACTAGGAGTTAGGGGAACGCCAAGACTGGTGGGCCCGCTTTGATATGCTTGACCACGAATGCTGCAATTCTCCTTCTCTACTCGTTCAACGATTGTGTGCAGTGCAAGTGTAACAGCGGGTGCGGGCGTGGGTCTGTGGAAAGGTCGTGTTGTTGCTTTGCTTATTGTTATGCTCGCTCGGGGTTGCGTTAGGTGCAGCTCACGGGACGTTGCTATCAACACCCGCTTTGCTGGGCGTAATGGTGCTTTGCTTCCATTCCCGGCCACCATACCGGTTAATAATAGACAATCCCCAGTGCAGCCCCATGCCCTCTGTTATTGCCACAATTGCTTGTCCTGATAAGTGTTATTTGTCCCCATGGGCCCAATCGGCAGCAGCTCCCTCCAGAGGTTGGCAATCTGCTGTTCATCATGCCAGCCAGCGGCGGCCGAATCACCGTGGCCATTCACCGCCTATCGTTCCTGCCCCTGCTCCGCATTTTCCGTCCAACCACAGCGCCGGCCTTGATGTTTCATCAGCGCGCCAACCAGAGCCGTTGCTGTGGCCGCCACCTCTCGAGGGGCGCTTGATCTTGTGAAAGCCTCCCGAAGCCAGTCGATGCACGCCTGTGACTGCAATTCGGTCGCTTGCTGGAGGCTTGATGTCTAGCGTTGGTGTCACCAGAGCTTGCAGGCACCAAGACCTGCACCACCAAACACACGCGCCAGTCGTTATGCTGTGGCGCGTTATTGCAAGGTTGCTCATCTTCCCGCTGGATCAGCGTTTGCAAATCTGCACCTTCGTGTCAAGTCAGCAGGTGACGCGGCCAACAACGATCTGCTACTACGATGCATTCGCAAATTTGGTGCTTTCAGATGCATGCACACCACCATGCTGCGTCTCACGGTGGAATCTGCGCTGTTTGCTGTGGTGACACGGCCGAATCAGCATTGCATGTGCCGTGCTCTTCGTACACATCTCGATATCTACCCTGCCAAGGCACACCTCTTGAGCGGCCTGTCAGAAGGAAGCTTGGGGGAGCACTGCCAAACAACCCACAGCAGCCGAACCAAGAACTGCAACTTCCCGGTGTGGGGATGAGGCGACTTGTATTTTTAGTCTCCAACGCGCCTCATCGTCGCCACAACACCACAAAGCTGCAACCGAGACCCCCTTTGGCCACAATGACGTGTGTCGCAACGGCTGTTAAACATGTCGTCAATCTAACATTTCGTGACGGGCGCGCTAGTTTGTTTACCCCAGACTCCGATCCGCAGCCCACGTGGAGATACGAGGTGATGTGCTGGTGAGTAAGCGCCTTTGCGACAGAGCGTCATTTGCCACGACCCATCGTCGAGCCTGGATACGAGGCGCGCTTGTGCGGGTTTGTGGCTTGAACTTGAAAGTCCACACTGCCGCCAAGAAATGACGACAAGGACATAAGCCGTCATTTCCGGCTCATGATGGGGCTGTTCGTAGGAATCAGATAATTGTTGGACATGATGTGCATTTGCTTACAACCACCCTGAACTCGCCACCCAGTCCAGATGACCAAATGCGGGACATGCTCTGAAGACCCTCAGGTTGCATGGCGAACGTCAAGTGCACTTTGGAAGTTGCTAATGATGGAGATCTGATTCGGACGTGGGAGGGTGTCATGCTGTGCTCTTGCCTAAAAACTGATACAGCTCTTCCTGTAGCGGCAACACAATGCCCTCAGCAGCTGCCTGTAGGAACTCAGAGTCCTGCAGGCTGACTCCAGGATCACTGAAGCACCGTAAGCAATGTCTGACTGCGCTTAAAAATGCCGCAGACAACTCGTCCTGCGACTCTTCTGCCCACTGATGTGCCATGGCACAAAGCATCCATGAATTTTGGTGCAGTGCTGGATTGCAAGCCCCGTGCTCGGTTTCCTGATATTTCTCTGCAGTAGTGCCAAAGTACAGTTCCAGAAGAGCCACTGCAAGCGCGAGTAGAACTGTGTTCTTGTTCTGGAAGGTAAGAGATCTTGTCTTGACTGCCAGGTCATCTACAGAATCTGCTGACGCAGGAGCCAAGTATGGGTGTTCGATATCGATGAAGGTTGTGGCAGCAACAGCTTGGTGGAACTGGATATCTCTAGCAGCCCATTGATTAGTGAGCCATGGTGTAGAATTGAGATATAAGACACTGGATGCCAAGGTTAAAGCGAGGCTGTACCGCTCTTTCTTGGTGAGCTTTACACGTTTACCGTTCACCGTAGGACGCCGATCCAGGAGGTCTTCGAGCGTTATCACCTCGGAAGTGGGGGTCAATTTTTCGGTCGAGCCAAAAGTGTAGACACCTCGCAACTTCTTCTTTGCGTCAAGAGATAAGCCTATGCGGGAGTCGGTGGACTGAACTTGGCATATCGATGCGCATATGTCTGTTACTTCTTGCAACGAGTGATTTGACCCGAGGACTGGATCGTTGGCAGAATACGGCGGGGGTGAGCCAAATGACACGCTTTTCGTCGTCCTAATCACGTTAGAAGCTTAGGGAATGAGGAGTATTGGAAGATTTCCACGCTTACTTGGGCTTGGGAGATGACAGAGGTGGACTTAGTCCCGTATCGTCCTCATCCTCAATGTCGATTTCCGCGGCCTGCCAGCTCCACGTTGAGCTAGCGTCAGCTGCCAAAGAAGAGAACGATACCGTGAAACAGGTCTTGCGTGCCGAGATCGGCATTCCAGACGCGTATAGATTCCCTCTGGGCTCCAACCGTAGACTCGTATGGTGGGTGTCCTTGCAGGTACACGACCAACACAGTGACGAGTGCAGACTCTTGGCGTATCCCTGTATACGTTGCAGTCGAGTAGCGAATGAAGGCTTTGCGGCCTTGCGATAAGTCTCAATCTTTTCGCTCTTCTCGGTGAATCGTTCAAGCTCGCGGTTGCAGTCGTTCAACTCCTCAAGTAACGCTTTCACGGTCTTTTTACTCATCCCAAATCGTATTCGTTTTCTGATCTCAAATTTATCGTTACTCTTCTTGGGGTTTCCTACTAAGAGTGCCTCAAGGTCATTGCGTTTTAACTGCAGGAATGTAAGTACAATGTAGTAAGGGAAATATCGTCAAGGGCAGCGCAACCAGCTCGAATCGAAAACGCTGTTTTTGTAATGGACGATATCCTGAAGACGCCTTTTTTACGTACCTCGTTTGCACGATCCAGATCTAATTTGCTCGCAATTTGTTTTGTGATGCGTTCTATGTCCGCTATTGTACACTGGTATGCGTGGTACGACTCCTGCAGCCTGTCTTGGAGCTTTAGAGCCATCTCCTTGTCTTTCCATAATTGTGAAGAGCCAGGATCCGTCATCATTTCAGCCAGTTCGACTTCGGCAGTTATTGGCTCGAGTAAAATTCGCATCGTTTGGGCATAGTGAACGTGCTGATTGCGCAGCTTTCGGATACATTGCGGTAGCTCCTTGTCCCATCTCATGAAGCTTTTGATTGGGTCGAGGCCTTCATTGTAGGACTCAATGCCTGCGAAAGTGTCAGTCGACGTTGGCTAGTAGGTAGCCGGAAGGCTCGACTCACCTTGTATAAGCAGAGGCAGAACGCCGAGCACAAGGCCGGCGATCTCGACACCAGACATCGGCACCGCTCACTTGCAATACACGAGCCTGAAGTTGGTCGCGAAACTTAGAACGCTGCGACATGGTAAGCTGGTGGTTGAAGAGGGAATCATTGCGGGGGTCCGCATCGACAGCGACTCGAGCTCAATTCCTGGAAGAAGTCACGTACGCACCAGCCTTGTTTTAGTGCACTAACATTCTCTTTCAAGGGCGGCAGAATGTCCCTGCGGGTGAGACATCACTGCAATTGTCATAAAGCAATGTTTACAGCCAAGCATGCATTCATTCGTGGTCATCTTCAGCTCCGCCTTGTGTCAACCAGAACTGGGTTAGTGTTGCCGCCTGATTCCAGCCTGCAGCCCACCTTAGAAAGTGGACTGCACGAGTGCGCTGTTGCGACCACTCTCGAGCCCCAGAACTCTTCTACTTTAACAGTCGGATAGTTTAGTATGAAGTAGCCAAAGTTATGACAGCTATTCGACTTACTACGGCGTCGAACGTCCGTAGCTTTCAGACCCTGCTGAACGCGCTTGCCACCAGCGGCGCTAGATGGAAAGAGCAAATCGATCGGGAAGGTCTCGAAGATGAATTTGGCAGGTTTAGAGTGTGGTCAGGAAACCTAGGCGCTTTACAGAAGGGCCATAGTTCTCTAGACTACCGCCTACGCGACTCGCCGCTGCTCTCCGGAAATGCCCTTAGATTCCTAGAAGAACTCAACGACAATCTCAACGAAGCACTTGCAGTAATATCTGGAATTCGACTTCCTTACGAAGAAGAGTCGAAGCCGGACTCGGATGAGCAAAAAATTGAAGAGAACGATGATGGCTTTTTTAGCGAGGACGATGAGGATGAAGATGAGGACGGTGGCTCAAAGAAAGAGTTGACGATGCGTTATGATGAGGTTGTCGACATCATCGACAATCTTTACAAACTCAGTGTCCGCATTAGAACACCCACAATTCGGTCAAGGTCCCTCAAGGCAGCTTCTTATCAACCGAAAGACCCAGAAACAGGTGTCGATATACTCAGCACGTATGCACATTACGATCAGCAGCACACCAGAGAGCTCCTTCACGACCTACGAAAGGCCCATTCCAGCGAGTTGCAGGGTAGTGATGACTATCTGGTCGCTCGGCTGGCACGTGGTATAACCCTTCGTCGTCGACATTTCAAGTACTGGAGGCGACATAGGGACAAACTCTCGATGTCGAACGACATCGAAGAGGGCGCTGTCTACCCTAGGCATCCTCCAGATCAATTCAATGCTCTCCAATACAATGATGCGGTGGACGCGCCGCTGATACAGCCAATCATCAGTAAGTTATATGCCCTAGTCAACTCGTACAACAGTTGCGGTTGTCGAGCTAATCATCTTGTAGTGCTTAAGCAAGCACTCAGTCAGAAGACCGCAAAAACGATGCTTTCAGGCACGGAAGCTACGCATCATCATCAATCGCTCGACGAGATCGTGGATACTAAGTCCGTAACAAGCTATGCTGTCACTGTTACAGACATTCACGGGAAAGGTGTTATCCTGCATCCCCCACCCACGCAGGCTGATGGCGAAAGGGACTTTGAATGTCCATATTGCTACATCATCTGCCCCGCTCGTTATGGCAGAGGACGACCCTGGCGAACCCACCTGCTTCAGGATTTGCAGCCCTATATCTGCACATATCCAGACTGTGAAGCCTCCGAGCAGCTCTTCCGCAGTCGGAGGGAGTGGCATGATCACGAAGCCGGTCACCGTAAAGTCTGGAGGTGTCCAGAGCACCCTTTAGCTGTGTACAAATCTCCTTCCGGCCTGGAAAATCATCTTCGACAACAGCATTTTGATAGCTTTCCTGAAAGCCAACTGGACACCATAGTCAAAATTGGCGAGACTTCGACAATTGAAGTGCGAGATAAGTGCCCCATCTGTCTCATGTCGGCAGATGCAGAGGGCATTGATGATTTCGCCAATCATGTTGCCAATCATCTCGAACGAATTGCAGCGTTCGCCCTACCCAATAGCAGCGAAGAAGATGCAGACGGAGCAAGCAGCGCTGCAAGTCGTGGGAAATCCGGAAGTACTGCTTCACAGGACGTGAGCGGCATGTCGTTACCCAGTGAAGTATCAAACGAACAAAGCGAGAATGAGGCTTTGATAACAGAGTTGCGAAGAGATGACGACGATGCGCTCGCAAACAAGCCGAAGTCACAGGAGATCTCAAGTCACACGCTGCTCTCTTTGGAGAGTTTGCAGTCACTCCCAGACATCAGCCATAGCAGGCTTGACACACTTATGTCAAACCACGCAGCTGAGCAAGACAACGATGACGAGGGCGGAGGAGATTTTGAGGTTGTCACAGCCGATTTCGAAGATCACATGCAGCGTATGGAGGATTTTAAAACATACCTGATGTCCCTCCCCAACGCTCAGTATGTTCGATTCTTCAAGCGCTACGGCTCTTGGAGAGGATATGCTATCTTCAGCAATAGTACGCGGGCTGCCCAGGCCGTGCAGTCTTTTGATACAAGACTGTATCCTGACATCAAGGTTCAACAAAGTGCCGAAGGTAGTCGCAATAAGCTCAAGTTCAGTGCTCCAAACACGCAGGAGACACGCTGGCACAGTCCTGCTCGGCAACTAACATCTGATATGCAAAACAGCGAGACCAAGAGTAACGCTTCAAACTCGATGATCTATGATGACCCAGAGAGAAAGGATGGCAACGATATCATGTTATCAGTCTCCGACATACCGACGCTTCGCGACATGTATAGATCTCGAAAGCCGCTGCAGCGTGATCTGAGCTTTGCCCCGAATGACTCCTATAATCGGATGATATCCTTCTGTTACCACGATCTCACACGACTGAAGGTCGACGCTATTGTGAATAGCGCCAACAATTCTCTGAACGTCAGCAAGCACGGAACTACACTTAACCACTCTATTCACAAGGCTGGAGGACCTGGACTCACAGAAGAAGCGAAGTTGAAGGGGAAGCTGAAGTCAGGTCAGGCAACATTGACTGGCGGCCATAATCTGCCCTGTACTCATGTCATCCATGTGGCCAGACCACAATACGGTGCAAATAAGGGTACAGGCCAGTTTAATGTACTTACGGAATGCTACCGCAGCGCTCTTAGAATTGCGCAGATGTATGGCCTCAAGACCATTGCCTTTCCTTGCCTGGGCGCTGGCGGATGTGGCTTTCCTCCACGAGTCGCTGCCCGTGTAGCGCTTCAGGAAGTACGAGAATTCTTGGATTTTGACCAGGATCCTCCGTTCGAACGGCTCATCTTCGTTGTCTACAGTGCCTCAGATGAAAAGGCTTATACAGACCTGTTCCCGGCATTCTTCCCGCCCACACACGGTGATCTAGAGATCGCCAGATCCTCTGATACATCTGCAAACAGAGCATCACTTGCAGCACAGGTGCTGGAAGCACGACTTCAGGTGCAGAAAGTCGCAGAGGACTTGTCTGCAGAGCTCACTCTTTTCATATCAGACTTCCCCAAGGAGATTTTGGAAGAGCTCCATGGTATCGATGCTGCATTCTCTTCGATCAGAGGATTCCTAGTTGGTTCTAAGGCCCTTCACCGGAGCTTAGGCGACTTGAATCTTATCTGCTCTGTCGTACAGACCATCTGCGGAAGCATCACAGAGCTCACTGAATCGGCCAAGGTCATGCCATTCTCCGGCGGTCGCAGCCACGTAGACCTGTGGGATAATTACAATAACCATCATGAGAAAGTTTATGGTCATGACCTTGAGGAGTTTCTTAGAGACTGCCAGGACTTTGCTCAATACCTGGAAGACATTCTTATCCGCGATGGCGTGGAACTGGAAGAGATGACACCTGTGCGCTTGAGACTTGACGCTTTCAAAGTGAGGCAAAGGAATCAGGATGGCGAAGGTGCCCGTGAACATTTCGACAAAGTACTCTACGCGAGAGAATCTCCGCGGGAGACCTACACTGAGGCGAAGGATATCGTACGAATGCACCAGGTGCCGTCAATAAGTCAACTCTACTTATCCAACAGCCTCGAAGAGAAATCGACTATAGTACAACCATCAGCTACGTTCAACGACAGTGTCTATTTCATTAGGGAAGACATCACAAAGCTTGAAGTCGCTGTTATGGTGAATTCCACAGATGTCACTTTCGCCGGTATGGGCACACTTGATCGTAAGGTGTTCAATAAAGGTGGTATGGAAATTCGAGAGGCATGCACGAACCTTGGTGTATGCAAAGAAGGCGATGTCAAAGCCACGGAAGGATTTGGACTGCCAGCCAAACATGTTCTACATGTGGTCCCTCCGCGGCAATGGAGGGAGAACAGCAAAGACATCTTGCGGCAGATTTATCGCGAGATCCTCTACACTGCACAAAGGTTGCGTGCAACTTCACTCGCGATTCCAGCAATCGGCACCGGCATGCTAAGCTATCCACGGCAAGACTGTGCAGCGCTGGCCCTGGGAGAAGTGCGTCGTTTCCTCGAAAGTGTTGAGCCCACAAGCTCTCTCGAAAAGATCATACTGGTTGCATATTCATCGAGCGACGAATTTGTGTACAAGTCACTACTTCCCATTTATTTCCCGTCGATAGACAGAAACGTCAACCGAGTCCTATCAGTATCACATCTTTTCCCTAAGGAGAGACATACACCTCCCCAGACCATCTCGGCTCCCAAGCGTACACTGTTCAGTTCTATCGGAGACGCCGTTCGCAACTTGGGCACTTCACGCCCAGGTAAACGATCGGTCGCTCATACTTGGCGTGCCATCAACACGTATGAAGAACACGCCCTCATTGGGTTTGAATTGCACGCTCGAGACTGCAGTATCTGCAAGACCATGGCACAGCTGTACCAAGACAGACAGAACCTTTGTGAACATGGCTATCCACTGGCACAGACATTGCTGTGGTACATGAACCTTGGGCCAGATCAGCTCGTGTACACGAGGGCTGTGCAAATCCGGCAGAGTGTCAGACTCGAGGTGCCTGAAGACATGTTTCCGCTGTCTTTGACCATGCTTCGCTTAGTGGAGGCAAGCTTGAGGGAAGAGGGTCGCGAACCCTTCATCAGTCCGAACAAGGCCTTCTCGACCGTCATACGAGGTCAACCTGCCCAGGAAGACGAATCCTCTGGCCCCACTATATACAACGCCGAGACAGCGCGAGCTTCTGTTGAAGTGTGGTCAGCTTCCGAACAGACGTGGAGTCCCGTATCGCCAAGCGAATGCATTGTCTTCATTCGAAAAGGCAGGCTCGATGTGTACGAGGCTCATGCACCTTTCGCTACACAAAACCCTCTCTTGAACTTTGTTCTGGATCCTGCTGCTGAGATTGCGAGGCCCCTATATCGAAATGGACTGGTCGTGCGAGGTGTAAGCGCTGCGCAATTTGACAACAATGGTGAGATCATGCTAGTCAGCCAAAGCAAAGCGGACTCTGAGTTACTACTTGCGATGTTGCATCGAGCCAACCCAGAGTTCCCTGTGAGCATGGAAGAATTAGAAACAATCTCGAAGGGTCGCGTGGCACGAGGCGCTGACGGCAGCGTTGGAGCTCGTACGACTGTAGTGACGACTTTGGCAGATAGAGTGTGCTCGGATTCAGAGCATGGCAGTCATGATACTGCCATACCAACCGATGACGCGCAGGATTCTCTCCAAGGACATCTAAGCCCACTGCAAGCCAAGATGCAGAGACTGAGTGAGGCTGCATCCAGATTCAACATCGAGTCACCTGAGCAACAATCTGCTACTGTCACTCAGCTTGGTGACTTTATGGATCCGTCAGACGAGCTGCAGCTAGGCAATACGGGCGAAGTCGATGACAAGCGTACGCAAAGAACTCTGACTGCGCTCGAGCACCAGATCCTGCACCACTTGACAAAGGATCTGAAGTCAAGGCCGGGCGCTTATATTGGTCAAAGCACCAAAAATATCGCAACAGCACTCGAAACACCGCTAGAAGAAGTCATAACTGCCACTGCAAGTCTATCGAGGCAAAACTACATCCACAGCACCATCAACGAAGGTACATGGGTGATCTCGCGACCCCCTCAGAATCTCCCAGCTCTTGCAGATCGCTCAAAAGGATCTCCGACGCTAAAGGCGACCTCTTCGACAATGCAGACCGGTAGTAAGGCAGACACGGCAGAAACGCTCTTCCAGATGGACCTGCTGGAGCAGCGGATCCTGTCACATCTCTCCATGTTCAACTCTACATCTCCACAGGAGAAAGGCTGTACCACGCTCCACATAGCTGAAGCGCTTGACGCAGATTTGGAAGAGGTCGAACTGGCACTGGGCCAGCTCGCCGAACAGGGCAAGATGTACCTCGCACCTGACGGCGAGACGTGGAATACCCCTCTATCGCGCCAGTACTTTGCATCTGCTGGTTCAAGCCATGACGCAGCTAGATTAATCCCAGCGCAAGCAAATATCCGCGGCCCAAAAGATTCCAAAGACACTCCACCAAGTCCTGTATTCCCGGCTACAACCACACAAATCTCAGCTCTGCCCGCTGAACTTGACATCTCAAACCTGGATGAGCCCTCATTATATCTCTACGACCCGGCCACCCGGTGAACATGCATCGACGCTTCCTACGTAGACCCACAAGTTCTCGCAAACCTGGACGAGGACTTCCATGAAGACGAGTACAGCTTAGTAGTCCACGGAATTCTTCGGCGTGGAGAACTGAATAATTGGGTGCAAAAGACCTTGAGCTTCGATTGAAGAAGAGCGAAACTGCAAAAGCGAGGAAGGGTGTGAGCTGGCATAATTGGCCGAGCAAGGATAGGGAGAGAGGTGATAGAAGAGACGGGGGAAACGAGAGGGATCGGCATCAGGCGAACTTGGATAGGGTGTTAACGGGCGATATGAAGGAGGATGAGATTAGGCACATCAGGAGGGACGAGACAGAAAGGTGATGACCGATTGTAGTGCTGATCAAGAATTGTATTCTGGTCCTTTGAAATAAAAGCAGCCCTGGTTGAGTTGAGGGCCTTCAAACTTCATGATAGACTATTACAGCAGCTTGGAATGCCGTGCTTCCAAGTGCGAACAACGATCGATCCTTCCCACAGCGCATAGCTCGACACAACTTCTTAATCATCTGCCAAAGACAGGACCCTTGTCCATGCAGCCCTCCCTCTATCAAACACACCGAAACAAAGATCTCGATCCTAACGCAGTCGCGTAGCTTACCGCTCGTTCTCAGCCCTACCACCTCGCACTGACGTCCCAACGCCCTCAAAGTGGCGGTGAAGCACGTCCCCTTGCACCATCACAAGCCTTCGTACAATCCGTTTCCCCGCGACACACTAACGTTTCCTCGGTATGCACTACTTCTCGGGCCACATCCGTGTCAGAGCCCGTGACAAAGGTCACACCGCCGTACCACCGCCATTCCAGAGCCGATGCGCTGACCAGAGTCAATAGTGCTCCCTCTTCCCCGGCACACCGCAATGCCAAAATGAGTCGTGTGTTGGCTGCGAGTCGTGTTGATTTAGTTTTCGGAAATGAGGGGGGGTTGAGAAGAGGGTGTGTCTATGCCTGCCGCGAGGTGTGTGCTTGATGCATGCATACTCTGGAGAGGTAAAGTTGGTGCTTATTCAGCGGAATCACTGACGTTCGGGCGTGCCTAATGACGATCGCTGTGCATAATGGTGAGGGAGTGGTATCTTGACGTCGGTGTCGCGGGGTGGTGGTAGTTGGCACGTAATGGATCTTGCGCGATTATTCTGTAGAATTGATCTCGTAATTAGTGCTATAGACGCGATGTTCAGACGCTGCCTTTCAGGGTGACGAGATCGATGTGTCGTGAGGTGTTGAATTGGCGAGTTGGCGGATCGTCGAGGTGGTGAGGTAGTTGAGCAGTGTGTCAAGCTTTTCCCCACGATGAAAGTTGCACAATGCAGCTCGAAAACGCTGATCCATGTGAGTTCATCATATGACGAATGACATTGAGTATGTCGAACGTGTCTGTAATTGTGAGCGGTATGTTGAGATTTGGAAAAGACCCCAGGACAAAGTTCTGCTTGCCGACCACTGGTACGGCATAGTAAATGTACGTAGTGAGGAGACATGGGCGCAACCAGCAAAGAATAACGTTGGTGGGCTAACCAGAGGCACAATGTGTTGAAGGAATGGCTTGGTCTGCAGGGTATCTAGGTGGCATTACTGTTTGTACATACACTGGCGACACGGTCAGCGACAAAGCAGGGGCCGGTGGGTGTGAATTGTCATTGTCATTCCGTGATATTTTTCCCGCAAACACCAAGTGCGGATATCAGTACCCATGCACGCCATCACTGCGACCAGAACGCATCAAGGGTATGTTTAACCTTTCATATTGTAAACATAGCGCCTCTTGGATGCCCAGATCATGCCGCAGAAAGTTGAAAGGACCCAGAAAACCCCAGCCTAATCAACCATGATCATTTAAACATTCTCAAGGACGGTCTCCTTGAACTCGCGCTCGACCTTCTCACCGGAATCGTTGGCGCTCGACTCGCCGTGCAGACCAAGGAGGGCACCAAGGTCGAACTTGGGCGCCTTCAGAAGCTTGACCTTGCGGACGTGGACCTAGCATACGTTAACACATGACCTCCGCAACTTGTTCAGAGTGTACGCACGTTCTGGAGAGGGTAGATGCCCTGGGTGGACTTCTCGATCTCGCGGCCAATAACCTCAGGAATCAGCTTCTGAGTGAGCTGAGCCAGAGTGCAAGCGCTGGCCTCGCGCTGCATGATCTCGGTCATCTTCTTGCGGATGGCCCTGATCTGCGACGAAGCGGCGTAGGTAGTTTTCTTGATCTGGTTGGGCCTGCGCTTGGTGAAGCCGATGGCGAAGAGGCGGAGGAGGTAGTCGTCGGTGGTCTTGACAACGACGTTGGCCTCAATGAGGGTTTGCCACTTGCGGACGAGCGAGCGGAGCTTGTCGGAGGTGAAGTCGAGGCCGTGGAAGTTGGTCAGGCAGTTCTTACCCTGGACCTCGTCGACGCGGAGCTTGACCTTGCGGAAGGAGTGGTCCTCATCCTTCTGGAGATCGGCGAGGGAAACCTCGAATATTCTTCCCTTAAGGGCATCGTTGGCGTTCTTCAGACCGGTGGTGCGGTTGACGAGGGTCTTGCCGACACTGCATGCGGTCAGTATGCGTTTGCAATGCGAATTGCTGCTGCGGCGTGCTGGGGCGGCTTACTCCCTGATCGCGAAAGTTCCGGGCGCCTTGACGTTGTACCAGTCCTTCTTAGCGAAGGTGTCAGTCTTCTTCTTAAGACCCTTCTTGCCCTTCGAGAGACGCTTGTTCTTTCCGACAGCCATGGTGACGAGAGTTGTGTGGGCGTCCTGTGGTTAGTCCTGTCGTGGAGTCGAATTCGACGGTCGCAATCGGTCGGGAGGGTATTTCGAAAGTTGTGCCAGCGCTAAGTGGAGTTCGTGCCCTTCACGTGACCGCGTAAGCGAGAACACAGGAAAGAACGACCAACATCACCAAGACAATGAGACAGAATTGGCAAGTGCGGTCATTTGTATGCCTCGATGGGTGCGGCATGGGTGATTGCGAACATGAATTGTGTATCATACGTAATCGCACGCGCTCACGAATTCTTTTGTCGCTATGCGGCAGATACACTGCTGTTTAGGCGGATTCTAACTTTGAATCTGCCGTGTCTTAACTCGACCAGCTGCACTCGTAACAATGCTGAAGGCACTCAAGTCCTCCGCAGACTGCCATTTAGCTCAGGTGCTGCATGTTGTGGTTGCATGATGTTGAAGATGTCCAGCCTTATAGCCTCTGTGCGCGAAGCGAGCTTCAGCACTTTTTCGAGAAGTCCGCCCATGAGCCATAGGCTAAGACACACCCCGAAAGCATTCAGTGAACTCGATTCCTATAATCCTGCTATGCCACTGACTTCTTTCCATCTTATTTCAAGAGCTTCAACTGTTGGGTACCAGGCTTGATGCAATCGTGTTGGTGGCTACTCAAAGACCTCCAGGGTTTGTTGGCGGCTGTTTCTAGCTGGAATGAGCACTCCCACACAGTGCCTTCTGCACATGTCATCGCACGTCTTCGACTTTACAAATGGTCACACCTTCGCATGTACTCAGTCTCATTTTTTTAAAAAATATTCTTGTTGTTCGTCCCGCGACACTATCGCCGCCACCATCACGAGCCTCTTCCGCCACTGCGTGCGGTCTGCGTGCTTCCACAAACATGGGCCTCGCCATCACGACGCCTCCGTGCTTGCGCTACCATACTCGACTTATCGCCTTCACTCAGCTGATGAAGCGGCCGTTGGCTACCTCCTTGCTCAAATTTTCTCCTCTCGGTCACGTTCTTGGCCGCAGCGCTGATGGCTGTGCCTGTCGTACGAACATCACCCTCACGCCAGTCTTGCTTCTTCTGTCTAGCCTTTCTTTTGCGGCAAACTGCCACAATAATGATGTGCGACGCAGCGTGGGCTCTCAGTTGCCTCTGGCTGGTCGCCTGTCAGTTTGGTCGGTTGGTTGGGATTGCCTAACGTGAGGACAGAACCCTGAACACCTCCACGATGGGAGAGCAGTGCGATGTGTGCGTTGCTGACCTACATCCAACCCTTATTGAAGAGAGAAGTTGAGGTCGTGTTAAGTTGGTTTAGTTGAGACGATGAGCCAGTAAGCGCTGTGCTGTGAATAGCTCCACGCTCTGAGGCAACGGCTAACACGCATTTCAAGTCCTGACAGCAGTGTGGTGCTGGTCGTATTGACTCTGGCAGAACTTCTCGTAGTCAGGGAAGCTTATGTAACCATCTGATACAATGTTAGTCATGATCAAACTCACTGTTGTCGTTAGTGATGCTTACCCTGTTGCCTGTACTGGGTCACGTAACGGTCGCTCTCGCTCCTGCACACTACAGGTCGCTCCGCGGAGTAGCCCGAGTGCATCCTGGTTTCGGGAGAAGCCATTGGCGAGGGCATCTCGCCTCGTGGCGTCGAAGGCGAGGAGGCTACCTTTGCGAGCAGAACAGACGCCTTGGTTGGGCTGCTTGATGAAGTTGCTGATCCAGCAGAGTCCCGTCGAGACGCAATGGGAGCATGTGTTGTGATGCAAGGCGAAGAGACTGTCGAAGGAGACAGAGCAGGGCGACGACTGCCTGATCTTGAGCGCTTGGGTGCCTCGGTGGGCAGCGAGTAGTAGTAAGTGCCGTAGGCTGACATGGCGATTGCGTGGTGTTGCGTATACGATCTCGAGTCGTACAATGTGTATTGAAGTACGTGAGCTGCGATGACGATGTTACTTGTGCGACTTGGAGGCGGGTAGGTAGTAGTAATAAGTCTCGGAGACCGCCTAGACGCCATTCACCCCATACTACCGACGCTCACGCTTCTGCATGATTCAGGCACCCCTGCCACGCCAACTGCATCAGTAGCCCCACTCCACGTCTCCTGGACGTCTGGCCCGGCTTGCATGGAAAATGCACGCCGCCAGAAAACGTGGGCCTTTTAGAATAGAAGTTGCAGGGGGCTGTGCGTTGTCATCGATTCACTCGTTCCTGACTCGTCCTCAACAGCACAAGACTTCGCCTCCATTCCATAGACTGTGCACTCGCTGCAGGTGTGAGCTGGCCACCTCAGATTCGAGACAGCCGCCGCTCTGCCATCAGGTAATCGGTGACACTGCAAATGCTGCTCCAGCAAATGCGCTTACGGTATGGCCGGTTGCGCTCGATTCCAAGGTCTGCCGGAAGTGCGGGTGCTGGAGCGGCACCGTCACGCTTGAGAGCTTCGAATCGGCGGAAGGATGCCGGGTCGCATGGACCTCAGCGTCATGGCTGCGTGGTGATGACAAGACAAGCCACGTTTTGCGGACCTGGGTGTTGGCGGGTGTTCCTTGTTGTGCCTTGGAAGCGGCCGCCCTGCGAGCGTTCATGCTCGGCGCCTTGTTCCCGACTCTGCTATCGACAGCCTCGAACACGCTCGTTGTGCGCGTCTGGCCAAATTCACAGGTGACAGCCTCCCAGGACCTGCTTTTAGCAGCCTGATTATCCTTCCCTTCACAGCCCTGTGACGACATTGCGCCGGCTGATGCCTCCATTTTGACCGGTTATGCACTGCACATCACGGAGCTGGACGTTGGAGTCGAGAACGCGGGCGACAAGGACGCCCCTTGGATATTCGGGAGATTTACCGTGATCCGGTTGGAGCACAGCAACACGAGACTTTCTCCGACGTCGTCGACTCGTGTGCTCACCTTTCGTGATGGACAAAAGCATGCTTCATCGATGACATGTCTGACACTGACACCGGGCAGTGGCCTCCTGCAATACGTTGTGACGGTTGAGGAACCGCCACGTCTGGTCGAACACGATGAGACGCGTGCACTTCGACCAGCAAAAATGCGATGGATCCTGATCTGGAACACCGCCCATATCCACTTTCACGCGAGCCCAACGTAACTCACCTGCGCGGTGTTCTTGACGCCGCGTGGATTGAATGCTCCTGCGCCTCCGCTTCGTAACTCTTACTAGAACGCTAGCACGGCAATGTTCAGCTGCAATCAGCAACATCAAAATTTCACCGACAGAATAAGAATTGCTTCGCTCGTCTCACTGCTGTCTAACCCCACTCACCTGAAGGTTCCAGCCTTCCCGCTTCCCCACCAAGCGCTTGTCTCCCACAAAGCCTACCAACCAAAATTCACAGATCGTATCCTGCTTGTCAGAGCATTGCAATTGTGGGATCTTCATCAAGCAAACGCATCGCAATTGCGCTTGATCGGTCTACCAGGTTTTGTACACACGCTACACAGTGCTATCGCTGCAGTCAAATCGGATTGGGACACAAGTGCAGGGCTGCAATATGCTCTGCTGCCCAGTTTAAAGTGCGATATTATGTAGCCACCGCCATGGCCCGGGGAGCGGGTACCTGTAAGGATAAACTGCCCCGTCGCAGTCATAGCCGCGGCCGTTAAACAGATCAACACGCACGATCGCAGCACACCATCAATACCGATACCACAATAGAGACACGAGGACCCTTCAGGTTGGAAGACGTCTTCATGGATCCTTGAGAAGAGATCCGCCGTCTGAGTGCATTCTCGCATCTCAACAGACAGCCATGTTGCCCCTCATCATCACACCATCAGCGCTCCCAAGTGCCCCAACACGGCCAACACCACACACATGCATATTCTCCGCGCATCCTGAGTTCTAGACGCGCTCCATAGCCGATCTTGCGCCGATCACACCCGACTTCCGAGCAGCACGCAGTTGTCATTTCTTGTCTCCTTCTCCAGGGCAATCCTTCTCTACTCGCGGTACCGAAACAAGCCCATGCGGTAAACCACGATAGTATGGACATCGCACGTGCAACGCCCACACCTATGCGATGTCGAGCATTCCACTGTGGGTACTTTCTTCCGGTAAAAGTTTCGAACAGAGTTCTCCTTTCCAGAATGAGTTTTTCCGTCTTGAGACAGGGGAGCTGTGAAGATTGTGTATGCTAAGTGGGGGCCACGGTAGAAGAGGGTATTTTCCTACTTACCGCTCCTTCCAAGCGGTGTACACAGATAGGTACCTAGTCACGACTCTCGCACTTAGCACGACCCGTCGCTATCCAGCCCTGGAGGGAGTCAGAGCCCAATGAGCACTAGGTATCTCCCAGACCTGCAGACGGCTCTCAAATCGGCGCGGGCCGCCAGCTCGTTCGCAGCGTTGCCGACGTCGCAAGTGCCCCTCGATGCGCTGGTGAGATACCCCTCTGTATGACTCCGTCGCCATTGCACTCTGCTCGCTCGTCGGAGCTTTGCTGTGCTGGCATCGTTGGATGCGGACAGCACAGTAGGGCTAGACCGCAAAGGAGACACTGCCGTGAGACAGCACGCCTCCTGGGACTGTATGCCTGACTATGGGATTTAACTACCGTGAATACAGGATCATGTGCAGACGCCACACATGCATTGCAGCTTGTCTCATGCTCTCTGCGGGGCGGGTAAGGCGCCTGGATGTGCTGGGAGTACGACGATCCTATGTGCTTATCGCGATAATGAACCCACGGCGTGATTGCTGCCATCTCTTAGATGATGGACGAGAGACTCGGATGTCCTCCCGGCCCGCGGTCTGAGTGAGCTTCGGGTTGACGAGATCAACGGTCTCGGGCCGCCTATAGTAATCGCATTAAGGTGAGTCGTCAGTGGCTGTGGGAGGCCCTAGGGACTGGAACCGGGACGGGAGGGCGCAACCATCATCAAATTATACACTACAGGGCTTTGATTGGGTTGAATCATACTAATCTGCTCTTATGCTCTACTGTGGTTGCTGGGGGTTGGCCATTTGATAAGCAACGCGCGTCCAGCCTGCGCTGTGTTCCAGAACACTGCAGCGTGTTGAGGACCTCCAGGACGCAGGATCATCAGATGATGCGGCTTCCCTACACTGCATTCTCCCCAACCTACGGGGTGCTCAGTGCTATAATCGCAGTCAGCTTGTTGGTCATTCCTTCAAGGGTTTACACATATACGTACGTCGATGTCCTCCCAACCGCGACCCTTGACGTTCGCTAGCTCCTCCATGGACATGACGTTGCCCGTGGTGAAGTAGCCAGCTTGGATCTTGGCGTCGATCTCGACGCGGCTGTCTGCTGGAATCATCTCGTCGGGGATGGGGACACGCTCGTGGATTGGAATACCTGAGTCGACGATGGCGTCGTGTTTCATACTGCACAGTTGTCAGTCACTGACTTGTCAACACAAAGAGGGAGGAGCTTACTTAGACATCGACAGCATCCTGTCAATTTTAGTAATGCCAAGCCAGTGGAGGATCTGTCGTTTTATCAGCAGAGCTTAAGCATGAAGGGTGCAGAGAACTCACATCAGGCATCAGTGCCTGGAAACGCATATCCTTGACTCCTGCAATATTCTCCGTGCGTTTGAAGTACTCGCTAGCCCTGTCCTCTCCGCGCTTTCGCGCATTGTACACAAGGTACTTGGTCACCTCACCAAGTGCGCGTCCTTCCTTGCGGAAGTAGATCACAACACCGCTGCCACCCTGCTGAGCCTCCTTGACTGCCTCTTCAATACCGAATGTGAGGTATGGTCGGCATGTGCAGATGTCGGATCCGAAAACGTCACTGCCGTTACACTCGTCGTGCACACGGAGTGCCAGACGTACGTTCGGGTCAGACATCTTCGCTGGGTCGCCGAAGATATAAACTGTGAGGCCGCCGATGGGAGGTAGGAAGAGCTTAATGTCGTGGCGGGTGATGAGTTCGGGGTACGAGCCACCGGTCTCTTCAAACAATGTTCGCCTGAGAGTTCCCTCATCTGAGCAAGATTAGCTCATTGACCTGGTCACACAGTTACTTGCAATACGTACCGATGCCGAAACGCTCAGCGACACCAGGCAGATACCATACAGGCTCAACAGCCACCTTGGTCACAGCGATTTCGCCTGTCTCGTTCATGCAGATCTTTCCATCAGGTACAAGACGTCCTTCCCTGACACTCTCTTCCAATTCAGGTACCTTCATATGCGCCCGGGTAATGGCAATGGTAGGTCGGATCTCGACATCGTCCTTGTCCATGGTCTCCTTGTAGAGCCACGGTGCAAGATGACCGTATGGGTCCATCGCGACGATCTTCTTCCCGTCGCTCCATTGTGGGAAGGGGCCAATATTTGCAGCAGGCTCAGTGTTTGTGAAGTCCGGCTTATGTGTGATGTCGAGGTTCTTGCTGGCTACTGCAAGCGCGTTGTAGATCGAGTATGAGCCTCCGTGTGCTCCAATGGCTGTGAGATATTAGCTAAATCCATGCAAGTAAATGTAAAAAAGCAAGCACATACCGTTGCGCCGACGAATGGTGTTGTTGTGTCTCGAAACAACGACAGGACCACGAACAGCAGGGTCTTTGGCCCCCCACTGCATCGGCAATGGGTCAACACCAGATTGACCAGGATACGAAGTCAAGATGATCTTTGAAGTCTTCGAGACACTGGCTCGACGAGGGGGTTCTTCGGCATTGGGAGAAGTAGGCTCATACTGCTGGCTAACAGCTTCTACGGTTTGGGCTGAGTCGGCCTCCTTTGCCTTCTCCTTGCTCAGAGTGCCGTTTGCAGCTTCAGTCGCAGCCTCATCCTTGACTTGCTTGACGCCAGCCAGTACATTCACGCGTCCGTTGATCTTGTCGATCGCAGATGCTAGCTGAGAGTTCTCCAGGCGCATGGCCTTTAGCCCTTCCAAGATCTCCTTGAGCACGACATTGTCTGTGCTGCTTTCGGCTGACATCTTGTACTGTAGGCAAGAAATGCTCTCAAGCAAGACTTGATGTTAGGATTGAGCACCTGAGCCTAAAGAAAGGAGGCGTTCGTTTGCTGGCCGCCTTGAATCTGGGGGAATAGAGCTTCGGAAGCTACCGGGGTAGAACAATTGCGGGGAAGGGTGGATGAGTTCGAGGTCAACAACGAGATGAATGGGCGGAAGAGGACTGTATTGTGAAGCCTGCTCAAACGTAGCCAAACGCTTAAATGGACTCGAGGATAAGGGAGAGAAAGAAAAACTGCAGGAGACGTGGACAACAACGAAGCTCAAGACAGCTGACTATCGCCCGCATGGCAGCTATCGGTTTGGCCAATCAGCAGTGGGGCTGATAACGGCAGGTGCGACGGAGGTCACCGCCACGCGCCGACGGAGCTCTGGAAATTCGTCGCGACCCGACACTTTGCGCGTCATCGTCGAGAAAGCCACCCACGACTCGCAGTCAACAAAGCAGCAGGCAACCACCACAAAGGCGCTCTCGTATTACAAGACTCATCGTGCGCGCACTCTGAATCGCACCCACCGCTGCAATATCCCCCACAACCATCCAGAATGGTGCGTATGGCGCTTCTCCACGCCATCGCATGCGCCCGCTAATCGTACCAACAGGGCAAGCGCAAATCGTCAAGCAAGCCGCAGGGCCCCAAGAGGGTATGCCTGTCAGTATAGCGCTGCGCCGACGCTTGCTAACGACTACACCAGAAGGAGAAGCTGCCAACGACGTTCCAGTGCCTGTTCTGCAACCACGAGAGGTCCGTCTCCGTGTCCATCGAGAAGAAGTCCGGTGTCGGCAACCTGCAATGCAAGGTGTGTGGGCAGACGTTTCAGACTAACATCAACTGTGAGTGTTCCTGCTTGGGAAGTGAGGTGCTGAAGCTGATTGAAGACAGATCTGTCTGCGCCCGTCGATGTGTATGCCGACTGGATTGATGCGTGCGATGCCGTTGCGAAGGAGGCTGCCGCTGGGCGTACCGCGACTGAGCGCTCGGCGGACCGTACTGGCGCGCTGCCTAAGCCGGTAGATGACGACGATGGCTTCATTGAGAACGACGACTTGGATGCAGAGGGCGACTACGATGGCTGAGACGTTAGGCGACACTGTACACCAGGGTGTTCAAAAGGCGCCATGATGAGATGTGGGCATGATTGGCATTTACGGCGTTAGGGTATACCACGGAGATGGGGTACTTGTGTTTGAGTTCTAAGGTTGGCGTCGACCACCTGATAAAAGCTTTGCCCATAGTGGCTTGAGGAACTGAAGGAACTTGGCTATCTGACTGTTTCCCCGCTTGTCCGTTGTGAAGTGTGGTAGAAGTAATTCAAGCCAAAGATGGGATGGGAATAACCAACCAAATGGTGCTGGAACTGCTGGTGAAGGTTCGTAGTAAGAAGACGAGTTGAAGATGTGACCTAGAGGCAATTAGACGACTGGTAGTCGATGGCATGTTCGTATCATGTATATTATTCGTTGGCTGCGGTTCTCTCTCCGCTCACCAGCCAATACTGGCTGACATGCTCTACAAAGTGTAGAAGCGGTCGCCGAAGTCACCAAGCCCGGGTACAATGTAGCTGGGAGGTGGTCAGTGACAGTTTATGTATTAATCTCCGAGGCACATACTTCTTTTCATCAAGGCCCTGGTCAACGAATGCTGTTACCACTCTGACCTTGGGCACTTGCTCAGCAAACCTCTTTGCGCCTTCGGGGCTAGCAATGAGGTTAAGGAACAGGATATGCTCCTCAGGCACACCGCGGGACTTGAGCACTTCAACGGCCATGAGCGCAGAGCCACCGGTTGCAAGCATAGGATCCAGCAACAGTACCCAGCGATCCGCAATGTCTTCAGGCAGCTTATCGTAGAAGAGCTTTGGCTGGCTTGTCTCCTCATCTCTTTGAATCAGAATCTTACCAATCCTGACCGACCTGCAGCAATCCCTCAGACCCTGCTCCATAGACTCGCCAGCACGCATAATCGAGACTCCACAGATCTTGCCTTCGAACTTGACTCCGGCATAGATTCGCCCCACAGGCGTGGTAATCTCGTGACCTACAACGGGAAGGTGGTTGAGGCCCTCTTCGACCAGGAGGCGAATGATGCGGTTGGAGTAGAAGATGAAGTCGGCACGCCCAGTGTTCTTGTCGCGGATCATGCTGTTAAAAATTGAGTGCTCTGCTGGTGACATGTGCTAGGGTTCTTACGTTAACAACGCAATCAGCTGAGGCGTCTGAGGCAAGATGTGGATGTTGGGCACTTGGTCCAGAGGTTTTGACACAGTTGCTGTGGGCTTCTGGGTAGCTGGGCGGTACTCAGGGCCTACGCATTGCGAGGGGGGTGTCTCGAGTCCGCTAGTCATGATTGTGGCTGTTGTTAACGGAGACTCGAGGGGTAATGACCCTGATCGTGTCAGTGATGTTCGAGTCTCCAATTGCAATCACTCATACACTTAAGAGTGTCGTTAGACAGTGAGCAGTCGGGTATGAAGATGTGGGAGTAAGGAGGCTATGATCGGTGGTGGACTCGAAGATAGATTCAGCCGTGGCGGCAAGACACTGGGAGAAATTCCTTGGGTGGGGCAATCGATCGGTCTCAAGAGATATGGTAATTGAAGAGCTGAGATGGACTAATAGATACAGTGTCGCGATAACGAAGAAAGAGGAGAAGCTATAGTAAATAGGGCTCCACATCTAGGCTCGTGATCCACCGGCGACCTCCGCATGGCTTGGAGGCTGAGTGCCGGAATGGATGAGGAGAAAGAGCACACGCGCGTCTATCCCCGCAGCTCACCGCCTGCCTATCTTGGCTAGCGTGTCTTCATGCACGCAGGCGCGGGACCCTGCTTTGCGCCTTCCTCACCACAGTAGGGTGCTTGCCAGCTTCGTCACTGGTGAACACAAACCGATGTATGGTGGCGTGATTCACCGTCAACAGCAATCACAATCGTGCCTGGGCATCATCACTTCATGCAGACCTGATTGAGGCAACAGCTTGGACGCTGCCTCACGTCAACCTTCTCACCACCACAATGCGCGCGCCCGTCTAGAGCAACTCTTGTATCACAACAACACCGATAAACGCGTCAACCATGGCATCTTCCATGTCATCCACCTTCACGACCGGCGAGAGGCGCAAGAAGGTCATCACATACGGCAAATTGTCCCGTCTTCCGCCACCGCGACAGAGCCTCCTCGAAGATGATGCGCCTTCCCCCGAGCGACCGCATAAGTACACTGCGCCTTCGAGCGGGCCATCAGCAGAATATGAAGGACTCACGAAGTCTGTGCGACCCTCTGCGCATGCGCGTGCAGTTACTACCAGTCCTGATGTCTTCGATGTACCCTCCGAAGACGAATTCGGATTCCCATCGACACCGCCTGCAAAACGATCAGTGATACAGCGTAGCAAGACGGAAAGGGTTCCACGCGCCAATGTAGTGAAGAAGCCAGCTAATGTTCCGGGTCGTACAGCTACAACAGCGCCTCGGCCTCCACAGAAGTCCGCGATTGCGAAACCGGCAGAAGTCAAGACAAGAGTGTTGCAGGAGCAGATCAGAATGCAGCGACTGATGCAGGATAAGGACACACAGGCGAGGATACAGCCGGCGAACAAAACATCACAGGCCAAGGCATCACGAGCTACAGTTGAGCAGAGGCAGGTTGGTGGGGGTGGTCAGCGACTACAACGATCGATTACGTCCTCTAAAGACGCATCGCGAGCCACGACACCAGATATAGTCCCACAGCCCATGCCAAAGTCGCAGTCAGTGCGGGCAACTACATCAGTCATCTTGAGAAAGACCGCGAAACCTGCGACCAAACAGCCTGTGAGTCTGGATGTGTTCGACGTACCGTCAGATGAAGAAGCTGCGTCTTTGCCCATCCCGGCAGCACCTCGTCAAACGTCTCGTTCTTTATCAAAGGTGAAGGCGAAGCAACCGGAATCTCGCAATGCCCCATCATTTGATCTGACGCGGAAGCCGAGCGAGCTTGGAAACCTGCATAATCGAAAGCGCAAGGGATCCGAGTCTCTCGCGACTGTACCCTCACCAGCTTCTGAACCTACGCAGGAAGTAGCAAGATTACAGCGAGACCGCAAGATACCTAAGCGGCAGACAGGAACATCTCCAGGGCTTGAGTCAACCAAAGCGCCAGCTGCTCGTCCAGAACTACAGGCTACGTTTTCCGAGTCTGTGATCAATAAGCCAAAAAGGACAAGAACGCGCACTGTACCAGTTGTGAGCCAGCCGGCGATGTTCAAGGGCCAGTCTTCGCCAGCAGTGCTACATAAAATGTTGCAAGCCACAAAATCATCTTACGAAGACTCGTCCGAAGTACCTGCCTCTGATGATACCATGTATGACATCTCAGACCCGGTCACAACACCCATCCGCCCAAGGCCCTCGACGAAAACCACAGCTTCAACGCCGGGCTCCGTGACCCCCCGTCAAAAGGATCTTTTCAGTACACTGTTAGGTGGCACAGCTGCACCGAAAACCCCAGCTTCGGCCCTTGCCGCTCTGCAGCTGACAGACAAGAAGCCGAGGTCTCTGCTCGGTGCTCTCGCAAGATCAAAGTCTGACGTCGCTTACAGCAGCCAGTCTCGAAAGACCCGATTAATAGATACCCTCAAGGACGACGACACGAGCTCTGAAGACGAGGGCAGCGAGAGCGACGAAGAAGCTGACAGCAGCATTATTACGACTCTTGGTGTGGACAACGACAAGACTCCGGTGCAGACGAGGCGCATGGTCGTCGAGGAGGCTAGCGAAGACGACATCATGAACGAAAAGGCAGCAGGAGATTCACAAACCTCACAAATATCTTCTGGGGTGACCACTCGACCAAGACTTACATACGCCACTCAACGGTCCTATCTACAAGAAGCAAATCCAGAAGACGAGTTTTTAATGTCCATGGAAATGGACGACACCTGGAACATGGACTCGCACACTGTTTCCACGGATGACGAAGACGGCCCTACGAGTCAGCCACGGACCTATCACGAGCTGAAGAAATACGGCCAGAACACCATGTTCTCTTGGGACATGGAGGAATCGATCCGTGAGATTTCAGATGCATCTAATCGGAGCGGACGGCGCAGCGCCATGATGGACCTGTGTACCAAGATGGCTGATGCTGGGTTCATCAGTCAGCTTCTCGACTCTGGGTTCATGCATAGACTCCTTGAGAACATCGTCACTCCCACTGACCCCATCTTCGACTTTATCGCGGCAGTCTCGGTCTTATTTATTCTCCAAACGAAGCCCACATTTGCCGTGGTTGATCAGATACACCAATCCGGCATCACGACAACTTTGCTCAGCTTGGTCGACAAGGATACCGATATCTCAAGGGTCGCACGCGATCGCAAGTCCAATATGTCGAAGATTGCCCAAGATTCTCTAGCCGACTTCCTCGCGGTGGTTCTGGCAGCCAAGGCGTGGTCTTCAAGTACACCAGAGAAAGTGTCTCCTCAAATCGTTGCACTCACAACAATCGACCTGCTAGTCCAAAGTCTTCGAGAGTCTGGCAGCACGGACGCTTTGTTGACCCCGACCGATGTTTCCAAGGTCGTCAACGCGTGCTCATTCCCGTCTAGTCGCATCAAGGCCGCCAAGGCTTCTCCTCAGGACATGCTGGTTCTCGACCTGGCAATATCAGTACTGGAGACAGTGTCAATCGTGGATCAAGATTACTCGACATGGCCGACTAAAACTCTCCAGCAGCTGTCTGAGGTGATCTCAGTCTTCTTTGAAAGTGGAGATCTCACCAAGACGGTGGAGGCGATGAAGCTCTGCATGAACTTAACAAATAACAAATCGAAAGCCTGTCAGCCGTTCTCTACTCGAACCTTTCTGCAGCCTCTAATACACTTCCTTGTCAGCTCTTTCAAGCTATTGAACACCGGCACGCTGGAGGAAGACCGCCAGGCCGCGTTGACTCTCAGCCTGGGCGCGATTATCAATCTCGCTGAACTCAGTGATCAGGCGCGACTCAATGCAGTCGCCAATACCAACTCAATCGAGGAGCTCGTCAGAACTTACATAGTTGGCTCTGAACGAGCGGCTCAGGCCACCTCTGTTGAAGAATCAGAGGTCGGTGTCAAGATCAACTTTCTCGGCGTACTACTGGGCATGCTCTGCCTCAATGCCACTGTTCGGTCTAAAGTACAGGTCTTACTTCCAGGTCAGCAGCTGAAGCTGTTGCTCCAAAATATGCGGGTATTTGCCCGCATCCACGAGACGGTGGACGAGAAGACAGCCAGACGCTTCGAAGGTGCGGAAGGACAGGAAGCTTTGAACAACTACTACGTGCGAATCATGCATGTCGTGGAGAAGTTGGAAGGCGCAAAAGCATGAGCGACGATGTTGATGCCAGGAAGCACGCAGAGTCTATCACGGAAGCGTGGCATACGAACCTCTTTTCGGAGTTGGATACCCCGACTGCTCGACGGTCTCTCATACAGCGTGGGAGGGTCGTTTGAAGATATAACACGATACCCGGTGTATGGTTTGCGGAATTTGCTAGTATACAATGGACCACAACATACGGATCCTCTCGATATGGATAGTCCGGTGTTAACTGTACAAAAGAACTCTACTGCACTCGCTACTGATCAGTGCGCTGCGTCTTTCGTGAACACATGCAGGGCCGCTATCGGTCCCAAACGGCGTCCAGACAAGCGTTCCACAGACGCGTGGGTATCTCACCGAGTACTCACACGCTACGATGCCTGCGTGACAGTCTGACCACGTCCCGCCCGACGGAAAACCTGTGTGATAGTCCGACTACGCCCAGGCAGCACCTACCAGATGCCACGCCAGTAGGCTTGCAGTCACATCACGATGTTTCGCAGAGTCTTCAAGATGCATCTTGGACGTGCATGTGATGGAGCTCAGGTCGCGCAGACACGCCAGATTGGGGAAGGCTAGGACAGCGGGGATGTCGGATGGGGCATTAGCTTCTAGAAGAGCCAGAGAAGGGATGGCCGAGAGTCGCTGCGAGCGTTGCCCATACACGGGCGCTAGACTCGGAAGAATCGACATCACGTAAATTGAATGGCTAGGATTGGGCAATCTGGGTAAATACTGACCAGCGGCGCTCGTCAAGATCGAGACTCGCGCGTGGGGAGGGGCGTAAAGGGTCTCGTGTGGGCCGTGGTGGAAGCGGCTGAACTTTTTGGAGCGAGATTGAGACGCGCAAACACACTTCCACCTGCGACGTCGTCTTTGTTACCTTCGCTTCGCTTGGTGATCTGGTTGAGTTTCGGTACCTAGCGGCGCCGCTGCACCTTGCCTAACCTGCCTTACTCGGTACCACTAATCACAACTACCTTTGCAGTTCGCTCCTCGCCCGCGGACGGACGTCATCCTTAGCTCCCAGGATCGACAGAGCAACGCGCCTGGGCATCAGCATTTCAGCAGTCGACTGAAGCTGCAATTCTACACTGTTACTTGGCCGCTCCGCTCGCAAACCGCTCGACACCCCTACAAATACACGCATCGCTATAATAGGATTCACCAGCAAGATGCCCGCCCCACCCAAGCAGAGGAAGATGGCCATTGTCGGCAGTCGAGCTGTCGGTAAGCAAGCGCAGTCGTGAGCGCAGTTGTGGGCTGCAACATGCTCGCCCACCGCCGTGCCAGCGCCCATGTGACTGACGCAAACTGGTGCAGGCAAGTCGAGTATGACGGTGCAGTTCGTCGACGGCCACTTCGTTGACAGCTACTACCCGACCATCGAGAACACGTTCAGCAAGATGATCAAGTGGAAGAACCAGGACTTTGCAACGGAGATCATCGACACCGCTGGCCAGGTACGTGGGCAACAACAGTCTGGAGCTGGCATGCAAACATTGCTAACACGACTGCTCGCTTCAGGATGAGTACAGCATTCTTAACTCGAAGCACTTCATCGGCATCCACGGCTACATGATCGTCTACTCGGTCGCAAGCAAGCAGAGCTTCGAGATGGCGCGCATCATCCGTGACAAAATCCTCAACCACCTCGTAAGTCCCTCGCACCGGCGCCAGCCTCGCTGTGGGCACGCCCAGCTAATACACTCACCACGCAGGCCGTCGAGTGGGTCCCCCTCGTCATCGTTGGCAACAAGTCCGATCTCCGTCCCGAGCAGCGCCAGGTCACCCCCGAGGACGGCAAGCAACTCGCGCAGGAGTTCAAGTGCGGCTGGACAGAGGCCAGTGCGCGGTACAACGAGAACGTCGAGAAGGCGTTCCAGCTCTTGATCGAGCAGGTGGAGACGAGCCAGAACCCTGGCGAGCCCACTGGTGGCAAGAGTGGGTGTCAGGTCATGTAAAGCCCATGACTGACAGTACTCTCCTCTAGGTCCCGAGAAGGAGAAGAAGCAGAAGGGCTGGAAGGAACATGTGCCGGGAGGCTGCACATGTTCATGAACGACGACGTCGATGGTGTAGACGGTGTAGATGGTGACGGGCTGGGCTGCTGCAAATGCGTTTGGCAGTTTCTCTTCGCAGAGGCATAATGGCGTAACGGTGTTTGAGCGGGGCGCAATGGGTTTATTCGGTGCTCAGTTCTCAATGTCTCAGGCTCTACGACACCGCAGAGATTAGTTCTATTGACTGCAAAGGTCGTGAGGTTCACACGCACTTTACACATGTCACTGCCCACTCCAGCCACCACCAGACTCCAGCCCCAGCTCCACACGGTGCGTGCCCCTCGATCACCGTGCACGAATGCATCGACCACGACTTGATTAGGCAGCTCTGAAGCTTTGACGATGAAGATACCGTGATCGATGCTTTCACGTGTGCAGGCTCGAAACTTGCTTTTCTGGGAAGTGCGGACGGCAGTAGAGCGCTGCGTCGCGCCTCGAGCGCAGCCACGAATACCCCACCATCCGCACAGATCACCCCTCCCCTGACTCAGGCGCCGCACCACGACATTTGTGTGAGGCCCCGGGCTGCGACGTCTTGCACACGAGCAATTGACCCGGCACACAACTGCACCCGTGAGACACGATGCTTGACGTGTAAGCCCGCCCCGAGTGCGAAGTGTCTGGCCTGGAGCGCCCGAGCCCGTCGGGATTGCTGCACTTTGTAAACATGCTAACATGGCGGGGCAACCAGCAACGACTTTATCGAGAAGCGCGGCGGCGACCCAGAGAAGATCCGCGAGTCGCAGCGCAAGCGCCATGCGCCCGTTGAGGTCGTCGACGAGGTCATCGCGCTGTTCGAGGACCACCTGAAGACGCAGTACGACGCTACGCAAATCGGGTCCGAGATCAACAAGCTGCAGAAGGAGGTCGGGCAGAAGAAGAAGGCCAAGGAGGATGCCAGCGAGATCCTCGCACAGATGGTCGAGCTGAAGAAGCAGAAGGCGGCCAAGGAAGACGAGGCGGCCCAGAAGCTGGTCAAGCTCAACCAGAAGGCCAAGTCGGTCGGCAACTACGTGCACAAGGACGTCCCCGTGTCGGGCACCGAGGACGACAACGCCGTCGTCAAGACATGGGCGCCCGAGGACCGGAAGGCAGAGTTCAAGCCAAACGCCATCCCCCACCACGGCGTCCTCACACGACTGAACGGCTACGACCCCGAGCGCGGCGTCAAGATTGTCGGACACCGGGGCTACTGCTTGACCGGCTACGGCCTCTTCCTCAATCTCGCTCTCATCAACTACGGCCTCGAGTTCCTCTTCAACAAGGGCTACACGCCCAACCAGCCGCCCTTCTTCATGCTCCGCGACCAGATGGCTAAGACAGCGCAACTTTCCGACTTCGACGACGAGCTGTACAAGGTCACCGAGAGCAAAGACAAGCCCGAGACAGACAAGTACCTCATCGCCACCTCCGAGCAGCCCATCAGCGCCCTGCACTCGGAGGAGTGGCTCGGCGTCGCCGATCTGCCCATCAAGTACGCTGGCTACTCGACCAACTTCAGGAAGGAGGCTGGTTCCCACGGAAAGGACGCCTGGGGTATCTTCAGGATACACCAGTTCGAGAAGGTTGAGCAGTTCATCATCACGCACCCCGAGAAGTCGTGGGAGGCCTTCGAGAGCATGCTTGCTACGTCTGAGGAGTTCTACCAGAGCCTTGGTCTGCCGTACCAGGTCATCAACATCGTCAGTGGAGCGCTGAGTGAGTGAAGCCAAGTCGGGTCGTACCTCGGAAAGGGTGGAAGCTAATACTGGATCCAGACAACGCGGCTTCCATGAAGCGCGACCTCGAGGCCTGGTTCCCCGTCACCGGCGGTGGCGAGTACAAGGAACTTGTGTCCATCTCCAACTGCACAGACTACCAGACGCGCGAGCTGGAGATCCGCTTCGGCGTGAAAAAGCAGACAGCCACGCGCAAAGAATACGTCCACGCTCTGAACGGCACACGTACGTCTTTGTCTCCCCGACTCCAAGCAAACCCCATCCATGAAATACGCATGCTGATGATGAACAGTCTGCGCCACCGAACGCACGCTCTGCTGCATCCTCGAAAACTACCAGACCCCTGACGGCTTCGTCGTCCCGCAGGTCCTGCGCAAATACATCCCCGGCCAGCCCGAGTTCCTGCCCTTCGTCAAGGAGTGGCGGCCCAGCAAGGACGAGGTCAAGGCCCCTGCGCCAGCATCCGCGCCGATCCCAGACCGGACGAAATGAAGCTTTGCTGACAGTCTCGCTACCCCCCCTGATCGTCGTAGTCGCTCCCCCGGACGTCCCTTCCAGAAATTGACACTGGCTGAGCGTGCAAAGTATAAATTCGAGTCGGAATCTGACGAGAAGCAGCACGAGGCGTTCGACGGAAGCGGTCTAGCGGGCGCGGCGAAGCGGCGGTATGAACTGGAGAAGCTGAATCCGGGGGCTCATCATCTGCGGGCCGTTCCAACAAGGCACGCAGGCGGATGCTAAGATCACAATAAATAGAGCGAGATTAGATCGCATCAAATAAACGACCTCTGAACACTGAGCGCTGCGCCGAGGAACTCGCTATCTTAATGCCAGTGCACTGCTCGAGGAAGCTGTCCCGCGAGATCAAGCCGCCGACACGAAGCATCGGAGCTACGCGTACACCACAGCGAGAATCCGATTCAACATTGCGAACGTGTCGCGCTCAACCCACATTGCGCATTCCGTCACAATTGCTAACACGTCACAAACGCAGATATATCAGTTCTTCAACCCTGCACAATCTTGCACGCGTTTACAATGTACGAAGAAGCTCGTTTTTTTGGCCGATCAACCGATGCGCACGGGCCTTGGACATGATTCCTGTTCGCAACGCCCATACTAATCCACACCAAAACAACGAGTTCTTAACATTTTTGAATATTCTGACGTGGTGAAGCTGTTGTTTGACATATAATTGACCCATCGCAAGATTTTTGTGGTGTTGCGGCGACGTTGAGAGCCTGTGCGTTACCCATGAAAGTTGTTACCTCCACCTGCCTAAATGATCCTCCTCACCTGCTCTAGTGTTGCGTCTACCTAACAATTGATAACCTCTATGGGCATATCCTCCCAGGATTGTATCTATTAACTTTCACACTCTTTAGCGTTGCAAGAAGAAGTAAATTGCTTCGTTACGTGCTGCTGAATCCATGGCTAAGCATGTTCAATTGCACTGGCCTCAGGTGAGTGACCTAGCCACCACAACCTGTCAATATGCTCTGTGATCAGGAAATCACGCGATATTTGGACCTTATGCGCTGGAGCACCATCTTGTTATAGTATGCACTTATTCCTGCTTTTTTCAAGTTTGTGGATCTATGGGATAACCTTCTATAGGGCACCTTCTCTGTGCTAATACCCATCAACACCCCCATGCGCACAGTTGCCCTGTTTATAGTCCATAGTACTAGGAATGTACTGCTTCTTTCTTATATTATAGCGATAATTGACGTCACCTTTTTTGAGGTTGGAGAGAGCGTGTTAGGCGTAGATTTGCAGCTTGTTGTCCTGGGTCTTTTGGCTGGTGTTGAGCTCCCGAATATGAGCGTCTGCAGCTACCTTCTCTTGCTGAGTTTCTTCCCAATAAACATGACACAGGCCCTTGAAGTTATAGCAGAAACAGGTGTAGAATTGCAGGCAGCAGTCCTTCCAATTCCAATCATGCTTAACATTGTTGTCCTATTGCTCTCTACTGCGGCACTACGTTTGGATTATGCCTCTCTCTCTTCGCTAATTTAAGCAGGTGTTTTGTTAAAGACAACTTGCTGGAAATTAAAGCCTTTGTTGTTATATGGCTCTATATTAGGGTTGTGGGCGAGTGCCCACTTGTATTGCTCCTTCTCTTGTTCAGCATCAAGGTGAGGCTTCTAACCTAGGTAGCGCTGTGCGTACCTAGCCTCCTCATACATGCCGTTTTTAAACGTTGTTAACTACGCTTATTTCAGGTACAACGACTTTGAAATCGCCATTTTCAATAGCCTGCCAGCTCTCTCTCTCACGTGCGTCGCGTGAGGCCGTCGCAATCTGGATGATTGTGTCCTTCTGTTTCTGGGTCAACAACTGACTCCTCCTACGTCCTAAATCATTCTTATACAAAATTTTGTCCCATAGAGCGACACTATGATTATTTGCCTTTGCCTCTACCTGATGGAGAAGGTCTGAAAGACTTGACTGCGCGCAGCCCATTGTGGTTGCCAAATCGCGTTGGGTTGCATAGTCACCTCGCAGGGCTGTGAGAGCGCCTACTGCGAACGCGCGCTCAATCATTGTCAGCTTAGTGTGATTTGTTTTTGGAGGTTGGATAAGCTTGTGTTGCTTATATTTGAACCTTTTGCGACGCGCAATTGACTCTGCAGGCATTGTTGTGGTTGTTTTACTATGAAGAAGTATAGGTGTTGCATGTGTTGATGAGGCACGATCGAGCACGGACTTCTTGATCGGCCAAAAAAACGAGCTTCTTCGTAGATGTACATCGCAGTTGACAGCATCCACAGCATTCACAGACGACAGATGGAAACCCCGAGGACTGCCAGACGTGCACTAGACATCCCCGCTGTGAACATTTACCCAGGCTCTACTCGCCGCGATGAAGATGCATTGCGGATACAGCATCGACACGTGTTTTCGACCCGACGGTTCGGATTCGAATTCGAATACGTGCACGCTGGTGAGAGAGACGGGCAGCTGCTTTATGTGCGGAACTAAGAGCCTTTTACGATTGGATAGGCCAAGTCGAGTCTCTACAACGACATCGGCAATGGTTGAGCTTGCTGTCATAGCGTCACTTTGGATGATACAGCAAACAGCGTGGAGTGAATGGTCTCGTGCCTGCAGGCTCTGAGACTGATATGCATGTATTTGCATCGAATAGAGTCCGAGCTAGCGGCAAGAATAAAGTACCCAAAAGAAGCGAATCAACAAAGTGTGTAAGAAGCGAAACATCCCAATTCATCGGCCCATCATCAAGAAGAAACCATCGTAAAAATCCTGCGCCTAGCGCAATCTCCTCCCTTGTACCGTCTCGTGATTCTCTACGAGAAGTTGCTCGATGCGGTCTTGGTGGTGTTCTCCGCAATGCTGACACCCTTGACGATGATGCTCTGGCCGCTGGTGCTGGTGACCTTGACATCGACCGTCTGCGTGCCAAAGCCAGCGCTGTTCTCGAAGTAGTTGTATGTCTGGCGCGTGGTCGCCTGCCACGTCTTGCCGCCATCGGTGGAGACCTCGAGCGACGCGACGGCGACATTGGAGTTGACGACCTGCATACTGAACCAGTCCTTGCTGGTGCCGGACTTGTTCTTCAGAACAAAAGGCGAGGTGATACCGCAGGGAACAATATCCCAGCTGATGGGGATGACGCCCTCGGTGGGATTAGCCAGCTTGGCAAAGGCATCGGGGAAGAGGTCGAGGTGGTTGGTGCCGCAGCCTGGGCACTGGTCCACAATCATGGCCTTGACCACGTTGCCGGACGGTCCGGTGACGGCGACGCAAGCACCGCAGTTGCCCGCATCGTTCCAGTTGGAGTCTGAGAGGGCGGTGCCGAAAAGACCAGAGGGGATGGTGTATCCTCCATCGAACGAACATGTTCCTCCAGAGACGTTGCCGCCGTAGAAGGTAGCCTCGCCAGTTTTGGAGCCGGCAGCTGATGTAGCTTGGGCCTGGACACTCTGGGAAGTGGAAGAAGCAGCGGAGGTCTCGACAGCGGTAACCGCCTCAGAAGTAGGAATGGCAGCCTCGCTAATTGCGCTGTAGCCCTGTCCAGGAACGTATGAGGTGGGAGCAGGTGTCTCAGTGACAGCAGAGTCTGTGTAGTCAAGGCTGACGGATGAAAGAGTGGGCTTGGGGCGGCCAGTGTAGTTGCCCCAGGTTCCGTTGGGGAAGTTGCTCCAGTGAAGGCCAGTTGCTGATGCCTCAACTGATGATGAGGGGCGTACTGTGACCGTAGTCGTGATGTCTTTGAAATGGTCAGTGGAGTCCAGCAGTAAAGTACGAGCAAGTCTTACCGATGGTAGATGTGATCGTGATGTCGCTTGGGACAGGACTGGGCCGGACGGTGACGTATGTCCTCTCAGTCTCAGTCTTAGTGATGGTGCGCCTGGTGCAGCCCTCCTGGGCGAGAGTGAAGCCCACAAGGGGGATGATGTAGAAGATGCTCGACTTCATGTTTGTTCAAGCTTGTGTTATGTTGATTGTTTTGAATATGGGAACGTCTTCGGCTCTCTTGATGAAAATGACTGTAGTGGATCGTATCAAACGAGTGGCAGCAGCACTAGGCTTGCGAAAATGAATGACTGTGGTGAGAGAGACCGGAAGCTCGTGAGGCGTTTCTCAAGTGGGCAGTCTCAATACATAAGGCCCCTCGAAACCCCTGGTACAACATCTCGTCTACTTTGCCACATGCAGTAGAACCAGATACTTGCGTGGAAATTTGCTCGGGAGTAAATGAGCTCTCTGGCACCATGTCCTCCGGCGGGAGCGGCACGGCTGCACACACGCAGGATGCCCAGGCCACATGTGTGTTTTCAGAAGACCCCAGGTCTAGGCTCACGCAGTAGACATGCGGGAAATCTTGGTGAGATGAGTTCCACAGGATTTTCTGATGAGAGTGCAGGGTCAAAAAGGCGCTAAGTGGAGATCAAACGTTGGCGAAATGAAGAGGCGGGAACTCACTGCATCCTTCCATCTTGCGTACGAACGCGAAAACGTGCCTCAGGAACACAAAGAGCATTAACATGATGCAGCAACTTTCGAATCGTGCGGTATCGTCTATGAGCCTTGGCGCTGTTTGCGCAAGTTGGCGCTTTTGTTGTAGTCGGTGTCGTCTCGGAATCGACGTTTCAAGATTGCGACTTTGTAGAACCACCGGGTTTAACGTGCAACGAAATGACGCCGCGACTTGACCTTCCGCAATCGGAGGTATATAGATTTTTCGAGATTTCCTCTGACGCCTACCATTGCGGAGACAAAGGGCGCGAACGATCGGGAGGGAACCGAAACTGCCGAGCTCAGGATGCTCACTGGCCAGTCTCTGGCAAGATTGGCCAATCTAGGGAAAGTGGAATCCAGCGTCTGAAGATGATTGCGATCGCAGGCATGGGCTTACCCTGTGCAACGTGCCCGACTCCGAGCCGCATGCAGTTGTTGGCGTTTCGAGAATCCATCAGATTGATGGCCTGGCTAGACTATAACATGGACGGACAATGTTTCATTGTGAATGCTCAGAGGGCCGATGTCTTTATGTTTTCGAGACTGCCCACGAATATACAGCTACCATGCACCAGATGGCTTCCGTGAGCGGCGATGCGAAGTCTACAGAGAACATTACAAGGGTGCGTGTGTGGCGGAGATTCGCTCGGGGAATCGTGATAGGTATTTTTCGACAAGCAATCATGACTGCTGATTGAGTAGTGATCTCGTGCCAATTTCCCAACGTTCTCGCCGTACAACATTGCTGATTTTGGGCGATTACAGGAGCCTCTTCGTGTTCTCACAAATCGCCCTGCTGGTCACTCCATCATTTCGGTCCGATCAGAAGCCACGATGAGCGTGTGGTGCCACTGTGCAACGAGTTCGCCTTAGGTCGGTAGTGATCACTGTCGTTTGTCCTGATGCGTAGAGACATCTGATAACTCTTGCACGATCTCTTCACTATGATCTCGCGAACAAACTGCCCTTCGCTCCCTGGTCTTGCGGTGTTCGGTTTCGACCGCAGGCACCATGCGTTGATCAAGGGCCATCGCTTCCAAGCTCGATATCGACCTCCTCCCCTTGTGCTTCCAAGTGGGGATATGTGCGTCCTGCCGGTGAAGATTTCGAAGTCTTCAGCGCCATCCGCTCGAGCGGTAGAGATTCCACAGCGATAGCGAAGTTGTTCATCCCAGGGCTGCTTCGGATCTGCTTCTTCTCGAATCGAGTGGGGTTCACCGGCCCTGTCCAGTGAAGCAGGTAGTAGCTCAACTTTGCAGTCAGCTTCTTCTTCGTAAGTGCAAAGCCAATGGAACTCATAATCTCCAGCATTCGAGGCTCATCGATGTACCTGGAGTTTTCGATACATGGGAGAGGTAGGACGAAAAAAAGCAACGGCAGGCTGGCACTTGATGTAGTCACTGCTGTCCTTAAAAATTGAGGGATCAGCTGAAGCATCGCTCCACGGCCAGGAGCGTCAGGAACATAGTTGAGGACCAGCGATAAGGATACAATGTCAAACCGCTCTTCGTCAGACTTGGGTAGAGGTCGCCTTGTGAAATCTTGCTTCTCGATGCCAGCGCCTTGACTATTGAGGTCGATCCTCGTCATCTCGATAAGGCTGGGAAACTTCGAGATCTCATTTGTGGTGGAAAGAGCGCCCACTTCGAGACACCTCAAAGATACGTTCTCTGTCCGCCTCTTGCCTCGAGCTTTGCGATCGAGAACACCGAGTTCAGCCAACCACTCAACGAGCAATTTGCTCGAGTCGCCGCCACGGTCGCTGGCTTGTCCTTGCTTACTTGCCGCCTGATACAGAGCAATTCCACCGTTTTTCTCGATTTCAGTCTCGAGTTCTTGAGCTTTTCGCGAATCCCCAATCTTCTGCGCCGCCGCAAGCTGCTTGTGTAAGCGGTGGTGAGTGCGTATGATGGTCCTGGAACGCTGCGCAGTCATTCGTTCCCTCGGCTTGCTCACAGGCGGTCTCCCACTCGCCAGAGCTTTTTGGCGTTTCTTGACGGTCATCGGTGTTCGCAAGACTGATAATCACATGTCTTGGTGTTCATGAGCGAAGAACGCCGGCATGCAGAAAGGGTTGACGCACGGTTCAGTCAACGCCACTAACCTCGCTTACCGCGCACCTTCCGTCGATATTGAAGTTCGTTCTTTCTGTTTTTCCTGCACGTTTTGTCACTAACCACCAGCAACACATCGTCGAAATGGCTCCCAAGGCAGCATCCAAGAGTACGTTCCGCCTCGGTCGTCGGCGATCGATCGAGCCACGAGCTTGCGCATCACGAAGATATTGCACACCACGGCAGCAACAGGAACTTTAGTACCGTACTGCAGTGCAGCGAATGCGCTTCGATCAGTCCCCGACAAACTTCTCTTGCAACCATGAACATGGCTAACATGTTGCAGCCGCCACCAAGACCGGCAAGCAGGCCAATGCCGCCGCTAAGGCTGCCCTTCGCGGTGTAAGAAACCCTTGAACTTCTTAAGTCGTGCCAGAACCAATCTCTGGCGGGCTGTTCTTCTCGTGTGTCGGACACAATTAACGAGATGACAGTCGTACGCGAACAAGAAGCGCTCCATCAGGAAGAGCACCAGCTTCCACCAGCCCAAGACCCTTGAGCTGTCTCGTACTCCCAAGTACCCCCGCAAGTCAATCCCCCATGCTCCTCGCATGGATGCCTCGACCATCCTGATCCACCCCTTGAACACTGAGTCTGCCATGAAGAAGGTATATTAGTCGATTCCAGAGTGCTAAGATTGGTTCGCTAATGACAGCGCAGATCGAGGAGAACAACACCCTCGTCTTCATCGTCGATGTCAAGGCCAACAAGCGCCAGATCGCCGCTGCCCTCAAGAAGCAGTACGACGTCTCTTGCATCAAGATCAACACCCTCATCCGCCCCGACGGCTCCAAGAAGGCCTTTGCCCGCCTCACCGCTGATGTCGATGCTCTCGACATTGCCGCCACCAAGCTCAACCTCGTTTAAGCGAATTCTGGTGCATGGGATGGAAAGGACCTGGGATACCCAGCTGGAAAAAGCGATGTGTTATGCCCGGCGTTCATGGGCACGTAGTCACGGCGACTCGAATGAATCAATTCAGCATGACGCCACTACAAGTGTGTGCGCGACCTTCAAATGATACCCCTACAGTACTTGATTTGCGTCTCTATGGCCTTTGGTGAAATCGCGCTCCATTGAATTGTTTCCCAAAGCTTAAGTGACAGGCCAAATTGCGCACCGCATACAAGAGACGATTTCGGAAACATTGCAAGGAACAATGCAAATTTTTGCAACCTCTCCTACAGAAAATACTTGTTTCAAATGAATTCAGTAGCGGAACGTCGACTGTACGGTTCAACAGGAGTGTCTTGAATTTGTGCAGTTACAGGCTGTCAGTGATCGTCGCAGACATCTATAAAAGCACAGGCCATCCATCTTAATAGTCCATTTCCATCATCACTTCAGAACCTGTACGCTAACACGACACAACTACACGCACCGCTCCCATACCCGCCGTACCGTATATACCAAATATCGAAACCCCCGCGAACACATATACAACCAAAATGGACGGACTCGGCGGCGGCCTCGCAAATGTAGACGTCACCCAGCTCAGCGACGCGGACAAGCAGCAATTGCAGCAGTTCGTCGTCAACGAGGGTCAGAAGGCGCGCATTCAGTCATGTACGTCGGTTCCGTTCTCTCTTTATGAACAATGAGCCAATTACCTGAGAACAAGCGCTGATCTGAAATGTAGCCATCCACAGCCTGACAGACACATGTTTCCGCAAATGCATCCCCGCCGGCACAATCAAGAACGGAAAGCTCGACAAGTACGAGGAGCCCTGCATGAGGCAATGCGTCGATCGCTTCTTGGATGCGAACCTGGTTGTTCTGAGGGAGTTGGAGCGGCTGAGGCAGTAGACCTTCAAGGCGGAAATTGAGGGCTTTAGGATTAAGAGCAAAAAGTGCATGATGTGACGCTCTGCGCCGTAAGAGATGAGCGAAGTGTATATTAGGGCTCCGCTATACGGGCTGTACAATATGGAAAGACCAGGACCGATGTACCGCAATTGGGGCATCTGTACGAGATGTACGAATTCAAAGAGATTCTTCACACGGAGTTTTCCGGTTCGATCTGGTAGGAAGCAGAGACAATATTACGAGACTAAGGAGCAAGGCAGGGCAGCACTTACCCGCACGGCAGATCGGGAAGAATAGTGAGTATGCTGTAACATTGCAGCCACATAACACTCACTAACGAGCTCTTTAGCACGTTGACTACCTCCACTCCTAGTACGCAAAAACGAATCCCAAACTGGCCACCCAAGTCATCATCTTCCACACGTCCACACCAATCAAGCTCGCCGCTCCAGTTGTCTCGTTGCCACCTGTACTGTTGAACCTGTTCAACGTATCCTGCACGCTCGCTTTCGCTCTGCTACCCTCTGTCACCTGCCCCGGCGCAAGACACGCAATCTGCACCCGGTTCGCGTCGCCCCTGAATTTCCGTCCTTGCGGAATTGTGGGGAAGAACGTCATGATATCCATAATCGGGAAGTTGGTCGCTAGGTCGTAGTCCTGGATAGAAACGTAGATGCCGAAAGAACTGGAAAAATTGCGTCCATCACACACCAGCTGACTATTCTCGTTGAGACCCTCCCGGGTGGAGTTGTCTAGCAAGTGGGGGAAATGCGACGAGAGACTGGAGTTGAATTCCGGAACCGCTGTGCTGCGTCAGCTTCGCCCTCGCAATATGCCAGTATGGGAAGAACCTCAGCAACGACTTACGCAAACTCCTTGGCATCAACATTCCACTACTCGTACACTCCCATGGTACGGTTGTGTTGATGTCCGCACAGCCGCTGTACTGCCTCCGCTCGCTGGTCCCTGCATTGAAATACTGGATTCTCAACCTCGCCAAACACTCTTCACTGACCATACTCCTACAGTCTCCCGTATCCTGCACACTCTTCTCCAGCGTATCATAGCTCCATGTCACATTCCCACCGATTTGGAACTGCAGCGGTACGAAAGTATGGCATGCGCGCATCGTGCGCCCGAGGCGCTCAAGGTCAGAGTCCCCGACATCTAGCCATAAATATGTATCTGTATCGGGTGGTTTGGGAGAGTGTGGTTGTATGTAGGAGCTCAGCGTCCAGTTTGATCCGGTTACATTTCTGATCAGCACATCGCCATCATCAGGGTCACCGAGGATGGAGACCGTGATGGCAGGGATAGTGACGGACGAGGAGGCGTTGTATGCAAGTTGCGGTGCGATGGCTGAGCATTGGGGAGAGTCCTGAGCATAAGACGAGGCGGAGAGTAGGAGCGTGATGATTGAGTACTTGAGGGCTATGGACGACGACATTCCGTTTCGGTGTTTTGCTGTGATTCCGCGCTCCATCAAAACGGGCTTTGGAGGTGTTCAAGTATGCTTTCCCAGCATGCCTATGTAGAGCATTGCCCTAGTGTTATTACCTACGTCACATCAATCACTCCGCACAGCCAGTCTCAGAAGTCATGTGTGCCAACAATACATCCTTGGCTGCTTGCCTGAACGTGAGAATGCGGCGTCATTTGTTGTTGTATTACCTATGGTGTCGATCACAAGGCTATGCAAGGCTAAGGTGCCTCGTATCCGGTGGGGGGACAATGGTACACCCACCAAGAAGCTTGGTTACGCTTATGGTCACCAATTGGCTTTCATAGCTCACGAAGCCCACCGGAATGAGCGTGTCTCACGCCCGAAGTGTAAGGTCGCCCGCCCAGACGGGCGGAAGGTAGTCTTATGGCACCCTGGATGATTTAAGTTTGTCTAGGGACGAGGGCGAGGTGTCTTTGAGGAGTAAAGTTGTTTGTGACGTATTGACAAGAGCGCTGTGATAACCCTAAGGAGATCCTCACCAATACCTTCGTGGTGCCAATACTCTGACTACCTCCAGGTGTGACAATTGACCCAACACTTGTACAGCGACGCTTGTAAGACGTTTCTTCATCTACCCTCGTTGCATCGTAGATTAGATGCTCTCGCTACGGTCTTCTACAATTCCGGAGACCTTCAAGTATCCTGCAGTGCTGCTTCGATGGATATGCTATTTCCAGGCTTTTCGCGATGCCGGAGTATAGTCGATTATGCGCGTGGTGAAAGCCCCCATCTTTAATGTGTACGATGACTCGATCACCTCTTCCTCGGTACCTTTGGCGCGGGTAGATTCTCCCTCCTCCTGATCCTGACTCTCACATCATTCCTCGGCACCTTAACACTCGCCGCATCAATCACCTGAGGAAGGACCCAAACACCTTTCTTGTCTTCCCCATCTTTATCCACACGGCTGTCGCCCTTGACCACCTTGCCATGGCCATCCAGCGCAGCACCACCAGCGTGTATTTCATCACGCACTTCGATCATCTTCTCGATGAATGTCTTCTTCGGCGCAGGACTGACATCCCAGAGCTGAACGATGCCTGCTATGATAGAGACTAGTAGCGCAGTCTTGTAGTCCTTGAAGTCATCACCTGGAAGGTCAATGGATGGACCGGGCGCAGATCTGGTGAACCGATCTGGCTTGAACGTATCAGGCGAAGTAAAATTTGCGGATGAGCTGTTGATCAGACTTCTCGATAACCCGATGTCGAAGAGGGAGCCAGCATCGAGCTCCCACTGTTCCTGAACGCCGGGACGGAGGCTCTTTTCGTCCAGAACAGTGGACTTGTTGAGTAGAAGCATCGTAGCCGAGGAGTTATAGAGGCGTCGAGTTTCGTTAATGCAAGACAGGAGGTATGGAAACGCGGTCGGGCTTTGAAATTGAGCGGAAGAAGCAAATGCAATTTCTGGTGGCGCGGGAAACAACGGATGGATCGACGGAGGCTGGACGGCTTGCGCCCATGGCTTGGTCTCTTCCTTGATCTTCTCCAATGGAGTGTCTTTGTCACTCTGTGCTAACGGCCAAGTCGAGGCGGAGTAGACGTTGAGTAGAGTCCAAAAGAGGAGTGGGACGACCTCTCCAACGATACTATGTATCAAATCGATCGCCATAGCAGCTCGTGCCGAAATAGGTACATCGTGTTCAGAAAATAGCTCGTTCAGTGCTGCAAGAGGCGTCGTGGTGTCGGCGTCCGTTTCTTCTCCACTCATGCTCTCGTCATCCTCCCGTACCCTCCTCACCTTTGGGTTTGTGAGCTCGTCAAATAACCCAGTGAAGTGGTGTAAAAGCCGCTTTCTTGCTAGTGCTGCTGTCGGGAGGCCTTGAATCGGCGACAATCGTGGGATCCCAAGGGCTAGGGCGTAATAGTGTCTGTTGATGTCCGCTAGATCAGATGCGAGCAGTTGGTAAGAATCCGGAAATTGTGTACCGGCGAGAGGTTCAAGTATCGCGCTACAGCAGAAGTCATTGATCAAAGTGAAGAAGTCGCACTCCACCTCCGAGGTTCCATCTGTCAATTCGATGTTGGCCACTCGCTCCCATTGCAATTGGTCAACGATTGACGAATTGAAGGTGATTAGGTCCGGCAGAGAGTCCTTGAGAATTTTCCGTGATGCGGAGACCAGAGCTTCCATTGACTTCAAGTTGAAGATCTCGGTGTGGACAGCCTCGTCAATCTTCGGACGCAACTCAAAGTATCTGCCCTCAAAGGCTTTTGGCATACCGAATGTGTTTCGTAGTACTGCACATCTGGTGTATTCATGCTCTTTCAGGCCGCTGCACTTCTTGTGGAATTCTTCTAGGAGAGAAGTTGTAAGGACGACCAAATGCTTTGCACCAGCCGCCTGGTACGAGATGATGCTATGCGCTGATGAATCCCTGACGCCCTTCAACCACTCTTCTTCGCCTGAAACGATGCTTCCCAGATGTCGAACTCCGGGAATCCAGTATGGCAGCGATTGTATCCTGCTCTTCCCGCCATCCTTGCTCTTGCTTGTGTTTCCGGCGCCGGAGAGCAGTCTGGTTGGTAGAAGTAGAAACACTGCCGATAGAGCAAACTGTGGCAAGATATCGAACCAAGAGAAGTCTTCGCCTACGAAGCTCTGGAGCAATTCAAAAAGTCCGTAGTAATAGGCTATGGCTAGAGTGAAAGGGCTGAGTAGTAGAGAGTACCATGTTGGCAAGAATAGTGTACTTATGAGGCCATTGGAGGCATATACAGCCACGAAGAGACCCTTGAGCGCCATATTGGCGTGTTGCTGGTGTCGTCGAGGCCGATTCCGGGGGTAGGGCGGTTGGAAGGCACGCTGACATGCGACTTCGCGCTAAGGCGCCTCTTCGGGCCATAGCGCCCTCGCTTCCATGCCCAAAGAAGCCTTTAGTCATGTAGCTCTGATACACCTCTTGTCACTTGTGCATGTCAAGAACCTAAAACCTCAGCTGCGAGCAACATCAGCCCTGTGACAGCCCTATCAGAGCCCTGTAAGTATTGATGTGGTCGAGTGTGATCGGGCGCACCGCCCTTCAGCCCTCCTTTACAATCAATTCCGCAACACCAGTCATACCTGGCTGCTTACAACATCAACATTATGAAATTGGCAGAATTGAGAATTGAGAGGTCTTGAAGCCATATATCAACCCAAGAGGATCGATCTTCTCGAGTCCATCAATTCTAACTTCCCCGCAGATCCCAACCACATGCGGCCCTGAGGACCGAAGTCAATACTACTTCAACTACGCTATCAGACGCCACAACGAGCTTGCCCAGTCTCCAACAATCTACAGCCCATTTACTGATTTCAATTGGCTATTTGCTATTCGCGATCACATTTTTGGATCTATCAGTCTAGACCAAGCTACCAGAATGACCTCAACACCATTGCCTGAGCACCTGAACTTCATCACGGGCAACAAGAACAAGCTCGCAGAAGTCCAAGCTATCCTCGAAGGCGTCATTGAGCTGCGAAACCAGAATGTCGACCTCGTCGAGATCCAGGGTACCGTCGAAGAGGTCACACTAGACAAGGCACGACGAGCAGCAGAAGCAGTACGTTCACTCATCACCTTGAATAGCTGTTCTGATCTGTTGCTAACGCTTGTATAGATCGGAGGCCCTGTGCTTGTAGAAGACACATGTCTCTGCTTCAAAGCCATGAACGACCTTCCTGGGCCATACATGTACTGTTATCACCGTCCTGTTGTTCCATGCCTATTGTGCTAACGTGGTCCTTAGCAAATGGTTCATGCTCTCCCTCGGCCCCCTCGAACTGCACAAGATGCTGGCCGGCTTCGACGATAAGTCCGCACAGGCCGTGTGCACATTCGGGTACTGCGCAGGACCTGGCCACGAGCCGATTACGTTCCAGGGGCGTACGGATGGCAAACTGGTGCCGAGTCGAGGACCTACTATTTTCGGTAAGCAGATGCTCATTCACGACAGCAGTGGTGCTCGTGTGCTGACAAACAAACAGGCTGGGACTCCTGCTTCGAGTACGCCGGCACAGGCCAGACATATGCGGAGATGGACAAGGCCGAGAAGAACAAGATCAGCCACCGGGGCAAAGCGCTGGAGAAGCTCAAGGACTGGCTCGCGGCCAGGACCGACGCCTAAGCACACCACCGAAACAAACATAATAGACTCACCATACGCAGTTCTCGTTTCAAGTTTCTCCCTCTTCATCACATCCTTATTCCTCGCCCGCATGGTCCTTTTTCCAATTCTCAACCCACTGCTCAATCCTTTCCAGATTCCCCTCGACATCATCCGCACTATCGCTCCTCAGCTCGACGACAATCTCCTCTTTATACGCCTCCCGCGCCTCGTCAAGCAGGACCTGCATGATCTCACTGTCCATGTTCTCGTCAAGCTTCTTCTCCTTGTATCCTCTCGCAGTAAGGCGGTCGTAAAGGATGGTCGAGTCGCAACGCAGGACAACGACGAGATCGATCCAGCGTTCGGGGAACAGGTCGCAGGCGTGCCAGTCGAGGATGCAGCCGCCCTGCTCGGAGATGTGGTGTTCTTCGAGGTAGTCTAGGAGCTGCGTGGCTGTGTTAGCTTGCGAATGTAGTGGGCTCCAGACTGCGGTGAGCTCCAGACCGCAGTGAGCCCTGTAGAGTAGCAATCGCAAGCTGCAGTAATCCCCTCAAGCGCATGTACATGCGCATCCTCGCGAGAGGAGCCCAAGACTACACATCGTCTTCAACACGCACCTTATCCTCGTCCACGATCCAGCTGCCAGTCTCCTCATCCTTGCCCTCATGAAACCCCTCATCCTTAACAATCTGATTAACAGAGACGTGTTTGAGTTCCGTCGCGCTCGCCAGCTGCTCGGCATGTGTTGTCTTGCCCACGCCGGGGGTGCCCGTGATGATGATGTTCGGGTTCGTGCGCGCCATTGTGCTGTGTGCCGTGATTCTGGGCTGGAGGATTGGAAGCAGGATTCGTGTGATCTCGAAGAAGGTATCAAGCTGGCGAGACAGGCAAGAGAGTGTTGGGTGTTGAATGTTGGAGACTAGAATTGGTCTTGCTGCTGTGCATGCGGCCGTTCTCGAAAATTATTTGGCTAGGCTGAGCCCCGCCAATCACTGCCCCGCACTAGTGGTGTGACAATCCCTACCACTCGGGACCTCGAGATGCGGTCAGTGAGTACTGCGCTTGCATGGGCGTAGCTGTGAGCTTCTGGTCCAAGCTGTTACACATGCTCAGTCCTTTGCTGTGGGATATAGTGCGGGCAGCTTTATACATATAACATCGTAAACGCTGGCAAGGGATTGTGTTGTGCGTGAATCTGATGCTCATGTCATTCATTTCGCTCTATATACCAAAACTTTTACTATTCGTCGCTGTAGTCGTGATTCATCCGCTGCTCATCGCTCCCTCACGCTTTGGCACCACCGCAGGGGTCCACACTGTCTTTACCTCGCATGTCTGCAGCTGTTTCGTAGCCTGACGTGTTTGGGGGCGTGCCATGAGCAGGAACTATTATGGGTTGAGTGGAGTGGAGTGAGGGAGGTAGAGCCAGTATAGTTCATGTATAGCTAGAACAACCACCCCAAATCGGCGTCCGGCTCTTTTGATGTAGTGATACGCCGTGTGGAAAACATGAAGTGCTGTGCAAGGATAACGGGAAGAGGTCAGGTTGCGAGCCTTTCACAGCCAGAAGTGCCATCTAGATTGAACAAGCTCAATGCCCGGAGATATCATCGAAGGGGATCGGTCGAAAGAGACATTTAGCTCTGCTTGCACTCAGCAGCCTCCTGCTTGGGTTTTGTGCCGTCGTTCTAAGAATTGTCAGTACCGTCCTATTGTCTTGAAGGACTGTGGTGCTCACCTCGTCATCTGACTCTTCGTCCTCCTCGCGATCGTCGCTGAGCTCATCCTCATCCTCATCATCCTCGTCTTCGAACTCGCCCTCGTCGAAGTCCTCAATATTTTCGTACTGAAGAGCCTCGCCGGTGAACCAGTCGATGGCGCGGGGGATGAGCTTCTCCTTAATGTCCTCACCCAGCTGGTAGTCAAGCTCGAGGCGCTCCTCGATGTCGGAGGAGGCGTCATCGTCTTCGTCCTGGGGAGGGCTTGGGGGGTCGAAGAAGTTGAAGAACGACTCTGTGGGAACGGTCTTCTTGACGACGCGAGTCTGCTTTGTGTCTGATCGAAATTAGTTTGCTGTCTCAGAGACCGACACACTTGACTCACTCTTGTTCCTCTGCTTCTTGCTCTCAACACGGACGGTCAGGTCCTTGCCTGCCTTCCAGTCGATCTTGTCGCCCTCAGCGTGGTCGTAGATAAAGTCGCCACCGTAGCCGTTCTCCTCCTGGTAGAAGTATGTCTTGGTGATGGTCTTGTTGGCGAAGAACTCGTTCTCCTCAAACTCGAAGATGAGGCGGAAACCGGGGCGGTCGAGGTACTCCATGCGGACATCGGTGAGGTGCTTCAGCGCAGCCTCGTCGCGGTCTGTGATCATCTCGGCGAGCGAGATCTGGTTCTTCATAGCGCTCAACCAGAACTCTGGGATACCCTTGACGTCCTTGCCCTCGTCCTTGTTGAGCTCCTTCTCGCCAGCTTCCTCGTCATCCTCATCGTCATCATCTTGCTGCTCGCCGATCTTGACCTGCTCCTCTGTGGGCTCGGTAGAGCCGTTGACAATCTTGGCACGCTCCTCGTACAGAGGTGTGAACTTGGCGAAGTACTTCTTCTCGAGCTGGAGAACCTCCTCCTGGAACTCGGCCTCGAGCTTGGAGTGCTCCTTCTGGACGCCCTTCAGGCCAGCGACACGGCGGCGGACGGAGCCAGGCAGCGACTCGATGTAGCCGCTTGAGCGTCCAACAAGGGAACCGAGCTTTGCCTGCATCATCGAGACCAGGGCGGGGTTTGCAGCGAATAGTCCAGCAGCGGCGCGGTCAAGCTCCTCTGTGAAAATTCGAATTAGCGGTCAAGAACATCTGCGGCGCCAGTGCGCGGGGTTGGAGGGGCAGCAAAACAACAGGATAGAAAATCGAGTACAGCATACCTTCTTTGATGGTGCCGACATTGGGCTGCTGGGCGCGCGACGAGATGGGTGCAGCATTGGCGGGTGTGTTTTGCGGTGTGCTGGTAGGCTGCTTGTTAGACCTGGGGACGTCCATAGCGGCGGTTGGGTTGGAGAGTTTGTGTGTAGTGTCGGGAAAAACGCGTCGTGGGGCAGAAAGAGACTTACGGAGCAGAGATGGAGTCCATCTTCTTATTGCGGATCGGTTCAGACATCTTGGCAGAGGCTCTGTGATTCCGCAACGCAAGGTGGCAAAATGTTGAGGGATGTTGTGTGTTGGTCAGTCAGTGCCTCTGCAACTTTCGGCGGGATTTGGAGGGGGCGTCTAGCGTTGGATCTTGAGCGGGCTGCGGTTAGCGGCAGGCCGAGCGTGAAAGAACGACCGTAGACTACTGAACGCGCGTGTATGACGGACTGGCACACGATAGCGTGCTTGGGGGCCAGAGGAAAACTTGTTTGCTTGTTTGCTGCGTGGACGTGGACGTCCTGGGCTTTTGAGCTTTCTCTAATCGTGCCGTGCAGATGCTGCACGTGGTTCCTGCCATGCACATCCACGAGAAGCAGCGACTCGATTCTCTCTGCCCGCCATCATTGCTCTCAGCAGTTGCCCGGTCATTACACTGTTAGCGCCGACATTGGCCGCAGGCACCTTTCTTTGATCCCTGTCCCTCCCTCTGCTACACACACTCCTCCACAGATTGGGCGCCTTGAACACCCAGGAATGCCATGACAGCATGTCGGTTGCGGCATCGGGCTGCTGCCTCGCTAGCCTAGCCAACCTGAGGCGTACCCGACAGCGCGCTGCTGAACCTTGGGATGACTTACAGAAGTCAATCGTTGCAAGGTCGCTCTCTGGGTGTCTGTGAGCCCTGCATGCTTCCATCCACGGTCAGTCTCCGAGCCAAACTTTCCTGTGTTCTAGAAGAAAGCGGGGGCCGTACAGGAATTTCTTGCTAGAAAACTTACCCGCCGCCGTCATTCACGACTAGTCGCATCGCCTGAAGAGGAAAGGCTGCCAGGACTGGGGAAGGGGATGCTTGCACGTCACCTCGACCGAGCTCCGAGTCCGGCAATACTACCGAATGTGCATGCATGCTTACTATGGAGCTCTTGATATCAACAACTTCAATTGGGACGAGGAAGCTGAGACTGCATTTTGTGCTCGCACACAATGCCCAAACACAGGCCACAGTATCAAAGCGTGGTCTTGATTGTCTCGTACCCAGTCGTACTAAGACCAACGCTTATCTTCGCAATTCTGATCTGTCACTGATGCTCAGGCCAGTGCAGCACCTGCGCACTTGTACACAAAGTTTGGGCTCGGCAACCATTGAGATTACGTTGGTCGAAATAGGTGCCCAAAGATTAGCCATTGCTTCTCTTATTTCAATTCGAGCCGCAGCCTGAGCAAGGCCAATGCTTACGCTCACAGATGTGACTTCGTGCTGCTGCCCTACAGCCGACTGCCAGACTGCCAGACTACCAATGCAAATGTGAAATGACCTAAACAAGACCGGCTTTACGAACCAAAGCAGATATGAAGCTACGGAAGTTACTCGAACGAGATGAGGGACGTGAAACAGAACGCAGCAACAGTCCTGATTCCAGACTTCTACAACAGTGCAGGAACACTTCCAACATACTTCACTTGCGACGACTGTCCATCTTGATTGTATCTCCACAAACATCACTCCTCCTTCAAATTAACTTCAACACCCTCCGCCCGCCTCCAAAATCGCACAACCTCCTTCGCGATATTCTCCGGACTCAAAACCTTGTTCCCCGGATCCACAACGCCCTGCACATTGACCAGTCCGCAGTGCACGCCCGTCCCGCCAAACGCGCGGCTCAACGATAGAACATGCGTGCGCTGCGCGCCTTTCACAAGAGAGAGCGAGATGAGTTGCGGCACAGGATCCCAGGGGAGATGGCTGTTTGTGACGAGCAGCGCGGGCTTAAGAGCTGCATTTGACTTGGCGGTTGCTTGCAAGCGCGGGATGTAGTGTTGGGCGATCATGTGGAGACCAAGGACCTGTGTCTGTATTGTGTCAACTCGATGTTCTTTTTTCGAGTGTTCAAAGGTTCTGATGCTGGTTTGGCGCGGAGGGGACGCACTCTGAAATCTTCGTCGATCTCTTTCACGACAACTCCCAGCACGGGGTCTGTAGGCTTGATTCGCGCGGCGTTGTAGTAGACGACTTCCACATCTTCGCCTTCGGTCAAATCATCCAGATCCTTTAGCACCTGGGGGATGGAGTTCAAGTCGCTCAGGTCGGCGCGTAGAGTGTCGACCTTGACATTCGAAGCGGCTTTTTGCACAAATGGAGCGTCTTGGTTCTGCAGACGCTCCGTGTTGCGGCCTAGGAGGACGATGTGCTCGATCCCGGCGGATGCGAATGCTGCGGCTACATTGTCGCCTATGCCCGGACCGGCGCCGAAGAGGAGCAAGGTGCGTGTCATGCCGACGGAGAAGGAGATGTTGGTTGGAGTGTATATGTTTTGTCGTGTCGAGTTTCGACGGACTGGTGTCCGGCTTTATACGTATAGCGATGTAATGGCGAGCCATTGCGTATGGCGTCAGTTTTCACTTAGCCTGCCATTAACTAGTACGCATATAAGGCGGACTGTACTTCGTACATGCAGGCAACTGCAGATGGTGCTGGTGGAGAGTCTTGCAGGAGTGTATTTCATGAAGCCCCATGGCTTGCGAATGCTGGAGACAGGTGTGAAGCTGGCTACCGTGCTGAAATGTATGTTGGAGTCTCTGCACTGTGCAGACGGTTTACAAATCTATGCTCGAGAAGAGCTGGGGGAGGTGGAGGGCCCCACATAGCGCTGGTGCGCGTCGATGTCATCCCGCAGAACTTCGAGCGTGGGATCTGTGGTGAGGCTGGAGCTCTGCGATTCAACGCGGCCTGTCAGCACAAGTTTACGGCGCATGTGCAAGAATGGATTTCTCCGCGGAAGACGATAAGGCGCTGCGCCAGTTCTTGCCAACCCAGTTTGGCAAGACGGAGGGAGGCGTAGATGTTGCGGCGCAAATCGAGCGCGCGCGCAGACCAGTGGTGGATGAGAGCAAGCAGGGCAAGAAGGTGGAGGACAAGAATTCGGACGACGATAGCGACGACGATAGCGACGACGACGAAGACGAATTCCCTGTCTCTCATGAGCTGGTTGTCAAGACGCACGACCGCGCCGTCACGACGATTGCGCTGGATCCTTCCGGCAACCGAATGGTGACGGGGAGCACCGACTGCACACTGAAGCTGCACGACCTCGGCACGCTGACACCGAGCACGATTCGCGCCTTCAAGACAGTCGATCCGTTCGAAACAAAGCCCTCGCAGACCGCCGAGTCGCATCTGATCCACCAGGTCTTGATCAGCCCTCTCTCGGGAAGCCAGTTCCTGTGCGTGACGGCGACACCCCAAGCGCGGCTATTTAGCAGGGATGGCGCCCTCACGACCGAGTATGTCAAGGGAGACATGTACCTGCGGGACAAGCACAACACAAAGGGGCATACATCGGACCTCACGAGCGCGGCCTGGCATCCTACCAACAGAGACAGGTTTGCGACGGCAGGTACAGACAGTACGGTGCGCATCTGGGACGTCAACAAGAGGATGAAGCAGGAGGAGGTCATCGTGCACAAGTCGCGAGCAGCGGGGAGTGCAGGCATGACACGAATGACAGCTATTGCCTGGGGAGCCGCTGCGGAAGGTGGCAGCAGCATACTGGTTTCAGCAGCGCTCGATGGCAGTCTGGTCATGTGGGGTGGTGAAGGCCCATTTCACCGTCCCTCGGCAGAGATCCGCGATGCGCACCAGAAGGACACATGGACGAGCGGCCTAGACATCAGCGCCGACGGAAGGCTGGTCATCACACGCGGCGGCGACGACACAATCAAGCTGTGGGACACACGCAAGTTCAAGACACCGCTCAACACCACATTCCACCTCTCCACATCCTCGCAATACCCCACATCGAACATCAAATTCGCGCCAAACTCGGCCAGCATCATCACAGGCTCCGAGACAGGCCACCTGCACATCCTCAACCCCGCGACCCTGCGCCCCGAGCTCGTCACACCCGTCACCCCCGGCTCGCCGCTGATCGCAGTAACCTGGCATTCCAAGCTGAACCAGATCTTCACCGGCTCCGCCAACGGGCAGACCACCATTCTCTTCTCACCCACACTCTCCTCCGGCGGCGCCCTCACAATCCTCAGCAAAGCGCCCAAGAAGCGGCATCTCGATGACGACCCCAATCTGACCGTGGACATGGACCCGCTAGGCATGGCAGGCGAAGACCAAGGCGGGCGAGCAACCGCCGGTTCTTTCACAGCGCGGCACCCCACGATCGGCCTCACAGCGTCAGGCAAGAGCCGGGATCCGCGGCGTCCGCACATCCCCGCCGTGACGCCGTTTGCGAAGAGCACGCCGGACCAGAAGTACGTGATGGAGCAGATTGAGGGCAGCGATATGCGCGATGAGGATCCGCGGGAGGCGCTGCTGCGATACCAGCCCAAGGCCGGTGAGAAGAATGTCTTCACTGGCGCATGGGATAAGTCTCAGCCCAAGGGGATTTATAGGGAGGACGATAGTGATGAGGATGAGCCGGCGGGGAAGAGGGCGAAGAGGTAGGATGTATGCGACGCGTTGTGAAGTTGAAGGGGAGGTTTGGAAGGCTTAATATACCCAAATCCATACCTATGGAGCCACCGTGTTATTTCGATGCTTATGAAAAACGGAGTACTAATTATGGCTGTGTCCTCGTCCTTTAGACCTCGTCCTTTAAGCGTATCTTGGTTCGTGAACCCCCAGGACCGTATGCTTACCCTCATCCTGCTGTCAACAACCTTACTTGAGATATCCAGACCTCACATCCCAGCTCTCACTAATACTCCCTCCTCCCTCTCACCCCACCCAGCCCTCCATCCCTCCTCACATGCGCCATAGGCGCTACAGGCACACCCCCCATCTTCTTCCCCCCGAGCACTGAGTTCCCCAAAAATACCGCAGCGCCAGCGCCCGACCTACGCAGCTCAGGCCCGGCCCGCTCAAAGCCCTGCTCGAGCCCGTGCTCGCGATCAGCTTCAAACTGCTGCTTCTCGTCCTGCTGTGCGAGCTGTCCCAGCGCGGCGCTGATGCTGCTGCTATTCGCCTTGGACAAAGAAGCCGTGTATTCCTGCCGCTTGCGCAGCAGCTCTGAGCCGGGGGCGTGAAGGTGCGCGGACGGATTGTCGACGGTGCGGTCGCGGGTTTTACGTGTGCAGTCGCGGGGAGGTGGGGGGTGGTCGTTTGGTGAGCACGTGGGAGTGCGCGGTGCGGTTGGCGCTGAGTTGGATTCGGGCGCGTGGCGCGGGAGGGAGTGGGCGCGGGCGCGGGAGGGCTGTGGGGGCTCTGGGTGGTGCTCGGCCTCGTGAGTGCTCGTTTCGTGGTGCTGCTGGGTTGCTTGCAGGAGGCGGGGAGGCGGCATCTGGTGCTGGAAGCCGTCCGAGTCTTCCTGGTATCGCTGGGCGGTGGCACTGTTATCGCCATGGCGTTGGCTTGCGATGACGACGTGCGAGCGAGCAGCGAGCGCTGGCGTTCCCCTAGCCTCCTTTACTGGTGTCGATGTGCGACTTCCGCTGTTGCTTTTTTGCTGGGTTGGTGTGGACTCCTTCCTGCTCTTCCCGCTCATAGTGCGAGGCGGCGCGTACGCGCTCTCGAACTCCTCGAGTGCTCCCTTCAGCTCAACGACGGCCTTGTGAAGCTCCGGGAAGTCACTGCCGACGTTGGCGTAGACCGAGACAACATTCCACGATGCGACGATCAAATTGTCGAAGTTGGGGAAGGCGGTCTTGATGATGTTGTCAAAGAGATTCACCTTAACCTGCGCAGGTATGGCATTGAATGTCTCGCTCTTGATATTCTCGGGGATCGTCTCCAGCCCAATCCGTTGACGCTTGTTCGAGGCATGCTTGACGATCTCTCTACGCTTGCGAGAAGTGCCATCTGTGATGTGTCAGTTATGAACGCGGTTCAGATCGATAGTCCAACCCACCCCGAGATGCATCTTCAATAGTCTTGAACTTTGCTGGATTCAGCCTGGCAACTGTCTAAAAGGATTTAGCGTAAGTCTCGAATGTCTCCAAGTGATACTACAAAGGCCTTTAGCTTCGAAAAACGCACCTCTCCATCTTCAAACTTCGCTGGCGGATGACCAAGCATATTGTATGCAACGCGTCTGGCCTCGTTAATCTTCTCCATTCGTGCGTGTATGGCCTTGTACTTCGCTTTGAACAGCGGAAACATGTTCTCCGCAACGAAGCGATGGATACTGACCGAGGCCAGCTCAGCGTCGTCCCTCGGTAGCGGGTCCTCTGTGCGCATCTCGAATCGCCCATCTTCGAATGTCAGGTAAGCTCGGTACGTCACCCCACCCTCCTCGGGGAACTGGACATTGCCTAGGTCGAAACGAGTGGCATGGTCTCTGATGGTCACTTGCGCAAGCGGAGGGTGAACAGTGCCATTGATGTTCTTGTACGTGGGTGGCTCATCTGCAGTAACACCATCGAGGTAGCTGTCCAAGTGCGCCGGCTCAAGGTATCGAAACTGGTCACGCAAGATGAGTGCTCGCTTCTGTGGCTTATTGAGAGAACTCAATGTCGGCATATCGCCAATGTCTCCAGGAATCATTGCAGTGGTCGGTCGAGTCGAGCGTGGAGTATTTGAGTTAGTCAATCAGGCTAACAGTCAGCAAGGTTGAGGGAGTTGGTAAGTCAGTAGTGCAAGGTAGGAGAGACAGTGGCTCCTCAGACCGAGCTGATATTTATGCTCGCACTGCTGCAGACGTGGCGATACTCTCTCACCTGGCGTAGCTGAGAGACCAACGTAGAGATCGAAGTAAAGGTGATCAAACCCCAAGCTCTTGCGTTGGCGTCGAAATTCATGGTGAAGTGAACAACTGGCTGGTGGTGAGCTTTGTGCTGACAGTCTCATGGGTAAAGTCTAAGTATGCCAATGATGATGAGACGGAGGGCGGGGCATGGCACTGTACTCCCTGTCCAGGCTCCATGATTATGCATCAGTTGTTGACAAGAGGTCGTAAGAACGCGAGAAGGCTGTTCATTAGTGCAGGTTGGGGAAAGGCGCCGATGGCCTTGAGGAAGCTACGTCGATGGTCATGTGTAGGAAATGGCACCGATGATGAAATGACTCGACCTGGTACATATTACTGCACCGTGCAGAGCGCATGTTGAAGTCTACTGATACATGTCAATAAAGTCTCGAGTCTTAAAGCCGTGTCGTACCCAAGCCTCCTTCTCTCCAAGCCTACAAGTACAATCCCTCGGGCTCACCCTCGCTCTTCGTCTTCAGTACGCGCTCTCTGGCTTGGCGGAAGTCATCCATTTGTACCCGCATCCTGCGCTCGCGAAGAGCCAGGAGACCAGCCTCTGAGCAGATAGCCTTGATGTCGGCGCCAGACAGGTCGTCCTTCTGGTTGATGAATTCGTCGAGGTCTACGTCCTCGTTTAGAGACATTTTGGAGGTGTGCAGTGTGAAGATCTTCTTCTTCGTGTGTTCTGACATATGTTAGTAGATGCTCCTAAAGTCAGTCTGGAGGACTTACGGTCAGGGTTCTCGAAGAGAATCTTTCGGTCGATACGACCAGGTCGGATGAGAGCAGGGTCGAGAGTGTCGATCTTGTTGGTGGCCATGATGACCTTGACGTCACCACGGTCGTCGAAACCGTCAAGCTGGTTGAGCAGTTCCAGCATGGTTCGCTGAATTTCACGCTCACCACCAGACGTCGACTCGTAACGCTTTGTACCGATGGCATCGATCTCGTCAATGAAGACGATGGATGGCGCGTTCTCGGCAGCGGTCTGGAACAGCTGTCGCACGAGCCTGGGTCCGTCACCGAGATACTTCTGGATCAGCTCACTTCCTACAATACGCAGGAAAGTGGCGCTAGTCTGGTTGGCTACAGCCTTTGCTAGTAGCGTTTTTCCGGTACCAGGCGCACCGTAAAGGATGACTCCCTTCGGAGGTTTGATGCCCATCTCCTCGTACAGCTCAGGGTGTAACAGAGGGAGCTCTACAGCCTCTCGCACTTCCTGTATCTGCTGCTCCAGACCACCAATATCCGCATATGACTCTGTAGGCGCCTTGTCGATCTTCATGGTGGAGACCAGCGGATCCGCGTCGTCTGTGAGCACACCAACAACCGACACCGACTTGTGATGCAGCAGGATGCTCGCGCCGGGCTCGAGGAGGTCTTTGTCGACGAAGGACATGATCGATACGTAGTACTCGGGGCCGGTCGCACTCGAAACGATAGCGTGGTCGTCGTCGATAAGTTCCTCCAGGTTACCAACTCCCATGGGGCTGCCGCGCATGTCGTCAACCCGCGACCTCTCGTCAGCGTTTCGGTCGGCAGCTTCCGGATCGGCGTTGACGTTCAAGGGCCCTGCTCCTTCCTTCACTGCCTTTGCCTTGCGGATCCGCTCCTGGTTTTCGACGTACTCCTCCTCCAGCAGCAAGTGGTCGTGGATGCGCTGCATACGCAAGTACCGTAATTTGCATCGTGCTGTGGGGTAGACGGTGGGCAGCTTCGCGGCAGCGCTGGGGCCGGCAGCCCTCTTCTTCTTCCTGCCGATGCGGGTGGTAGGCTGTGGTGGCGGCTCATACTTTGGCTTCTCCTTCTGCGGGCAAACATAAGTATCGCGAGGAGAGGCAGACTGAATACATATAGCATCCTGCCTGCGTGCAGTTCAACATACCTTATCTTTCTTGCTCTTATCGTCACCGGGAGCGCCTCCGCCTCCAGCGCTGGACTGCTGGTTACCCTGCACGTTGTCAGTATATACGCCGCCGCGTTTCACGTGGGGGCGATCGTACCATGACACACGATCACGTAAGCGGCTCTGCTGTCGAGGGCGGTTGAAGTGGAGAGGAAATGTTCGGAGGGTGCAGGCGATGCTGCAGGCGACGGCGGTGGTGCGGTGGTGATGGTGATGGTGTTGTTTGTAACTGGCTGCTTCGAGCTGATTGTCGGAGCTCGGTCAACCGCCAAGCGCTGACGCCACTGCTTCACCCCCAGCGTCCGCCTCACTCGCCTTAGAACAACAGACACGTCAAGTGCACGCGTGCCCTCATAATATACTATTGAATACACATAGCTGCTGTTCCTTCCTCTCTGACTCCGCTCCTTACACGCGCCATAACCACGTGAGAAACACAATCGTGTCCGGCCCCGCTCTGAATCACCTCCAGCTCCCCCACGTCGGCGGCTGTGAGGTACTCTTGATACCAACCAACCTCGTTCACGCGACCACTACAGTCAGCGTAAGTTTATGTTGCCGCGCTCTTAAGAGCCATATCTATCACTACAATTCGCCTGTGACGCACTCGCTAGCCCCTCTTGGCTGCTGCTGCCTCTTGAGCCTCAGGCTGACCTTCTGCGCAGGGCTGAACCCTACTTGCTGCCTGCCCATAACCGAACGCAGCCCTTCCCCCTCCTCCCCACATCCTCAACCTTCGATCGAACATCCCTTCCGCTATGGCGTCTAATAGAGCGAGGCGCATCGCCAAAGAGATTGCTGACATCCAAAACGACAAGCTCTCCCAGATTGTAGTAGAGCCCGCAGGGAACGGCGACGACCTCACACATCTTCGCGGCCAGTTCTTCGGGCCACCCGATACGCCGTACGAGGGCGCCACATATCATGTCGATATCAAGATTCCCAGCGAGTACCCGTTTCGACCGCCGAACATGAAGTTCGAGACCAAAATCTGGCACCCCAATGTCAGCTCTCAAACAGTAAGTCTGAGCAAGGCATGGAATGAGTAGACTGCTAAATAATCCAGGGTGCCATTTGCTTGGACACACTATCGTCGCAATGGTCGCCGGTCCTAACGATCAAGTCCGCCCTCATCTCCCTCCAGTCTCTCCTCTCCACGCCTGAGCCCAAGGACCCACAAGACGCAGAGGTGGCCAGTATGTTGATTCGCAACCCCGCCGAGTTCGAACACAAGGCTCGCGAGTGGGCAGTCAAGTACGCCGGCGCACCCAAGAAGGAGATTGCTGAAGGCAGTGGTGGTGCTACAGCAGAGTCCATCACCAAGAAGCGTCAGGAAGCCAAGCAGAACGAAGAGAAGGTCAAGATGGCAGCGTACGTCCTGAAGACTCCGAATGTTGCGTTGGACCTGGCTGACATGATGGCAGATACCACGGCTACAACAAGGACCTCGTCGATCGCTTCGTCGCAATGGGCTTTGATGTCGAGGCCGTTGTAGGCGCATTCGAGTATGTCGGTATCGACAAGATGGGTGGTGAAGACTATGAATTGGAAGAAGCATACATGGGCGACATCACCGCACGGCTGTTCGGCGAGGCATAAGATACAACGGCAAGGAGGTGGGAGATCCCAGTGTAGCGGGAAGAGTTGAATTCACATGGCGTTTGTCATTCATTCTATACAACATCATTGGCGACGGCGTTCGGTATTATTTACACATGTACTGTACTCAGACATGGTCGGAACTTATGATACAACCAAATCCAGGCATTCAGAGGAACGGTTTTTTCGTGCATGCCATTGATGTTTGGACACAACGTGGCTCGATGCCAAGTCAGCTCGCAGTACTTTTGTACGCAGTAGAGCCTGTCTTTTAATGTGCTCGACTAATACAGGTAAGTTACTATCTACTTTACAGGCAGGTGTGACGGGATACGAGGTCTGGTGTTGCAGAAGGAAGGGCTAGAAGCGGTACAGTCGTGCGCACTTACAGACTCACTCAGTGGCGGAGCTCGCACTTCGTATTTGACGTGTCGCTGTTCTACTCCAGGAAAGGTATGCTTTCCGCGAATGTCATCAATGTCAATCTTTTCTTACTTGATACCCCTCGCCTGCAGAATGACGACATGAAAGTAAAGCAAAAATGCTTCCTCATGGCAGTCCAGCAGTCCGTCTCTCCCTAGCTTGCGTTAATCAATATGCTCTTGTTCCTGACCACCCGCTAAAAATAGCTCACACAGCGGCGCCATCCCGCCTACGCAACGGGCGCCACTAGCTCGGAGACGCAAGTTTGAATTTGTGAAGATCTCCAGATCATGCTCGTTCCCAGGTCAATGCCAGCAGGATCCCTGTAGAATACAAGAGGTTACATCGCAGAAGTGAGGACGGCTTCAGGGCGAACACAATCATGGCGGAGGCGCCCAATTTTAGACTGTTAATTATGACAGCACAACGACAAGGAACTGCGGAAATTAGTCGTCGAATGCGATCAACGAAACTCCGCCCTGATGTGCACCCGCCTCCCCTAGTCGGGGACCATAGCTATATAATCACAGCTCACTGCCCCAACTGAGTCTCATCGCAAACCGTCTCAACATCTCCAACACACTCCCACACTCGCTCAACCACCTCACACCAACCACAACTTCACCATGCGTTTCTCCACCGCCGCCATCCTGCCCCTCGCCGCCCTGGCCAGCGCTGCCGTCCTTCCCCGCTCCCAGCTCGGATCCTGGGCCGTCAGCGTCTCGAAGAGCGCGTTCGCCAACGGCTTCCAGTCGGAGACCGCCACCGCAGTGTACACGTCCGACTCATACCCGGCGGGCATCACCAGCTCGTGCAGCTACGAGTACGACCCGACCGTGACGGAGGGTGACAAGGGAACGACCACCTGCACCGAGGGATTCACCTACTCGTATGACGGGACAAGTAAGTGACGATCGATCCTTGTTTTGAATCTATGCTGACCAATACAGCCGTGAGCCTGAGCCAGGTTGTCCAGAAGCCTAGCCCCAATACGACGGTTTTCGGCAGTGCGCCGTTGACGCTGACGAGCAATGCTTCAGGTCGTACTTTCACGGGTCAGACGACTGTTGATGTTTCCTCGGCTTCAGCTTAGATGCGATATTTGGTGGTGAAGATACAGTTATAATGTAATAATTGACAGCCACTGAATTTTTCCGATATGCTGTGAGAATAAGCGGATGAGATCTTGACTTCATAAGCAAAGATGGGTTGAAGATTTGTGTGATGCTTTCGCATCTCAATAACATTAGGAGTTAGCTAAGAGGTACTGTATTTATCATCTCTCACAATCATACCCTAGTACTGGCCGAAGTACTTGCCCTTGCCACGACCAAACGTGGGCTTGACAACAAACGCACCACGGTCAATGGTGTTGATGACCGTGTACCCGCTGGGGAAAGTGTAGTGAGACCATGTGCCAGCATCCCAGATCGCCTGACCACCGCCGGGAACCGCATCGTCACCGGGGAAGACATCGAAATACGCCACCTCGGTGACCTTCGAGCCATCGCTAAACCGGGGAATAGAGCTGACGTCGAGAATGCGAAGGCCGGCCTGGTAGTTGGACTGGTAGGCGAGACCGTCATGCACGAACTGGTTGTGGTCGACGGCACGGGTGGTGGACTTGTAGTAGCCGGAGTTCTTGGGGGCCTCGAGGTTAGTGATGTCCCAGATGTAGGTCGCGGGGTAGCCATCCTTAGCGACGGACTCAGGATCGGTGTCGATACCGCCGTCGATCTCGCCCTCATCCAGCTCGTCATCCATAACGAGGTGGGTCTGCCAGTAGGGGTCGAGGACCCAGCCCTGGTGCGTGTAAGAAGCGCCCTTGTATGGTGTGCGCGAGATGATGGTCGAGGCGTTAAAGCCCTTCTTGTTGGTGACATCGTAGATGGTCAAAGTGTCCTCGTTGTAGCCGTAGCAGATGTCACGGCCGTAGTACTTCTTGTGGGGTCCACGGTAAACGATGCACTGAGCATCGTGGACATAGCCGTCCTGGGGGGCGCAGCCCTCTTTGTAGGGCTTGGTGATATCATCAACGTTGATGAAGATGAGACCGCCAGCACAAGTGTCGTTACGGCCTACACGTCCACCGGAGCCAACAGCCACGGCGTAACCCTTCTCCTCGTTGGTGACGACGTTGTGGGAGCGGCCGACAACACCAGCACCCTCAGTGAGGTCGTTGAACCAAGCAGTGAGGTCGGTCGCTGTGTTGAAGGTCTTAGGCTTCTTGGGGTCGAGCTTGAGGAGCTTCTTGAAATCGAAGATCTGTACTCCGTGGCCTGCACCCTCGGAACCGACAAAGAGGTAATCGCCAAGGCTCTTCATCTCGTGCCAAATGACTGGCGACGCCTGAGCGGGCAGACGACCAAGGTACTCAAGCTGGCCCTGCTTGGTGACCTCCGCAAATGCAGTGCCGTTGGTCTGACCAATGGCAATAAACTCGCGGCCCTTGTGTGTCCATCCCCACGAGCCAGAACCCTCAGAAACAGGAGGCGGGTTGCCAAGTTCCTCGTGCGTCTTGAAGTCGTACAAGTCCTATGGTGGCATTAATGATTGGCGATCTCGAACCTCAGCTGAATGCACATACGATGTTCTTGCACTTGTATGTCTGATCGGCGTCGCCCTTGACGGCCTCAACGCGACCGTTTTTGCACTCAATCTTGTTCTTGTTGGCACGCTTCTTATGGAAGTTCTTCCACTTCTTCTGGTCGTAAGCACCAGCAGCGCGCTGCTTAGCCCAAGCACCCTGTGATGATATCAGTGATTGTTCAATTGACGCTAAGCCGACTGTCGTACCTCCTTGGCCATCATCATCTTCTCCATGACTTCACCAGAGCGGTACTGCTCCTTCGAGTAGCTGGCAGCCGATGCCAAAGGCACGGCAGCGAGAGCGGTTGCAATGGTAGTCCACTTCATCTCTGCGATTTCGACTGTGACTTGACAGGTGCAGATGGAGATGACCCAAGAAGCTGGGTGCAAGTCCTACCATCTTATATTCTTGAGCTATCGACTAGGCCGTCCGTAGAAGCACACTGTTGCTCAGCATCCGGTCGCGTGCGATGCGCCATCGATTTGCGTTCGCTTTGTCACCCTGAGTACCTTCCTATCACAGGTTACTGCCGAACCCCAGTGCTTGTTATTAAGACCCGTGTTGAAGCATTGACGTTGCCGTTGGTATGCACTGGCGAGCTGGGCACTTCTTGGGGAAGTCTTGGTGGGAGGCGGGAGGTGTCCGCTGATTTGCTCGTCATCCAGGTCCATTCTTGGCTTTATTACAACCCAGGGAATCCAGAGGAGCTAGAGCTCAATTTCGGTAAGCACCAGTTGTGCACCATGTAGAGAACCGAGGCGGACCAGTAGAACGGCTTCTAAACGGACCATCGGCGGAGATGGTGCTTAAGCTGCTTTGGGAAGGTGCCAAGGTATAGTAAGATTCCATCCACAGCCACCGCGAAAAGACCGCGGATATCTTTGACGGAGAAGGCAGCTTCAAGGATGACGAGAAGCTGCAAGTTGTATTGTTTGCCTCCAGAATGCGATGTTGTGGTGGCGGCAGAACGCTTGAGCTGTGCCGTCTGGGGCCGGTCACAAGTACACAAGCACGTTCTGTGCGGAGCGTGCAAGCACTACAATACCGGCACACCAAGTTGGGACAGCTCTTATCTCGGAGGAGCCGTGCCTCGGTGCATTATTGATAGCGGAGCGTAGATCGCGGAGTTGTCCTTGGCATTCAGACATCTGGTCGCATGTTGCGAGGCAGGCGGATTCGACTCAAGCGTCACTGCAATGAGTACTGCTAGCTTCTGAGGGAGGAGGCGCGATCGCCTGGGGGCGGGATAAGATGAGGCGTGGCCAGTGCTTCAAGAATTGACGGCGGTATCTCCAGTATCACTTGAGACTGGAGTTTGAGGCTTGTGGATGAAGCAAAGAACGATAGACCGGGAGCTTATGGAAGTGCGGACAACGAGCGCTTATCAGTCATCACATTGCAGCAGGCTTTCAAACACTGCTGTTCTGCTTCCGGTAAGGGTGAGCAAAATTGAGGTCGATACTTCGAAAGCGATGACGCGTAGTGATTGGACGGAAACCCATTGAGATGCATGCCGAGACACACATGTCTGGTGTTACATCTGGCTCCTGGGGTCGACTATAGCGCTCAGAAGGGCCGGCGATGTGGTCAAGCTTTGAGTAGCTTGCTTCTCGAAGTCGAGCGTGCAGTCATGTGCACAGCTAGAGAACTGGGCTAGGTGAGTGGTGACGCTGAGAGAACGCATGTTCGCAGTTCGCAGGCAAGTCTAGCCATCGCTCGGCTGCACTTGCCACCTCGGCGTTTGGGAGCTTCATCATCGAAGAAAGGCGACTGTGGGAACGACAGCTCCAGCGCGCGCTCGACGCTCTCGACACAATGAAGCTCAGCGAAGACGATCTATACCGTACCTCGACACAATTCCGCCAGTGGTCATTCACAGCCGAGCAGCTGGCCGCTCAGCGCGCGAAAACGAACCTCCAGGCCACTGAGCGCGTCAAGCTCCATGTTGCGCGACAACGCGCCCAGCGCGCCCAAGCACCAGAAATCGACAGCACAAGCGGGAACTCGGGCATCGACACCGGCGCGAACACACCGGATGCAGTCACGTCAGACAAAGACGTAGACTGCTTCACAGTCGCAGAAGAGTTGGCCTTCTTGGAGGAGTTCTGCGAGCGCACTATGGCGCTGGGTCAACACTGCAAGTTCAGCGACGGCGCCATCGCGACTTGCATACAGTTCCTGCGCCGCTTCTATCTGTACAACTCGCCCATGACCTATCACGCCCAGAACATCAGCCGGACAGCCATGTTCCTTGCTGGGAAATCTGAGAGCGAACACCAGAGTCTGGACAAGTTTGCGGAGGCGATCTCTTCGGTAAAGACAAAAGTTACACCAGAGCAGATCTTAGCACCTGAGTATCTGATTGTCCAAGCACTACGCTTCAACTTCGATATAAAGCACCCATTCAGAGCGCTCAAAGGCGGTATGCTCGACCTGATGAGTGTTGTGAACGGGAGGTATGAAGGACCAAATCACAGCCCTCACAAGACCGCTGCGGATCTGAGTACTGCGTTACATCAACTACCACGTAAGGCTGGCGGTACGGCAATGAGAGCAACTACTGGCCAACTCACCGATCGTATCATGGCAGAATCATACTCAAAGGCGTCGCAAATCCTAAAGAAGACCGCCCCTCTTACAGACGTGTACTTCCTATACACACCATCCCAAATTTGGCTTTCAGCATATCTGTTAGCCGACGAGCCGCTGGTCTTGTTCTACCTCTCCATAAAGTTGCCGTCCACATCACCGATCTACGACAAAGTCATCGCTGCTCTTCGGGAATGCGCTTCAATACTCTCTTCGCATCGATCATACCGAAAGCTGGATGCTCTAAAAGACGAGCAAGCGAATATGGATGCAGAGCACAAATCGGAGATTAAGAGACTCATTAAGAAGCTCAGAACCTGTCAAGACCCCGACAAGGTAGACCTTGTCAAGCTCAACCAGGCGCAGAAGCGTGACGCGGTGCAAGGTTCAGATCTGGATGAGCACAAGGCTAAGCGCCGGAAGACAGACCGAGAGAACTTCCAAAAAGACTCTGATGCTTTTTGGGGCCCGGAGCTGCCACAAAATGGAGACAAGCCTGCGTAGACGGTATCACGATTTGGTTCGAAGGACTGCACAGCGCGGCGTTCAGGTTTAATATTAGTATACACCTAGACTTTCAACTATCAAAGTGTGGTTCCCTACAGGCGACGAAGTCCACATCGCTCGCCCGCAACTTTGAATAGGATTCCTGCGCTACTGCGGCTCATTTGCTATGACGCTCTTGAGGAACTCCACTATCCCGTCCATACCCTCCGGCTCATTCAGCCAATGTCCACCCTCCTCAAAGTACTGCCACTTCACATCCATCCTCAACTCTTCCAGGCAATTGCGCATCGCCATACCATTCGCAAATTGCACCACACCATCGTCCTTGCAATGCTGCAGAAGGATCGGCATGTTCCCAGCATTCCGCCATCCCCGTAACGTGCCGTGATCATTGACCAGCTCATCCGCTGACGGTAGCCACCCACAAAGCCCAAAAAAGCCTCCAATGCAGACATCTGCCGATAGCAGTGCCCACAGCGCAACCGCACACCCCTGACTTATCCCTAGGATAATCCTCTCCCTCATCACAAACTTCCCCTCCTCAACGATGCCCAGAAGCTGCGTCCTACTATCCTCCAACCCTAGCCTCTATACATCGAAACATTCTTGAGCATTCTGCACGCTGATCATGCCGAACCACCGATGTACTTCTTCGTGGTCTAGTTCAGACCAGCCAACGTTCACGCACGGGAAGACCCATTTCACGCTGGGGAAGAGCTTGGGGAAGCAAAGACCAGAACTGTCTTGGGATTCGAAGATTTCGGAGCAGAATTCTGTGGCATTGGAACCTCGTCCGTGGAGGAAGATCACGGTGTGCATGTGTGCTCCCGTGGGATCTACGATGAGTGGTGGAGATGTCATGTTGACGGGCTGCTGTGTTGTGGTGTCTGAGGCAGAAGGGTCACTACTTGAACGCACTGCTTGAACACTGAATGAGAATCATCCCAAGTTTTCATATCCCACGTTGCGATGGTGAGCATTGATAGTCAAGGCTCGCCGCCACCACCGCTTCAGCAGCCCCGCCAAACGGCATTACCACCTCGGAAACCCCTTCCACAAACCCACATCCTGCTCCCGATCGAGAAGGAGGCATCCACACCCAGCAAAGAGGCAAGTCCGCATTCGTAATAACAATTTTTCGCAGCGCGACTGCCGCTTAGCAAAGCGCGCGTCGTCATTGGCTCGCCAATGACCAGCATGGTGCCCACGCGTGAATTGCTCCACTTCGGGGCGAGCCGCTGACACTGCCACGGTGTGTGTCCCTGAGCTGGGACGATGTTTGTGTCACGGAATCGGGCTGGATATGAGACGTTGAGCACCGTTTCGAGGACTATGGCTGGATCGAGTGTTGAGAGAAGGCTGGTGAGGAAACTTGGTGTGTAGATCATCTCGATCGAGTGATGTGTGCTAACTTGCTGCAGATTGCTTTATTCTGGTACAATGTCTTGAGACGCAGGGCTGGACATGCACTAAGGTCTAACAGGTGTATTGCTGCGCAGCGTACTTTTTCAACTATCTTGGTTAGACAAAGCAGAATAAGCAAAAGCTCCGCGAACTAACATCTATCAGATCGATCTGCTTTCGCAAATGCATATGTACACTCACCATATTTCGAATAGACAACACGAGTTTCTGACATGCAGTCTAGGTCTCCGGGCTCAAAGAGTCCCTCAATCTTAGAGGCAACGAATACAGCATCTTGATCGCTATGTTCACCGCAGGGTAAGGTCGCTGTGAAGGCCATTTCCATCGACTAGCTCTGACATGAACAGTGCATGTGTCGGTCAAATTCCACACGCCCTTATCATCCAGAAAATTGCACCTCGTTTCTGGCTGCCGTTCACATTACTCGTCTGGTCCGGCTTGACTATGGTCTGCGCTGCATGCAAAACCTACGAGCAGATCTGCGTAGTTCGCTTCCTTCAAGGATTCTTCGAGTCAAGTCTGTACAGTGGCACCATCTATATTTTGGGCTCCTGGTATAAGCCTCGGGAAATCGCTAAGCGGACTGCTATCTTCACTGCGGTCGGTCAGATTGGCAGTATGTTCGCTGGTGTCATGATGACTGCGATGAACGAGGGGCTGCACGGTCAGACTTCACTCGAGGGTTGGCAATGGGTGTTCGTCATCAGTATGTCCACATTCTCTGCCCTGACGATGTTCGCTAACAAGTTTCAGATGGCGCAATGGGAATACCGTTTGGCATCTTTGGCCTGTGTTTGTTCCCAAATCTGCCAGAAGCACCCAACGCACCCTATCTCAGCAAAGAGGAGCTACAGCTAGCCATCGATCGTCTTCCACCGAAGAAGAACTGGGGCCACGACATCAGCATCAAATCGCTTTGCAAACGCCTGTTTGCTTCTCCTAACTTCTACATTCTGACTCTGTACTCGGTCATTGGATGTGCGCTCGAAGCTATCGTCCTGCAAGGCCTCTTTCTACTATGGATGAAGGCCAATATCGAGAAGTTCCCATCCTACGCCACGACTACCTACCCTCTAGGCATTCAAGCAGTGTCCATTGTCTCCAACATCGGCGCAGGCTACGTAATCGACATGACGAACCGCCGTATACCCATGGTTATCTTGGCTGGTGTCCTGCAACTCTTCGTCGCCATCATCTTACTCATTCCTAATCTCTCGACTGCCGGCACCTTCTTCGCCTTCTACCTTGCTGGCACGTCATACATTGTCAATCCAATCCTGTATGGTTGGGCAAGTGTCATATGCCAGCGTGGAGGGGACGATGCTTCGCGCTCAGTCATTCTTTATGTCATGAGCATGGTGCAGTCGATTCTCTACACGTTTTGGGGGATTGCGCTGTACCCTGCGACAGACGCACCATATTGGCAGAAAGGATACATCACGATGATAGTAGTTGTGTTTGCATTCTTTGCTTGCACTGCTGCTGTGCAATGGGTAAGTCAGATTAATATGTGCCTGCTAAAAGTAAAGCTAATTGAAATACAGCTGGACAAGAAATCACAGGAAGTCACTAGCGAAGAACATGAACAAGTCACCAACGTTGAAGAGAGGCCGGTGGACTGGAACAAGCAACACTAGATCGTAACTGCCTCTACATCGAGCGGGTAAGTGGCCTCATCGCTTGTCTATGTCTATGTTGCCAATGCCAGTGACACTTCCGCTGCTGCCAACTACCAAGTCCAGCCCTGCTCATCTTCTTGCTTCTTCTCAAATACACCAGTATCCTTCGAGACAATATCCCTCACGTACTGTGCAGCCTTTTCCGCAACAGGCACACCATGACGCAGGCAGAAACCATGCGGGAACCCTTCCCTCTCATCGACCTCCATGATTGGCTTCCAGTTCTCGCCAAAGCCGTCAACTTCCTGAACGCCCTGCGCTGCTTGACGTCCTCTGGTCTGAATGAGCTTGTCTCTTGTCTCGTCTGCAACCCAGTGGTCCTTCTTGGCGAACAGGAAGCGCAGGTGTGCGCGCTCATGCTTGTGCTCTGATGGTTGTGCCGCACCCCAGATCTCGTCATCCCAGAAATCGGTATCAATCTGGAACATCTCGTCACGGGCCATGTGCAGCGCTTGCTGGATGCCGTGGGGAGATTTGACGAAGGAGGCTGTGGTGTGTGCTGCATCGTCTGGGAAGCCCATGATGGACTTGATCAGTGTCGCCAGTAGCGAGAGTGGAACGAGGAGGGTCAGCAGGTTGGCGAGCACGGATGCGAAGAAGGCGAAGTTAGGGTTCTTCAGGAACGGCTGTTTGCACGGTTAGCTAGAGCACGTGATCGAGTGAATGTGCAATGCATACAGCAGCTTTCTGGCCACTCTCACTTCTCACGATCTCCAAGACAGTAGGGAACAGTGCGACGCCACCGACGATTCTTGTCGCATAGTCCTCACCAACCAGACCATGCGCACGCAATCTCCGGATGATTTCAATAGCGATGTAGCTTCCAACAGAGTGACCCATGACGATAACTCTTACATCCCGGTGTCCGTCATCCGAAACATCTTCAACAAGATCAGTGAGCTCATCCTCTGCGTGCCGGATCTGGTCCTGGAGACCATAAGGAGGGAGCTTGTGCCATTTCATTGAGTTGATCTCGTGAGTCTTCATCTCGAACCCGGATAGCGAGCGACCATACACTTGGAACTCGACATCTCTGTTTGACGCAGTATCGCGTGTCAACAATCCATACAGATGTGTCAGGAACGTCCGGTAGTACTCGATGAGGCCAGGGTTTCCAGTAACAAAGTAGATGATATATATCCGGGTTGCCTGTTTCCTCCCCGGTTCATGATGCGGACGCAGGTAGATTTTTGATGCTGGCGTGTTTGACATTTTGCAATTGTGTTTGTTGTTTGGAAGAGAAAGTCAAGAAGGAGATGAACAAATGCGTGAATTTGTTCAAGTCTGGATGCAGGGTCCACGAAGCTAGTTAAAATCTAGTTAAGACCTTCTTGGTTCAGCATCCTCCGCTCACCACTACTTTCGCACGTCCTACGAAGTTCTCGAGTTTTAAATCGAGTCACTACTGGGGCCCTCAGATGGAAACAGGTTTTGCTTGAAGCATTCGTGGCATGAAGGTCGACAAGGCTGAAGGGCGGGGTACATGTGGCACTGAAAATATGCCCAAAAATGTCTGGAGTAGCTGTTTTGCCATCTTAAGCTTTTTTTCACGGCGATGTACTGGCGGAAGATGCCTTCCGCTACCTCATTCTTCATGCTAGTCGAGTCGAAGATGACCTGGAGTGAAGTCTTCTTAATGCGCTGATCGACCATGCAACGACGTGTGAAGCCCTATCGTACCTCTGGGGAGACTGGCAGACTGAACCAGCTGATCACATGCGCACTTTAGCTCTGTCGAAAGTCCTTCGACTTTTAAGGTTGCGCGATGCCCCCCAAACCCTCTGGGCTGCTTCGGTCTCGATACCGATTCATGAGAGACAGAAGACGGCTATCGTGTGCATTGTAGTATGTGATCAAAGGGCAGCAAAAAAGAATGAAGTGGGACATGATGGACTTCATCACAGTTGAGAACTTTCCACAAGCTTACTGGACAGTACGATCATGATGAACAGCATCTTCACTAGAAGTAACAAAAAAGGGCAGGAGTCCCTACACAGGGGTTTGAGCGTATCTATGTATATACTGCTACTAGATAGAGGAGCATATGGTATAGTAAGTTTTTAGATATCTTGGGCAAATAGACACCCGCATACAGACTCTTACTCCTGCTGCGACATGTGCGTAGGGAAGTTATAGTCCGTGTAGTCGATGTGAACGAATGCACGATCGACGTATGGCACACTTTCTAAAAACACGTTAGTGTAAATCTCCGAGGAAAGTGCTAGAACGAACTTACCGAGGACATACTGCAGACTCTCTCCAAGATCGTGGCTATCCCTCAGCGCAGTGTGCTCGTCGACTACAATATCGACCTCAACGTTGAGCTTGTCTCCAGCATGATACGCCTGGATCCCCTGAATCCTCTTGATGCTCTTGGCGAAACGCATCGTCATGTACAGCAATATGTTACGCTCATCAGCAGTCGCACTCGCACCAGTCAGGTTGCGAATATGCTCTGCGGATGTTCGCGACCAGTTGAGGATTACATACGCGGAGAGCAAGATACCGCCGAGCGCATCGAGCCACCAGATCTTCCAAAAGTAGCCCACAAGCGGGAAGAAGATGGAGAACGTGTTGAAGACGACGTCCGTGACGGCATCTTGTGCGAGCGCTTGCACTGAGGAATTGCGAATGAGGCGGCACCAGAACCAGCACATTCCCTTGATGACAACCGTCGAGGCCATAATGCCAACAGCGGGGATTGTGAGCTGCACAACGGTGTGATCCGGCCCGCTGAGGCGGGAAATACCCTCAATGCCGACCTGGAAGAAGGACGTGATCATGATGACCGAGAATACCAGGACTCCAATGGGCTCTAGGCGCCGGCGGCCAACAGGGTAGGCGTATCGATCCTGACGTGCGATCATCCAGGATGTAAACCAGACGATCGCAGTACTAAGGAAGTCGAGCGCCGCGTCGACCAAACTGGCTACGACGGAGAGCGAGGATGTCATGACCGCCACAATGATCTTCAGAATCAGGAGTGTTGTGTTGGCTGCCAAGTTGACGTAGAGCGCCAGCTTGACAATAGGACTGTCCGTATCTTCGTCCTCTTCTGGCACCCATTCCAGTAGCTTCGAGTGTGAAGAACCTGCATCCTCATCGTCTGAGATGGCCTCATCCCGCGAAATCAAGGGTGTGTTCTCGTCGACCTCTGGAACCTTGTACAAGTTCTTCGGCGTTCGTGTAAGCTTCGCCTTTATAGTGCCATTCGCGTTGCCGTTCGTGCCATATTTGTCTGTCAAGCTGGCTGCCGAAGAGTGTCCGTTGCTCAGCATGCCGTTGTGCGGTGTGGTCGCGGCTGGCGTGTTCACCGCAGATGACTCTTCGCTAATTGTGTACGGGATGCTGACTGCGCCAGACTCGAGGTTGGTGTATTCTTCGATCAGATTGTGGGGTAGCGAGGAGTCGAGGAGACGATCGATGTACATGTAGTGCTGAATGAGCTGGTTGTTGCGCTCATAGTAATCTCGTCTGAGCTTATGTCAGTCTCGCAATCGCAGCGGATCTGATTTGCTACTCACATAGGCTTCCTCATGCCCTTGAGCTCTTCCTCATTCTTGTAGTACTTCTCCCTAACAACGATTAGTACCTATCTGCCTATTTTGTTGTACTTTATGTACTCACCATCTGTATCGGGGGTTCGAGTTTCCGATTAAACGCTGGCTACGCATCTGCGGTGTGTTCAAAACTGATGCGCCAACGCTGTGCCTCCTGTCCGAATCGCTCTCGTAGTTCATCATAAGGCCATGGCGGCCGTTTTCGAGGTCCTCATCGTCGTCGCTGATGCTACCGCGGCGCTCCCGTTCAACGCTTCGCAGTGTTGATGGTCGGCGCTTGAAAAGGGAAGGCAAGTGCTGCCCTCGGGTGGATATTGCGCTTCCTTCGTTCTGCAGCGGCAGGAAGAGCTTGCTATTCGCGATACGGGTGAGACTCGACGATCGAGGAATTGACGCTGGAGATGGTGATTTCGGTGGTGGTGTTGTAGCACCTCGTCGGTCTGCCATGACTGGTATGGACCTGGTGTTTGAGCTGGGGAGATGTTGGAGTCGTGAAGGGTTCGCAACAAGAATTTGATGGGCCAGTTGTCGAGACTCGGTTCTTCCTCGCCCTTGTCTGTGGTACTAATATTGCTTGGCTTTGGACAATGCGACCAAGGCCAGACGTGATTGTAGGGAAATCGAAACCTAGAAACAGGTGCGCTATATCATAAAGGCACTACACATCTTTGTGAAACACATGATGGGCAGTGGGGTTGCAGCGTGGTGCAGGACGAAGCGCAGGTTGGCCGAGTAGAGGGTCGGAGATCGACAGTTCATGATACGGAAAGCGCATTTTTGGGTGGCCATAGCTTCAATTGGGGAAACTCCTCTGACAGTCGTGGGCTTCGACTTGTCGCAAATGTTTCACGATAACAATGCCAGCCTTGGCTTGCTGTAGTCGTATTTTATGAGTCATTTGCTTTTATATGAGTGTGTTGCTGCATCCTGTACAGTGTATCTCAACATGAGCCATGGAGGCGTTCAACAGTCTCAAAACCGCATCCGGTGAGGATCCGCTCAGCCGGCGTCTTGCACCTGCATAAACATGCGCGGATCCTCACGTAGCGCCATCGCTAAAGCTGTCGACGTGTGAGAGCTGATCCTCCATCCTGCTCGATAATCGTCTCAATACCTCGGTACTCAGAACTCTGGGATTGTGCCCAAGAGATTCTCAAACTGGACACGATCCGTCGTTCTGCGTGGATGAGGTCATCACGTCCTTCGCGCAGGCGTTCAGGATCGAAGCGGATTCAATAGTCGCATCGCTTGCAGTCTCACCGTCGTTGAGATTGAAGTCATCATCGGTATCTTCAGTGTCTATCCCCTCGGATGTAGCATATTGTTTGATGGTTGGTGTCGCGGACTTGCCATCCAAGCAAAGTACTGCACTGGGGTCAAGTGCAGCTGAGCTTGTGTCAAACTGTAGGCTTCGCACGTAGGCCCAGTGTAGAAAAATTCTGAAGGTACCTTCGCTGACTGCCTCCAAGGTAATCGCGCGCTCGTTTGCCTCTCGGAACGGCCCATTGAAAGCACTCTTGAAATACGGTGAAACCGCTGTCGACAATGCCTTATACACCAAAATTCCAGTACTCTCAGGGCGAACAGTGACGTTGTCGACGTCCGTTGGTATAAGGGTCAAGACTCAAATGCGGAAAAGCCTTTATGGGAACCAGGATTGGACTCTGTGTCAGTGAAATGGCTGTACGCTTCCGACACCGTGCATTCACATCTTCGAGCAAGTATCACGACAAGGCGTCATTCATTGGAGTGAAAATCTTCCGTGTCTTTTGGGTATTCCGCTCCGTCGAAGGCGTAGTCGTCAGTGAAAAGTATTGCGCCGTTGTCGCCGACACGGTCACAGTTGGTGCTCTTGAGGCGAGTCCCGTGATACCAAAGAGCGAGAACTTTTAGTGAAGTCAATGAAATGCAGGCTGCAACCGAAATGAAATGAATGCCCCCATTCCATGAGGTCTACAACCCTCGCTTACGCGCATGGAATGGCTAATTATCACCGTAGACTTACTCAGAGCGTCCTACACGCAAGCAATCATCATGGAGGCGAAGATGTGGGGAGTTTCCAAAAGTTGTTGTCAACACTTCTCGTGGTCAAGTACTGCATCCTCGTGCGCGAAGCACGCGTCCAATACACAGTAGCCAAAGTTGATTTGAGCACCGGTTTCCTTGTGTTGTCAAACGGTTCAAAGATTGACGTTGCAACAACTGACAGGCGCGAGGAAGGCTTCAAGAGATCGTCCAAATCATATGCTTCTTCGAAGACTGGAAGGCCAGACCTTATGCAAAGTACGCATGAGAGCATAGACCCCGGAGTCTGATATGATGTAGTGATTACATCTGCACACGATTACAGATTGCATCGTCGATGAGGTGCTGTTGATGTTGCCGCTGTTCTGGGCGGTGATGATCGCGCCTCCCGTGACGGACGAATCGAGCTAGCGCGAACCCACACCCACAAGCACAAGCGAGTCGCACTTGCCGCTCCACGAGAAAATCGAACTTCATCGACACAACTTTCGACATCCGAGTCAATCAGTCACGATGCCGGTATGCTGCCGCCTGGCCAGACGGCCAACCCTACGTTTGACGTGTTCTAACGAGCTTTTTATAGTCCCAGAAGTCTTTCCGCACCAAGCAGAAGCTTGCAAAGGCTCAGAAGCAGAACCGCCCCATCCCCCAGTGGATTCGCCTGAGGACAAACAACACCATCAGGTACGCCGACACAGCCGATGTTCGCATCCCGTAGCTTTCTACGACCGCTCGCAGGAGCGCGCACACGCATCATGGACTCACCATGGAGGAGCCGCAGCTGACAGCCCGCAGGTACAACGCCAAGAGGAGGCACTGGCGCAAGACCCGCCTCGGTATCTAGACGACTCGTCTACGGGCCCTCATTTTCGATACTCGATTCCAGCATTCAAGTACACTGCGTACACGACAAACATCTCTACGAGCGCACACACGGCAATCGGTTTCGAATCGCAATGACGGGAACAGTCTTCCAAGCCAGGCTCAATATGTCCTTCTTCATGAATGGTATGAGTATCTGCGAATACTCTGGCGCTACTGCGGGAATGAGAAATCGAATCATGATGGGTTTAGACTAGGCAGTGGTATCAGATACGAATACACTTGCTGGTCACAATGAACATGATGTGCGTATGGCAGTGTGCTAATTCCAGTTTGGACCCATCTCTGTCCTACGCCGTGATCGCAGCGTGAAGAGTATGATTGGAAAGCTTTCCTCGCTCTTTGGCACTCCGTTTGCGCTCAAAAGCGCCATATATGGGTCACACTACGAGCAGTCAGACCGCCGTCCCTCTTGTTCAATTAAATGAACACACAGCGCCGGGCCGCGAACCCTCGGTCGCCTCAGAACATGCTCAAACGCCTCCCACGAGCCTACTTCCCGCTCCGCACCTGGAACTTCGGCCGTTCAGTCAAGTCTACCACCAAACACCTCTCATCACTCTTGCCGGCGGTCTCAAAGAGACTCACCACGCCCTTATCAATCTTGATCACAGTGCTACTCCCCGCATAGCACACGCCCTTCTCCATACCACTCCGATTCGCCATGACCACATAGACCGGGTCCTCCAGCTTCGCCTCAACGATCGGCTGAAACCTCTCCACCCAATATGCAATAGTCGCAACATCCGGCTGACTAGAGTCGCGCATGAGTTCCTCGGGCGTAAGATGGCATAGCCACGCCATCGAGACGCATAGGAGGTTGGTCTTGTTCGACAGCGCTGTGGATGCGAACTCGTACGCATCCCACGGCGCGGTGAACTTGTACGGGTTGATATCCATGCAGATACCCAGCGTCACGTTGCCCAGGTCACCCAGTGGACCAGAGAAGAAGGGGCTGTCCGGGGAGGCGGGGTTGGCGAGCTTGTGCTCGTTTGATCCGGGGCCTTCGGTGGCCCATGTTTCATCGGTGTAGTAGAGGAAGGACTTGCGGTAGTTGTTTAGGATGACGCCGGCAGGAGAGATGGTAACGGTGGAATTGTATTGTGTCGAGGGCTGGGTCGGTGTTGCGGTTGTGACTTCGGGATAGCCGACTGTTACATGGCAGTTGTAGTGGCGGGCAGCCTGAATGGCCCATTGTGTGCTTGTTCCGGATGTTGTGGGTTCTAGGAATGGTTTGATCTCTTCGAGTGTGAAGAAGTTGTAGCCTGTGGGGATGTTAACATATGACATGATAATACAGTCTGCATGAGTGAGATATGGCAAAGGCAAACGCATATAATGTAGAAGGCGTTCTGAGAAATAAGCATGACGGTCTGTCCATGTTCTCCAGCCTGTGTCACATGTTCGAACCCAGCGTTTTACAACGGTTGCTTACCTGTAAAGGCGAGCTCTGGAAGGACGAGCCAGTCAATGTCGAAAGGCAGTTGAGCTTCGAGTAGTATGCTATCCGCTTTGGCTATGTTCTCCTGGACCTTTCCCACTTCCGGGGCAAACTGGAGACACGCGACTTTCATCTCGATGTTATCTCAAGCCAATGTGGGGTATTTGGAGGGGTAGACCGGGGTGTTGTCGAGCTCGGTTCAGTGATGCAGTGATTGTGAGATCAATCAAAAATGCAGTGGGGGCAAGCGGACTCCCGGAAGAAAACCTGGCGGATGTCTCCTTGGTCAGGCCAGAATAGAGGACTGGCGTTGTAGTCACGAATATTCGGGACCTTGGTTCCCGCGCCCTAAACTTACTCAGAAGCGTTGAGCTGTCCGCGGAGAGATGAAAAGACAGCACGATGCAATGAAACTTTTCCAAACCAACGCCAATAGCAGAAGAACACACAAGATTCCAAATGTCGGGCTTGCAGCAGAGAGACACACCAAACTGCGAGGTTGGTAGTAGGTGTACCTGCATGAGATCTAGCCGCTTCGAATCTAGTGCAGTGCAAGATCTCGGAGCAATTGGGAAGCTTTGGGCAATTGAGAGCTATGACGATGTGATTGCAGCTGCTGTCCACATCTCACAGAAGCAACCGCACGCGGTGTGCAATGGTGATCTCATAAAACTTGCGCCTTGATCCCTTCACGATGGCCGGCAGGCGTTTCGTGGACGTCGCGAAATTGTTCCAGGCCTCCAAATCGATTGCTTCGAAGCACATTACGCTACGGTCGCAGCAGTTCGAGGCCTACCAAAAAACGTCCACATTAGCCAAGGCTGTCAAATCCCAAACCGACCGTGTCACCCTTACTGCTGCCGCTGCCGTTTCCCTTTACCAGCGATCGAATGAGGCCGCTCCCGCGTACACAAAAGTCGCTCCCGAGCGTTCAGCACCAACAAGCACACAACATGCGGACATAACTAGGAAAGAGACTGTAGAAAGGCATATATCAGAGCATGGCATAAGAGAAGGAGTCCCCCAGGATCATCACTATGACCGCTCTGGGCAAACGACCGCTGCTCAGCCGCCACCAGAGGAAGAGCTGCACATTCGACAAGCAAAGGCACCGTGTCGACCACTGCCGGATGGCACCATACCATCCGCAGGGGAAACCTTAGGTCAAGAGAAGGGACGTGATACTTTCTCCGAGCGACTCGTAACGGAGGCTCCCAAGGACCCCTTGGCCAACGAGCAGACATACGACAGAGGCGTCTTCTATACAAGATCGGTGGGGGCACAATCCAAGTCGTCTGCGCAACCACGATCTCAAATACCCAGTAAGACTGTAGACAATCAGGGAAGTGACAGGCACGTCGAGGAGGCGGGTCTCAACCAGGATGTGTTTTATGCCACCCCCAAGCCAGGGCAGCAGCGGCAGGAACAGAACCAGGCCGCACGTCCTCTGGAAGAAGACATACCAGAAGGTATCAACACAGATGTATTCCACTCGAAACGAGTCGCTCGAATGCTCGGGCAGGATCGCTATTCGCGCAAAGAACACCTGAGGTCAACAGTCTCGAGAGGCACAGGGAAACATCCTCTCGATGATCGTCCCATAGCTCAGACCGGTCAAGTCGAAAAGCCCCAACCAAGCCCGTCAGCTCCATCGCCGATACCCGTCCGGACAACTGAGACAGCCCAGCCTTTTGCAAGCGAACAGGAGATGCAAGATCTTGCTTCAAAATTGGCCAAGGACGCCGAAACACAGGCTGCGGCTGCTGCTGAGGTATGTATAGGATAAGGCCGTCCTGAAGTAAACTGATATACTGACAAGTGGGCCGTAGGTACCTACTGAACTCGGCGCAGAGCCTGAGAAATCAGCTTATGTGCTTCGTGAGTCGAGGGTCCCATCTTCGCGGTTCGGTCGACTTTGGCAGTACGCCGGACTCGGCACCAGCATGGCCCTAGGCGCTGTTAGCGAAAGCCTTCGTCGAGTCACAGGTACAGCTGCTGCGACAGGAGGGTCGCTGATGCTCAGCCCTGGCAATCTCGAGATCCTTGTCGCAAAGTTGTCTCGTATGCGAGGTGCTGCACTTAAGCTAGGACAGATGATCAGTTTCCAAGACAGCAAGATGCTGCCGCCCCAAATACAGGAAGTCCTGCAGCGCGTACAAGACAGCGCAGACTACATGCCTGCGTGGCAGAGGGACAAAGTACTTGCGTCCAATCTTGGGTCCGAGTGGCGTGATCTCTTTGAGTCATTCGAAGACATTCCAATGGCAGCCGCATCTATTGGGCAGGTGCACAAAGCGGTACTTAAGTCCACCGGTCAATCTGTTGCCGTCAAGGTCCAATACCCTGGCGTCGCCAATTCTATCGACTCCGACCTGAACAATCTCTCCATCCTCCTCACCGCCTCGCGCATCCTTCCTCGTGGACTCTTCCTCGACAAAACCATTGCCAATGCCCGCACAGAGCTTGGCTGGGAGTGTGACTATACGCGTGAAGCAGAATGCCAGACCCGCTTCCGCGACCTCGTCGCCGATGACGCTTCCGTCTTTACTGTCCCTAAGGTCTTCCCTGAAGCCAGCGGACCAACAGTCCTTACTGCCGAGATGATGACTGGTGTCGGCGTTGCGAAGCTCAAGAATCTCACACAAGAGCAACGTGACTGGATCGGTACGCAGATCCTCCGTCTCTGTCTGCGCGAAATTGTAGAATTCAAATTCATGCAGACCGACCCCAACTGGACGAACTTCCTCTTCAACGCCAAGGACAAGAAGGTTGAACTTCTCGATTTTGGCGCCAGTCGTGATTATCCCGACGAATTTGTCGAGCCTTACATCAACGTCCTCATCGCTGCCAGCAAAGAGGACCGTACCGCCATCCGGGACCTCTCCCTCGAACTTGGCTATCTGACCGGCGAAGAGAGCACAGCCATGCTGAACGCACACACAGACTCTGTTCTCACGCTCGCCGAGCCGTTCAAAGCAAGTGGACCAGATGTGTACGACTTCAGAGATCAGACAATTACAGATCGCGTGCGCGATTTGATCCCGGTCATGGTCAAGGAGCGACTTGCGCCTCCACCAGAGGAAACATACTCTCTACACCGCAAGCTTTCAGGCGCATTCTTGCTTTGTGCAAGGTTAGGAAGCAGAGTTCCGTGCCGCGAGCTATTCGAAAAGGCCATTGCAACATATCACGGAAAAGCGAAGATGAAGTAAATTCATCATATCTTGCGCATTCGTCTGTAGCATAGCGTTGTACATCAACACCAGTGTAAATCTATTGCGAACTCCATCTTCTACCGCGCCTCGAACTGCACTATCCTATTCATTCTCACCTTCATCAACACCATATGTCCACACTCCCTGCACCTCACCGACTCCATCCGCGTCAACGCGACCTTCCCATTGCAATCGCAGCATACGTACATAATCCTCCGCCCTGACTCATTCCGATTGTATTCTTGTTGATATCTGTAGCTCTCGACGCGCTGCGGGGCTTCAGGCTGTTGGGCTTGTGCATCTCGCGTCTCTCGCGCGAGGCGGGCGTCTCGGGACTCTTTTTCCAAAGGATGAGGCGGTGCTGGGGATGGAGTGAACTTGTTGTATCGACGATTGTGGCCGGAGGGCGCTTCGATGACCGCGATCTTATCACCTGCGCCGTTTTCTGGGTCCTATGACTCCTCGGCGTCTGATTCTGTAGGCTGTCAGTGTTTGCACACTGTTCCGGGCGCTCGAACACTTGTACCATCTGCTGCACTCTCTGCTCTATACAAACCTTGGTCATATTCAGAGATGATGGAATCTCTTGTGACGAGGAGTTCCTGTGGTGTGGACTGTATATGCCTGAGCTGAAGGGTGGGAGAGGCTCCATTGCGCTGGTCCAGAACATAACGGAATCTTTTATGTTGGCTGTAGGCAAGGTCGCCCTGAAAAATCCAGTGCTACAGGCTGGGTTGCTTGCGAAGTTTTCGGTGGGATGACTCTGGAACTCAGCGTTCGAGTCTGGAGCATAATGGTTGGAAACTCGAACGGGGGAACATATCTATGTAGCGACCCCATGAATTTGTAGGCCATGTCACTTGGTATTACATATTGTGGAAACGGGACAAATAGATTGTCAGGAGTCAGCTATGAAGGTGACGGTGATTGGTTGTCAGTGCTTGAAGCTTTTGAAACAAAGAGCTCCTTGAGGGAGGATTTGATCAGGCGAGGAAGCCCAACTTTTCGATTACTCTTAAATGCATGTGTGCTAGCTTTTGATGCTATGATGTACAAATTTGGACACTGCAGTGTCATCGATCGGGACTCATTGCCATACACTATGCTTTCTTCTCCCGCTCTTCCTCATCTTTCAAGGGTCCGCGGAACCACAGGGCAGCAGCGACTGCGATGAACGCTCCGTAGCTGGTAAGCATAATCATACGACCACGTAGGCCCTGTTTCCTCTTGAGATCTTCGTTGCCTCCTAGGATTTTGACAGCATCCTTCTTCCAGGTATACTCCAGACCGCTGTACAGTGTGGTACTGGCGACAATCCCAGAAAGACCAGTGACGAGTGTTTTCACACCAGTCTCACCTCCCAGGATATCCTGAATCGACATTAAGATTCCACCTGCAGCAGAAGTGGTGGCAGCAGGGTCGTGAAGAAGGTTCGTGCATAGTAGTGTTCCAAGAAGGGTGAGCTGAAGAAACGTGTTGAACTTTGAAAGTTGAGTGGGGTGCACCTCTGCGCTTGGAAGACTGAAATCCCAATATCTTGCCATGGTCTTTGGTGCGGGTAAAGATGCGTAACGGTAGTAGAGTGCAGAGGCTGCCAGACTCATATCTCGGCCAAGGACGATGACAGCCAGAGGCGCCGCCATACTCCCGTTGACGGCCAGACATGTGACGAGGGTCGTCATGAGCAGCTTGTCAGCCATGGGATCGACGACGCTACCAACGACAGTCTGCAGCTTCCACTTTCTGGCTATCCATCCGTCGAGGAGATCAGAGAAGGCCGCATACGTGAAAAGCGAGAAGGCTGCAAGATGCTGGTTGTGAACAATAAGATATCCAATGACCGGTGTCGCTATTAGACGTGTGAGGGTAAGGAAGTTCGGTATGTTGTAGATCTGCTCATGTCGTTGTGCTGGTGTATCCAGCTTTAACGAGGATTTCAGAGTAGCTGCAACTTCTGCTGTTGTTGATAAGTCATGATTCTGAGGCTTCCTGTCAGCGATTGTCACAATTACACGGTTCGCTCTCACGGAGATAGCTGACTATAGATTGGCGTTCCTTCGGCCGCCTAGATCCATCGTTCTCGTGGGGTTGATCATCATATTGGGTAAGTGAGGATGCGATCATCACAATAACACTTGGTGCAGATGAGAAGTTGCGCCGCAAGTTCCCGTGATGAAATGAAGAAGCATAGGCGACGCGAGAAGTATGGAGAGATCAACCTACCTCTTGGTGTTCAGGTAAGCCCTGAGAAGTTGCTTTCTTCTCGTCTTTGGGCTCGATACTACGCCTAGCCGTTGTACTGAAGACGCTAGATCGTTGTATGCGACATGCGTTGTTGATTCTGGCTACTAGTAGGGCCTGGTGATGCTTGGCGCTGCTGTTTCGTGTCCAAGAGCATGAGGCACGTGAAGGGAAAGGGAGAAGAGATTGGCCGCTGCGCAGCCGTGACATCGCTCGTGATCCACCCAAGGAGCTGCACGAAAGCGTGCTGGAGAAAGGCGATATCCTGAACGCCATTGATTTGATGATTGAACGTGCGATCTTCCGGTGTACTTGGTCGTGGCTTCGACGCGCCTGCAGGTACCGGTAAGCATTACCGTAGCGCTTTGCCAAGGCTGCCCGATACAGCAAGCTCACGATACCTCCACCCCAATTTCGCAGACCAGGACAGGGCGCTCGGTGAATCAGACAATGTTTTCGATGACCGCCGTCTTGACCGCAAGGGCCGAAAAACTCTTGCCACAACTCCCGCCGCATCTCCACTTCAATCAACACCAAAGCAGCGCATACAGCAATTGTGCAAGGCTCTGTCGGAGCCGCAGATGTCGCCACGAAACTAAACCGTGATTCGTGAACAAGACGCTTTATCAGCGTCGGGAAGCCAAATGTCAATGCTAGAGTATTCTCAAGACACGAACTGGCAAGCAGAGGGCATGGAGCCGACAGCATTCGCATGCAGGCAGACTACCTTAACTCAACAATGCTTCTCACGAACGCTCATGCGCGGCAAAATACTGTCATCGAGACTTGGCCTCCTCCATTGGTGCCGAAACTCACAATCAAATGCATTCATCCAATTTTCGCCACTATGCTCAACACTCCTCACAAGCTAGGGACTGCCTGCTCATTCTCAGAAGTTGGCAGTGAGCTAGCATTCTCCATAGGCAGCACGCTGAGCGATAGATTATACTACCTGTTACACATGCAGCAAAGCCACTTCTGAGGTTTGCGTTCTCCATGTCTTTACGGTCCAGACGCCTGGAGCAGGGTGTGGCTGCCAGAGCGACTCCCTCCACTGTTCCAATCAACATTCCGACTTCGTCGCCCTGCTTTCTGCGTAGCGGCAGATCTCCTGAGTATTGACATAGTCTCCGAGCATTCTGGAGGCCGAACTGCAACCCCTGAGTTGTGGATGACTAGGAGCAGCATTTGCTACGTATGAGACAAGGTTGAACCTTACTTCGTCGCTTTGTAGCACCAGGGCCCGCTACCATACTTTACAAAGGGTTTCCGGTTGCGGACAGAAGCTCGACCTCCACATTCGCCTCCACCATCTGCCTACTTATCATGCTCTTCCTCGGCTTCTATGCGTACCTGAGAGGGGTCTCGTTGGCGGACGAAGCTGAAGCTCTCAAGACTGGTACAGGAGGAGAGCTATCCAGATGAGGCTTAAACAAAGAAGATGTACTGGAGGAGCCGCAGGATTTGGATCCATCTAATGAGCCGTGCTGATCAGCGCGGATAGTATTGCCATGCTACGAATCAGTCACCCCACAGAAGTCGAAAATACCAATTGAAACTTTGGTCACCTCCGCAATTGGCATCTCAGCTATCGATTTTGTATATCTTTGCAAATTTCCGAGAACAGGTCTCCATCTTGGATCCACAGTTCACAGTTTGGAGCAGAACACTACCATACTTTGTAGCGAAGATTTTCGCCATTCGTAACGATCACGTGTACGCACGCGAACCATAGCATCCCCCATCCTGGCACGGGCCGCGTCTTCCATTGCTTCTACCGACTCTTTACTAGATAAAGTTTGGCATTGCTGCATGGTATCATGTGTCGTGCATCAAGCCTGGCACTAGAGGCGAATTGGTGGGTTCGCTTCATGGTCGACCACGATGCCGCTAAGAAACTCTAATAGAGATCCGGTCAATGAGTCCTCCAAAGCTTATGGCGTAATTCTGGAGAAAACCCGAGTCGCGCTTGCAGTAAGTAGAATGCGACCAGAATCAATCGGCAAAACTGCGGAAGCTCATAAACGTTACCTCTAACGTTGACAGGCGTTGTTGTTTGAATCTTATGCAGCAAGCGACGAAGGCTTGAATCGAGTACCGAGAAGTTATCGATGCGAGCATCAATAATTACAGGCTTATGCTTGCGCATTATTGCCGGCGGCTCAATGTCAACTTCCGCGACGGCCAATGTGCTATCGAGCACCTGGGACCCTTCTGCAAGTGGCGGACTGTCCTGAAACTCCCGCGACTCTGAAACACGGCTTCGAATTCTGAGGCAATGGAAGCAGATCAGGGACACCAAACACGCCCTGCATCGTTGCCCTGGACCTCTTCTTGCTCGGTTTCCTGATCACCAGTCTCTTGTGGCTATCGCAGCTGAGACCCCATCGACATAGGTCCGAGAAACATCGTCATCGTGGGTACACACCCGCTTCACCTGCATGATAGAGGATTGGGTTTGCGGAAGTTGCCACGATCAGAGGATGAAACGTCAAACAATAAATGAATGGTACATACTGCAAAGTAGCATCGCAGCGGATGGATCGGCTACCGAGTTCAGACTATTTATTTACTCTCGCTACCTCTGCGGATGTATCAACTCGCCCAGACTCGCTTATCAAATTGCGAAATGACGAAAAAGGGACCGATGGGCCTCGACGTCGTTGAAATCGAACGAGCTTGTAGCCACAGCTGCAACGCATGACTTGTCATCAACGCTAACGGACTTTCAACGTCCCAATTAATGATCATGGTTGAAACCTTATTACTTCTTACACGGCTGAGAGAATGGCCAGTGCAATGGCGCACTGGCAACAGTCTACTACGCTTACAGCAGAGCTGGTCTGAGTAACGGCATTCCTCTTTCCTAGTGAGACCATTTGGCTTCTAGCGAGCAGCCTGACATCCCATTCGAGCTCATCGAAGGGTGTGGGTGGGTTTCAGGTGTGCCACTCCAGCCCCCGCTAACGCAGGTACAGGCTCCCATGTCCCAAAACGATGCTTGCTCCGATGAGAGTGAAAACAACGTGCGCTGGCAAACGCAAGAAGTTGTTCTCGTGGACGGCACTGCAGATTCTTGCCGCAAGGTACCAAGCGTTTGCAGACGGGATGCACGAGGTAGAAGGATTTCGCGCTCGATTAGGACGGAGTGCGGTGCATTCAACACCCGAAACAAGCCTACCAAAACTCTCAGAACGCAGCCAGCGCCATCTCAAATACCGGAAAGTTGGAACCAGTCTTCAGTAAAGCGAGTCATAAGCGCATAGACAGGTTGGATGACAACATCAAATCGTTTATTTGGATGCAGCGGTAACAGCAACAACACCTCTCGAGATATGAAGCTGCAGCTACAAGTCCTGAAAACGCCGAAACGTGGGGTTTGTGATGACCCTTTTCCGACTGCATGAAGGTGGTGACGGCACCAAGCTGCAAGCCGAGCGGCGCTTGCACTCGACAGGCAGAGCCACCGGCGTTCCCCATTCGCTGACTCGTACGAGCAACAGAACGGTTAGAACGATAATACCAGCTAAAAGCAATTCTGAAACGGCTTCATTGGCACTCTCACTGGCTCGCGGGGCGGCGTTACGCTGCACAAGCTGTCCTGCAATTGACGACAGAACAGCGGGCATCGTCGTCTGAAGGGCAGCGAGGACCCAAGCGCGGCTTATCACCACTCTGATCACCATGCAAACCGCAGAGGGTGGTAGGCTAGAGAGCGAGAAACCTAAAGATGGCCAATGGCCGCTCCCGCAAACCGAGCAAAAAGCGCGTTTCAGAAGGATGATCAAACAATACTTCAACGCTGCTTCTGCTGGTTCCTGCATCTCGACGCATTCACGTCACCGGTCGAGCAGCCACAAATGGATGGCTTCAGAAAACGGGCTGGGAGGGCTCGATGATGACATGCTCTTGTGACTGCGACGGCACAGAGTGCGGTCTGCCACCGCTATTCGCAGACTGAGTGAAGTGGGATGAGTCCTGGGCGCTTGCAGGTGGGTCGCCAGCGCAGGCTCAAGCTCTGCAGCGCGAATTACTGTGAACACAGAGCGATAGCAGAGCAGCTTCTATCGACTGGGGAGGTTCGGTTGCCAGCGGAAATAGCGATAGGGCGGTATCAATGGGCTGACAGGCAGGAGAACAGTGGTTGCGGCATCGCACAGCATCCGCGCCGACCGCCGGGCACATGTCCGGCTGCAGACAGCCACCTGCCAATGTCCACGAGGCTGCTTCGTACAGCAGCGTGGCGTTGAGACGATTGTGTGGCCGGATGTGCCCTCATGCCGTGCAAATGCGGCCATTTAACTTTGAGCTGGTGAGGTCGCAGCAGCCGACGGACCGTGTTGATCTGGTCGAGCACTCGGCGCAGCTGTCATTTCAAGCATGGCGTGGCGAGGGCGAACCAGCCCGACCAGGGTAGGTGCACGAAGCGAGCGGGGCAGATGCGGTTAACCGCGAGGAAAGGGCGCCCTGGGCCCTCCAGCACAGGACCAGCAGGTTGCATCAGAGCTCCACGACGGCCTCGATGCATGATGCTATCGAATGCTCCGCACAGGGAAGCGCAGACGAGGGCACGGCCGCGCAGGCATGCTGCTGGCCGCTGCGGTGGAGAGAGGTCGCGAAGAGAGGACGACTGGAGTCTGATCCACCGCTACCTGGCTCTCTCGCAGCGACATGCCAGCGACACGTCCTCTAAGCGCAGCCCGCGGCCAGCCACTCTGATGGCCGCTCTGGCGCACCTGCGCTAGGGGTTGTTCACTCACCACCCACTGCAGCACGGCCGTCCCACGAGTCGCCCGCACACGCCAGAGTGCGGGCCCTGAAATAGCTTGATGGCAGGGGTCCGCAGACGGGCGCAGAGACCAATGGCCAAGGTCTTTCTCAAACACCGCTAGGCCAGCAGAGACCCAGAGCCCAGGGCGTTTCAGCGCTGCAACACTTTAACCTGCCGCTTTCCCTCCCCAGACCTCGTTTCGCATCCTCAGCCCGTCACGTCTGCTCGCTCACCCGTCGTCGAGACCGCTTGCGATACATTTCATTCTCATTTCACATATCTCAAACCGTCGCTGGCCGATTTCTCTTTCGCTTTGCGCTTCAACTTTCGTTGTTCGAACCTGGCAGGCCCTTAACCGCGCTTCCCCCTCGCGTTTCCAGAGTTCCTAGCACCACATCACGTCACCGACGTCTGATCTCCGCGACGCCAAACACCCGTCTATAGAGGGACGTGTTGCAGCGCAGCATGTTTCCCACCCACCACGCCCAGATGCCCCCACCTCAGGCACGCTCTGTAGCGCCTGAGACGTTCTTATTAGATCAGGACGCTCAGCAAAGCCTGCCGCCGGACAGCATCGTCGCCCTGCAGCAAGTCGATAACCGTACGTGCCGCATCCGTGTCTCTACTGCCTGCGCATTGCTCTAGACGTCCCAACTGTGTGCTCTCCTGTGTACTAACCTCGCTGCAGTCAAGTACTTCCTTATCTCAGCACCCGTCGACTGGCAACCAGACCAGTACATTCGCAGGTTTCTTCTGCCTACAGGCGAATATGTCTCTTGCGTTCTGTGGTAAGTCCGTCTGTCTCGACAATACACGTCAGCCCGGCTAATTGGCCTGCAGGAACAACCTCTTTCACATCTCAGGTACCGACATCGTACGATGCCTGTCTTTCAGATTTCAGGCCTTTGGCCGCCCTGTCAAGAACTCCAAGAAGTTCGAGGAGGGTATCTTCTCAGATCTGCGCAACCTGAAGTCTGGCACAGACGCGTCGCTGGAGGAGCCTAAGAGCGCATTCCTCGACTTCCTCTACAAGAACAACTGCATCCGCACACAGAAGAAGCAGAAGGTCTTCTACTGGTACAGCGTACCCCACGACCGTCTTTTCCTTGACGCGCTGGAGCGCGACCTCAAGCGTGAGAAGATGGGCCAGGAGGCGACCACCATGGCCGTCAGCGAGCCCGCGCTTTCCTTCGAGTTTGATTCCTCGCAGTCTCTCTTCGAGCAGCTCACCAAGGCGCAACAAACCAACTCCTCCTCGTTCAACAACAACGTACAGCCTTCGTACCAGCACGGCCCATCACCCGATATGATGTCGCGCGAATCGATGCCCCCTCCCCAGATGGTCCCTGTTCAGCAAATGCCCCCGCAGCAGCCAATGCACCACCAGCACCAGCCCGTACACCACCAGCCTGTACATCATCAGCCTGTTCACCACCAGCCGGTGCAGCACGAGGATCCCATGGTTCAATATCATCATCAAATGTCTATGCCACCTTCTATGCCGCCGACCATGCAGCCTACCGTCATGAAGAGCAGAGAGCGCGAGTTCAGCGCCTCACTGCAGTATGACCGCAACGGCATCCCGCTATCGCAGGTTCACCAGCGCCACAGCTCGATGCCCGCTTACATGGAGTACTCGCCGGCTCCCTCTTTCGTTTCTTCGCACTACGAGGATTACAGCACTCGCGGCATGTCGTTCGAGCCCCTCACCCCACCGCAGCACCAGATTGGTCTCGGTGCTGAGCCAGCTTACATTGCCAACGAGGACACTGGTCTCTACAGCGCGATTCCTGATCTTCCCGTGCCCAACACATTCAACCCTTTGATGAACATTCCCCCGTCGAACTTGATGGGCCCTGGTTACCCGGTGTCGAGGCCGTTCGCTCCTGGCAACGTTTACTCTGTCATCGAGGGCTCGCCAACCTACAAGCAGCGCAGGAGGCGCTCGTCGCTGTCTGCTGGCATCACTGCTGCGGTCGCCGCTGCCAGTAACGCTCACCAGGCTCACCGACAAAGCGATCTGAGACGGTCAATGTCAGTTAACCCTGTTCCTGAGGCTGACGAGTCGCAACACAACTCGCCTTCGCCCAACGGTGCAACCTACGCTCAGTCGGTTCAGGACACCAAGCCTGTGATCGACACCTCGCGCCAAGGCACGCCTCTCAACACTGTTGAGGAGAGCCCTGAGCATCAGCCAGCGATGCTGCACCACGACGATCTGAACAGCATGGTCAATGGTGAGCTGTTCGAGACTCCACTCCAGCACAGCGCTGTCGCTCGCGCGGCAGGTGCTCCTGTCTTCCGACGCGCGCGCAGTGCTACCATGATGGAGATTGGTCCCTACCCACAGAAGTCCCACTCTTGCCCCATTCCTACATGTGGCAGACTCTTCAAGAGATTAGAACATCTCAAGAGGTAAGCACCTTCCCTCCTCCAATTTCCCGTTGATAGGTCGTTAGGACCTGGAAACTATTTTTGTGCATTGACGCTGACGGTCTGGCGCTTAGGCACGTGCGTACTCATACACAAGAACGACCATACGTCTGCCCGTTGTGTAACAAGGCGTTCTCGCGCTCGGACAACCTTGCCCAGTGAGTCATTCTCGTCATCACTTTCTGAATTACATTGCTAACGCAAGCCAGACATCGTCGCACACACGAGCCCCGTCCTGACGGTGAGCCTATCGAGGACTTCAACGAGGAAGACCTTGAGGGCGAAGACGACCTTAACCTCGAGGAAGACTCGCCCACATCGGGCAACGAGAACCTCTACGGTGCACACAATGTGCCTGCTACTTACGTCGACATTCCGGGCCCAGGCCTCGGCATGGGCGCCACCATGGCCACACCTCAGCAGCTGATGGCCAGCCACTACTAGGCGGTCGCCAACGACTGTCTTTATTGATGTCTTATCACGATACAAGCGTTTGGCGCCGGGCGAACCTAGATAGAGTGGCTGCGCTTCTTTCTTCTTTCTTATTGATTCCCTAGATTAGGTTTCTTCTTCTGAGCATCTTACGATGTCTGCATCGCGTCGCATGCATTTTTCCCGGTATGGGACGTCACGAACACGAGTACCCTTTTTCTTATTGCTTCGCCTATATGCGGCCATCTTTTCTTACCCGGTTGCATATCCTGTTGGCATACAAGCGATTTTCTGCAAAAGTTGTTGGATGGTATTGGCGCTGACCGCCGCTACGCGCACCTTGTTGGTTGCTGCGTTTTTCTTGTGGATAGGATACCATAGCGGAGGTCGCCACTTGAGGCGAGTGTATAATAATGCAACAATGCAGAGACTACCCCTAACGTCAGCTCCACATTGTCCAGTGACACATGATCTACTGTCCATCGATCGAAGAACGGACCGGCGTGTCACGTTAGACGGACTCGTTCTGCGCTGACCCCATCCAAGCAGCTTGAGGTCTGCCAGCTTTTGTGTAGTGAAGCTTTGACTCTCGAACAGCCACACAGTTGACTGTCTTTGAAGACGGGTTCGGGCGGCTTCTTCCCTTAGCGAGCGGATGCGCACAGCAATGGATAGAAACCATCGCGCTCCAGCCAATGGAGTTGTACACCGATCCAGTAAGCCCCGTCTTCTACGGGTCAGGATTCGACAACGGAACCCGTAGGATTGACGAATTACAAATGCAGCCGCTTCTTTGAAGGGTTGAAAGTGTACATGCTCTTGCCAGGCGGTCAGAAAGCATCTCACCGATCGGACCAGTACAAAGAACGTGGGCGGTCAGAATTCTCCTTCTGCAACGTCCCTCGAGGCCGCCCGGCAAACGTCCCGCAATCCAAAAGGAGAGTCTCCTGGCTGAAGGCGAGAGGAGCTACGTTGAGAAAGGTTGGCACCCGCAAAGAGTTCATTTGCCCTCCAGGACGGCTCTCTTGTCGGCAATTGACATGTGCATGGCGCGCAAGCGGGATGTCGTGTTGGCGGAACCAGGACGTTCATAAGACCGCTCCCCGGAGGATGGTCAGCTAGACACAGCCCTGGAGGAACTCTGCTTCTCAAGATGACCGGAAAAGATATCTACAGTGCAGGTGTGCGCAGCCTCGAGGCTATAGTGACCGCACTTGTCGCAGGCTGTGATTGTGACCATACTTTATTGCGAAGATCGGAGTTGGCAAACATTCTCAGTAGCGTTATGTCGAGGATCCAAAAATCTGATTGAAGACGGAAAGCTACCTTCTCATTCTTGAGATCAGGCGGACACGCTCGTGCAGCGAGTCCGCAGGCCGCAGGCCGAAGAGACGGGACAAGGCCGACTCCCGACTAGGTAGGTACCTCTCCAAGGTGCTCCCCGTATTGTGGGCCTCGTCAACCTCTACCACTGTCTACACATCGTTCCTCAGCAGACAACCGACACCATGAGGGGTATATTCGCACGAATATTCGCACGAATACTCGGCATCTCTGAGCCTGTCGCCTACGAGTATGAGCCGCTCCCATCCAGTGAGCACTTCCGCTATCTCATCCTCAACCCGGGGATTGGCGACGAGCCGCTGGTCTGTTCTCTCGACACCACGCCTTTGGCAGGAAAGCTGTTTTACGAGATCATCTCTGACTACTGGGCATCTCCGGAGAAAGACCGAACTATTAGGTGTAACAAAAGGTCTTTGACCATCACGTCAAGTCTGCACGAAGCGTTGCGCGCGCTGCGCTACGCTGAATGTTTAAGGGAGCTCTGGGTTGCTGAGATGTGCATCAACCAGGACGATATCGAAGAGCGACTAAAGCAGATTGATCTTAGGCTGCGGATACATCAGAAGGCGCACCGTGTGCTTTATTATACGGGACCTGGTTCTCTCGACGGCCAGAGATGAGGTGGCTATTGTTGAGAGGATCGAGGCGCCATTGCAAAGGATTCCGCAAGCGTAGACAGCGTTTTTTTTGGAGAGTTGAAGTAAAGTGTGTGCCATTGCATGAACTAAGATGCGCTTGTGCCTGTGCAGAGTATGTGCAGGTCGCTGAAGCGAAGACTGGGGTACGCCCTTCACCGCTTGATGACTGTCTCCATCGACCTGTCGACCCACCCGTGTCTTCGTCACAGCAATTACATGAAGCGCCTTGAGAGCTGCCCAATGGAATTTCCCTACACGAAGCAAAGCCTATCAGGAGAGTAGACTGCCGGACCGAAGCCTCTAGGTATCTGTTAGTTCATCTGGACACGAGGAGAGGCCACCATCGAAACGCAGAATCCGCCGCACTTCGCTATCTAGACCCGTACCATGCCACGCTCATTACACGTCTGGGATCCTTGGACGGAGTCAACCGCGGTAGCTTGATGACATTCAGGGCGCGATGGACGAGTAACGCAGAGTTGTTGATGCGTTGAAAGTGGCTTGGCAGGATACTGCTTGTGTAGGCCAGCATCGAATTTGTAAGAACAGAACATGGTAGGTATCATACAAGAGATGCCCCTCGTCTAGGGCATTGAGATGCAGGGTCCGAACCCCAAACGCCGCGCAATGCAAACATACGAATGCAAAACTCCATCGAAATCTTACAGTGCTCTGGCCGCAGCTGGCAAACCTCAACAGCGCGTCTACATCCCTTCGACGGCAATCCCCTTCGCCGCACCCCCTACATCCCTATACATCGCCTTCCGCTTCTCCACCTCCTCCCTCCACCTGCGCTCCCGCTCCTCCCTCCCCACGCCCTTGACGTACTGCAGCAGCCTCAACGCGCCCGTGGGCGTGACACCCTCGACTCTGCGCGCCTGCCCCACGCTCTCCGGCCTTGCGACCTTGAGGGCCGCCTTCTCTTCGAAGCTGAGGCCGAAGATGGCCTCGAAGTCGAGATCGAGGGGGAGCGCGAGCTGCTCGTCGCGCAGCCAGCGCGCCTGAGCAGCTGTCTGGTAGGCGACGTACGGCGCGTAGGTGGCTTCGATGTGCACTCTATCCCTGATGCGGTTGGAGAAGGATGTGATCTCGGGCAGGATGGAGGCGAGGCTCGTGGGCGTGGTATTCGCCATGCGAAGCAGGTCGTAGGCGGAGCGTTTTGAGCTGTCATTTCGCACGTCGAAGCCGTGGTCTTTCCAGAGCGGGGCGCCCATAGACTTGCCCTGTAGCAAAGCTGTCAGGCTCGCCGTCTGTGTGGCTTCGTCGCTGAATGCGGTCCAGCGCGCGTCGCCGACGACGCCGTGCGAGCGCCCGAGGGACGTGAGTCGGGTATCCGCGTTGTCGGCGCGGGCCGACATGCGGTATTCGCTGCGCGAGGTGAACATGCGGTACGGCTCGGAGACGCCCTTTGTGATCAGGTCGTCGATCATGATGCCGATGTAGCCGTCTGCTCGTGTGAGCACCATGGCTTCTTTCCCAAGACTGCGCAGGCCGGCGTTTATGCCTGCTACTACGCCCTGGCCGGCGGCTTCTTCGTAGCCCGTTGTCCCGTTGATTTGGCCGGCGAGGAAGAGGCCGGAGATGTTTTTTGTTTCGAGGGTCGAGCGTAGGTGCCGTGGATCGACGTAGTCGTATTCCACACCGTAGCCAGGTTGTAGCATTTTGACGTTTTCTAATCCCTTTACTGTCTTCAGAAAGGCTTCTTGAACGTCTGGTGGCACGGTGCAAGATATGCCGTTCGGATAGATGATGTCGTTATCGAAGCCTTCGGGCTCGAGCCAGATGATGTGGCTGGTCTTATCCGTGAAGCGTATGATCTTCGACTCGAGCGAGGGGCAGTACCGCGGCCCCTTGACGGTCTCGCGGATATGTATCGACTTGTCGAGGTTCTGGCGGATGATCTCGTGTCCGGCTTCGTTGGTGCGGGTCTCGTGGTTCAGCAGCTGTTGCTCGACTTGTACGCGGTCGTTGAGGTAGCTGAAAGGCATGGGTGGGTCGTCACCTTCTTGCGCGTCAAGAATCTTGAAATTGATCGACTTCGCGTCCAACCGTGGCGGCGTGCCGGTCTTCAGCCTCCCCAGTGTAAATCCAGCTTCCCGCAAACTCTTGCTCAGGCCAAACGTCGCAGCCTCGCCCATGCGGCCGGACGGGAAAGCGTCCAGTCCAATATGGATCTCTCCGCCCAGAAACGTGCCAGTCGTAATGACCACATTCTCCGTAGGAATAATCTGTCCGCTCTCCAGCCTCACGCCCGTGATCTTCCCATAGGCACCCTTCCGCTCATCGTCCGGCGTGCGATCCACAATGATATCCGCCACACTCCCCTCCACAACGCTCAACCCCTTGTATCCCTCAATCTCCTCGCGCATGTACTGCTTATACAGCGCGCGATCGATCTGCGCGCGCGGCCCCCACACCGCAGGGCCCTTCTTGCGGTTCAGGACTCGGAACTGCACGCCCGCTTTGTCGACGATGCGGCCCACGACTCCGTCCAGGGCGTCGATTTCGCGCAGCATGGTGCCCTTGCCAATCCCGCCGAACGAGGGGTTGCAGCTGCAGACGCCGAGGTTTTCCCTCGAGGGCGTGACGAGCGCGGTGCGGGCGCCGGAGCGCGCGGCGGCGGTGGAGGCCTCGCAGCCTGCGTGGCCGCCACCGATGACGATGACGTCGTAGGGTCTGCGGGGGCTTAGTCGTGGTGTCGCGGTTTAATTAAGGGTGGTGAAGTACTGCTCGGAGATGGCGACGCTGGCAAATGTCTTGCGGCGATTGTTGAAGGACCGTACGCGCGGTGCGTGGCCCCAGAGCTGGCGCGCTCGCTGTGCGATGACTCGCTGCATTGTGGGTGTGGATTGTTGCGGAGAGGTTGTCTCGAAAAAGTTGGGATGGACGCGGAGGTCTCGAAGTCGCCGCAACTTTCGCCGCGCGCAGTCACGTGGTGATAGACATGAGGATGTCTGCGCGAGTAATGGGTCAGTTGTCACCGGAGCTTGGTATGGAAGCTCTAGAATTATGAATGACCTGAGCGCAATGCGACGGTTGTGGCCTGTTGAAAAGCTTGCTAATTGAGCATGCAGTAAAGATCAGGTTCTGAGCAGAACGCCTCCATTCACATTCTACAAGAGCATGGATCGTACATAAGAACCTCCTGTGGTATACACTCCTCGTCTCGTACAGTTGCAACCAGAAACGACAGCTTCCTCGGGCCAAAGCCTCGCAAGTCGCATTCTTCCTCCAAGTCGCATAGGTGCAGTCTTCATTACAAGGTATAGCGGCAAATCATACACATCTCAGCAGAGATGACTGCTTAACCGGACGCTTCCTGGACGAGACCCTCGTCGTTAGTCTCAGCGCCCTCTTCGGTGCGGGCGCGGCTCAGAACATCGAAGTTCCTCGCGACCAAGCTCAGGTTGGAGCGCTTGTTGCCCTCGGCGTCGGTGAAGACCTCCATGCGCGCGTCGGCGTCGACGTAGAGGAGGGATCTACCACTGGATATTAGCCGCTGTCCAGTCTTCATCTCTTGCGCAACTGTCTGGCTGCACCTAACGTATGTGCTAGAGCTTGCGCCTTCGATGCGCAAGCCGCCAGCAAGAGCCCACATCTGATAGGAACAGTGCAAACTCACCCCTTAGGCACGTTCATGAGAAAGTCCTTCTGTGCGCCCTGCACGAAACTCGCAACCCTGAACCAGCTCGTCTTCTTCTCCTCGCCCTTACCGAATGAGCTTCCGATCACGTATCGCACCAATGTCCTGTCGCCGCTGATGGTCACCTCCTCGGGCGCAACACCGAGACGGCCGACGACCGTCATGCGCGCCAGCTGGCTGGCGGGGGACGAGGAGAAGCTGCGTGTGAAGGCGCGCGGCGCGGCGGTACGGAAGCTGCTGAAGAACATTTTGCGATTGGACTTGGATTGTTTGAGGTGGGCTGGATGGGTGGTTGTGGCGGCGATGATGTTTAGTGGTGCTGTGGGTGGGGACGATAAGTGAGGAGACGCGAGTCGCGTTCTACCGTCTACCTACGCGACCTGTCAGTGTCAGGGGTTTGCCAAGCGCCACCATTGACGAATCAACGTGGGGGGAAAAGCGACTTGGCTGTTGTGGAACATTTGGTCGGAGGCCTTCTATTGGTTTGTTGTTATGGTCGCTTGTTTGTTTTCCAGCTTCTTCAGAGATTTTGCTGTCGCCTTGTCTCGCATATTCGAGGTGTTCTTATGCCGCATCTCCACGAGCCTCCAAACCCACTCGTCCTCATCATAGCCATACACTTCATGAACCTACTCCATCTCCGGCAAGCATCCAATGTAGCGTGGGGAATAGGAAAGCATCTTGTACGTCGACTTCAAAGTTCTATCGACCGAGATCTACTCAATACCTGGCGATCTTCCCTAATCTTACAGTGGTGAAAGCCGCGACAACCGCACAGCACGCACCAATAAACAAACAAACACTAATCGCGTTAACGCCCTCGGTGCTGTGATGTTCCTCCTCGGGCGCATCGCTGAGTTCCGGGCTCTTCCCAGGCTCAAGTAACGAGAAAACAACAAACGAGATACCCGTCCCCACGAACTGTGGCAATGTGGTGTAGACGTTCATGATGCCCAGGTATTTGCCCGAGCCTTCACCTGTAGATTGCTGCTCCGAGTCGGGCTGGTCTAAGTGCAGGGTAGACGGTCCATCGAGCTCGACAGAGTTTCGACCAAGAGGCACGTAGGTGGATGTTGAGGACAGGCGGTTGATCTCGACGCCGAGGAAGGCGAAGGGCGCCCAGCAGCTGATTGCCCAGGAACTGGTTGCATTAATGTCTGTGGGCGTGATAGTGTAGAGATAATGGAGGACTTACATGCCGCACACGCCGATAATCAAGGTGGCACCGTGTAAAGACTCGACGAATGGTGCTAGGCACATCGCGCAGGCAAAGACGATATGTGAGATCATCCAAGCAGTGAGAAGCGAGGGCCTGTACTGCCCAGCTTTTTGCACAAATGTTGCCAGTTTGACGGGTGGTCGCGCGGTGTAGGGCGGCTCTTCGCCCTCTGGGCTCTTGACGACGAAGGGCAGCAGCACGGACATGATGAAGGTGATGATCGAGAAGCCGATGAGGGCCAGTGAGCCGACCCGACCGACTTGGCCAGTCATGTCGTTGGAGTTCTTTGCGGAGGCAGGTGCGTCGTAACGGAGGTATACCTCGCCAACCCAGGTTGTACTGTAGAAAAGGAAAGGGAACCAGCCTAGTTTAATATCAGTGGTGTTCATTCAAACGAGACCTTGAGAACCTACCAATCCATGCCCAGAACTGCACATGACAGATGGTTTTGATAGTCGCTGGCAGATTGAAGGTCGACTTTGCAAGGTCGATCAAGACCTTAGTGGCGCTCAGCTGCTCATCTCCATCATGCCCAATGAGTACCCTCTCTGTGACAGCCCAGCTCGTAAGACCCACGGTCAGACACAAGCAGAAAGCAGCTACGACTGTGAGCTGCTTGAATTGCGTATCTCCCAGCAATGTCCCAAAGACCGCCTCCAGCTTGACAGCTCCAGCGCCGTATCCGATCAGGCTGCCCACAGCAACCATTCGACTGGCCCAACTGCTCCCAGCCTGCTGTTTGGGAATGGGCAGCGTGTCAACAATCAACCCTCTGCAACTGCCCTGCACCGCATTGATAGCGAAATCAATCCCATAGATGCTGAACACAGCGAGTACTATCGTCGCGTTCCTGACCGCTTCCTTCTCGCTCGCAAACAGGCCGACCACTTCTTTCGTCCAGCCGAGCAGCAGCAGAAACAAGGATGTGAGGATGGTGCAGCCGACCATGAAGGGGCGTCGTCGGCCGTGGCGCGAGGTCGAGCGGTCTGCTATCACGCCGACCACTGGCTGCATTATCAGGCCTGAGAGAGGGCCCGCGATCCAGACGAGTGAGATACGGGACTTTGTGAGGCCTAGCTCGAGGAGGTAGGGCGTACAGTAGGTCATTTCGACGTTCCATGTTATCCTGCAATGGTTCCATTAGCTCTGATACCAGACAGAGCGCGTAGGGTTAGGGAGGCGCACTGTAGGCCGATGAGCGACGCTGTGAGCAGCGCCATGCGCACGCTCTCACTAGAGCCTTTGATCGAGGGCGTACCGGCCCATTGGGCTACGGACGGCATCCTCCCTCTTCGCGATTGTATTCCGATTGGTTCTGGGTGTTAAGGGGTCAGGTGCTTCGGTATGCGGTCGCGTGCGCTGTGATGGAATGTTGCATTGGGCGATGATGCGTGTGGTTTGAGATCTTGCAAGGCTTCGACGTTAAGGCGACATATTATAAAGGCGAGAGAGCAGAAGGTAAAAGTGTAACGGTTTATTGTGATGTACAAGCATATGTGGCTGCAGGGGGAGTGAGACGTCAGCATAGATCGTGGCTTGGGCGCGGAGAGACCGTTGAGCTAGTGAATAGAACGGGCCGCTTGCGTCCAGCACGAACGACACCGAACGCCTGGTCTCGGTTGAGCGACCGCCGATTTAGACTCGGCTTAGTACCTTGGAGGCTTCGACAACCTCCGAACACGTTGGGCTCATTTGCTCATGCAGCAATGCAGCATCTGATGTCTCTCCCATGTGGCTGTTTGACAGCCTTGATGATGTATGCTTAAAAGTCTCGTCTCCACACCTGGACCGCCTTATCCATCCGGGATTTCCGGTCTGCGGAAGTGGTTGCCGCTATCAGGAAACAAACTCAGGAGAATGTTTCGTCAGCAATCGTGTCAGCAACAATTTGACAGAAGAGGAGATTTAACAACTGGCACGACACGCCGTGTTGAGATGAGGTGTTTTGGGTGTCATCGATGTTCAATTTGATAGAGGTGATCAAACAGCCAACGAATGCGATGCAGCAAGATGCGGCGATGCAGCAAGACGCGCCTGAACATGCTATGGATACACAACTCCAAATGACAGACATAGAAGTACAACGACAATAATACTAATTAACAAGTGGAAGCCTCGCTCCCGTACAAGTGGTCGATGCATCAAGCACCGATCAGCTCCTTGGGCACACAGGCAAAGCCTGTGCTAATGACAGCCAAGATAGAGCTGAAAATGATCAAAGCCCAATTCAGGGCCTTTTCACCGCCTCCAATATCCTTGCCGAAGAGCTTCAGGTGGAATGCGACAGGCAAGATAATGCAGATGGAGAAGCAAGCGACACTACCAAGTAGTGCCATGATGCGGTCGAAAGACGGGAAGACGATGGCAATAACCACAAAGGCAGCGATGGTCACGACCTTCAATGTGACCTTGAACAGCCCCCGGTTGAGACCTGACATGCCGTTCATGGAGGATGACATGGCCATTGCTCGGGAGTCGAGACCGAAGAGGACTTCGAGAGTGGATACGATGGGACGGGCGTTCAGCGGGACCTTGGTGAGCGGGATAATGGCGATGCAAATCGCGATGAAGACAGAGAGACTTGGAGGGTAGCCTGCCGTCCAGAATATGTTATTCGTAACCTCCTCACTGACTCCATCACCAAACATGAGGATGCCGGCGCAAGCCATACCGACATCGATCAGGTAGGTAAAGATGTAGGTAATGTCAACGCCGCGGCGGTACTTGTATGGATGTCGCATATCTCTGTAGATGTTGGGAAACACAGAGTGACCACCCCAAGGAGACATGAGAAGACCTAACGAGAGCGGAATCGTCATCCAATTCTCGGGAAACAGGTACTGGGTCATGGGCTGACGGATGGAACCAGGAGCGTCAGCTTTGAGGAGACCGTCTGCCCACACAGCGAGTGTAATACCAAAGCAAGCCATGACACCCAGAATGGATGTAAAGGACAGCAGGCGCAGAGGAAGGAAGCTCAGTGGAACCAGAATGACACCACAGACGATCTTCCAGGTAAGAACGCCATACCCAGAAATCAAGGCGTCCATGCTGTCAGCGAAGAGCACCACAAGGGCAACACATGCTGCCAGGAGTTCGAGAGAGAACAAAATGCTAACAGCGATGCGAGCCTTGTTACCGAAAGAAACGTAAGCCAGGTCGGCGAAGGTGATGAGGGAGTTGTCGACATCCAGACACTTGGCAAGGAGCTTCGCGGTATACGAAGTCACCACGGCAGACCATGCGAGAAAGATCATGCCAATCACCCATCCAGAGTATCTTAGAGCGAGGGGCAGCGTTAGCAGCCCCACACCAACCAGAACGTTGACAGAGTTGAAGATGGTCTGTGGAAGTGTCGATTGCCCAACTACAACGTTGATGATCTGTCCGTCCTCTTCGACCTGCTTGACGAGCAGCGGCTCTCGTTCTTGCTCTGGTTCCTGCACGCCCTTCAGCTGCTGCTCGGTGAACAGGCGTCCAGCATGGCGCATCGAAGACTCGTTGACGCGTGCGGACAAGCTGCCGTAGGCTGTGCCATAGCTTCCGCCGAAGGGCGAGGAAAGCGAGGGCTCAATGTTGAAGATACTGTCGCCACGGTCTCTCAGTCGCTGTTGTGAGTCCCTCGGCAGAAGGCGGGTGTGCTCGTCGGCGCCGGCCTCTTCGTCCTCGACGGCAGTTCCCTGGTCAGACGTGCGCCTTCCTTGTGATTGCAGCGCATTGCGAAGAGCGGATCGGTGCTCTGCGAGGGTGCTCGGGACGAATCCTGCGCGCGGAAAGTCGGCGGTGGGTGTCTCTTCGTCGTCGTCACTCTCGACGCGGAAACTTGGGCGCACGGGGGTGATCTCGAAGAAGCCTGCTGCACGCTGCCACGAGCGGGCGAAGTTGTTGATACTGTTGACGCCGCCTGCATCGCCCAGCGCCTGCAATTGCTGCGATACCGAGGATCTTTGTTGTCTTGTCAGCACGCGGTCGCTGCCAAGTGCAGATTCTGCCTACCTCCGCCTCCGCAGAGTTCCATTGACGGCCGAAGACGTGCCTGTGTTCGATGCGCTCTGTTCGCTGGGCCGCCGTTCGAGCCCGTCCCACTGCACGCGACTGCCCTGCGAGCCGACCGACGCACCGCGCACGCCGTCGTACTGGTCCCATGTGGACGGCTTCTTGCCCTTGATGTCCATGGCGAGCGAAGGTCAGTCTCTCACACAGACGGGTACACGGGAGCAATAGCAATGGCTTGGGGATAAGGGAGAGCAGGTGGAGCCGATATAAAACTTGTTCGCGGACCCATGCAGGGTGCGGGAGCTAGATACAGTATCAATGAAAGTTTATCGTCGGTGGATTGGCATAGGAAACGCGTAACGCCTGGAGTCCATGACCACTGCGGCACGGCAATCGTCCTGACAGTACGAAGTAGCGCCGAGGACGGGGGAGATATCATGTGTGAAGCCCTGACACCAAGATAACTATCACGAGGCAGGCGGCGCCCCGCATGTACTTCGTACCTTTCGTCATGCCGCGGGCACACAGCGGGCGTCTACTGCGCTGTGAGTGGGCCCGTTAGCGATTGGAAGGGCAGAGTGCCAAAGACAGAGCACAGCCCATTATCATTGTTCACAGTACTGAGTCAGCAGTGACTCTGCTTGACTGTATCTGACTGGAGTCGCTCAAAGTCGACACACCGAAGTTTGATGCCTGATTCGTGAGAGACATAAATACGCATTCGTTGGTCGAGGCTTGCTGCTGTCCAAACGTCGTGTTGCGCGGGAGCGACCGTAACCTAGCGACCGCAGCCCCTCCAAAGAGCGCAAGGCAAAATTTACAGTCCGCCTTGCCCGCCTCCGTCACCTCACCCCAAACCCACACCGCGAAGATGTCGTCGAAGGAGCCCCAGCCCAACGACGCGGAGAAGAACATCGAGATCTGGAAGGTCAAGAAGCTGATCAAGCGTCTTGAAGCCGCCCGCGGAAATGGCACATCCATGATTTCGCTCATTATCCGTATGTGAGCCCCAACACTGGCCGTGAGCCTTGCCGCCCACACTGCGGCCATGCACCAGCAGTACCACTCACCATGCACAGCGCCCAAGGACCAGGTCTCGCGCGCCGCGAAGATGTTGGCTGAAGAGTTTGGAACTGCCTCCAACATCAAGTCCCGCGTCAACCGTCTTTCTGTCCTGTCCGCGATTACCTCGACCCAGCAGCGTCTGAAGCTGTACTCAAAGGTCCCGCCCAACGGCCTGGTCATCTACTGCGGTGAAATCCTGACCCCCGAGGGCAAGGAGCGCAAGGTCAACATCGACTTCGAGCCCTTCAAGCCCATCAACACGTCGCTGTACCTCTGTGACAACAAGTTCCACACCGAGGCTCTCAGCGAGCTGCTCGAGTCAGACCAGAAATTCGGCTTCATCATCATGGACGGAAACGGTGCGCTCTTCGGTACACTGTCGGGAAACACCCGTGAAATCGTGCACAAGTTCTCTGTCGATCTGCCCAAGAAGCACGGTCGTGGTGGTCAGTCTGCCCTGCGTTTCGCCCGTCTGCGTGAAGAGAAGCGCCACAACTACGTCCGCAAGGTCGCCGAACTGGCGGTGCAGAACTTCATCACAGCTGACAAGGTCAACGTCGCTGGCATCATTCTGGCCGGTAGTGCTGATTTCAAGAACGACCTGAACCAGTCTGATCTCTTCGACAACCGTCTGCAGTCAAAGGTCATCAAGGTCGTCGACGTTTCCTACGGTGGCGAGAACGGCTTCAACCAGGCTATCGAGCTGTCCTCCGAGACACTCGGCAACGTCAAGTTCATCCAGGAGAAGAAGCTCATCAACGAGTACTTTGATCACATCTCCAAGGACTCTGGCAAAGTCTGCTACGGTGTCGAGGACACCCTCAAGGCTCTGGAGGCTGGTGCTGCCGAGACTTTGATTGTCTTCGAAAACCTGGAGATCACCCGCTGGGTCCTCAAGGCTTCGGACAACACAGAGGTCATCCTCCACACCAACAAGACACAGGAGGCCGACCGAACCAACTTCATGGACAAGACCACCGGACAGGAGATGGAAATCGTTGAGCAGTCATCTATGCTCGAGTGGCTCGCTGAGAAGTACCGCGACTTCGGTGCTACCCTCGAATTCGTTTCCGACCGTTCGTCAGAGGGTAACCAGTTCGTGAAGGGCTTCGGTGGCATTGGTGCCATCCTGCGTTACGCGCTCAACTTTGAGCAGCTTGCCGACTTTGATGACGACGAAGACGAGTTCTACGATGATTGACGGTTGTGCGCCCTCGCTGACTGCGAGGCAGCGTCCCCACTCCACGCGTCGAGTGAAGGAACGTCCGCTGCCCGCGCACAATGTCAACAAGACGCGCCCGGATCGAAGGACGGAGCAGTCGATGTTACGACGCTTCGCCTCTCCCGATTGTAGATGAATAGGGGAGCGTTCACGGAAGTTTTGCATGGTAGGTCGATATTCGTTCTATGGATGACCATCGCTAATGCTGCTCAGGCTGATGAACCACCCATTCTTATCACCACCCCTTGCGTTCGACGGAGAGGCAGCAGCCTTCTCCGACAAGTTGCCCAATCTACCTTGATTGTAGAGCTCTATCCTAGCCGCGACTATGAGTGAAGACGAAGAGGACACTGAGAATAGCCATTGTCAATCATCTATTTGCGAACTTTCCGCAGCAATCCTAGGTGGAAGAAGGAGAGGTAAATTGCTCATTCGCGTATGCTTCAGCTTGTCTGTCGTTCATATCCAGCTGAATCAAACTGTGCTCCAACCCGACTCGTCTATTAGTGTGATTCTACTTGTGACCCAAATGTGCGATAAAGGTAACCAGAACAGGAACCACAGCTGTGAAATATGTTAACCGCATAAATTGCGCCCTACACGTTGGCTATTGTACATCCGCCCTGTGATGTAGATTTGCCGTCTAAAAGGCCGATGCCGCTCTAAATTCCTATTCCGAACTTGGACCTCGGATTTTGTGAACACGACACCTACGTATCGCAGTTTGACAAGATGTCAGGGACGGAAAAGCCGAGAGTTGCGTTTCTGGGGCCAGAGGCAAGCTATACACATCAGGTCAGTCAGCATTCTAATTTCGTTACATTACAACCGTTCCCCGTGACTGTTCACGAAGCTTTCCAAAAAAAAAGAGTCAACACGTCACGGGCTGCGTCTCGTCCACCCACGTACAATAATGCACCTGCTACAAAGAACCTTCCCACATAAAACCAGCATTGTTGTCTGTCGCTTTGCATGATTGGAGTGTGGTTCGTTCTCACTTGTCCTTACTGACGCTTCCTCAAGGCGACTCTCGATACGTTCTCGCCTGACACTTATACTCTCGCACCACAAACCACCATCGAGGATGTCTTCGCCGCCGTACAGGATGGCAGCGTTTATCGCGGCGTTGTTCCCTTCGAGAACAGCACCAACGGCTCCGTGGTCTTCACCCTCGACCTCTTCGCGAATTTGCACGGCAAGTATGGCGACCTTCTCGTGTGCGGCGAAGCATATGTCAATGTGAGCCACTGCCTGCTCGGTCTCGATGCAACAAGTCCGCAGAACTACTCCAAGATCACGAAACTGTACTCGCATCCGCAAGCGTGGGGCCAATGCAAAACCTTCTTGCAAAAGCACTTGAAACACGCTGAGCGCTTCGATGTGTCCTCGACCTCACGCGCCGCACAGATGGTCGCACAATCTAAAGACTCGGGTGCAGCAGCCATCAGCAGTAAAGTTGCAGGGACATTATTCAAGCTCTCTCTTCTTTCTGAAGGCATCAACGACGTCAGCGGCAACCAGACACGTTTCCTGGTTTTGCGGCGAAAAGACAGCCCACAGACATCCGCACCATCCACACCACCAGCCACAGTCAATAGTGATGAAGAGAACTACAAGACACTACTCCTCTTCACGTTGCCTTATACACCCTCGGATCCCAACCCTGGCGCGCTGGCACAATGTCTATCGGTCTTCGGCAGGCATAAGCTCAACTTGACAAGCATCAACACGCGGCCTAGCGGCGTGGCAAATTGGGAGTATATCTTTTTTATCGAGTTCAAGGGACGAAAGGACGATGATGAGGGCGGGGCTGTGAATGCAGCCTTCAAGGAGCTGGGCGGCGTGTGTGAATGGTATCGATGGTTGGGAAGCTGGGAGAACAGGCTGCCAGCTCCAAGCTCGCAGAAGTGATAGACCCCGAATAGCTCACGACGATACCAATTGGAAGACCAAGACCCCTGATCTCAAGCATCAACGCCTTTCGAACTCATGGGGTGACCACGCGGCGCTAGCGTGTCGCGCTAGGCATTTCCCCGTCAACGATGTTTGCGATCCGGTCCACTAAACGGCAGTGCAAGGGCACGCCTCGCCATTGACCATAACCAATGGAAATCGTGAGCAACCTCAAGAAGATCTACCACAATTCCAAAATGGGCAATGCAAACTCAGTACCAGCTGCCGGGCAGAAGCGGAAACGCCCAAACTTCTTGTGAGCATTCCACACGCGCGCTCGGCACACCGGCCTGCAGCCGGCCTGCCTCATTCGAGCACGCTACTGACGTAAGGCAGGGCCATCGATCAGACCCTCATTGGGATAACGATAGGTGAGGAAGAGGAGAACAAAAAGTCGTTCATGCTACACAAGGACCTTCTCTGCGCACATTCACGGTACTTCCGCAACGCGTGTGAAGGCCTCTTATCAGAAGACGAAGCCCTAACAATCCACCTCCCAAATGTCTCAGAATCAACAATCAAACTCTTCCAATTCTGGCTCTACGGCCAGGCGACCCGCGAAGAGCCTAAACGCGTGATCAAGCGCCCGAAACATACCATCAATAAGGGGAAGGAAATCATCGATCTCGATGCGCCGGGGCCTGCAGATCCACCACCGCCAGAAGCCCATGATGGAGACGAGATGTCAACAGAAGACCTTTTCAACACAAGGCGTACTCCCGCCTGGCTCGACACCTCCGAATTCCTCTTCACCACGAACCACCAATACCTACGTACCTTCATCGGCCTCTCGACACTAGCGCACACCTACGACATCCCGCAGCTCAGCAGCGACGTAATGACTCTCATAGTCGACCTACAGAACTACAACCGCGACCGCAAAGGACAACGCGACCTGTGGCCGCCATACACGGAGCTCTACTCCGGCCTCCCCAGCTCCGCACCGCTGTGCAAGTATCTCGTCAAAGAAGCCGCCGTCTACCGGGACCTGACCAAGATAAAGCGGTCCAAACTCGACGACCTCCCCAAAGACTTCCTCGTCGATATGCTGCTCACCACCACACCGATGAAGCGCGTCAGCCGCCTGAAGCTCAAGGAGGAGATCCGGGATAGCTGCAATTTTCACGCGCACCCGTCACACCCATCGATATCAGCGTGCAAGAAGCGGCAATTGAGGGATGGCGCATTTTACAGCAGTTTCTTACGGGCATGCATGAGCGAGGTGTATGCGCTGGAGGAGCATAGCGAACAACATTGGGATGGCGAGAGTGAGACGACGGAGGTTTTGCAGCAGGAAATGTTTGCGTTGGAGGGCGAGAGTGAGGTTTGTCGGGAGTGGGATTGGGATAATGAGGATACGCTGAGGGTGAGCGAGGGGGAGGAGAGTGGGTGATTTGGATCAAGATACGGTGTTGGGCGTCTTGTATGCGATGGGAGGGGTCGGGGAACTTTTGGATAAGCGAGGAACTCTAGAGCTATAATTTCAAAGAGAATTGACGTAGATAGATACGTTCTTCCTCTGTATTGCCACCATAGCCATAAATATATGAACGAATGAACGAAGCACATACTCGGCGTCATCTCCGCGATCCGTCTAAGCAAGTCTGTCCTACGTCTGCTGCACACGATGTCCACTCAACGGCCATCCATCCTTGCGAGAAAGACTGCGACGAATTGTGTGGATTATATCGCGCTGCACCCATTCGTCATCGATTTTCACTTGACAGAATCTGCCGCCGAATGACCATACGTCCCAGACCTCAAGCGGGGGCCAATTGCATCATGTCGGCAAGAATGGGGCTCGCGAGGCGAGTGGTTTTTGAGACGTGGAGTGAATCGAGAATCGTCTTGAGCTAAGATCGTATGTTGTTCGGCAGGAATGACAACTCATTGATGGCAGTGACCCCACATCGCCATGTGAGTGATTGCCTCTACAAGCTCGGCAGTGATGGATGCAGATTAGGAACGACCACTGACACCCACTACAGGTCTGGGTCCATGATTTCACTCAAGCTTATCTGCGGAAGGCCCTCCTTGATGCCAAAATCCCGACTCCTCCAGACTGTAATGTTAACTCATGACGTCTGATCTATGGCTATTAACGCAGATTCGTAACCGCAATCTTGTGATACGGCCTGAGTTCTCGACAAGAAATTCGATTTAAGCCTGGAGTTCTTCACGTCTGATGCCTGATGTTCCCGTTGTCGATTAGGATAGTTTCAGACTTCTGGAACTACTGAAGTAGTCTTATACATCCTTTCCAGTGTTGTAAGATAATCAGTGCTGGCAAGCATGGCAAAACGACTTAGATAGTAGGGCATAGAGCGACTCTGCGGATGTATAGCCTCAAGTCGACGTCGAAGGGATCTTGACTGCGTTCGATAGAATTGACTAATGCGGCTTCAAATGAAAGGCCCGACAACGTGATATCTGTTGGTTCTCGTCAGCTGACTATTGCGCCAACAATGCCGAGTCAAGTAGGTACAGGTCGAATGGGGCTGCGTATGGCCAGAAAGAACAGGGGATGTAGGACTTCCCCCGGTGATAGAGCTAGACTACTGGGTTGTCATTTTCGTTCCCGCTGTCATATCAAATGGTGCAGGTGATACTTCGTAGCCGATCGAGAACAAGCCTCTGCTATCGGAGGGGTGTACGAGTGTCTGCAGATGCTTTACGTCAACAAAGACAGGTAGCTGTCCCAAGTCGTTACCGATCAAATGTAGACTGCAGGTAACATCATCATCTTGTAACCTGAAAGGTGGCATGTTGTGCAGGTGCAGGTGCAGGAGTTTGAGTGGCTGTCGAAAATCGCTCAAGACCTGCTGCTGATCTCTTCTCTGGTTGTTACCCTGCGAGATAGAAACAGAGCTGCAGGTGCCGTTGTGTAACGCTGTCATCGAGCCTCGGAACTCTACGGTGCAGACATCTGGCAAGAGCATTTCTCGTGTCGATTTACGTGTGTAGTTACAATAAGAGTGAACAAAGTTCTGAGGTCGGTGTAGCTTCAACACCATCAGCCAATGAAGGGTAGATCGGCACAGAGAACCCCTGCATTCTGCAGCCCCAGGTAGACGGTTCTACCCAAGCTGATGGTATCTTGATACTGGTCAGTGCGAAGGTGTGCACTCAATCAGACACAACTGTTGGTCTGCAAAACCTGCATGCTGCAGTTGTTGAAGGTACACGGCAGGATTTGGCGTGCAGCCATGTGGCAGACTCATGCTGCAACCGGTGAGTGTATAGCCGACTTGCTGCTTAGATTGCCCTGCTGCACGTCGCACGAACTGGGTGTTTGAAATGCGGTGTGGACGTGTTCATCCGTGTGGAGGGGCTGCTATGGATGCGGGGCGGACAACACCGGCGCACGGTTAATTACTGTTGTGATGGTGTTGAGATTTGCTAATAACGCGAGTAATCTCCCAGCATTTTCGTAACGTTTGCCCCCGTAGGTACCTGCAACTGTTCACTGATGATGGGGACGTAGCGTGAAACTGAGCGTGTGATCACGGCGTGTCGTGCAGATTACGGCTGATGCGCAGCAGAAGCAAGTTAGTTCACTTGCGTCACCAAACATTATTGTGTGCATGCATTTGAAGCAGTCGGCTCGATGGAGGATATTTGATTATGCCGTATTGGGATCAAAGCTAGGGTTAATGCTGTTGCTGGATCTTGAAATCGACAGTTGAGGACGTCACGTAGAGACAGACACCTTGCAGAATAGGTAAGTCAGCACGGCCAGCACTGCCTCTGCCGCATTGTGTAGCAAATATCCGAGTGTCCAGAGTCAAAGGCACCTGCCGTTTTTCGAACGAGTGCGAGCAGGGCTGAAGATCAAGCTCGGCGTTCCTTTCGCAAGGTGCTTAGCCGCTTCCCGCGGGTCGTCGTGTCTTACTAATCAATCCACTGGGAGAGATGAGCGGTCGGCGGCCAGTTGAATTATGAATGGAGGGGAGAAAATGGAAAATCGCGCAGTCTAACTGGAATCGAAGCTCCCGACCACGAGAAGGTCGAGGCAGTGCAAGCTTCCGCACAACAGCGGTTTGGTTCAGCGAAATATCTACCCTAGGTGCGGCCGTTTGTCTCGAGAGCTCCCTCTGCTGTCCAAGACAAAGAGCCCACTCACCAAGGCAAGCCTTCGGAAGCGTACTGCTGCCCGGCGCACCTGCCAGCCCAACGACATCATCCGCCGATCCTCCCTCGGCCCCCGACACAGCCACAGCAGCCACCCACTCATTCGAGTGCGCGACCAAGTGACTGCCTCTGCACGGCGGGTTGCGCGCGAGTTGGTATTCCCCACGCCTCCAGCATTACGAGAGCAGCCACCACTGCGTCCACATTCCCCGTTCGCCCTGGCGACTGCTCTTCCCGAGTCTTCACCGTGTTTTCGCGATACAAAAGCACGCACGCGCAGCACACGCTTCCGAATTTGATCTCCACCACCCACCGCCGCCGAGCGTACGCTGTGCTGAAGGCCGTACAATAACAACCTGGGCTTCTTGCCCGCGAGACACCTGCGTCTCCGAATCCAATACCAGCACACTTCCCGCACCCGGTTTTCGACCCACCCTGCCTTCCTAGCCGCACCGGCCAGCACAGCACGCAAATTCCAAGGATATGGCAGCTCCTACGAGCAGTAATCCACCCAGTCGGACCTCAAAACCTGCTGCTTCGCCCCCTGCGACTGCCTCTACGGCATCGTCACTGCACTCCTTGCCAGATGCGACTGTTCTGCCGCCACCCGTTGTTCACCAGTCCGGAGCATATGGAGTGCAAGCTGCCGCCGAAGCCCTTTTGAAGCCGAAAAAACCAACCATGACGTCGCGCCTCAGCAGCATGTTCGGTTCCAGCAAGGATGCTGGGTCGAAGCAGACCAACGGCGAGATTGTCAAGGCTGCCAGAGCCCCCAACGGCACCGACACCGCGAACGGTCGCCCTACACCTGTGCGCCAGGGCTCGGTCTCGAAGGCCCCCAAAGAGCCTGCACCGTACAAGCGCTTCTGGACCAACGACGAGGGCGGCCACGAGCACCACCTCAAGGTCGCTAAACGTCAGGAGAAGCTGTCCGACATGTTCCAGAGTTTGATGTTGGGCAAGAAGAAGGAGGATAACCCCGCCGACCAGCCCCTCAGTCTCATGTCGAACTGGGTTGACGTCATGCGCAACGAAAAAGAAAAGCTTGCCGAAGCCAAGAACTCGACCAACCTGCCGCAGACACTGGTGCAGAAGTACGGCAAGTGTCAAGAAGTTGTTGGGCGAGGAGCTTTTGGTATCGTCCGCGTTGCCCACAAGCAGGATCCTAAGGACTCGAAGCGGGAGCAGCTCTACGCTGTGAAGGAATTCAAGCAGCGCCCCAACGAGTCTGCCAAGAAGTATCAGAAACGCCTCACCTCCGAGTTCTGCATATCCTCGTCTATGCAGCACCCCAACGTCATCACCACTCTTGACCTGCTCCAGGATGAGAAGGGTGTCTACTGCGAGGTCATGGAGTACTGTTCTGGGGGCGATCTGTATACCCTTGTGCTTGCCGCTGGACAGCTCGAGGTTGCCGAAGCCGACTGCTTCTTCAAGCAGTTGATGCGAGGTGTCGAGTACATGCACGAGATGGGTGTTGCGCATCGCGACCTCAAGCCTGAGAACCTCCTTCTGACGACCCACGGTTCGATCAAGATCACCGATTTCGGCAATGGCGAGTGCTTCCGAATGGCTTGGGAGAAGGAAGCCCACATGACCGCTGGTCTCTGCGGATCGGCCCCATACATCGCTCCTGAGGAGTACGTGGACAAGGAGTTCGACCCTCGCGCTGTCGATGTATGGGCTTGCGGTATCATCTACATGGCCATGAGGACTGGTCGCCATCTCTGGCGTGTTGCTCAAAAGGGCGAGGATGAGTTCTTCGACCGCTACCTCGAGGACCGGAAAGAGGAAGAGGGCTACCGGCCCATCGAAGTCCTGCGAAGGGTAAGTAGATTCAATTCTCTGTGGAGAGGTACACCACTAACACGTTGCGTAGCGTCAGTGCCGTAATGTGATCTACTCGATCCTCGACCCAATCCCTGCACGCCGTCTTACAGGGCATCAAGTTCTTGCCTCCGAGTGGGTTTCGGAGATCAAAGTCTGCCATGCAGGCAACGAAGGCTTCTAGGACAAGGCTTCGTAAGCTGGTTTCTGTTCCTTTCAGACCACGCAGGCGTGCGACTACCTCCAGCTAGCCATGGTGGCTACGGTTCTGTTGGCGCTGGAAACGGACGATCATTCGATATGCGACTCCCTTTGCTCAGGATCTACCCTCGAGCACAGTCCTCCGTTCACCGATCCTGGGTCGCTCCAACACTTGATCTAGATGCCATTTGCACGTTTGATTGACGATTGTATTGCTCCTTTATATGTTTTCATGCGATTCGACGATACCTGGCAAGACATACCCCATACGATAGCATAGCGGGAACTTCAGGCACTGGGCTTTTTAGCACTCTCATAAGGCGTTTCCTTTGACCCGAGCATGGCGCCTCAGGGTAATGAGCACGACATACAATTTAGAGAGAATGGACGGAAGATGGTGGGCTCTGCGAATGGATGTTTGATACGTTTTGGTGGCATGGAGGCATCCACCTGCTTGCGCAATAATCGGTTGCACATGGGCAGGCAGCATTCTACGAGTCTACTTCAATATAGCATGAATGTAATTGAGCGTGCGTGCATCGCCGCTACTCCAACAGACCCTAGATTTAGTTCTCACGTCTCAGTTGCCCCAATGACCAATTCTAGCGAACGAGGCAATCCCGCCTCTAAACGGGCAAGTGAAGTTTTTAGACAGTTTGCTTCAGTTAGTACGAAGTACACGCGAGGACCTCAAGGGTTGTTCGAAAAATGCGTTCCGGTCAACTTAAGAAGATGCCATCAACGAATCGCGTTGACAACGGAACCCGAAACTGTAGTTCGAATTGTCCAGCCTGGAGGTGGTCAAAGTATCGGCATCACCATGGCGGTACCAATGTTTCGCATAGACGCACCTGCCGTATGACGATGTCTTGGCAGCTGCCAGCCGCCGCTCTGCCGCTTGAACAAAGATGCGGCTGGATGAGACACTGTTCGCAACGTGTCTTTGCACGAACACCTGTTCGCACAGCGGTGACTGTCTCCCAGCCCCCACGCATGTATCGGCGCTCATGAGCCTTCTCGAAACTCGACAAGCCCGCTCGCAGGATCTCGAATCTGGCTGAGCTATGCGACCAAGCAATGCCCACGATTGGCGCATCACTCCGCAAACGGGCGGCATTCCTGCTCCTATGCATATCCACGACCGCTCTGGCCCAGGCGGCGAATGATAGCGTGACGAACTACAGCGTTACACGACATGACAATTCTGCTGCTCCTTCACAACCAACACCCTTTACTCGCTCCTACGCCGATAACGACACGATCTGCTCGTACCGTACGATAAACTATATTACGCACACCCTACCACAGCAATGTCTAAAGACCAGTTGGTCGGATCGAATCGCTACAATTTCCACGAATGCAACACCGCCAGCAGCAGACTCGCCTTCGACCCCGCAAACATCGGTCTCGACTGCGAAGGAAGGAGCTGGAAGCAGAACAAATGAGAGCACAGGGAGTTCTACTGCTACATCTGCCTCTCCAGCGGAAGGTACAGGCCTAGACGAGGGTGCGGTTGGCGGTAGTACTGCAAGCACAGAGCCTGATACCGAGTTGGAGACGGACTCGCCATTTGATAACGCCAATTTCCTTTCCTTTGACGAGTGGAAAAAAAGAAACCTAGCGCAAGCTGGTCAGTCGCCTGATAGTGTCGGGCAAGGCCGAGCTGCGTCTGCAGAGCAAGGCCCTAGGAGACGTCCGGTCAACGTCAATGCCCTGGACTCCTTGGGCGAGGAAGCAGAGATCGACATTGACTTCACTGGATTCGGGGATCTATCTGAGGGCAGCTCTATCGGCAGCGACATTGCTTCAAGGGCTGTAGGGGGTGAAGCCGCAAAGCCCACCAGAGAAACAGACAAACCTGGCTCGGGCTCCTGGGCGCTCAGCAAAGATGCTGGAAAGACGTGTAAAGAGCGCTTCAACTATGCTTCCTTCGACTGCGCAGCGAACATTCTTAAGACGAACAAGAAAGCAAAGGGCTCTTCAGCTGTATTGTCAGAGCATAAGGATAGCTACATGCTGAACGAGTGCTCTGTCGACAATAAGTTCTTAATCGTCGAGCTTTGTGACGACATCCTAGTTGATACAGTTGTCCTTGCCAACTACGAGTTCTTCTCGTCCATGTTCCGCCACTTCCGTATCAGCGTTTCCGACCGATACCCCGTCAAGATGGAGAGGTGGCGCACGCTGGCTACCTTTGAGGCTCGCAACTCACGCGACATCCAGCCTTTCTTGATTACAGAGCCCCAGATTTGGGCTCGCTACCTGCGTATCGAGTTTTTGACTCAATATGGCAATGAGTTCTATTGTCCATTGAGTTTGCTGCGAGTACATGGCACGACCATGATGGAGCAGTTCAGGCGCGAAGAAGAGGAAGCTCGCGGCGGAGACGATGATGCCGAGTCGATCGAAGAGGAGGAAGATGTGGTTAAGCCTGCCGATGGCAGTGGGCCAATACCAGCAGATCGAGTCCCTGTCATACTGGCGAAGGAAGTGCTCCTGGTCTCGACAGAGACAGCTCCTGCGGAAAGCAAGTCACAACCGACCATTCCCCCTAACAATCAGCCAGCTACCAGTCAGGCTGTGTCTCACTCCACAATGACCGGTGGACCATCAGCTTCTGGGCAAGTCTCAACACCGTCAATCAACAGTCAATCGATTGTCACCTCTGTGAGCGTCCCCACAAACCACTCAACAAACGGTTCGTCTCTCACGTTATCTACGCCAGGTAGTAGCGAAGAGAGTGAGACCAGCGTGCAGGAGCGAAGGGCTAGCGTCACCGCTGCCGCCTCACAACTTAGCCAGACAGGTGTGTCGAGTCAAAGTCCTGCCCCGGTTAAACCGCCTACAACCTCTGGAGCATCCTCTATTCGCTCGTCTGGCTCCGACGCAGCACCATCGTCCGCAAATCATCCGTCGGTAAAACCATCGAACAACAGTACCGCAGCGAATCCTTCTGTCGCATCACAATCTCGATCTTCGCCTACACACCCAAATGCCGCTGCACCATCTACCCAAGAGTCTTTTTTCAAGTCAATCCACAAACGCCTGCAGTATCTCGAGGCTAACAGCACGCTATCACTGCAGTACATCGAGGAACAGTCGCGCATCTTGAGGGATGCTTTCATCAAGGTTGAGAAGAAGCAGCTAGCAAAGACGGAGAAGTTTCTCGAGTATATGAACACCACAGTCATCACGGAGCTCAAGCATTATCGAAATCTGTACGAACAGCTCTGGCAGAGCACCGTTATTGAGATTGAAGGTATCAAGGAAAGACAGAATAAAGATATGGGAGAAATCGGCGCCAGGCTCAGCATGATGGCTGATGAATTTGTGTGGCAGAAGAGAATGGCTGTTGTTCAGTCAACGCTACTGCTCCTCTGCTTAGGCTTAGTTCTGTTCGCCAGGTCGGGAACCATGGGAGCTGCTGCAGACATGCCTATCGTGCAGCAACTGGGAACCAAGTACTCTAGCTTCTTTGACTCTCCGCCACCACAACGAGGACCTCCAGAGACTGGTGTAGACAGGCGCAGGCGAACGTTCAAGAACATGTGGCGCAGTGACACTTCAGCTGGATTGAGCGACAGGAGCGGCCCAGGACGCAGCATCATCTCAGACATGGACAGCGACGACGCAAGGAGTCCTGTGCAGATCGAGTACAGTCCACCGACGCCAAACACACCTGGCGGTCTCCAGGCTGACCAGTCTATGATCGCTTCTCAGTCCGGATCCTCACCCCCATATGTCAACGGTATCGAAGACGTTGATTCAGACGCTGATCCAGCAATTCCTAGAAAGGTCCCGGACATCACTCCTGAAGACCAAGCCAAGCGCATTCAGGTGCTAGCTACACAATCTGGCCCTGCAACTCCCAATGGTACACGAGACAGCAGGCCATCGTGGGAAGAGGTCGACCGTGCAATTGACCAGCTCAAGGCGGAAGAGCAGGATCAGCCGGTGGCGCAGAAAGAGGTTCGAGTCAAGGGCAAGGCCAGGTCGCCGCTGAGAAGAGCGCAGAGCAGCTACGATGGCGGCGCAGACGACAGTTCGCCCGTTGATAGCGGCAACGAATTGTTCAGCAATTGATGTGGAGTGCGGCTCTGCTTTAGCAGCGCGTGGCGGCGTTCGAGTAGTCTATGATGCATTGATGGGACCGGCGTTTTGGGGCAAAGTACTGTTTCGGCTACATGCACATACCCCTTCACTATTTGGTCTAGGACGACATTGTGCTAGTATTGGAACTAAGGTGTCTTTCTGTATTAACGTTCACTCCAATGCGACTGAATGGTATAAGGCAACGTGTCCGGATATCGTTACCAACGCACGGTGCCGGGGCGGGTCTCATCCCGTACCCAGGATTTGTGGGGGGATGGTCTGTGGGACCTCGGCACTCCGAGGCTGGAAGGCTCGTCCCCGCAGAAGCTCCACGCCGAACCGACGGGCGCGTTGCGAGTGGCACCATCCCTCCAATTACCCCAGACTCCTCGGACATCTGGCTTTCAGACCTTCCCACCATCACTATTTCCTCTGAATAATCCAGGCCAAAATGTCTGTTCCATATCTCCTCCAGAACGATGCCAAGGGCCATATCTCGGCTTCTCAGCGCATTCCTGCTATTGCACGGCCCTTTGTCAGCGAGAGGGCTGCGAAGACACTCGACATTGTGTGTTTCTCATCGTTGGTCAGCAATGGTGTATCTGCTTACACGTTTCTTAGGTTGAGAAGTTCGTCGAAGAAGAATGCATTCCTGCCGACCAGGTATACCTACGCCAGCTTGGCGAGACGACTAAAGAGCGCTTCTCGGCGCACCCAACCGTCATTGAGGATATGAAGAAGAGGGCACAAGAGCTTGGGCTGTGGAACATGTTCCTGCCCAAGGCACATTTCAAAGAGGGCGCTGGGTTTAGCAACTTGGAGTACGGTCTCATGGCTGAGTACCTGGGCAAGAGCAGGATAGCTTCTGAGGTAAGGACAGTCTTCATGACACGGTGTCAGGGATACTGACCTCACTTAGGCTACTAACTGCGCTGCCCCTGATACCGGAAACATGGAGGTTATCGCCAAGTACGGCACCGATGCCCAGAAGAGGCAGTGGCTTGACCCTCTGCTGCAAGGCAAGATCCGTTCTGCCTTCTTGATGACAGAGCCTCAAGTCGCTTCAAGTGACGCTACGAACATCGAGATGACCATCAAGCGTGATGGTGACCACTACGTCCTGAACGGTCAGGTAAGATTTATCAGTCATCACCACACTCAGGCTTCGCTAACAGTCACAAATAGAAATGGTGGTCCTCAGGAATCGGTGACCCTCGCTGCAAGATTTTCATTGTCTTGGGCAAGACCGACCCCAATCATGCCGACAAGTACAAGCAGCAGTCCGTCATCCTGGTCTCCGCTGAGACACCCGGCGTCACCATCCATCGCATGCTCTCCGTCATGGGCTTTGACGACGCCCCCCACGGTCATGGCCACGTCACATTCCAGAATGTCCGCGTTCCCGCTTCCAATATGGTGCTCGGTGAGGGCAGGGGTTTCGAGATCATTCAGGGCCGTCTTGGACCCGGTCGTATTCACCACGCTATGCGCAGCATCGGTTCCGCCGAGAAGGCACTTGAGTGGATGCTCGCCCGTCTCAACGACGAGCGCAAGAAGCCCTTCGGCAAGATGCTGCACGAGCACGGTATCATGCTTGAGCGCGTTGCCCGCTCACGCATTGAGATCGACGCGGCTCGTCTCGCCGTCCTGAACGCCGCCATCAAGATCGATGAGACCAACGCCAAGGGCGCGTTGAAGGAGATTGCCGAAGTCAAGGTTCTCGTCCCCGAGGTCAACCTCAAGGTCATCGACTGGGCTATCCAGGCCTACGGTGGTGCTGGTGTCTGCCAGGACACCCCGCTTGCGAACATGTACTCGAGTGGCAGGACGATGAGGATTGTCGATGGGCCTGATGAGGTTCATTTGCTGCAGCTTGGTAGGAATGAGAACAAGCGCGGTGTCGCCCACAAGCAGCGGATTGATGCACAGCAGAAGAAGGGCGACGAGCTGTGTAGGAAGTATGGCATTGAGCCTAGGGATCCGTTGTATCTGAACAGGACGAGCGCGGAGGCTAGCAAGCTGTAAGAGCCTTGCCGTTATTTGAGTAGCTGTCAGAAACAAAATTATGCTATCAGGCGTTGTGCCATGCTCTCTCTCGTGTATCACAGCCAGTCGGTCTCCGCGTTGTTCCTACAGTTATTGGTCTCTACGCTTCAATGTCATTGCATTTTCTAGCACTTTCTGAACTCCTTCCTTCATCAGCGTGTCTATACAGTATCCCGCCTTTGCCATGCAGGAGTTCTCATCAACAGCCGTCGCCGTCAGCTACGACGCATCTCCATCCACCCGTGCAACCGCAGCTGCCCCGCGCCAACCTAGTTTCTATGCATACTTCTGCTTACACCGCCACGCTCAATTTATCTTCATCTGCACCCTCTATTCTCCGGCGGACAGATATCACAGGTTATGACAGAATGACAGACTCAGAAACAGAATGGAGCGGCGTTGCTTTCCGACACCGATGCGATGCCCCCGATGCAAGGTCGTCACGGCGATCGAGCCCTGGGAATTATATCAGGATAGAGATGACATGGCTGCTGGTCTGGATACATGGCCTCGTCACCGACGGCCTAATGCCTCCTCGCCCACAGCGCAACCCAGCCCAACACCCTGTACACAAAGATAATAAGAACCATATACCCGACATACCTCCCCACCCCACCCGTCTTATACCCATACCCATCCAACACCGCCCTTCCATCCACCATACACTGCTCCGCAAGCCCACTAGGGATCGCGCAGTAACACCCCCCCTCCGTGCGCGGCGCACACGCATACGCCCTATGCGCAAACTCATTCACCATCAACCCGCGGAACACATACGCCTGGTAATCAACATAGTGAAACGCATACCGCCAAAACACATTGAGCGCATCAGGGCGCACCATAAACCCGCCCACGCACATCCACAGGCCGTTTGCAAACGCGGCAGCCGCGAGCGCCACGACGAAGATGGGGATTAGACTGCACAGCAGCACGACCAGGGCCTCGGCGGCCAGCAGGTCGAGCGTCAGCCACGCGACGGCTGTCCAGAAGCGGGCGGGGCCCGGCGCGAAGCCGACGAGCGCGTACGCGACGGCGCTGAATAACGTCGCGATGAGGAGGAGCCACGGCGCGCCGAGGGCGAAGTTGGCGAGCACGAATGCCGTCGGGCCGTAGAGTCCGTTTGAGCGCTCTTTGCGGAACAGAGCTAGGTCTTCGAGGAACGAGGGGATATATGCGACGGCCATGAAGGATAGGAATGCGCTGCCGAAGAAGATGGCGTTTGTAAAGGCGGGGATGTTTTCTTGCGTCGCTGCAAGACGTAGCCATACTGTGCCCATCATCACGGCGAGTGCGAGGTACATGACGATGCGGATACCGTATGCGACGACGTCGCGGTAGGATTTTATGAACGAGCGGTGGATGAGCGTGAGAGGGATGAGGAGCGGATTCGCCGCGGATGGGGTGATTCGTAAGGCGGGCGCTGACTCGGGAGACATGGACTTGGAGTGGATTTGAAGCTTGACGAGTGCGGCGTGGGACGAGTGCGTCCAGGACGTGTGTAGGTGGGCGAGCTGGCCTGTAGAGTCAGGTGCGAAGTCGGTGTTGACGAGCTGGATCACATATTCGGCGGGGTTCGTGTAGAGAGGCATCTATCGCGGTTAGTGTCAGGTTTCGGCGTGCGCGTGGAGAAACGAGTGTGGCGTACATTGTATCCGAGGCCGGAGAAGTAGTCTTTGATGCCTGCGACAGGGCCGTTGTATGCAACCTTGCCCTTTGATAGGAGCAGGAGCTTATCAAAGAGCTCAAAGGTGGTGGTTGATGGTTGATGGATCGAAGCCAGAACCAGAAACTGCGGTTCGTCAGTCACACAAAGCTCAAGACGATTCCTTGGTCACGTACTCTATGTTTCTTAGCGAGCTCCTTGACGAAACTCATGACTTTCCAGCTGGCCGCTGAGTCAAGCCCGCTAGTCGGCTCGTCCAAGAAGAGTATCCTCGGACTCGTCATGAGCTGTGCAGCAACACTGACTCTCCTCTTCTGGCCACCAGAGACACCCTTGCGGAGTGGTGTGCCGATGATAGTGTCTGCTTGGTCCTGGAGACCGAAGGATGAGAGGAGGCCTTCGATGCGGGCGTTGCGTTCCGCTTTACTGACCGAGCTAAGAATGGTCAACTATCCTCACACTTTGAACATGGAGAGACAAGGCGTACCTTGGTAGCGCAAGCTGTGCTGCAAAGTGCAGTGTCTCGCGGACTGTAAGTGAGCCGACGAGTGCGTCTTCTTGCTCGACAAACGAGCTCAGCTTGCGGAATGAAGCGAGAGACGTCGGTGCGCCGTTGATAGCCAATGTCTGCTGGATAGTGGCGTTTGCTGCCGCAGCTCGATGCGCGAGCACATTGAGCAGAGTAGTCTTTCCAGACCCACTGGCCGAGTCAGTCATGGTGAAGGATCGATGCGGCAGTTCGACGCATACCTCGGTCCCATCAAAGCCAGCACCTCACCTGGTGCGGCGTTAGCGATGCCTCGCGAAAGCGATGCCTGGAGTGGGGCTTGGGGATTCGTACCAGCCTCGACGATGCCATCGACGCCAGAGAGGATATCGAGTGGCTGCTTTGTCTTACGGTCTTTGACGCTGACGGTGACACTGTCCCAACTGAAGCTGTGGACCGTCGTGTTTGCCAGGTGCGCATAGTCCGTAGCACCCTTCTCCATGTCCTCGACGGAGGAATTTGAAGTCAACATGGCGACCGCGACTATACAAGCGGTAAGTGCTACACTGCTCTACTGCGACGTAAGTGTGGATGCTCGAGGGCAGTATCGAGGATGCAGACCAAGAACAAAGAAGCAAAGGCAGGAACTCGCGGTCGTCAAAGTGAATATGAAACCAGTGCGACCACACACCTCCCCAGCCTTTAATAGTTCATGGTTTGGTGGGCGCGGTATGTCAGGCCCGATCTGTCATCGGCGACATTGAGGTGTAAGCCGCAGTGGGCAGCTCGGCGGCTGAAAGTGCCCTGCCCTACATACCCATCAGTGTGCTCGCCGTCCCAGCTGGGCCCCCAATACGATCGCTAGACAGACCGCTGGAGCATCAGCATCCTGAATGCGGAACTGCAGGGCCGTTGTGAGTGGTCTTACTCGCAGCTGCAGGTGATGCCGAGCTGAGGAACCCTGCATGATCGGGGACGTCTGGGGTGGCACGGGCAGGGCAGCACGGGCGCGGCGTTGTGTAACGTCGCCGAATGCTCGTAGGGCTGCACACCTCTATAGTTGACCAGCACGCGAGCATCGGCTCGTCGCTGGTCGAGTCCAGGGTCATAGCACGAGGGTCCGCGGGCTCCTGAGAGTCTGTCTTTCCGACATGCTTGTTGCTTTTTCGCGCCCTGGAGAGAAGTGAGTAAGGCGGTCACGCGCGGGGAGCGGTGTTGCTCGGGCGAAAAAAAAAACAGCCTCTGACCGGCTGACTGGGAAAAAGCATCTGCGGCATTGTACTCGAATTGGTTACTAAGCGCATGCTTGCGAGCAGTCAGCGCGCGCCGGCAACAGCAACACCCCAGATATAGACCCGCAGACATAGAACCGCAGACACAGAACCGCAGATCGCAGGCTAGTACATGAACTCGCTGATATCGAGGAGCAGCGCGTCGCGCTCGCGCTGCGCGAGCACGACCGCCTCCCTCCTTTCATCGGCCAACCTCTCCTTGTACGCCAGCTCCAGCAGTCGCTTGACCTTGTCGTGGGTGAACATGTCCTTTGCCAATCCCTGCAGTCCAAAGCCCTTCCCGTGCTCCTTGGCCTTTGCAACAATGGCCTCGGGACCCGCGGTGTACAGGTCCAGGAACAGCTTGACGTTGGGCAGACTGGCGCCGTCCTCGATGTTCTTCAGGTTTTGTTGCAGGACGAGCATGTTTAGCTGCATCAGCGCGGCGCCGTTCGCGTTGATGTTGTCAAGCTTGGACGTGCAGAGCGAGAGGAGGTACATGTCCATGAGCGCGGCGAGGCCGGACGTAAGCAGCCTGTACGCGGGGGCGGGGATGTAGGTGCTGACTTCTGTGTCGAAGGCGACGAGCTGCGTGTTGAGGGTGAGGATGGCAGGGTCGGGGTCGCCGAGCAGCGAGTCGACGACGATTTCGGGCCGCACGCATGCGTCGAGGGAGTAGAGGATGGTGGTCCGGATGGAGAGGTGCAGGGTGCGCAGGACGCAGGTGCTGAGGGCCTGGTAGGTGGACACGACGCTGTCGAATTCGCTGCCGAGGGTCAGTAGAGGTGGGAGGCGGGCCGGCAGTGGTGGTGACTTACGCAGCGGTTTCCTGGTTCAGTGGCAGGTACACGGGCGCGCCCTCGGCTCGGGGCTCCGAAGACGACAGGAGTGTCCACCGTCTGTTGTGGCGTTGGGCGCCGGGCTCGATCCGTGTCGAGTCTGTGGCTCGGTCGCTGATGTGCCGCAGCCGCGCAATCTTGGTCGACAGCCACTTCATGCTAGTGTAAAGCAGACAGAGACTTGTCAGAGTCTTTCGGTCCTGAACAATGTCGCCCTGATCCAACGGCTCCCGCTCAATGGTTGGCAGGAGCAGGCCAATCTCCTGCTCGACAAGCGTGCCGAAGTTGATGGCATCCTTTGGATCAGTCTGGAAGACTTGGTTGACCAGATCCTCCATCTCGGCAGACTCGGCCCAGGCAGCAGGTGCCTTGAGCCTGCGGCCAGCGGCTGTGGGGCTTCCTCGGCTGACAAGAGTCTGGTACCAGCTGGTGCTCTTCCGTGCATACGTCTCCATCTGGCGAACGATGAGCTGCGAGAAGGCCTGGTCGTGTGGCAGGTTGTCGAGCATCTTGCAGAAGGCCGAGATGAGAGTGAGGAAGTTGGCGGTTCCCTTGCAGAGTTAGTGCAGGTCCAAGACCAGTCGCTTGACACGTACCTTGAAGATGGGCTTCTTGGAATGCTTCGTCCAGTGAGGATCCTCTTGATACGAGTCAACTTGGACGTAGGCCTGGGCGCACAGTTCGACCAGGGTCTCGTCCAGCTGAGGATGGAAGACGTTGACCAAGAAGTCATCGAGGAAGGAGGTCAGAGTGCTCATGACAATATCTGAGCCCGTCGGCACAACCTCCTTCAGTCTGTTGAGGAAGTCGAGAGACGGAGGAAGCAGGATGCCCATGTTGAAGACACTTGGCTCGACTAGCAGCTTATGACCAGTCGCGTGGCCTTCAATGTCGTCGGCTGTGTTTGTGTTTGCGCTCTCGGTTCGCTTGGAGTCGGACACGAGCCCGGGGACCGATGTTTTCAGGATGAACTCGAGGTCTTCCCGTTCTTGTGCAACGTCGGTTGACGCAACGTCCATGTCTGAAAGCTTGAACATTCGCTTTGACCTGTCGCGAGGTGCGCGCGAAAAGGCACTGCCGGTCATGGCCTGCTTTTGGCCGGTTCTGTACGAGGTCTCGCCGTCTGTAGCGAGGTAGTCGTGAAGCAGAGAGCGCATCTAGCGTCGTTAGTTCAAGCCGGGGAACACGTCGCGACAATGGTACCTCGCTCTGATACAGCTTCCACAATTCCCTGAAACCTCGAGTCAGAGTCGCGCTTGTGGCGGTGTCGCGAATGCCCTCTCTGCGGATGATGCCGGCGACAACGTCGTGGACGACTCTGTGGCTCTCGGCGATTGCCTCGAAGCGTGCGTACAGGGTCCAGAGCAGGTCGTTGAGCAGGGTTGTCCGTATCTTGTCACTTTCCATGTCCGATTTCGACTTGCTGCCTTTTCTCGAAGCGTAAGCGCGCAGTGTGCTGGGATGTCGCAGTGCTACTTCGTTGTGCGACTTTTCGACAACCTTGAAGAGCTCAACGGGCAGCCTCTGCTCGATGGTGTCAACAGCGAGCTCCAGGCGATTCATCTTGTTCAGCGACTCGACGACCAGTCTGATGTACTGGAACGTGTCCGTTTCTGGATTGTGGGTACCGTCGTCCGTCATCTGTCGTAGTCAGCATGGCAGAGTCGAAGCACAGGATAGCAGAGTCGTAGTCAGCATGGCAGAGTCGTAGTCAGCATGGCAGAGTCGAAGCTCAGCATGGCAGAGTCGAAGCTCAGCATGGCAGAGCCGAAGCTCAGCATGGCAGAGTCGAAGCTCAGCATGGCAGAGTCGAAGCTCAGCATGGCAGAGTCAAAGCACAGCATGGCAGAGTCAAAGCACAGCATGACAGGGTGGAAGCACAGGATGGACGTACCGGCTCTGCCGCGTCCAGGCCGTCCAGAAAGTAGTACAGCAGGCGGCCTCGAACATCGGCCTGGGCCCTCTCGGAGACACTACCCTTGAACTGGTTGTGGGCATACTCCTTCCACCTGTCCTCGCAGTAGGGCGACTTGAGGTAGAGATGACCATGGAGCTCCTCAATCAAGATGTCGGTCAGCGACACCTCTTGGTTGCTTAGGTACGTGCGCAGATCGCTCAGAGCGCCAATGTTCTCCATTTCAGATTTCCGGATGATGCGGAGCGCATCCTGCAGCATGTCGACTGCGGCCAAGAAGCGCTTCTCGGAGATGCGGGCCTCGAGCTTCTCCGGGACGAGCTGCAGCTGCTCGATGGTGTTGAGCATCTGGATCATCTCGTCGTAGTTTTGAGAGGCCGTGGCAAAGTCGCGGAGCTCGGGCTTGGTGGTGGAAAGCTGGGACTTGGCCGACGCCAGAGAGGCCTTTAGGTTCCGCACGCGATGCTGCGAGCTCTGCAAGCTGGTTTGGATCTGGTGGAAGGTGCCGATGGAGCTGTTGAAGCCCTGGTGGTGCTCGTTGACAATGGCCTTGAGGGCCTGCTGGAGCTCTTGGTGGGACTGTCGAAACTGGTCGTACTGGTCTGCCAGACCGAGGGAGCTCGAGTCCATGAGCTTGAGGGCGACCTCGATTGGGATGCACTGGTCGCCAGTCATAAAGTCCCAGTTGCTCTGAATGTACTTGATCACCTCCTCGATGCGCTGGCTGCCGGGGCCGTAGTTTTGCTGGCCCGCCGGGCGACTTTGACTCCTGTCCGCAGAGGCGCCATATCGCCCTCCGCTGCGAGGCCGTGCTGGGTTGCGCTCTATGCTGGCGGGGCGTGTGACGTGAGGTGCGTCTTGATTGCGGTCCTGGGTGCGGTCCTGATTGCGGTCTTGGGTGCGATCCTGATTGCGGTCCTGGTTGCGGTCTTGGGTGCGATCCTGATTGCGGTCTTGGGTGCGGTCCGGATTGCGGTCTTGGGTGCGGTCCTGATTGCGGTCCTGATTGCGGTCCTGATTGCGGTCCTGGTTGCGGGGCTGGAAACCGCCATAGCCTCCAGGGCGCCGGTCCCTCGAGCTCTCGCCGCTGGGCCGTGGCGCATAGCTGTCCTCGGCCGGGCTCGCGGCTCCGTATGCGCCTGGCCTGCGTGGCCGGTCGGTGCTCGGCCGCGAGGGTGGCCTGGAGACGTCGTCTCCTCCGCCCATGCCGCCATAGCCCCCGGGTCTGCGCCTCGACTCGCCGCTGGGCCGCCCTGCATAGTCGTCGTTGGAGGCGCCATAGCTCCCGTAGCCTCCGTTGCTGCTGTAGCCTCCGTTGCTGCTGTAGCCTCCGCTGCCGCTGCCGCTGCCGTTGGTGTAGGCGCCGTTGGGTCCCGCCCGCGAGTAGCCCGGGTCGCGCGACATGGTGCTATGTGTCTCGTGTGCGCGGTCGTCGCCGTGTCATCGTGGCGCGTCGCCGTTGCGGGGAGTTCGGGGGAGCTCGAGGGCACCCATGGATGGCGAGGAGCGCGCCAAGCGCCGACGGGCTAGGCTGCTGGTCGCGTCGGAGCGCTCGCGATTCTTTGTGCAGTCCGCCAGCCCGCCAGTCCGCCAGTCCGCCAGTCCGCCAGCCATCCAGCCATCCAGCCATCCACCCATCACGGCACACCCCACGACGCCGCGCCGCCCGTCCATCGCTCGTGTCCTGCTATGCTGCGCTGAGAGCAGCACCGCCGCCGCCCTCCGTCCGCCCTCCCGATCCCCGCACAGCGCGACCGCGACCGCGCCCTCCCGCGTCCCGCAGCGCTCGCCATGTCGGCCGTCTACACCAACGGCGCGCCCGGCGTGAATGGCGCGACCGGCGCAGACACGACGTTCCCGCCGCCGCGATACTCGGACGTGCCCAGCGCCATCACCGTCTCGGTCGCCGAGGCTGGCGACACCATCGACGTCGAGATCGCCCTCGACGAGGACATCCAGGACGACCCGACGGAGCTGTGCACGCTGCTGGAGACGGAGAAGAGCGTCAAGTCGACGTGGGTGCAGGTCGCCGTCGCCTACGCCAAGCACAAGAAGCTGCACGTCGCCATCGACGTGCTGACCCAGGCCGTCCACGCCTTTGCCCGCGCCCGCGCCGACGACCGGCTGAGCATCCTCAACGGGCTCTGCTGGCTCTACCTGCTGCGCTGCCGCGAGGCGCCGCGTCTGAAGCAGGACGCGGGCGCGGGCGCGGGTCCCGAGGTCAAGACCAAGGACTTTTACATGCAGGCCGCGACCAGCGTCCTCAACGACGCGTCGCGCATCAGCCCCTCGTACCCGCCGCTGTTCCTCGCGCGCGGCGTCCTCTACCTGCTGCGCGCGTCGCTGCAGGCCCCCGCCACGGCGGCCGGGCCCAGCGCCATCAGCCAGGAGCGCATGGAGACGCTCAAGCAGGCGGCCAAGTGCTTCGAGGACGCGCTGCGTGCGTCTGGCGGAAAGAACGTCATGGCCAAGATGGGCAAGGCCCGCGTCAGCTACTCGATGGCCCGGTACGCCGAGGCCCTGCACGTGTACCAGTCGGTCATGGAGAGCTCGCCCGGCCTGGTCGACCCGGACCCGCGCATCGGCATTGGCTGCTGCTTCTGGCAGCTGGGCTTCAAGGACGACGCCGCCAGCGCGTGGGAGCGCTCGCTCGAGCTGAACCCGGCGTCGAAGATTGCGAGCGTCCTGCTCGGCGTGTACAACTTCCACCTCACCGCGCAGCTCCCGCCGTCGGACCCCGCCTTTGGGCGGCTCGTCAAGAAGGCGCTGAACGGATACATTATGCCGGCGATGAAGATGGACAACCAGTTCCCGCTGACGTGCGCGACGCTCGGCAGCTGGTTCGTTGCCAGAAAGGACTTTGCCAAGGTCGAGGCGCTCTCGCGACGCGCCATCGAGCTGACGGACGTCAACGCGGTTGCGAGCGACGGCTGGTACCAGCTCGCGCGAAAGGAGCACCACCAGGAGAAGCCGGCAAAGGCTGCCGAGTTCTACGCCAAGTCGGACGGCGCTCGCGGAGGCGACGACCGCGGCCACATCCCCGCCAAGTTTGGCCTGGCGCAGATGAACGTTGTCATGAACAACTTTGACGGCGCCAAGTTCCGCCTCGAGAAGATCCTCCAGCAGCAGCCGACGCTGGAGGCGCAGACGCTGCTCGGCACCCTGTACGCCGAGGACGTCTTCAACGCGCAGGCCAGCAAGTCGACCGAGGACAAGTCGGCCGAGCTGAAGAAGGCGCTCCGGTACCTCGAGGACGTGCAGAAGGCCTGGAAGGACCCCAAGCGCAAGGCGACGCCAGACGCCTCTGTCCTCCTGAACCTGGCACGGCTCTACGAAGCCGACCACCCGGACAGAAGCCTAAAGTGTCTGGAAGAGGTCGAGCAGATGGAGCTGGACGCCATTCCCGACGAGGACTATCCGGACGGCATCGAGGACGAGCTTGAGCTCAAGGCCGCGCTTCGCGAAACGCTCCCGCCGCAGCTGCTGAACAACATGGCCTGCTTCCACTACCAAGCGGAGCGGTTCGTGCGCGCAAGAGAGGCGTTCCAGGCTGCTCTCAACGCGTGCGTAAAGGCGGCGTCCCGCGACGAGACCATTGACACGGATGCGCTGGTCACATCCATCAGCTACAACCTCGGCCGCACGTACGAGTCCGAGGGCATGCTCGACGAGGCCAAGGGCGTGTACGAGGGACTGCTCAAGCGCCACAGCGACTACATTGACGCCCGCATCCGGCTCACGTACATAACGCTGCGCCAGAGCCCTGGCGACGCCGGCCCCAGGGCGCTCAAGCAGCTCTTCAAGGAGAACGAAGACAATGTCGAAGTCCGCGCCCTGTTTGCTTGGTACAAGTCCAAGTCCAAGCCCAAGACGCTCAACTTTGGCGAAGACGAGGAGCAGCGGATACACAAGCACACGCTGCAGAGGTTCGACAAGCACGACCGCTACTCGCTGATGGGCATGGGCAACATCCACCTCAGCATCGCCCGCGAGCTGCCCCGAGGCTCGGAGCAGGAAAAGGAGAAGCGCCGGAAAGCGTACGAGCGAGCCGTCGAGTTCTTCGACAAGGTGCTGCAGCTCGATCCCAAGAACGCGTACGCTGCGCAGGGCATTGCGATTGCCCTGCTCGAGGACAAGAGGGACTACACGGGCGCGCTGCACATCTTCAGCAAGGTCAGGGAGACGCTCCGGGACTACAGCGTGTACGTGAACCTCGGCCACACGTATGCCGAGGTCAAGCAATATGCTCGGGCTATTGAGAATGCAAGTTGATCGCGACTGTACAATCTGCGGCGCTAACACTCTCCAGTACGAGGCAGCCCTCTCCAAGGACCGGCAGAACGACCCCAAGATTCTGGCTTACCTCGGGCGCACCTGGTACCTGCGGGCAAAGCACGAGCACAGCGTGTCTTCGTTCAGGACCGCGCTCGACTACGCAAAGCAGGCCGTCAAGATTGTGCCCAACGACCTTGGCTCCCAGTTCAACGTAGCGTTCCTGCAGTTCCAGATTGCGCAAGAGCTCATCCGCCTCGACGTCAAGCACAGGACCCTCGAGGAGCTCAACGAAGCGTCGGACGGGCTCGAGGCCGCTGTTGCCTCGCTCGACAGCATCGCCAGGGCAGAGAGCCCGCCCTTTCCACGCAACGATCTCGTCTCCCGCGCCAACATGGGCCGCAACACCATGGCGAAGCAACTCGAGCGCGAGGCCGCGAAGCAGGCTGCGCACGAGTCTGAGAACGCCGGCAAGCTCGAGCAGGCCCGCAAAGTGCGCGAGGCAGACATGGCTCGTCGCGAGGAGGAGAAGCGCAAGGCGGACGAGGCAGCGCTCGAGAAGAGGCGCAAGATCCTCGAGGACCAGGAGCGCATCGCCGCGAGAGACCGCGAGCTGATGGAGATGCGTGGAATCGACGACGAGAAGCGCAAGGACGAAGACGAGGACAGGGAGGCGCGCCGAGCCGAGCGCAAGGCCCGCGGCCGCGGTGAAGGCAGGGCCAAGAGGAAGAAGAAGCTCGCACACGACGACTCGGCCACGGACGGCGGCGTCTCTGACGAAGAGGACGAGCCCCGGGCTCGACGCCGCAGGACCAGCGCTTCTGGGACAGAAGGCCCCAGCGACGAGGAGCGGCCGCGCGAGAAGAAGAAGAGGAAGCTCCAGCGCAAGAGCGAGCCGGCCAGCAAGTACAAGTCGGCCGAGTTCATCGCCGACGACGACAGCGACGACGCCGAGAAGACTGCGACTCCCGCCGCCGACGACAGCGCCGACGAGGGTGTTGCCGCCACATCAAGACAACGCAAGACCCGCAATGTCGTCGACGACGACGACGACGACGACGACGACGACGACGAGAACGAGGCCAAGGGCGCGGCGAGCGGCGACGTGCCCATGTCCGACGACGACGACGAGTAGGTCTCCGGTTCGCACGGTGCCTGCGGACACGGGCGGCACGACTCTGGAGCGTCCACGGCGACGCCCCGCAAGGGCTTTGTGGGGTTGCGGCGTGCGTGGAGGGAGTGAACGTGCCGGGGTCGTATCCGCATTCGCGCTTTGTACTTTATTGCTTGCATTAGCTAGGCGTTTCCTGAGTCACTTTGTACACGAGAAAAGGACACTGCTGTCCACCGCTGTGGTTATGCCGAGTCGGGCTGTAGATTACGCATGATATAAGCATCCGTCCTGCTGTCTGCCCAGAGTCTCCACGTGTCGCCACCCCGTCCAGGCGCGGTCGTACTGTATTGTCCCTGCATTGTATTGTCCCTGCATAGATGACGCGCGCCTCGGCCCGCTGCCCGGTAGCGCGAACCCCCATGTTCCCACGCCGCTCCCGTACCAAGGCTTCCAAGCAAAGCACGCAATCGATACCTGCACCGCCCCGCCGACCATGAGCGCCTCGCACCGAGCCCAGCTCCAGTCCAAGTCGACGCCGAACCTGCCCACGCTCGGGTCGCTCGGGCTGCTCGGACCGCCCGGAGACGCCGTCGAGCACCCGCGCGCATCGAGCCCGAGGTCCCCGCCGGCGAGGGGGACGGCGGGCGTCGATGGTCACGAGGAGGAGGAGGGCCCGTTTGCCCTAGAGGAGGAGGAGTCGGGGGAAGAAGAGGAAGGAGAAGGAGAAGAAGGAGAAGAAGAGGAAGAGGAAGAAGGAGAAGAGGAAGAAGAGGAAGAAGAGGAAAAAGGAGAAGAAGAAGAGGTGGACAGTCGGCCAGCGTCTCGCCCGCTATTCACCTCGCGCTCGTACACACACCTGCCCCGACAGTCTGCGAGCGCCCTCTACCCGCCCTTCTACAACCGCCCGCCCGTCCCTCTGCCGCCGTCGCCGTCGCTGACCTCTCTCCTGCGTCCTGCCTTCAGCGCCGCGACGTCCCGACCCACGACGCCCGACTCGTCCGACGTCGAGCCCAACACGCCCACGTCGAGCACCACCAACCTCGCGCACATGACGCACTCGGCGCGCAACGCGCCCACGGTCCCGCGCGCCTCGCCCAAGGTGCCCACCTACGAGTACTACGGCTTTGCAGTGTACCTGGGCAGCTCGGCCGCGTTCCTGACATATGTCCTGTGGGCCTCGGTGCCGGCGCCGCTGCTGCACCAGATGGGCATCGCATGGTATCCCGACCGCTGGTGGGCGCTGGCCGTGCCGTGCTGGCTCGTCGCGCTCGTCGTGTACATCTACGTCGCCCTGGCCAGCTACAACACGCGCTACCTCACCCTGCCGCTGGCCAGCTGCGAGAACCTCGTCGACGAAGCCGCGCAGGTCGCCGTCGTCGACCGCCGGACGGGGCTCATGGCGCGCAACCCCGTCTCCGGCGCCGTCGGCGCCGACACGGGCAGTCTCTCCGCCTACCAGTTCCGCGCCGACGAGCGTCCTGATTGGACGGGCTTCTGGAACGTGGGCACGGACGCCGTCATGGATGTGCCCATTGGCGGTGTCTGCGAGATTCTGTACGGGAACGACCGCTGACAGCCGTACCAAATGCACGTCCTCTCTACACAGGCACGACGACGGTTATCGACCCAGTCCGGAGACGTTGCTGTCGCCGCTCGGCGCCCTGCGAACCCCGTCTGGGAAAAGCTTGTCGTTTCCTGTGGGCCCCCCACCTTGGAAGCCCCTCCCGACCTTGGGAAATACCGCAAACATCCAATCCGAGCCCGCGCCAGTCGCGCTAAAGCGGGCCCCAGCCGCCTACTGCTTAGCTGGGCGAAGCTTCATGCATCTCCTCGGCAGAGCTTGAGTGCTATCTTGTGCCCTATCGTGGCAGCGAGCGGTATAAGATGGCAGGGCATGCGGCTTTTGCGCCTCTTCCATCCCGCTGCTCTCCTTGAAGTCTGACTTGCTCGCGTCCATCGGCGTGTCTTGTTGTCTGATTTCGTCGCTGCTCTTCCGTCGCACGCCATGAAGTCTGCTGTTGCCTTTTCCGCCCTTCTTGCTGGCGCCGAGGCCGCCGAGACCGTTCTCGGGGCCTACATCTTCCACCGCCACGGTGACCGCACACCAAAGGCTCTTGCGCCCACCAGCCTGACCCCTCTGGGCTACGACCAGGTGTACCGCTCCGGCCAGTACTACAACTCCCGCTACATCACTGGCGACGGCAGGATCAAGGGCATCAGCGACGAGACGGTCAAGCTGTCACAGCTCTCTGTCAGCTCTCCCGTCGACAATGTCCTCCAGAACTCGGCCATGGGGTTCCTCCAGGGCCTTTACCCTCCCGTTCAGACTGTCCAGACTCTCGCCAACGGTTCCGAGGTGACTGCGCCTCTGAGCGGCTATCAGCTCATCCCCGTCAACACCATCGCGACCGGTGCTGGCTCCGAGGATGCTGGCTGGCTCCAGGACGCCTCGAGCTGCGCCAACGCAAAGACCAGCTCCAACAATTACTTCAGCAGCGCCGAGTACCAGAACACCCTGAAGTCTACCAACGACTTCTACAACGCGCTGGTCCCTGTCGTCAACCAGACCCTGACTGCCGACCAGGTCTCGTTCAAGAACGCCTACGTCGTCTACGACCTTATCAACGTTGCCGAGATTCACAACTCGTCCATCCCCTCCTCCTCGGTCCTCACCAACGACACGCTTAAGGAGCTCTTCGTCCTCGCCAACCAGCACGAGTACGGCCTCGCCTACAACGCCTCCGACGACATGCGCGCCGTTGCCGGCATGCAGCTCGCCGGCGAGATCCTCTCCTACATGAACAGCACCATAACCTCGGGCGGCGCGAAGAAGCTCGGCGTCCAGTTCGGCGCCTACGCCACCGCGCTCTCCTTCTTCGGCCTCGTCGACCTGCCCAAGGTCTCGGACAACTTCACCGGCGTCATCGACTACGCGTCCTCGCTCGTCTTCGAGCTCGTCACCAACGTCAGCACCGCCGAGGGATTCCCCGCCCAAGATGATCTAAGCGTCCGCTTCCTCTTCCACAACGGCTCGGCCTCCAACGCGTCCCAGCCCACCGCCTACCCCCTCTTCGGCGGCGCCGAGAACCTCGTCTCGTGGTCTGATTTCTCCACCGCGCTGGATAAATTCGCAGTCACCGGCACAGAGCAGTGGTGCACAAAGTGCGGCAACTCGACGGGGACGTGCGCTGCGTACGCCGGCTCGTCCGGCGCGGGCGCTGCGTCGGCGCAGCACAATGCCCGCACCGGCGTCAGCCCTGCTATTGGCGGCGTCATCGGCGCCATGGTCACTCTTGCTGTTGTTCTTGGCTCGCTCGCGGCGTTCATGCTGCTCGGCGGGTTCAGGCTGGTTAGTAAGAAGCATCTCGCTGCCGCTGCCGCTGGTGCTGCGTCGGGCGAGAAGGGCGTGGGTAGGGCGTAGACGGCAGTGGTGTGGAGTGCTGCTGCGGATGTGGGTGCATGTATCGTACGTAGCTACTCAACGACACTGAATCTCATCATGGCTACAAACCCCTGCGTCGCCCTCTACCCTTGCCTCTCTCAGACCGTCATGGTCTGTCTGCCTGCTGCTTACGGCTGAGTCCTCTGGCCTGTTGTAGTCGCACGTGCTGTCCAGCTGCCCCGCTTTTCGCGACTCCGACCATCCAGCAGCCGGGGAAATGACTCAGAGTGACTCCGCCGCCTCGGCTGTGTCTCTCCTCCTTCCTTCCGTCGCTGGCTGTGGTTTTATACCCCAGCATTCCCAAGCGATGTGAGCAGGTCGCTGTCTGCATGTGCGGCTGCGCTTTGAAGCTAGGTCACCTGACTGGGTGGGTGTGAATACACGCACACGCTCGCGAGCGTGAAGCAGAACTGCTGCGTTGGACGGCTCCTGGGTTTTTAGGGGGCTGGCATCAGCACAAAACATGACGACGCGAGAGATGGCGACCGAGGCCGCACCCTCCTCAGCCGACGACACTGCCAAAACAGCGCGGCGCGACATCTCGGACCACAAACTCACGACGCTCGCAGGCGTGCGGAGCTATCTCGAGCAACACCAAGGACGCACGGGATTCGACCTCCAGGCTCTCGCCGGCGGCACGGCAAACTACGTCTACCGCGTGACCGACCATGACACGGGGGCGATCCACGTCCTCAAGCACGCTGCACCGCAGCTCGCCAGCAACCCAGCTTTCGGTCTGAGCACCGAGCGGATGGACTTTGAAGCCAACATGTTGATGCGGAAAGCGCTGGACGAGGGCGAGTGTGTTTGCACCAACACGTCACGCGTCGAGAAGACACATGTGCACACCGAGAAGACACATGTGCACACCGAGAAGACACATGTGCACACCGTGCCCTTTGTGTCATACGACAACGACGTCAAGCTCCTGTGCGTCGGAGACGGCGGCGACAGGAACCTCAAGGACGCCTACGCGCATCTCAGCCCGGACGAGATTCAAGATATCGGCACAGAGCTCGGGAAGTGGCTGGCGAACTTGCACGGTGCAACGCCACTATCCTACGTCGCCGCGATTGGAGCTGACTCCGAAGCGCGCAACAACCCCGTCGGAGTCGCCATAGCAGGCTACACGTACAGGCACCTGGCTGACGCGATCAAGACGTACGGCGGCACCACAGCCAAGGCGGAGACAATAAGCAACCAGGTAAACACGTATTCCGGCGACCTCATAGTCAGCGACAAGGAGTGTGTGTGCCACGGCGACTTCTGGCCCGGCAACATCATGCTGCGAAGCAACACAGCCTCGCAGACTCATGTCTTAACCGTCGTCGACTGGGAGCTAACGCGCATCGGCACGAGCGCGACAGACATCGGCCAATTCGCCGCCGAAGCCGCAATGCTGGATCGCTTCCACGGCAACAAAGGGCTGCGCGCTGCCTTTATGCGCGCATACTTTCAAACCAGCGGCGCGAGCCACGGCGCAAAGAAGACGCTGGTTCCGTGGTTGACGCGCATCGCAATGCACTACGCCGTGCACCTCGTCGTCTGGCCGGGCCGGGCCGTGCACTGGGCTCCCCCCGAAGCCGCGGCGATGCTGGCGGACCATGGTCTCGCCGTCCTCGCAGATGCGGTGTCGAAGACTCCAGACCTCGGGACCTGGACGCTGTTCGATGGCTTGCGTGGCGCGGAGGGTGGGGCGGGTGAGATGATGGAGGTTGCGAGATGACGAGGAGCGCGGCATGAGCAGACTGCTTGCTGGGTAGCTTATGGACGTGTGGCGTGGCGTGCGTTGGATTCTGGCGTTCCAAAGCAACGTTTGTACTAATGCTTACAAAGGACTGTGGTTCTTCTAGGCTGGTTATGAGTAGCGGAGTGGATGGAAGGGTGAGACTGCTGGCTTTTGGGCTTAAGAAGAGCTTGCAAGTAAGACATAGGACCTATTCTTTGTAGACTCACGCCTGCGGATTTGCCTGCGAGGTGGTGAAGAAAGGCCACATGCTTGCCTTGATTGTCTGCGAGAAGCACTGCCCACCTGCTTCCCACACCTGTACATTGATACCAGTCCATCTCAGCCGTTGCCTACCATGACGCTATTGCTTCTCGGGGTATGGGTCATCGTGCCGGTCCTCTTTTGCTTGGGCAGAGCAGCGTACAACGCTCCTTCCATCTGCTGCGGAGTTTCCCAGGGCCTACCATGGCGGGTGTGACGTTGCTGTGGAGAACGTACAAAGAAGTCGTCAAGAAAGAGACACCAGCGCAGGAGCTCTTCAGTCTGCATAAAAAGTATGGCAGCATCGTCCGCATACCGCCGAATGATGTTGCGGCAGACGTAGCCGCTGTATGTATCGATGGAAAACTGCGCCAAGTTGATTGCTAGCTAGGAGGCGACCATATATACATGCCCTGAGGCGTGCTAGTCCAAGGTAGTTAACAGAGGTGACGATTGAGGCCTACAGGACCGACTTGCATCGCAACAAATGAGCTGCACTTTGGGAATCCATCCGCGTTCCACAAGATCTACAACGTTTCCAAACGCTGGGGTAAAGACGATGGTCTTTATAGCGTGCCCGGTTTTAAAACAGGCCCGTCGATGTTCCGGAAGTATGCACAGGCCAAAGAGCGGAGGGACGTCCTCATGCCAATGTTCTCGAGAAGAGCGATCCGGAACATCGGAAGCCTCGTCTGGCAGAATGCCACTCAGGTTGCTTCGTCTATCAGCAAGTTGAACGCAGCTCAGCACTCCATCGACCTACTCTACGCCTTTCGCCCCTTTACTCTCGACACCATCATGGGGTCTATGTTCGATGGCTGCGTAGATGCTCTGCATGCGTCCGCCTTTGCAGACCCGCTGATCCTTGCCATAGATGCCACGCTGCCGGTCTTGCCTTTGCTCAAAAACATCCTTTGGATCTGCACTTTGGGTTTTGCTATTCCACCTTGATTGGTGATGAAAGCGATGCCCAATTCCGATGAGCTTGCTCCTCGAATCTATCAGGTCCGCGATATCACCAACAAACAGCTGGGTGAAGTCTTGCACGCACTTGAAAAGCTCGACGACGCAGCTCACCAGACCATCTTCCACCGCATGCTAGACGCCAATGTATACCGAAAGACACAGACTGTTCCGGATCTTACACAGCTGCATGACGAGGGCTTTGCCGTCATCTTCGCTGGCGCCAACACCGTAGCTGACACAATACTCATGGGCTTTTATAACGCAATGTAAATCCCGGGTCTGCTACAGCAGCTTAGATAGGAACTGCTGACTGTGTGGCCGGATCAGCATGTCCATCCTAGGCCAGCTGACCTCGAGAGCTTGCCTCTTCTTACAGCCACCATCAAGGAGGCGCTCCGTTTCATTCCTTCCGACGTATCGCTCACGCGAGTGGTACCTCCTGGCGGAGCTTTATTGGTTGGGCGCGAGATACCCGGCGGCACAATCGTTGGTATGGCGATCCTGCATGTACATCAGTCGGAAGAAATCTTTGCCGACGCGTTGAAATTCAAGCCAGAGCGCTGGCTTAACGGCAGTAATAAAGAACTGGAACACTGGCTGGTACCGTTCAGTCGAGGGCCCAGAGCGTGCTTTGGCTACAATCTAGCTTGGTGCGAACTGTATGTTGCGTTCAGCACCATGATCCAAAACTTCGATACGAGCTTGGACGGAACGACGGCGGAGGACATGGAGTGGAGAGAATGCATCGCAGCATACTATCCAAATCGCCACTTGCATGCATGGTGCCGACCGATGGGAGCTTGAGAGAATTTCCTCGTCATCGTACCGAGCGCAAGATAGACGTTATACCTATTGCAGAGGGCGCGATAGCGTTAGAAAAGAGCAGGACTGCAATACACCTGTGTAGACTAGAGCCGAAAAACATCGAATTGAGCTTGTGCAATAAGTCGCCGCCAGTCCGCATTGGCTTTGTCCGCACCGGGCACAGCTCTTGTCCGCCACACGGTTGCCACAAGATCTTCCAGGACGACCAAGTTCCTGAAGCCAAGCTTACGTTGGGCCTGGAACCAGGTTCGCACGCGCTGTTGCAACGCTGACCCGCCGCATTCGGCTCCAAGGACTAGCACAGGCCACAACATCAGACAGCCGAGCGCACCCTGGCCGACATGATCGATGGACTCGAGTTCTTGCAGCCCGAGATGAACGAGATCCTGGACCGCTGCTACTGGAGCGTTTCGTACACTTCGCTGGAAGAAGACGAGTCCGGCATAGTAGAAGACTGTGGAAGTATGATGGATAACGACACTGTTCTTGGGGTTGGCCATTGCTGATGGTGCAGCTTGTGGAGGTGTACCGGGGAAGTCGAGGTACAGTTGCAGCTCAAATGTATCCAGCTCCTTCTCCTGCTCGGGTGTTCTATCTCCTGAAGAACTTATCAAGAGACTGTTGATGCGGTCGTGAGCTCGCAGGAAAGACCTCGATACGCCATAGTAAGGGAATGTGAACTCTAGGCCGTCTGAAGCTCCACTTTCATCGCCCAGAAAGGCCTTGAGGTGGCCCGGTACTTGAAACCCACACATGATGGCCATCTTGACCATGTGTTGTCGAAATGCGGATAGAGCAACTTCGGGCAAGCCTTGAGATTGCAACTGCGCCAGATACGCCAGCCCGCCAGATACGTGTGTTCGCCATCTCTGTGTGGTGCCGGAAACTGCTTCGACAGCGATGCATGCCATGATGGCCATGGCGAAGGACTGGTCGCGGTGCTCATCTGCTCGTGCTAGGTTGTGTCGAAGGTGATGGACGGCTTCATTGTCGTGGTACAGAGCGAGGACACGGTCTTGCTCATTGCTTCGACCAGATAGCTCGAATAGGTTGTAGGCAGCTGATGCACATAGGGCGTGGAAGATGGCTATGTCAGCATTAGAGCCTTCTGCCTGGGATATGAGACCTTTCAAAGCCATAGGTAGCATCATAGTACGACAGGGGTTGTGCGGTTCATCGATTAGCACGATCTTGCGGCTGGTGAACGTGATCCAGTGGTGTATGAGCCGTTTCTGTTTGGAAGGCGCGGACAGCGCATCAAGATGGCGCGGTAGAGCGTGTCGATTTTGTCCGCATAAGTTTGGTGGGCTTTGAGCAGCAGTCATTGAGTCTGCGTGAGTTTCGTCGAAACTCTGAGCCGGGGTCACAAATATGATGTCATCTTCGTTCTTGTTCATTTCGGGCGCAGACACCACGAAGTGTATAGATTGGTCGATGGTGTCTGCGACATCATGGGAGCTTTGAGAAGCGGGTGCATTCGTATGAGAGCGTTGCGGTGCAGATGTGTGCACAGTGAACACACCAAATGCTCCGTCTTCGACCTCTGACGACATCCCAGGACGCCATTCATCAAGAGTAGTTAGTGTAACATCTAGCTCTGGAGAAGGTATGCGTTCGAGAGACGAGGTGACACTGTGAGGGGCTAATGATCTCCTTGATGCTCGCAGCTCTGGCTGGTTGGAACGTTCGCGGCCATGTTGATCTTGTTCAGGATCCACTGTGTTGTGCGGATCGTATTGTACCCAACTCAGGCGAAGGCCATAACCCTCGCACGTCACACCCATCTGACGACAGCGCTCGCATTCTGGTGCTGCTCTAAAGATGCAGGTTAGCGCATGATCCATACGCTGCATTCTCAGCATATGTCTTACTCATCGCACTTGACTCGCCGCGATCGACAAGTCCAACACCCAGTGAAACATTTGGTACGCTGTCTTTTCATGCTTGTAAGACATACCCCGGCCCTCGATTGGCAGGAGAAGTCGGATACAGGCCACAGGTTTCTGGAATATGTGAGGTAAACAATAGCTATCTGCGGGCTTCGAGCAACCTCATGGAACCCCTGTCGGCTAGAACAATTCAGTCGACTTTCCTACTGTGATCCCAGGTGGATGGTGTGACCTTTTGTCGTCCAATCAGTCAGCAAGACCAGTGCTCCTCCGTGACTAAGCACTACGCTCCTGGACGGTACTGCTAGCGCCAATTTCGTTTGCCTCCCCCTTCCTAGACCTGAAATGACGAAAGCATAGTTCTGCATTCAACGTATAGTTGCGTGAGCTAGGACTCAGGGGGCGGCACACAGCGTATTCCAGAGACGCTGTCGAGATACGATAAATACGAAAGCTGTGGAGAAGGAAGTTTAGTTATTAGCAGCTGCGCTTCGATACACAATAGCTTTCTGCGCACTGGCCACCAAGCACCAAACCCGTTTTGTTCCGTCCACGCTCGGATGTGATGCTGATTGGCTCGCTCTGAACTTCCTTGCTCACGACAAGCAAGATCAAAACTTGGGTCTTACAACCTGACCATTGTACGTTCTGTACCTGAGGCAGGAGGGCTTTTTGAAGAATAACTAAAACCGTCGCCATCCTACCGCGGCGCCAGATGAGGGTTCCCCCTGTTCGACGCGCTAGGTCAGCGCCTTGATATCTGCTTGCTGTTTATAAACAGAGCGTGCCTTCCTCCAAGTCTTACAGTGCAACAGCTGGACACTCACCCTTAATCGTCGACAGGCCAAAGGCTAATGGTTTATCTTTCGCCCTTCATTCTTCACCTTTAGAGTGCCACACTACCACTTTTTGCATTAGACTCCATTACCTATCATCGCGACAGTCGCCATGGGCGTTACCGCAACGGTTAAGGGACGAAACACGGTTCTTTCCCAAACGTCCGACACTTCGGTCCCCTCGTCGCAAGACATTGACTCGAAACCCAAATACACAGATGGCGAATCTGACGAGTTCGAGTTCGGCGGATCCTTCGGAGCAGCTGCCCTGATGATCGGCTTTCCTCTACTCATGTGGTATATGTGGATCGGTGCCACATACTACGATGGCCAATTTCCAACACCGGAGGCTGGACAGAGTTGGGGAGACTTCGCGCGTCACTTAGCTCACCTTGTCTACGAAGGAGCCTACCCCACAGCAAAGGCCTGGGCAGTATACTGGGTCTTCTTCATCTTCGAAGCGCTCATGTAAGTTGGTCCTGCCGTTTTTGACAAGATTCGTGTTGGTCTGATATCTCCAAGGTACTGCTATATGCCGGGCGTAATGAGCCAGGGCCGCCCGCTCCGCCACGAAGGCGATAAGAAGCTTCCTTATTACTGTTCAGCCTACACCAGCTGGTATGCAACTCTTGCAATCGCCGCTGCGCTCCACATCTCAGGACTCTTCCCCTTGTATACCCTCATTGACGAGTTCGGCTCAATTATGACTGTGGCAATCCTCTCTGGCTTCCTCAACAGTATAGCTGTATATGTTCAGGCTGTTGTACGTGGTAGAACTCATCGCCTTACCGGATACCCCATCTATGACTTTTTCATGGGCGCCGAGCTGAACCCACGGATCGGTATCCTGGACTTCAAGATGTTCTACGAAGTTCGCATCCCTTGGTTCATACTATTTCTCATTACTGCCTCTGTAGCGGCGAGACAGTATGAAACCTACGGCTACGTCTCAGCTGAGGTTATTTGTTTGATGGGTGCGCACTTCATCTATGCCAACGCTTGCGCTAAGGCAGAGCAGCTCATCATTACTTCTTGGTACGTCCTCAGCCTAGGATCGCTTCCTGAGTGTCTCCATCTTCAGCCTTCTCCGATAACTCTGACTAACAGACCGCTACTTTGTAGGGACATGTACTTTGAGAAGCTGGGCTTCATCTTGACTTTCTGGAACATGGCCGGCGTTCCCTTCACATACTGCCACTGCGCACTCTACCTCGTAAACCACGACCCGTCCAAGTATCGTTGGAGCCGACCTGTCCTCTTCGCATTCAGTGTTGTGTACTTGTTCATGTACTGGATGTGGGACTCATCGAACGGACAGAAGAACTCATTTCGTCAACAGGAGCGTGGCCAGCTGATCAAGCGTAAGGCGTTTCCTCACATGCCCTGGACGGTTATCGAGAACCCGCGCGTGATCGAGACGAAGGCTGGAGATCGGATCATGGTCGATGGGTGGTTCGCCATCATCCGCAAGCCCAATTATGTACCCGATATGTTCTTCTCGATATCATGGGGTCTCATTACTGGATTCAAGTAAGCTGCTCTCCCCATCTGACTGATGCCGGAGGCTTGTCCATTGCATCTGCTGACGATACGCCCAGGAGCCCTTTCCCTTGGTTTTACTTTGTCTTCTTCATGGTCATGATCATTCACCGTGCCAAGAGGGACATCGTAAGATGTCGCCGCAAGTACGGAGAGGCCTGGACCCAATATGAGAAGGAGGTCCCCTATCTGTTCATCCCGGTAGGTTGCCGTGTCCTTGTTGCGCTTACAGTCGAAGCTAATAGCCTCAAAGTACATCATCTAGTTTGGTCCGTCGAACTTCATAAAGATTTCGCTGTGGGGGACATCCAAGGAACAGAAGGAGAGGGAGGAACTTGCGCAGGGCAAGGAATTGTTGGAAACATGAGCTTCGAGTGCCAGCCCAATCCTCTGCAACGAGACAAGGCCGGACGAAGCAAGCAAAAATTCGCAGGGTGGTCGACTTAGACAGAAGTAGCCCAGCACAATCTCACACCGTAGAATCTCAGTTGTGTCGGATTGAGCCTATACTTAACGTGTTTTACAAGCGAGCGCCGCGTACAAGCGAGCGCCGCACCCTACCAAACTTGCGCACCTCAAAGCCCTATACGCGCGCTTCAACGGCGAGAAGCAGCCAACGTCAAGAGGCTGTAGTAGGTGGGATGAGTGAGGCGGCATACAGAGCGTATAGATATTGTTCTCCTTGCAGAGCTCTTGGAAGTTAAGAGAGTGGTGGCTTTCATGGCTATCAAGAATAAGCAGGCGATGTGCTCCTACTACACAAGCCTTTGTGTGAGCGTTGAAGTGCTTTAGCCACTCAACTCCTAGCTTATTGTTCGTCCAGCCGTTGTTACTAACTGCGATCACCTAGTTGCGTGGGATATCCTCCTCGTACTAGGCAGAGAGGTGGTACTTGCCAGCAAAGATGAGGAACGGTGGGACTGACCAGCCAGCTGCGTTGATTGCAGCAATCAACGTCACCTACTCACGATTGCCTGGCTGGATAGCCTTTAGCCTGCCTCTCCTCTCTGACCCTGTCACGACGAGCTGAGTTGTGATCTTGCCCATCATAAAGCCAGCCTCATCAAAGTTGTAGACGTCATTATCGCAGATACTGTACTTGGCCTTTGTCTCCTCTATAAGCTCAAACCAGCTTCTGATTAGAGCTGGATCCTCACACAGGGCTCTCTGTCTATTGTACGCTCGATTGAAACGCGTCGTGAGACTGTCTGTACGCTTGACAAAGTTGCGTGGCCAGTGGACGCCAACCTGACCTGCACCGCGCGCAGCCAGCAGCTTATCAGCCATATCACGTACAGCTGCGTACGTAGGCGCAAAACCACGTTGATCCAGATTGAGTATATAGCTAATAATCACCTCCTCTTCACGCAGAGTAAGCTTCTTTGAGTTGGGCTGGCAATCGCGTTGGGCAGGCTTGCTAGCGCGTCGGCGGCGGATCGTTCGTTCAGGTACGCTATAGATAACAGCAGCACTGCAATTGCTCTGTATCTGGTAAGAATTAATAGATAAGATAGCAAGCTGAACGTCTGCTTCATTTGAAGCTGATAGAGCAGCGCTGCGTTGGGCCATTGTACGTTGAGATGAGAGAGGTGCGCAAGTTTGGTAGGGTGCGGCGCTCGCTTGTACGCGGCGCTCGCTTGTAAAACACGTTAGGGTAGTTAGAGGTGGCGCGGATCTTAACCTATCTGAATGATAAAGTCGAGGCTCTTGTGAACGCGACCCTCTGCTACTGGTTCAGATCGCTTAACAACCGCGCCACCACTAACTACCCTAAGTATAGGCTCAATTTGACACAACTGAGATTCTACGGTAGTTAAAGCTCATGGTTCGCTTCTCGGGTCGAACGGCAGCATCCTTAGATGAATGTGTTTCGTAACAAGCTTGAAACCCTGTGTTCGGAGGTTTTGCGGCGGGAGTGACGTCAGCGCCTGCCATCCTGAACAGGAGAACATCGCAGCACAGATTTGAAGCAACACCACCGTGGCTGCAACGTCGGAGCTTCACATTTTGCAGCCACAGACTAAATGTATACCCCCGTGTCTCTCGTACAGTGCGGCGGTGCCTGCCAAGCAGCGGCGATACAGGGTGAGCTGGTCATCCCGCACGCGACGCTACAAGTGATTCAGACCAGGTGACATCATGAGCCAACTTAATCGATCCAGACCACGCAAGCAATACCAAGAACCTGCCGATTGCGAAGGGCAGACCAAGCCCCGTCATAAGATGGAGAAGGCCTTGACCAGGGCAGGTTAGCGCTTGCCTATTTGATGATGCGGTCTTAAGCGTCCACCCAAGATTTGACATTTGAGGCTTGCACAACTAACTTCTGGTCTTCATCGTGTCTCCTTGTTCACTGTGCCAGCGATCCCAGGTGTTCTTATTCCAAATTCAGAAGGTTACAAGAAAAGAGAAGGAGACAGCAAGCATCATGGTTGGAGGAAGAAGACGAGCGCTCGATTCGACAGGGTCATTCTACGGCAATGGAAAGGGAACAAACAAGAACGACGATGGTTACACTCGTTCCGATCTAGAGGCTGCATATGGATCAATCAACAAGATCAAGCCACGACAGAGGTTTCGCGATGCTATCACAAACACTATCCAGGACAATCGCACGGCGGAGATGAAGAAGAAGCTTATCGACAATGTGGACCACGAGGCTCTAGAGAAGTACAGAAAAAGTGAGGAAAGCGTAAGCATGGCCCATACCTAGTTTTGGAGACATGTACTGACTGGTGGATAGCTTAAAACGATCAAGAACAAGAAAGTCCGGTCTTTCTACGAAGAGCAGAATAACCGTCTTGATGACTGGCTGGAGGTTGACATGATCGTTACCTCGCTTGCAGATGACATTCTAGACAGTATGCATCCAAGAGACACCGATGGTGACGGTGTCGTTGAGGAACGCGGGCCGCTGGGCAATAGTGGTGAGGCGCTGGAGCCCTTCCTGCCTGACGACGAACGCGAGAGGCGAGCAAAGTCAGCGAAGCATGTGAGATGGGCGATCAACGTGAGTTCAATACCGTCGGATAGCTCAATTACTGTACTCACATACTTCAGATCAACGTCGCGGTCAACATCTTACTGCTGGCTGCTAAAGGCGTCGCAGCCATTTGGTCCAGCTCCCTTTCCCTCATTGCCTCCCTTGTCGACTCGGCCCTTGATCTTCTTTGTACTGTCATCATCTGGACCACCAATAGGCTTGTGGGCTGGCGGCTCGACAAGCTCAAGAAGAAGTTCCCTGTCGGTCGTAGACGCCTCGAGCCCATCGGTATCCTCGTATTCTCTATCATCATGGTTATCTCTTTCTTACAGATCCTCCAAGAGTCAGTCAAGAAACTCTTGCCAAGTGGTGACCATGAAGTAGCCACTCTTCCACCTGCCGCAATTTTCTCCATGGTTGCCACAATCGTGGTCAAGGGCACTATCTGGTTCGGTTGCGCAAGAGTTAAGACGACGCAGGTCCAGGCCCTGGCACAAGACTGCAAGACCGACGTCTACTTCAACACGCTCTCCCTACTGTTCCCGCTCATCGGTCACCAAGTCGGCGTCTGGTGGCTTGACCCTGTCGGTGCCAGCATCCTCTCTCTCTTCATCATCTACGACTGGGCAGGCACCTGTCTCGAGAACATCACACGTTTGACCGGTGAAGCTGCCAGCGACCGTGTAGAGCGCAAGCTGATGTTTATGGCGTACCGCTTCGAGCCTCTTGTTGAGGGCTTTAAGAGCATCAAGGCCTACCATGCTGGAGACGGGGTGTGCGTTGAGGTCGACATCTTGATGAAAGAGGATGCGCCATTAAATAGGGCTCATGATGTTGCGGAGACGCTGCAGTATTGTCTGGAGGGGCTGAGTGAGGTGGATAGGGCGTTTGTGACAGTCGATTGTAAGTTTGTACAGTGCGTAGTGTTGTGGAAGCAGCTAACACATTCCAGACATGTCGCAAGGTCCTACAGGACACGGTCAGCAAGACGGCGAGTAAGCATGCGTCGAGGGCGAGACCTCATTTGATGCCGGGTAATGCATAGCGGCACTTCTTGAGCATGGCGTTTTGCTGGGTTAGGAAGCCTTCGCAAAATCTCCACTGTTCACATACCTACTTGAACAAGAATGAGTTAGATCGCATCCGACATACTGAATCTCGTCGGTATGTACTATGTATTAGGCAAAGCAGCTTATTATGACCTACATTAGTGTATCTGCAGCATATCTGCGCCGCAGTACCAAGGTCACGTACGGTGTGGATGCATGCATGTTGCGCGCCTCGCCGCACCATTGGCCCGCTTCACGCGTTTCGGACCGCTGCACCTAGACTGAAATAATCGTCTTGGCTGCCTACATCGAGAAGGCTGCATCTCCTCGGATCCGGGCGAAGATAAGCCCCGCACTTGTTCCTGAGCTCCCGTATGCTAGTCTATCGCAAAAGTATGCATGTGAAAGTGCATCCATACAGGAGTTCATCCGTATATGCCCGACTTGTATATGAGGGAGGTCGGCCAGACTTGATCCTGGGCTTGGTCAGTTCTTTGTGGATGCTACGTCTGGTAGGAATTCATTAGCATTTGTTATGTGCCAGAAGTCATCTGCAAGAATCACCGACTGTGTCGCGTCGGGTCTGTTGTGCTGCACTGTTATATCCAGAATTTGGCCTCGCACAAGTGCATCGAATAATCGTGCAACCGGCTTCCGTAGTATATGTCGAAATTGTTGTGTTGTGTCAGTAGAGTGGACCTGAACGCCTCGGCTCGTATATTATATAACGAAATGGATCTGTCTGCTCTCTCAGTACCACAAGTGTAACAAAATCCCTCAATATGTGAAAGGTGAAACTGTCCTCGGGAACCTCCTCAGCAGGACTCACGAAGCTTTCTTCAGAGCCTCTCCCGTCGCCCTTAGCAGCAACTCTCTATCCTCTCCGGTCATGTTATCGACCTTCTCGACAAGAAGCTTCTTGAGAAAGAGATTCTCTTTGCGCAACCCTTCGTTCTCGGACTCCAGCTTTCTCGTCTTTTCCTGCATCTCCCTGCTTGTTTCCATCAGGTGCTGCTCTCGCTGCTTCTTCTTTTGCCGAAAGCGTGCGGATGCTGCTTGGTTACGCTTTCGTTTGTCCTCGTCGGTCTCTATGACAATAGAATCCGCCATCGTACCCGCCTGGGGATCAGGGCTGGTAGCTGATGAGGTTGAAGTCGCAATGCTGTCCGGATAAGGGGTGCGATATGCATTCATATTGTAGCCGGCTGTCACTGGGGAGAAGCCTTGAAGATCATCGATGATGTTGACATCGGGCTCGTACTGTGACGGGAGGTGTGTCGACATAGGGCCCGGGGGCATCGTGTGCAGGCCTTGGGAGCGCGTTAGTGGTCGTGCCATCGCGGAAAACGAGCATAAGAAGACATGCGGAAAACATCGCTGCGTGTTGATGACCTAAAACCAACTGTTGATCATAAGCTCCCTAGATGCCGTGCATAGGCACCTACCTAAGCTGGTGAATGTCCCTCAAGGTGTTAAGGTCACGTGACATTGCGTGCTTGCCTCGGAAATGACGCCATGCAGAATCGGCAACCCAAAGGCATGGGGATACAAACCATGAGCTGGGAGTGCAGGTAGTAGAAGCCACCGTAAATGACGATGAATGATGTAAACGTAACCGTACGCAGGGCAAGAACGTGGTAGGAAAGGTTGCGCTTACTTGGGAGCGAGGGCGGGCCGTTGTGCGCATATGCAAACATGTGGCCGTGTACATAGCTGCTGTCTTGCCCTGATAGATGCAGTGTCCCTGGGGCTCGATAGTCGCGGTCGTCATGGAAGAGTGTGGTTGCGTCTAGCATCTCGTATCGATCACGTCCAGACGAATTCCCACTCGCAGACACGTCGGTGAAGATCTGCTGTCCAAATGTTGAATGAAAGGTTTCCGGCATTCCTCTCCATCTGCGATACGCGCTCTGCAGTCTCAGTCGTTTCGTTCAATTGTGCTGTGGTTGAGGGTGGATGGTTGTTGATGAAGCTCGGACGAGATAACTAGCTGACATGCGGTGCCGCGGAGCGGGTGCGATGGTGTGCTACCCTATAAAACTGGCAGCTTGAGCAGACAACGATGTCGCCAAGCAGTGCGCTAGTCTTCTGCCTGCATGCCGCCATCTTGAAAGATATGTGTCTCAGCGGGGGTCGAAGTTGGCGATCATGCGTTATGGCCTATGGGCATATTGCGCTATATCTCCTGTAAGGTTTGTGGTGCCTCCACGCTTTTACATAAGTACTAACTATGCCCTGTGTAGAGGCATTATTGTGGAGATGAGCAATTCTGGCTGCGGCCCTCGTTGTCTAGACCTGTTATTGTTGCGCGGCCGCGTCGTCCGATCCCAGTGGATAGGCCAAAGCGAGTCGGCGCCTAGAACCTGATTAGCAGCCACATCTGAGTCGAGTGTATTCTCGACATAACGTGCTCGTCCAACGTTAAGTCATTTCGAGAGAGAATTTTTAAGCCACGATGTCCCGATAAAGGCCGCCCGGCCAGCAGCTCGCGGTCCCCGGTGGTACGAGCCGACAAATGCACAGTGTCAGCCCCGAATCCCCGATTGATAAGGATTCTAGGACCCAGCTGACACAACGTTGAGAACCCACCACTGTCTACGGCACGCACTCGAGTAAGCATCTCAGTACATCCAGCGGCTTGCAGTGCCATAATCGATGCCTTAGCTGGCACCTTCCGCCTGTTGTCAGGCTGCGTACAATACTGAGCTTCTGAATCATCATCCATACCAGAGGCTGAACAGTGTATCTCCGGAAAATAGTGTGCAGGGCATTGCAACCGACAAGCTCAAGTTCGATGCGCTTTGCGAAGTCTTGGTCGGGTCCGTATGAGCAGGCTGTTTCCATTCACATCGATCCCTGCAGTATGGAGAGTGTCAGAGTCCTAAATACAAGGCAGAGGCCAAATCCCTGATAAGGTGAGCAGTGATATGTGGTCCAGAGCTCCTGGTAGAATCCAGTCCTCCTTTAGCCTGGATGCCAGAAACAGAGGTCAAGAATCGCATGCTAGCTCGACACGGCTTGAGCCTTCACATATGGTCAATTGAGTGCCACGCCATTGCCTTCAAGCAATCATCGTGCATGCAAGTGCGTTCAGGAATGCAACACAGTTGGGGATGCAGAAGCCGACTGTTCACCTGACTTCCGAGATGACAGTAGCCACTGCCAGGCTCCAGCGGCTAACATGCTACCAATGGGCATCCGGACGCTTGCCGTAGACTGCCAAAAAGGAGAAATGCAGGGCTTTGAAAGCCTTCTGTCACCCGTTCTGGCTCCATATGAGCCCAATGACGAACAGCTCACTCGGCTTTGGCACTTGCAAGCCTCACACCGAGGCTTGGATGCGTGGTAAGCATTGCAGAATGCCGTCCAACAAGGGCCACACGTTTGTTGACCATTATAGACCGTGGTCACCTCTCACTACGAGATGTACCTCAGCAGGCGCAACTCAAGCAGAGTGCCGCTGCAAAGAGAGGAAGAGCCCAGGCTGTAGGATGCTGCATGTATGGAGTTAAGGCTCGGTAGCTGGGGCAATCCGAGTTAGCGTACCAACAGCCGTGTTTTTCGTACGAAGCGGTGTACATTCCAGCGGATTCTCCCGCAGCAAGCGTGTACTTGTAATTTTGACTTTGCCGGGTTCGAAGGTCTGTCGTACGCAAGCTGCATGGGAGATAGGAGCTATGGATCGTTCTTTACAATGGAACATCCACCACAGAGGAACTGCGCCCACGTGGATCTGGTAGATGGTACGCGTGAGATTCACTTCCCGAGCCTCGGTGGGTACTCGTTGTTGAGGGCCGCAACATAATTGTTGAGAGCTGAGAGCGATCACGTCCGGTCTCCACTGCTCGGTGGTTTGGTGGGTTCGGAGCAACGAACTATATCCGGATCCTCACTAGTGCAGAATTTCTATCTGTGGCACCACAATTTCTCGTGGAAGTCGGGTGGCGTTAGCAGGCGCACTGAAGAGCGACGCTGTGGATGTGACCTGAATCATGTATTGGATAGCCATCCGGACTCCATAGACGTGATTCTTCCATCCTCGCCTCTACCAACTCGTTAGCATTTGTTCTAGAAATCAAATACACTGAGCCCATGGAAGTACGGATACACAGTCGAATAGCTGAGCAAACAGTTCTTATCTACGAGGATGCGATGTTCTTTGGACTTCGTCCGGATTTATATCCAGTAGCGGGCGTGATTCACGGTGGAGAGTGCTCGTTGGGCAGCGGAAAGGCCGCACGGACGGCGACAACGCTCTTGAGCTCGTCTAGTATAGGCTTAAAAGGCGCCATGACGTTAGGAGTAGGTGGCTAAAGCGACGGTAAGTCTTCAGCTGGGCTTTAAAGCAATCACAAAAGGTGGGTGACAGCTGATGAATGACTGACGTGGTCCGGCTCGTCGAAGATGGGCAAGGGCCCTAGCGTCACCGGTAGCGACGGCCCGACCCCGATGGTCCGCTCGATGGTTAACCCCCACCTCGCCATCTAACCATCGATAACTTTAATCCAACTGCATGCTGATCTTCAACCAGTCGATTACCTCGTACTAACGGGGCAATGCTTGGTCATATGATGTCTGCACATAGTTCTTTGAAAAAGGACACTCAGGATGAATGAAAGCGCTCCTTGATCCTTTTCTCTCACCTCTTGCTGGGTTATGATGACTAAATCATGATCCGCAGAGTTCTGCATGCTGACACTGATATTTGAAAGCCTTATCATGCAAGTCAAATGTTCATGAATATGCTCGAGAGGAAGCGCTGGACCAGCAAGGTAGGATGCCAGGTGTTCTCCAGCTCAGTGGAGCTAGATACATGCTTTGTAGCCGTTTCTGAACATGACTGATATGGTAATGGTTACGGCTGTGGACATGGTGGCGGTGGCGAGAGATGGAGAGTAGAGTGCTTTCAAGAAAGCCTGGGCTTGGAGGGAAGATAGAGAAGGGATAGGCCTTTGGCGGCGAAGCAGGATTGCGCCCGAGAGAGGTATCGTCGATGGTTCTGAGGAGGTGGTTGGAAAGAAACGCGATTCCCAGGTGCTTCGCGCAACCAGCTATACACTAGGCCCGTTCCCTTCTTGCAGTGAAGCTGAACAGCTATTGCCGTACAATTGACTTTGTAAGAAGTGAAAACTCTGAGCTTTGAGGGACATTCAGTGGTGAAGATCCAACTCGCATGGCGCTCATTATGAATTCCCTTGTTATTGATACCACAATAGTTAGGCTGACAGTTTCAATTACATGGGAGTAGTTTCGTTGTGTTGCTGTCGTTGGGTTCCGTGTGCAAGGTCCTCGTGTTGAAGCTGGTCCCGAGCTGCTCCACCACCCCAACACAGCACCACGCCGCACAACACCATCCTGCCGAGAGCCTTCCTACAACGCGCAAGAACTTTTTCGAAGCACCTCGAGACTTACCGTATACCTCATCGACCTCTCATTCTTTCTCTTTCCATCCTCCGCACCTCTCCCAAAAGCATACGTGCACGTCTTGCCGCTCTCGGGGATCTCCTCTTACTTCTCTAACCGACCATACCGCTGTGTCGGGAGCGCAACGATCATGCAGAAGACGGCTCGAAGGCTCCAAGGTCGTTGTGCAGAGGAGCTTTACCTGCAGTCTCCCGCTCAAACACCTGTTCAAGCCAGGCAAGGCCAACTTCGTCATTGGACTAGCCAGAGGGCGTTGCAGTAGCAAAAACTGAGTCTCTTCCTACGTCCAGGTCCTCTAACTAGGACTGCTTTAGGCCGTTAGGCTTGCCTGTGAAGATGATGCCTGGCAACAGCGTTAAACCATCAGCGCAGATTGCTGCAAGTATTGTTACCCACTCTCTATTGCTATCCTGCAGGCTCTGGCGCTTACCTTTACTATCCTAAGTTGCCTTACTAAACACCCTCTTGCTCCTATTTACTAATCTAATTGCAAGGCCCTTCTTATCTATATTATACGTGTGCCGCGGCTTAATAGAGTATTTGTTAGTCTTAGACTGCAGAAGATTGAAATAGTATAAGCACTTTTTGCTATCATCAGCGTTGTGACGCGAAGCGTCTATAGCGGATGCCCATTTGTATGTGAGCGTTTTGTGGTGACAGTGCAGGAACTGAGTAACCCAGGCATTTTCTAACGTAGCGATGAGCTATTTTAGACGCGAAATTTTATACTATTTGCCTTGTGGGTGGTAGCCCTTAACTAGAAAGGCCCTCTATGTATTTGCAGAGCTAGTGTTCTTGTTGTGGGCTGATATTTCGCTGTGACGAGTATCCTTCTTCACGCGACGAGCACACGCGTCGGTGCCGCTGCGACAGGGTGGATAGCAATACTGTGGTTTGATCAGCATTTTGAGGAGGCAAGTTCACCAGCTGCATCTGCTGCGTCACAGGCTTCAAGCGCAGCCTCTAAATCCATGCCGTTGTTGTGTTATAGTGTGGAGGAAATTCGTATGTTATGGTGAAACCGTGCACTCAATGCACGCCGTCAGTCAATGCACGCGCATCACCAAAACGGGCTACATAGACTTGAGGCTGTAAAGCCACACACAATAGCTTTTATTACAAGATAACTTAGTGGAGCACTCTACCAACGCACAGAACAAACTTTCTTACCAGTACTTTCTTAGCTAAAGGATTTTGCAGCTACAAGTGTTAGTTTAGTGTGGAGGTGTTGGCGTACGCGCTATGCGCGAGGCACCACCTACATTATCGCTAGCACTATGCTTCTGCTTCTTCATTGGAGCTACTTTCTCCAGAGCCTTGCGTTTGCCTATAGAGGGCTTTTGTATAGCCTTTTAAGAGTCACGAGCTTGATTTTGGTGCTCTCTCTCTGCCTTGCGTTTGGCAACTTCTGTCAGGCTGGGCATATGGCGAAGCCACCTCTGACCCGTGACAGGCCAGGCATGTGGCAAAGCCACCTCTGACCCATGACACCAAGGCTTGTAGCAAAGCTACCTCTGACCTGTGCCTTACGATATCAGTACTGTTCCGGCATAGGCTCAACATCAGTGTGAGCCATGTTACCTTTTGGTTTGCTTGTCTCAGTGGCCGGAGCTGAGGCTTGACAACTTCCTTAGCCTTCTCTGCCTTCAGCTGTTTGCGCTCTATTTTCTCTCTTACACGCGCATCACGCTTCTTCTGCGCTATCTTTACACTGTATAGCTAATTAGCTTTAGCAAGCTCCTTCATATCAGCCTTTTCCTCCTTATCTGTCTCCTGCTTATCCTTTATAAGCCTTATACCGGTCTTAGCTTCTCTAAATAAATAAGGGGTCCACATTATTGAAGGCCCCTAGTACTTATAGTGTTGTAACAGGTCTAGAGACTTACCTTTTGTCTTTGTCCTTTTCTTGACAGTAAGACTGTTAAGCAGACCCTTATTCTTGCTCTGCAGAAGCGTGTTCTGTATAGCTATGTAGTAGAGCAATTGCTAAACAATAGATGGGTCCTTCTCTAGTAAGGCACCACTTAACATGCCTTTTATAACTGTATTTAGTTTTGTAAAGAAAGTAGGGGAAGGACTAGACTACTTTCTTCCTAGTCTAGAAAGACCTAGACAAATCTAGACTAGCTTTGTCCAAAAAGGAAGCGTATAGCCTAATAGAGGAAAGATAGGATTATGTAATATAATAGACAAGTTATTATATTAGATACTAGGTAGATATTCCTAGGCTAGGTACAGAGCGAACAGAGGGGGGAGAGGCAGAGGTATTTATGCTTCCTCTCCTCTGTCTGTATTTCTAAGCAGAAAATTCTAGACTCTTCTAGGTAGGTCTACTTAGTAATCTATGCTTAGTATTGCTGCATATACAAGCAAGATTACATAGGTGCATGCGTAATTGTATATGTTAGCATCTACAAAGTAGGCTACTCTATTTGTAAGCAGAGGATCTAGAACATTCTCTAGTTACTAAAAATAGAGAACAACATATCTTAAGAAGGAGAGGAGATATAACGTACCCCATGGGCGAGCGAGCCACTTTTGCCAAGCCCCCACCAAAACCCAACCTATTATAGCCCAAAACACCACACTTTGGTGCTCTGTAGCAGACTACAGCATATAATATCATTCAGAGACTACTTCTACATCAATCTTGCACGTTCGCGCGTTGTGGCCAGTTTGATTGCACCTTCTGCAGCGCCTTTGGGTTGGCTCACCCTCTTGAGCGCGCACCTGCTTCTTTGCCTTCTTCCCATCACTACGCGCCCCAAACTCCTTTAGAGCTGCCAGTCGCTGCCCATCTCCAACTATTAGGGTCCCTACCTTCTGAACCTGCTTTCTTTTGTGTGATTTTTGTTGCGTGGCGGCCTTATTAGCTGCTCAAAGCTTGCTAATTTCCTATTAGGCTAAAACTAGCTTATAGGATAGAATTACTCCCCCCTTTGCATAGTGCTTAAGCGCGCTTAGAACAGAGTTTAGTGAGCTACCCTGCTGCTTCTTATACTTCTCTTAAATTAGAGTTAATTGCGACCTAAATTCTAGGGTATTGCTAGGGCATGCTGTTAGTAGGGAGTGGTAGTGATAGAGTCTGCAGCTTCACATCAAGGGTTAAAATAACCTGTTCTAGGTTAAAGGGGACTAATCTAGCACCTTAGAACCCTCCTTAGATGTTGCTAGGAGTAAACACTACATTGTAGGCTGCTTTAAAGCATAGGAGGAACTTAGTCTTTGTAAGGTAGGTGATCTAGTTGTGTATAAGCATTTCAGCTTAGCGCCTATACGCCTTCTTTAAAGGGGCAAAACAACCTACATTAAGTGGCTGTAGGAGGTGTGATAAGTGAGGAGGCATATATATAGTAACAATCCTGTTATCCTTGCAGTATTGCTAGAATTAGAGCGAGTTGTGGCTCTTGTAGCCATTAATAACTAGCAGTTAGTAGGTAGTAGGTACTAACAGTTCGCTCCTTTGTATGCGTGTTAAAGTGCTTTAACTACTTAAGACTAAGCTTATTAGTAGTCTAGCTATTACTAGAGACTCTAATAACCTAATCCTAGGGCAGGTCTTCCTCCTTGTACTAGCTAGAGAGGTGGCGGCGTACCTTAAAGATAATAAAGGGTGGAATAGCCTATCCTTTCACATTAATGCCCTGTATAACTGTTGTCTACTCCTAGTTGCCTTGCTAGACTGTCTTTGGCCTTCCTTGTCTCTCTAAAGCTATAACAACTGCTCCTAGGGAGATCTAGCCTATTATAAAGCCTGTCTTATTAAAGTTGTAGGTATTGTCATCCTGGATGCTATACTTGGCTTTAATGTTAGCTACTAGGCTAAACCAGCCCTGCACAACCCCTGAGTCCTTGCAGAGGGCTCTCTTGTAGTTGTACTTGCGATTAAACTTGACTTTAAGCTCTGGCTGACGCTTTACAAACATACTAGGCCAGTTCATGCCAACAGGGCCTAGATTGCGCTCAGCACGCAGAGAATTGGCTATAGCAGCCACATCTGCCAGCCGGGGGCCAAATCCTCGCGCGTCTAGCTCAAGTATGTGCTTAACAGTTACCCTCTCCTCGTTATTATCCAACCTTCGTGAGTTGGGCATGGTATTGCCTCGTGAAGGTCGTCCAGTGTGTCAATGGCTTAGCGTGCTTCAAGGCACTTTGTAGATAGCTGCAGCGCGTTGCTGGGAGAGATTCGCGTCTTGTTTAAGAGCTTGAAGCGCAAGCTGTACCTGAGCTTCTTGAGACGCGTTAATAATAGGTTGTTGTTGAGACATTGGTATAGAAAGGGTACTTTGGTGGGGGCTTGGCAAAAGTGGCTCGCTCGCCCATGGGCCCATGGGGTACGTTAGGCTTTGTAAACACACCATTCTAATCCTCTCTTTTAAGAGATTATGATAACAATGCTTAGGTAAGCATAGCGCTATACCTAAGAAGGAAATACGCTAGAGAAAGACTATAAGAACAAAGTCTTATAACTTTACAATATCAAGAAAAGCAAGTTCCACATTATAAGGACAAAGTATCTAGGTTATATCCTTACTAACTAAGGAAGTAAGGTTAACCCTAACAAAGTAGAAGCCTTATAAAACTAGGAGCAACCTATAACTGTAACGGGCTAGGCCCGATGGTAGCGCCTCGGCGCTCGCCGGCCTCGGCTAACCTCCGAGAGGAGGTGCCTGCACAGCTGTACCCCTGGTCAGGAGATCCTAATCTTGACTAATCGTGACACCTCCGCACGGACATAAAAGTCTGCAGACCTCCGCCTGCAGCCACCCCTCAACAAATCCATTTGATTCATACTTGCAAATAGCCCGCAGAGGCCAGCTCCTTACAATAACTATTAACGTACTCTATCACCGAGCCGGTCATATCACCGAACCGGTCACTTAAAATCCCACCAAAAAACACAGAAACCATACCCCTGCATCTCAATAACTACTTAATGGAATCTTCTAAAAACTTCAGAATAGAGCTACATCTATACTAATAAAACTATTTAAAAGTCTTAGACTAATAGCTAGTATAGATGTTGAGATAGCCTGCAGCTACCCCTGTATTTTAGTATCTTCTAAACAACATCTGCAATATAGGGCTAAGCACTCTAAGACTTTTAAACAGTCTTATTAGTATAGATGCAGCTCTATTCTGAAGTTTTTAGAAGATTCTATTAAGTAGTTATTGAGATGCAGGGGTATGGTTTCTGTGTTTTTGGGTGGGATTTTAAGTGACCGGTTCGGTGATATGACCGGCTCGGTGATAGAGTACGTTACAGGTGTAAGGTTATTTCTAGGATTTACAGGTTTCTATTAACAATTTGTACCTAATTTCTCTTGCATAGCTAAGATATCAATTGTATTATAAAGCCTATCTATCCCCTTTAATTAGACTATAGAGTGTAATGTTGCTTTTAAGCACCTTAAAGTTGTAACGACGCAGGCAAGAAGAGAGATATCTAGAATAACGTGTTCTATCAGTAAGCTGCGCATATCAGTATCCTGCGCACCCCACCAAAACGCGCTCAACGCGTCTTATCTCATCAACTATGACACCACATCAACTACCCGTACAAAGTTCAAAAGAAGGCAGGTTAAGCCTTGCTATTGCTTCTTTTCAAAATAATCCTTATCAATCTAAACGTTGCCTTGCTGCAGCCTACGATGTTCCAGAATCAACACTGCGGACGCGTCTTAAGGGTATCTGTCCTAAACACGAGACAACATCAGTCAACCAAAAGCTCAGCCCTATTGAAGAGCAGTCCCTTATTCAGTGGATCTTAGACCTTGACCGTCGCGGGTTTCCACCCCAGATTATTGACGTACGACGTATGGCAGACGCGCTACTCGCTGGCCGCGGCCAAGATCCTCCTCCCCCACCTATCGGCAAGTGCTGGGTGTCACGCTTCATCAACCGTCAGCCAGAGCTTCAGACAAAATGGAATAGGAAATTCCACTCTCAGAGGGCACGCTGTGAAGATCCTGTCAGGATTAGCGCGTGGTTCAGGCTGGTAGAGGAGACACGCCTCACATATGGGATACCTGATGAGGACGTCTACAACTTCGATGAGACTGGGTTCATGATAGGGGTGGCTTCAACGTCAAAGGTAGTCACCAGCTCTGACACAGTTGGTCGCGCTACTGTCGTTCAGCCAGGCAATCGCGAGTGGGTGACGACAATTGAGTGTGTCAACGCGTCAGGTTGGTCTATCCCACCCTTCTTGATACTAGCAGGGAAGCTCCACCAGGCCAGCTGGTATCAAGACCTCCCACCTGACTGGACTGTTGCTGTTAGTGACAACGGCTGGACAACAGATGAGCTAGGCCTTGACTGGGTGAAGCACTTCAACAGGCACACACAGACTCGCTCATCAGGTGCTCGTCGGCTACTCATCCTTGATGGTCACAGCAGCCATGCTACACCTGAGTTTGATCAGTACTGTGCAGACAACCTAATCATCACTCTCTGTATGCCTCCTCACACCTCACACCTCCTCCAGCCACTTGACGTTGGCTGCTACTCTCCTCTTAAGGTGCTGTACGGACATGAGGTGTCTGAGCTTGCCCGCCAGAGCATCTTCGATGTTGACAAGCTTGACTTCCTATGGATGTACCTGAGGATTAGACCAACTGCTCTATCAGAGAGCAATATCAAGGCTGGGTTTCAAGCTACAGGGCTTATCCCATTCAATCCAGAGCGTGTCCTAACGTGCCTTACTGTAGTTAGGACACCATCACCACCAGGGACAACAGCAGCAGATAGAGCGCCATGGACAGCAGAGACACCACGTACAGCTGACCAGCTTCAGCAGCAAGCTCGCCTTGTTCAAGATCTCCTTAAGCGTCAATCACAAAGCCCAACTAGTCAAGCTATCTCTCAGCTTGTGAAAGGCTGTCAGCTCGCAATGCAATCGGCAACAATCCTAGCTCAAGAGAATACAAAGCTACGTGCTTCAAACCAACGCCAGCAACGTAAGCGTCAAAGGCGTAGACAATATATAGCACAGGGAGGAGCTCTACAGGTTGAGCAAGCTCAATTACTAGTCTTACAGGCTGACAATGTGGTTGAAGAGGAGGTCCAGGCTGATGCTGCCCCGCGACGTCAGCGAGCACCACCAACGTGTAGCAAATGCCACGTGCAAGGCCACAATAGGACTCAATGTAGAGCTATCTAATCTATCTTGCTTCAAAACCTCACTTAACTTGACCATGTGGTTGTGGAGCAATTGCACGCTGAGTTGAGCGCGTTTTGGTGGGGTGCGCAGGATACTGATATGCGCAGCTTACTGATAGAACACGTTAGGTGTGAATCCGCTACGAGGCATATAGGAGTGCTAGGATGATAAGAACACTAGGATATATTCTCTACACCTATAGGTCTTGTACAAAAGGATATAGAAAAACTACTCTATAATGCTACAGTTCCTTGCTCCTTATATATAAGGGTTTAGTAGCAGTTTGGTGCAAGCTCATGCCATGCAACAAGGGCCATGGTCATGAGTCGCTGGAACCGTAACCTAGTGGTATCGGGTCACTGTTCGTAGCGCGTTGTTACAAAAGTAGCCTTACTGTTAATTCTAACCCTGTGCTATTTTAACCCTAAACACAATACAAAACTAGAGACTAATGCCTCTAATAGGGTGGTTGCAGGAGTGCTATTACAAAAACACCCTAACAGAAAATAGTACCTACATCGGGAAAAGTTTTTCGAAATCCGGCCTAGACCGGCCGTTGCTGACAGTCGTGGCATGGTCGTGCAACGGCCATTCAACGGCCCCAACGGCCCCAATTTGCGCCCAACGGCCCCAATTTCGCGCCAACGTTGCCAACAGCCAAAACGCTGAGTGCCCATATTCAACGAACTCGAAACGACGTTGCAACGTCGTTGCATGGCTACCCTCAGTGCTAGCACTAGCATTAAATATTCAAAAATTGCGAAATTTCACGTACAGATAGAGCGAAATTGTAGCTTCAAAATGAGCGAAAAATTATTATTGTAGGCCTACTACAACGCGAGTTATAGAGCGTTGAAGGTTTGTTTGTTGAAGGTTAGCGTTTTGAAGTTGCGACAGCACACCATGGCAGCTGCAGCTGCGCCCGCACACAACGTAGCAGCTGCAACAGCATACAGCATAGCACCTGCTGACCAATACACACACACACACACACACAGCAACAGCGCAACAGGAGCTTGCAGAACAGGCAGGCCTAGGCGTAAAATTCTTGGTTTACCTACTATTCTTAAATAATATTCTTATATTTTCTAACATTCAGGCTGCTAGAGCCCTAGCGAAGAATCTTAACTTAGTGTCTTGGCAAGGAACATCAAGCTTAAAACCTTCTACGCTTAATAACGTAAACCATCACCGAGCCGGCCATATCACCGAGCCGGCCACTTTTCCTTGGCACAACCAACTTTCTCCTCATCAAACAATGCCTCAACAACACAACGCAATTGCTATTCAAGAAGAAGGTAGAGTTAATCTTGCCCTTCAAGCCTATACGTTTGGCCAATTTAAGACCCTCCGGCGCGCTGCAGCAGCTTTTAACGTCAAACACCAGAGGCTCTCTGACCGACTCCACGGAATCACTCCACGCGCTCAAACCCAACCAAATTGCCAGAAGCTCACTACCACCGAAGAGCAGACGATTATCCAATATATACTTGACCTTGATTCGCGAGGATTTGCGCCCCGGCTGTGCGAGGTGGCAGATATAGCTGATAAACTGCTGGCTGTACGCGGTGGCAAGCCTGTTGGCAAGTGCTGGCCTGAGCGCTTTGTAACGCGTTCAGATGAGCTTAAAATGGCCTTCAATCGAGCCAAGGATAGGCAGAGGATACTCCAGGAAGACCCAGAGATAATTGGCGCGTGGTTCACGCTGGTAGAGGAGACCAAAGCCAAGTATGGTGTCCATGACGATGACATCCACAACTTTGATGAGACAGGCTTCCAGATGGGCGTAATTGGGTCTATGAAGGTTGTTACAGGCGCAGAGAGACGTGCAAGGCCTGATCTGATCCAACCAGGCGACCGCGAGTGGGTTACAGTGATCCAGAGCGTGTGCGCTGCTGGGTACGTGACCCCGCCCTTTATTATCTACAAGGGACGCGTCCACATCTCTGCGTGGTACGAGGAGACCTCAATACCGCGCAATTGGAAGCTCTCAGTCTCTGAGAACGGCTGGACCAACAACGCGCTTGGTCTAGAGTGGTTGAAGCACTTTGACGCGCATACAAAGGCGCGTCAGGTGGGGGGGTACCGGCTGCTCATTTTGGACGGCCATGAGAGCCACCTCAACCAGGATTTCAAGGACTACTGCCTTGAGCACAAGATCCTGACCCTCTGCATGCCTCCCCATTCGTCGCACATCCTCCAGCCGCTTGATGTAGTCTGCTTTTCGCCGCTGAAGCGCAAGTACTCGCAGCGCGTCAGAGACTTGGCACGCCGCCGCGTCTTCCACATCAACAAGGAAGGCTTCCTGCCCGCCTTTAGGGACGCGTTTTTAGACGTGTTTACGAAGGAGAACTGTCAAAAGGCCTTTGAGGCATCTGGGCTAGTCCCTATCAACGCGCAGGTTGTGTTAGATCGCCTTGAAGTGCGGCTGCGGACCCCACCAGAACCCCTCCTCCCAGAGACGCCGTGGCAGTCAAAGACTCCAAGCAATACCCATGAGTTTCAATCTCAATCAAAGCTAATACGCGACTCCTTCACTCGGTCACCAGTAACAGCCCAGGCTGGCTTCTCCCAGCTTATAAAAGGTGGTGAGCTAATGCTGCATGAAAATGCGCTTCAACGTGCTCGGATCCATGAGCTTGAAGAGCAGTTAGCAGAGATAACTAAGCGGAAATCACGCAAAAGGAAGCGGATCCAGCAGGGTGGTACTATGGAGTATGGGACTGCAGCAGCGCAGGTAGCTGTAGAGGCGTCTGTAGCTGCTGAGCGGTCAAAGAAGAGTCGTGGTGGTGGTGATCAAGAAAGAGCCCAACCAGCTCTACGGCGCTGTGGGAACTGTAGCAAGACTGGGCACAACGCGCGAACGTGTAAAAAGGATACAGAGGCATCTTCTGAATCAGATGTAAGTACAATGTACGCGTGCTCCTTGTTTAATAGTGATAAAATTGAAGATGCGTAAGATAAGTTGGTTGTGCCAAGGAAAAGTGGCCGGCTCGGTGATATGGCTGGCTCGGTGATGGTTTACGTTAACTATTCTATTACTAGGCCTATAATGTTGTTTAATAGCTTATTTTAAAGAGGAGACTTAGTAGTATATTAATATAAGAAAAGTATAGTTTATTAAGCAGAGCTACTATTGTAGCAGGATTAGGAGTTGTTGTGGCCATTGCAGCCGTTGGGACCGTTGGAGCCGTTAGCTCAAAATTGGCTGGACATTGAATGCACATTGAATGACTGTTGTAGGCCTACAAGTCCTACTGTTGCCCACAGTACAATGCCACGATTTCCCGATTTCGACAACGGAAAAACTTTTCCCGATGTAGTTGTGTTCTACAGCTTAGTCTTATCTAGTTTAGAGCTTAACTAGGAGATACACAATAAGGAGTTATTTGCCATACACTAAGCTTTTTACAAGTAGAGAGCAGAACTAACAAGTGCCTAATCTTGCATCTAAGTGTTCTCTAACTATAGAGCACTAGAGTACTTTATAACAACTAAAGTGCTTAGTGCAAGACAAGTTTGTTAGGCAGAGAATATAGCCCTGTTTAACTTCTAAATTAAGTATACTCTAGGTGCTAGCAATGCTAGAGCAGACATCTTAAGCTGTAGGGAACAAGATCTAAGTGACTTACAGGTTGCCCAGCAAGACAATTATTTACACGTTTTCCTAGGTCTGAATTAACTTAACACCTGTATTAACTCTAATCTCGCCTAGAAGTGCATAGGAGATCAACAACCTAACGCCCAAATCTACCTGCTTAGTACTAGCAAGCACTATACGGACCTAGACTTGTTAGAATTAATTAAAGCGTTACTATAGGACAACTAGACCATATTTGTCTGGTCAAGATCATCAATGCTCAATGCATCCGCCATTGTAAAGATATAGACCGCCAATGTAAGTGTTCCGGAGCGCATCGCAGAGATACCAATCACAATGGCGAGTCGCGAGAGACAAAGAACATAGGGTCTCGACGGTGCTGACGTCTTATATTACCTGCTATCGCTGCACGAACAGTGTGTTCACAGTGCTGACAGGCACTCGAAGCACCCAGATGCACATTGTTACTTCCTAGCTGGGACAACGACGTGACCAAATTCTCGTTTCTGCGCCAAGTTGGTGGAAGGGAGGCTGGCCATTTCCCAGCGGAGTGGGGGCGGAAACGTGCATCTACATGCTCACTCGTTGCGAGAGCCCCTACTGCTGGACGAGTTATGAAGTTGGTTCCTTACAGTATTCAACTCGCTCCTTCGATTTTGGCTTTCAGCACATCGCGCGGCTTTGTCGGTGGTCGATCTCCTGCTTTGCACAAAAGAATTCATACGGTAATCACACAATTGTGATTCGATGTCCAAGTAAGCATCTGCCAAGTGCACACTGCATAGGCTGCACGAAGCATAGCAACTGGGATAAACGCGAAAATACCACTATGTCATCGCACTCTGTTCGTGTAACAAGGGCCATGTCGAAAGCCTCGTTGAGACTGCCCGTGCGACGGGCAACTTCTCCGGAGTTTGTTGAAAACACCTTTAGGACCCGGGTACCAGCTGCAGAAGACCCGCTCTCACGCATGCACTTTGAGAGTACATCCTCTCTCATCTTTGCAGCGAGACAGAAAAAAAAGGATACATATTGCGAGATGCGTCTGACTGTCGTTGTGAAATGTTGCGCACAGCGCCGATCCGACCGCTGCAAGAAACTCTCTCATCATAATCTTCCTAGGCCACGGCTCGAAGAGTGGTTGAACAAAGTTGGCCGCTGTGGTCGTGAAATGAACGATACCGGTTTGGAATTTAGTACTGTAGCACAAAGAACAGCTCTGGTAATATCATTGTGACTGTTAGCTGAGCAACTGAGGATTCGTGGAGGATCGTGATAGTGTGACCGGACATTCTCTTGCGCGTCAGTATGCGTGGAGCATATATGGTTGCCACGCTGGATGAGGAAGCTGGATCGGTCGATGCTGTCACGTAATTGCCTGAAGCCGCGTGTTCAGTAATATTACGTAGGTATCTAGGTCTGCAGATGGCAACTACAGGTACGGAAGTAAGAGACGAGAGAGTTTTGCGTATATTGGCATGAGGTGAGGTTGCTTTAGTTCAGAGCTGCGTTGGGTTTTGGCTTCTAGTCACTTGGACCCTCGATGTCAGGGTTGTTCATTGTGTATATGCGCCAGTTCAGGACCTCTAATCCACTGTCTTGTCTCTGACAGCATCGAAGACCACCCTCTTTGGGTCTACGGCCTTGTCATCACCCCATTGGATCTCGTATCCGGCATCCTGCAGGTATGCCTTCCAATTCTCATCTTCTTCACCAAGATTGGGTGGGTGCGCCGGGATGAAGAACCATGCAACCAGCATACCCAATACCGCGAACCCAGACCCGATAAGGAAGACAGCCTGGTTACCACGCACAGTATCGTCGCCATAAGAGGCAAGGATGGGCTTAAAGACTGAGGTTCCTATCGCTGCGCCGGCTTTGCTGAACGCTGCGCAAAGACCCAGCATCTGACCTCTGATACTCGTGGGGAAAAATTCTGAGCTTGTCGCAACGATAGTCGCTCCTGGTCCAACCTCGCCAAGTGTGAGGAATAGGCCGTAAAGTACGATAAAAAGCGGGGTGATATTCTGAATGTACGGCAAACACCCGCCTAGGATGAAACCAAGACAAGCCTGCAGCCCAAAGCCCAGCGCCATTGTCTTCCTTCGCCCAATCCTGTCGGAAAGATAGCCGCCTATGAAGCCCCCTGGTAGGTAGAAGCAGTTGATCAACGTGCCCCAGCCATAAGACTTGACAAGGGAGTCGCCGGCGTTTACGGATGCAGAAATGGTCGAGCTGAACAGGCCGAATGGGTACGCGATGTAGTTGTAGATGAACCAGGCAAGTGCTGAGCCAAGAAGAGGCCGCCAGTAGCGTTTTATGGCAAGGTGGTAAGGAAGTATGGTGTTGCGCGCTGAGCTGCGGCGTTCGGCACTCGACATGGCCATGCGCCAACGGAACCAGAAGATGGAAATGGGCGGCTAGGTAAGATTAGCGGGTCTTATGGCTCGTGTCAGGAAGGGTAATGCCTACAATTACGCCAAGGGCAAAAGCAATTCGCCAGATCTTCTCGTAATGTGCTTCGCGCTCATGAAAGCATAGCAGCAGAAGAAGTGGGACAAGACCGGAGAACACGAAGCCCAGGGATGCCGAGACATCCGCCACCATGGCAAAGATGAAGCCTCGATGTTTGCGTGCGCTAGGAGAGTCGTCTGTAGACTCTGCAGTACCAGCTCCTGAGACCGGGTACTCGCCACCAGCTCCAAAACCAGCGATACCACGAGAGACGGTCAACATCCAGAAGAGGCCCTTGTCACTAGTTCCGTGTGACACGGCGGTCATAACAATACCGACGGAAAGGAAGAGGGTCGTTAGAACGGCGCCGGATTTGCGGCCCAATCGATCGCTGATAAATCCAAAGGAAAGCATGCCAAATATAAGACCGATGATGAAGGCGTTGGTGAGCTGCGACTGGGTCGCGACATTCAAGCTGTCTGGGTAGAGTGCTGTTAGGAGCAGCAGCAACTGCCCCATCAAGGCGCTATTGTAGGCGTCGCTGCCTATGGCCAAACCAGAGAAGAGTACCATGAAGAAGATGGATCTATTCGAGTACAAGATCGGCGCACGGCCTTCTTCGAAGTCGAGGTCGGCTGCGCGAGCTGCATGAGTCGTAGTATTCTCGCCCTTGTCTTTTTCTTTTGTGTCAACCTTCGTCTCCCTCTCTTGGGCTGGAGCAACTATGTCGTCCATCGTCGTAACTTCCTCGCGCGATTCGATTGTCCGGAAAGCCAGCGTGCGGGCGGTACTTGAGATGCCATCGTGAGCGCCGGTAATCTGCACGCCTTTGTACTGCCGATCTTTCGGAGAATGTCATCCTTATCGTGCTATCGTGGTTATAACGGCAGACGGCCGAGTTTCGGAAGCAGCATTGTCGTCTCAAGACGAGTGACGGGCGGAGACGCAGGAGTGGGGTGGGCATAAGTGGGTTTTCTATTGGGTGCATGATTCGACGTTGCACCGCTACCGGTAGCGAGATCCAGGGAAGGCGATCCGACCACCTCTCGACGCCAATCGCTGGTATGCATGAAGTCTACAACACCAACTTTATCCATCATGAAAGAACCATTGTTGCCGTATGCCGTGCCTGCGATTCAGCACCGGGTCAATACGGTCGCACGATGGGTGTTCTGCATTACTGCAGTGACGTTCTTGCTTACTTGGGTTCGTTAGTCAATGACCCATTGATCATGTCGCTAATAGTGCAAGCAGAACTACGTCGAGTACAATGGTCATCCGAGCACTCACGGCGGTTCCAAGAAAAATGAGTTCAAAAAGTGTTCTATTGATACGTATCGTGCCACTGGCTTGGAATTCCTCGCTACCGCTGAGAGGCCACCCGTGAATGAGTACGTTCTGCGAAGGAACAACCTTGCCAAAGCTCTCGCAGTGGAGGAAATCGATGCATTAATAGTCGAGCCAGGCTATACTTTCAGCTACTATGCAAACATTACACAGCCGCAGTGGGAAGTTTGGGAGCCGGAGGAGCGTCCATTTGTCATGATCATCCGGCCCGAGAAGTTGTCAGATGGCAGCATCATTGCAAACACGTCTTTCCTAGTACCACATTTCGAAGAGATACGTGCAAGGTTGCTGAATATGCCATTTGAGGAAGACATCCACACCGTCACATATGAAGAGCATTGGAACTACTACACGACCTTGTACGAGTCGGAAATCTGGGGTGAGACGCTGTCACCTACATTGATGGTCGACGAAGAGATGCGCGACTTCATCCAACGTGGTTTCGCAGCTAATGGATTCACTGTGGTTGGCTTGAGTGGTGAGGTCGAGGCAGTCCGTCAGATCAAAACTGAACGTGAGCTTGGCATACTGAGAGCTGTCAACACGGGTACTGTTGAAGCAATAAGGGCCATGCGCAAGTGTCTTTACGAAGGTTTGACAGAGAATGAGGTTGCGGAGGTACTCGACGATACAATGAGAGCCGCGGGCATCGATCCGTTCTTCGACATTGTAGAGTTCGGGAAGAGCGCTGCCTTGCCTCACGGAGGGTATGACGGCAGCAGAAAGCTTGAAGCCGGCATGTTCGTACTAATCGATGTGGGCGCACATTTGTACGGATACAGCAGCGACGTGTGTCGCACCTTCTACCCGCCGTTTGTGCCAAACCCTCCACCCTCGAAGTTCAACGTCACCGAGCAATTGCGCGTCTGGCAAGTCGTGCTCGATGCGCAGGATGCAGCAGTAAAGGCTATGGTACCGAATGGGACGGCTGCTGCGGTTGACATTGCTGCCCGAGAAGTCATTGCTGCAGCTGGTTACGAGGAGGAGTTCACCCATCGCCTTGGTCACGGTATCGGCATCAAGGCACACGAAAGCCCGTACCTCAACAAAGGCAATGTCGGCGCGATCCTGCGCCCTGGCATGGTTTTCACCGCTGAACCTGGTGTGTACGTACTGAACGACTTCGGGGTACGCCATGAGGATATACTAGTAGTGAAAGAGAACGGCGAAGCAGAAAATCTCAGCGGCGGCTTTGCAAGGAGCCCGTGGGAACCATGAGCAAACGAAGATGCCGCGCAGCAAGCGTTTCACTTACATAGTAGGCGCACGCGGTTTCATTGTCATTAGATCGCTCGCTAGTGGGACCCAAACACGCTGTAGCGCCGTAGTGTCTCATGTGAATACCCTTACTTCATCACCTCCTCACCTTCTCGGCACTCCAGTCGTATCTTCCTCTTGACCACAACCCATGAAACATATCCGGATGATCATTGAATTTGTTCAACTTCCTCACGATGTCATTGCGACGTTGTTTTATGTTCGCCGCAGCTATCTGCTGCCTATTCTTCACGTTAACGGTGGCCAGCAGCAATCTAAATGGTACGTCCTTGACATTTACATTGTCGGCGATCCGACTGACAACTTCATTCTCTGCCACGTTTGCCAATATATCTGCACCCGTTCTTGTCTCAATCATCATCCCGCACGATGAGCGTGTCACAGTCCCTGCCGCCTCCTTCTCCAACGCCACCGAGCCAAGTCTTTTCCAGATTGCAAGGGGTGATCTCCCACAGGAGGAGCTGTGAAATAAGAAGCTGATGAGTCAGGCAGCGATCGAGATCTACCTGCTCTCGGAACCCAGTATCATTGACGCAAAGCTGGATGCCGGCTTGGCAAGCGAATTCAAAACGCTTTACCCAGCACTGCGTGGCAAGGGCAGAGTCGTGGAGCGTCATGTAGAATGCAAGTACGACCAGCGCTCAGACAGCATCGACACCGATAAGGTCTTGATCAATGTAGAAGAATCCAGGGATGGCAGCGGGGGTTATGTTGCTGCTGTAGTGGGAGGTTAGGGCCGATTAGTTATTGTAACCACGTGGCTCAGATCACATGATATCCTATTGTAGCAGGCGCTGCCTCGTGGGCAAGTGCAACAAAACATCACACAACACGACAACAGATAGCAATACACTCGTTGATCACAGTCTCCGACCGACACTGCTCACGCAGTTACAGTTATCGATCTTGTGCGCGGGAATTTTGCCTAAAAAGTTTGCATTGCAGTCTGTGTACTTATTTTGTTGCGGTATCAAGGGCAAATGTATATGACGAGTGTAATGTGTTAGTTATAAGCTTAAACTACGTGCTAATTACCTCTAGATCTTCCTAGAGTATTCTCTAACAGTCCTTTGCTTAATTAAAAGCTATCTTAAGCTCCTTTGTATATAACACAAATTGCTTAGCCTAGTTCTTACTAATAGGTGTCCTACTATGTAAAGCTAATAGTTTGTCTACAACATCTGCCACCTTACACAGCTAGGCGGCAAATCTGCGTGAATTAAGGTTAAGGATGTGTTGTATAATTATCTGCTCTTCTATTGCAGAGAGCTTCTAGCTGTTAGGTAGTGCTTCTTATTAAAATGTAATTTTATTTAGCTAATTAGAGAGCCTCTAGAAAGGTACCTTAAAGGCAGCAGTAGCGCTCTATACGCTCTTAAATTATCCTAAGGTATAACGTGTTTCACAAGCGAGCGCCGCACCCAAGCGAGCGCCGCACTCTCGCTGCCAGAACGCCGGCGCAACAACAGCGCGTAATGTCTCAACCACAACAAGCTCCTACACTCTATACTGAAGCTGATGTACAGCTTGCTATATCTAATATCTTAAGAAACTAAATTCAAAGTATCTAACGCGCTAAGAAAGTCTACAAAGTGCCTAAATAAATAATCTAACGCTGACGCAATAGAACACACTCTTAACACAACTGCAAGCTAGTTAGGCCTAAAGCACAAGAATAATTCTACCTTCTTGCTAAGTTAATATCTACTTGCGTTGTTGTTGCATATTATATTGTTTAGAAAAGTTGCAGTGCCAAGAAAAAGTGTCCAGCTTGGTGGTGTGTCTGGCTTGGTGGTGCTTTACGTTAATGATTTTTTGTAACTAATGGTGTTTACCTGATCTTAGTTTAACTGTCCCAACCTTGAATGGTGCTCATTGTTCTCCAACGCTCCTTGACCGTATTTATCATGATGCCGCTTAATGCACTCAAACTCAACATTCTTTCAGCGGCGGTATTCTCTATAAACATGATGACTTCTTTCGACGCACGTAAGCATGCCTCCCCTTGTCGATGTCTACACAGCCTCTTGATGTGTGCGCTTTTGTGCCTCCTTTTCTTCCAACAGCAGGTTCATACAACCCCTGCCCTCTCACATCTCCTTTCAAACCCGCAGGCACCCTCTTTACCTTAAATTTCACGCCCCGTCTTTCTCCATCACCTCTTCTCCCATCACGCTCCTCATGCGGCCCGTCACCATCTCCCCTGTCTCTTTCAGCTTTCTTTCGGTCGTCGGTATTCCCACCTCCCCTCTTCTTCTCCTCTCTCTTATCACACAATCCTTCTCCGTTCTTCTTCAACAGCTCGTCGCACCGATCTTAATGCTCCCGGTCATACGCATACTCCCCTTCTTCGTTCTGGCGCAGCATCAGAACCAGCGGGTCTTTGCCGTGCGGATTGGACACCGCGGCGGCGATTGCGGCTTAGCTGAGACCATTAGGGTACTTATTGTTGATATTGTGGACAGCGCGGTTGGTGAGGTCGCGATAGGAACCGCGTTGTCTGGAGGCAGCCAAGGGTTGGAAGATCTTGAGCCCATGGTTGTGATTTTGGAGTTTGAGGCGGGAGGCTAGGTGTTGTCAGATATATATGTCCCAGGTTAGTAACTGTTGCGGCAAACTTAGCCGCTGTATATCGATGGAAAACTGCGCTGAGTTGATTGCTAGCTAGGAGGCGACCATATATACATGCCCTGAGACGTGCTAGTCCAAGGTAGTCAACTGAGGTGACAATCGAGGCCTGTCGGACCGACTTGCACCGCAACAGTAACGTACCTGCATATTCACACACTGGGAGTGGTCATGTATTGGTAAAGGTCACATGTCAAGAACGTTTGTCATTGATAGCCGTGATGCCTATAACATCGTGAAAGCCTCCCGGCTCGGACCAAGACTCCAAAACCTCCGTCCAGCCTAACCCAAACCTGGAGGTATCTGTGATATTTTACAAACTTTCAAGAACGCTGACCCAAAATCTGCCCTGGAGGTAGTCATCTAGACACCAAATACATCGTCGGCAGCGTCGCCCCAACCGCTTCCGACCTCGTGGAGGCCCTCAGTATTGAGGAGGTTGGCGTACTCTCCACCACCAAGGACCATGCCCTGGAGGTATCCAGTGTTCTGGCCGAAGGGAGTCACCGGGGGAGTGTCGTAGAAATTCATCTGAGGCGTCGCCGGGAGGCCCTCAAAGTATCGACTGCCTCCAGCCTGAGGGGTGTGCGGGGACTGCTCTTGCTTGATGTTAGCCTTGACTTTACGGGATGACCTCTTCCACTTGTAAGGAGCCTGGAGGACTTCACGATCTTGATCGGCGTATGCACGAGGAAGAGTGACGATGAAAGACTGGGTAGCTTCAAAGCGGGTAGGATTCTTGCGTGGGTTGTGAGCCTCAGGTTCAACGGAGGCTTTGGTCTTTGCGCCAGGTGTAGCTGGCTTGTTCTTGCGCGTCCACGCCATCTTGAGAGTAGGGATCGAGTGGCCAGCTTCAACTTGTTTGCCACGGAGCTTAAGGAGAGCCTGCTGCAGGGCGCCAGCGGTACACTTCTCGCCGACAACCTGAGCAGCTTGTTCAAAGGGAATTTGAACCCCAATCTCTCCGCAAGCCCAGACAATGCCAAGGCACACGTTCTTCCAATCATCGTCATTCCACCTCAGGAGTTTGGGGCGGGGCTGGCGTGGCTTACGGGGTATACCGTCCTTGTTGAGCTTGGGAGTCTTACGGGGACGCTCATTCTCAGACTCGCTCGCTTCGCTATCCTTGGCAGGAGTAGCACTCACACTGTACTGTTCATGGGCATATTTCTGCTTGAAGGCCTCTTGACGGTTATCACCAACGTCGGCGTTATGAGATCCTGCAGCGAAGGGAGCAGATACGAAGGCATGGTTGTCGGTAGGGTACATTGGCTTAGCCCCACCGAAAGGACCGGGGACAAAAGTCTCAGCACTGCCAAAGTGAGTTGGCCCAGCACTATTGAAGGACGCAGATGCGAAAGGATCGACGCCGTTAGTGTAGGGTGGCTCTACAGTACCGAAGTGGCTAGGAACAAATGAGTCATTGCCAGCTGGGTGAGGTAGCTCAGTGGTACCGTAGGAACCGGGAACGAATGAGCCAGGCACGAGAGTATCGCCTGACAGGGACTGCGCGAGGTTGAAGGACCTTAGCATGCTGTCGCCGTAGATGGACGCTTCATCGTAGAAAGCATGGCCGCTATGAGCAGGACGGTTAGGTGGCTTGAATGCGTCGTGATGATATGGACCCCAACGAGTGTTGTCAGGGGTTGCTGCGTAGCTGAAGCCTCGAAATGGCTCGTCAAAGTGGATCTCGTCCATGTCAACAGCTCGAGCGGAGTCGACGACGGGCTGGTGGTGGAGAGTTTGCATCGTTTTGATCTCGTCATGCTTGCGCTTCTTCTCAGGAGTCTCCTTCTTGATGACGAAATCGTCGTTGCTGGTGCGGGGAGCGGGCGGAGCTGGCGCCCTCTCAGGCTTGGTGGTGATTTCCTCGAGGCGATTATCGTGAGGTCGCATGTTCTCGTACTTTTCAGGGTCCTTCCAGTTGGTGTAGATAGGTTGGGTGCGTGAGTGAGGCCTCAAGGCAGTTAGCATCATTCCGGGGACACTTTGTGTATGGATGCAGCATACCTAGAGGGCTGTGGGCGCGCAAGAGGAGGTGCGCGAGGCTCCTTTTTAGAAAAGGCTCCCTGGGGGTAGTCAGTATATGCTGTATGTCCATTGAAGGATTGAACAACAATCCCACTTGTGGCCATGTCTTGGGCGATCGTGGAGGTAATCAAAAGAAGAACAAAGCTGCACGTACCGAGCGTGAGGAAGCAAGGTGACCACGTTACTTGCAAACACCAGGAGATTGGCCGCCAAGAACTCTCTGACTACTCCCAGGGCAAGCCAGGTGTGGGGCTGGATAAGAGCAGCGTGCGGAGGCAACTAGCGGAACGGGAAGGGCAGGAGGCAGGGGGCGCTCGACTACAGCGTCCAACCGTATGCTCTCAACGCGGGGCAGCAGCACTGAAGTATCCACTGGCCGATTTGACAAGTTCAAAGATCAATGTCTGCGTCAACTCGTACCAAACTCTTGGGAGGACAATGGAAGTCTCTAGCTGAGCAAGCTACACGTTGTCAGCACGTCGAACAGCAGCAGCAGACGTGCGGAGTGTACCTTGTAACGCGGGGCTAGCTTCGAGACTCAGCGACTACTATGCTAGTCGCTATTGACGGAGTTATGCGTGGGCGAGGTGAGAGAGGCTTGCGAGCGCGTCTGGTTAACAATAGACGCTGGAGGTGTGTGGCTAAGAATGGAGCGCTGGAACGCAGTGTGCAAGTTGAGAGCTTCCGAAGCTTGCCCACTCTACCAGGAGTGTAGAAGTGACGGCTAAATATCGCATATATACTTCCGGAGTTCGGAGGCGTAGCGCCTGTGTTGGTCCATGTCACGTGCCGACGTGGTCACCGCGGATTTCCGACGGTAATGTGGGTCCACGATGAGAACTGACAACAAACGGCCAATAAAATCGGGCGTTTTTGTTACGTTGCTGTGGTCCAGGGTCTCTTGTTCCGACTATCGGCGGCCGCAGGTGTCGTGGAGGACATCATAGCCCTACGCAGGATAGTCTGCGGGACGGGTGGCCTGACTCGGGGTACCGGTATGCTGAATGATATATGTTATCATAGGCACAAGCAATTGGTTCCTTGTGCTTTGCGCGGCGGACCAATGCGGGCTTCGAGGGGTGTTATCAACGGGTATGAGACATGACAGATCCGTCTTGATGAACTTTGAGAAAGGGGGACAACATTGAAGGCAACAAGAAAATAATGGCGATATGTAGAGATGTAGTGACATGAGCTATGAGGAGAACAAGAAAGTAACTGAAACACTCACTGGAGCCTACCTCATTTGATGAACAGGCATCAGAAGGGATGGCGACGAAGCACCGAATGGCTTCAAGCCAGTGAAATACCTGTAGCTCCTCAGTGCGTTGCAAGAGGCCAATAATTGGACATGGAGTACCATTCGCTAGTCGGCGGATGCTTTGCTCCAAACATCATTGATGACAGTGATTGCCACACTACGTTCAAGTTTGTAGCCTGCCGTGACATGCTGTGGCTGCAGCACGGTCCGGAACCGTACTAATGTGCTTTATCTCCGGTGTGAAGACGATCGCGCGACTGTGGTTGATCGATCTGGAAAATATCCTTCAGCGTGTCTCATAGAACATTATGTCTTGTAGGATGGCTAGAAGAGGAGGTGTAAGTGGAAATGAGGTTCAGGGTCCTCCACGAGACAGAACTATCCTCCTAAGGTTCGTTGTATGTCCTTAGGTGGGTCAGTAGAGTCCCGTATTAGTGCTTTTCCATGAGAAGATTCAGAGTATGGTCAAGTGTAGCATTGAAGATCAGGGAGAGCCAAGTAGCTTCCAGGCTGGCAGATGCAGCACCACCTTGCCAGACTCACTATGTAACACTCGGCAGGACGGTACTCTGCTGCATCACGACACTGCTCTCGTTGACTTCGAATGCCCAGATGTGAGAGCGGGATGAGACGGGGATCGTGGAAAGTTGTAGAAGTTGCACCCTTGCTGTTCAGCTGCATGCCACGCGATTTGTAATGTCGCGGCGTGAGCTGCGCCATAGGACTCGATGCCGCGATGTCCATGACAAACCCTACTTGAACACCAAGTCCAGAACCGTGACTTTCGGCACCGGCACATACGGGTTCAAATAAATGCGTTTGGTAGGGACTTGATCTATTGTTAATTGTGGCCGTGGCGTGAGGGGACCACTCGTGAATTGAAGGCCGAACGTGTTGCCCCTTACTGGTGATTCTTGACGTCTCGTCAAGGTGGATCGAGGGAAAGCCGAGAGAGACTCTGATGGCTATCCTGCGCTGTTGAGCATGAGTAGGGAGTTGAGTTCGACGGGGGAACAAGTTTGGAGGGGCTGGGGCGCCTCCGCGGGACAATAAAAAGGAACGATTCGCTTGGCGGGATCAAAACGAGGGACGTCATGTTCACAACGAGAAACCTGGAATTGCTTTGATTAGGTATTGTCATATGGATGCATCCATTACTACAGAAGCTATCTGTTCGACTGTCAGTGTGAAATTTTTGAGAGTGAAGTGCTCCAATGGGGTAGTAGAACTGATGCTTACCCGTGTCCGTGCGCGCAACGCCTGGAGTCGCGCAACGCCCGATAATCACCCTGCAGCACTATACAAACTTGAGGCTGTAGAGCCACATACAATAGCTATTATCGCAAGATAATTCAGTGGATTGTTCTATAGACTTATTCGACGATATTCTCTCATACACATTAATTATATAGAGTTGCTGTTCTGCCGCTGCGGGTGGTGTGGGTGCAAGGTGCCGCAGGAGGCTCCGCAGCAACAACACCACGCTGCGCAGCTACTGCACCACAATTCTGCTTCTTTCTTGGTGCTACAGACTGTGACACCTTGCGCTTGCCTCTTTGGGGCAATTGTACAGCTTTTTGAGCGTCGCGAGCTTGTTCATCACGCTCTCTTTGAGCCTTGCGTTCGGCTGCTTCCTCGGCATTCTCAGCTCTCACTCGCTCACGCTCCTCCTTCTCCCTCTCCCGCTACTCACGCCTCTCTTAGGCAATCTTCTCATCATATAGCTTGTTGGCGTGTCTAAGCTTCGTCATCTCTACTTTTTTAAGTTCTTCTGCCTTCTAGTTCTGTTGCTTTGTCCTCTCATCAGAGCGTGCTTTCTCTACTCTACTAGGAGAGTAGAACTCAGCCCCACCGTGATAGTCCTTGCGAGGCTGAAACTGAAGAGCTTTGCTCTTGTTCTTATGCTTCTTCTAAGTCTTAAGCACCTCTTTAAGGCCCTAATTCTCGTGGTGGAGAAGCTGATTTTAAATTGAGATGTGGTGGAGTGAGCGGCTGATCTTCCTCGGCATGGACTCCAATCGTCACAACGCTGAGTTGCAATACAAGTACAAGTTATACTTCAAGCTTCTGCAGCAGAAGATCACTCGATACAACATTGAGCCAGAGAACACGTACAATATAGATGAGAAGGGCTTTGCAATTAGAGTGCTGGGTAGGACAAAACAGGTGTTAAGCAAGCGTTAATATGAGAAGAAGGAGGTTAGGCGGGCTTGTTAAGATAGCTCACGCGAGTGGGTGAGCCTCCTAGCTGCAATCTGCACTGATAGTACTGCTCTTCTACCTGGCATTATCTTTGCGTAAAAAAACTCCACCCTCTAGAGCCACTAGGTGGCAGATATTCAGGCAGGAAAGCACTCTATCCACGTTGCCTCATGGCCCTCAGGATGGATAATCAAGCACATTGACAGTCTCTGGTTCGGAAGCAATGGTATAAGAGGAGGAAGCATGAGTGGAAAACAAGGGGTGGGGGCGACCTAGATCGAGAGACACGAGGCCTCCATCTTGTAAGACAGGCAATTGAACACTTCCTAAATTATTGATACTCATTGATTGCTACTGATGAGTATGTTGTCAATGTGCGATGCTGGCTGGTTGAAAGGCGATGCGGGCAGCCGACCTTATCTGTAACTGCGTGAGCAGTGTCGGTCGGGGACTGTGATCAACGAGTGTATTGCTATCTGTTGTCGTGTTGTGTTGTGATGTGATGTTTGAAGACCTGACGTGTACGACCAAGGAAGAGTATCAGTCGAAACCAGGATACTTTAAAGTAAAGAACACTTGTCAACGAGCAGTATATGATTGTTAAGAGTACGTCTGTATTGATACCTGCTGCATCGACAAAAGAAGCATCGCAGAACTTTCAGAAGCCATCAACTCCATGTTCAGGTGGTATGAAGAATTGTCGCAGAATATATCATGCCTATTTACCAGCCAATTCAGGGGTGCTAATGTATGTACATTTTGCCTCTATTTTGGCTGCAACAAGAATCCAGTATCTGTTACGCTTTCCTTTCAGATGTGGGCACCGGTGAGGTTTTGTCTCCCAATAGCTGCTGGTTCAGTCGTGGCTGGACTCTACAGGAGCTGATAGCACCTGTGGAAGTTGTTTTTGTGAACAAGAATTGGCAGAATCTGGGCGACCGCGAGACGTAGGCTGATGAGATCACTACGGCTACGGATATCGATAGGCACATGCTTGTAAGAGAGCACGGGACGGCACAGCAGATGTTGTGTAGGTGTTCAGTCGCACAACGCATGAAATGGGCTTCAAACCGGGTTACTTCACGCGAAGAAGACATGGCGTATTGCCTCATGGGCTTATTTGATGTGAACATGCCGCTGCTTTATGGGGAAGGCAGAAAGGCATTCAGACGGCTTCAAGAAGCAATCATAAGCGAGTCGTCTGATCCCTCGATACTCGCATTTCGCACATCAAGAGCGGAACCTAACTATCAACTGTCATATTCCCCTATACTGGCGCCGACTGTACGCTGTTTTTACGATGATGTTCGACATGAGTGGTCGCAGTATCCTGGAAACATACGATTGGACAACGGGAACATCACATTGGTCGCATACATCGCGAAGCTGGAGACTACAAAGGATGGAGTCGTCAATCCCTTTGCACCGTCCCACATCGCATACCTCGATTGTTTCTTCGAAGAAGACTACCTGTCAAGACCTGGACTCCTTATCGGACAAGTCTGTCGTGGCAAATTCAGGAGGTGTTCTAGTTCACCAATATTGCTGAGAGCAACCAAAACAACATTGGGAGAACATATCGCCATTGCTTGCAGCAGAACACCGTTTGGAAGTAAGCCAAATGCACTTCCAGTGAGACGAATGGAGTGGAGTAATTTCCAACACTTTGACGCAGTCAAAACCTATGGTTCGGTCCAAAGAAGCGAAATAACAATCGAGACCGAGAGACGCCACAATCTTCTTGGATTCACTCCAGGCAGCCCAATCACACTTGACTTCTCCGCACTAAAGCACTATTGCGAGATCGGACCCTCACATCCAGCGCTGCAGGCTAGTGGCTGGTACTTGACGGCCTTCAACTTCGTTGGCGTCGTTACGCTCACGTATGAGAAGGAGCATTTCCTCGTGTTCTAGGGCAGCGACCCCGGGCCTTGGAGTTGCATCCAGACCCTTGCAAGTCTCAGATTCGTGAGTGACTTTGCAATTGACTTGGACGTGAGCGATGAGGATGCTACAGACGCTGTCGTACAATACATGAAGCAAAACGAGACCCGCGTACGTGATCTAACGGGGATATTCTCTACGTTTCCATCGATCTGGGGCCCTTTTGAGAAGCAGAGTTCGCCTCAATTCATAGTCGGCCTTGTTGACAGTCTTGAAATTAGACGTTCGTGCACTACTGTCGAGTTCATCGAGCGAAAGGTACCACGAATAGAGCTCACGGCGGGAGATCTTCCAAAGCAATGATCCGTATCATCACCCACGGCAAATAGAATGACTCAATAGATCTGTGCGCCGAGATCCTGATAGTTGCCCGCTTTCCTACCGCAGCACCTGTGGCAGAAGTTCGACCAAGTACCCATCCTATATCATCGTTAGCCTATCGATCCATCTTTTCAAACGCACCTACGGCAAAAGCCGAACTCACCGGATCCCTCACAAACCCTAGCTGCTTAAACAACCTTCCAAATCCCTCACTTAGTGCCCTCTCACTCGCGCCATTCTGTCTCTCCCACCTTGTAATTGGCACAACCTCATTTGGCCGCTCCCCCACGTCCTTCACAACCTGCACGTCACCTCTCAACCTATGCACTGTAGCTCCAACATCCAGTACCGTGAAACCGAGATGATTGAACCCTAGTCTCCCCTGATCTCCACTCTTAGTACAAATCTCAGCCTGTCCACTGCCCTCCTCAGCGCCGTCGTCCTCTTCTTTCGTGCGAAAGTGGACTAATTCCAGCAACCCAAGCGTGCTAGTTAGAACCTCGTGCTTGCTCGTTTCCGCCGCGTACGTCTTTGGATTCGCACGGTACGACGCTGTCTGCAGGTAGCCGAGGCAATATACAGTTATAGGACCGACGTTGCGGGTGAAGACAATTCGCATGCCCATGAGCGTTGTGTAGAAATGGAGGGTGCGCGTGGGATTAGAGATGCGCAGCATGAAGTGGTTGAGGCGGTAGCCATTCGTTGGGCTGGCATCGGACGAGGGCTGTGTGGACATTCTATTGTTCGTGGAGGAGTGCTTGCGGGCTGAACGGGCTTGAACTGCGCTGGTGTGTGGGAACTATATAGCATGTCGAGCCGTGATGTCGGGACCGCGTAGGGACCACTTGCGCCCACCTCCCGGTGCGTTTAACGAGGTACATCACAGCCTCTATGTACAGACATACGAATGAGAGGTAATAACAACGTGTTATCCAACTGCAAGCGCTTAGTAATTGCAGATGGGCTTGTTCTGTGCCGCCAGTCTGCTCTACACCTCTATTCTACAATACGAGCCCTCCCAAAGCAACGCTTCTCCAATTCCGCACTGGATGTGTATCTTCAAGCTCAACGCACCACCATAGAACTTCCTTTGCCTTTTCCATCTGCCCGCCCTCTTCGTATGCCCTTGCAAGTGCGTACCATGCCTCCGAGTAGTCCCACCCTGCTCCAAGCTTCGTGAGCGTGGACAGCAAGCTGAACGCGCGGTCGCGAGCAGCAAGACGGCTGAGCTCAGGTGGAGAGAGCTGGTTCTCGGCGGATGGGATGTGAGATGTGAGGTGGTGTTTCTTGGGCTCCGCTTCTGTCGCTATCCCAGATGACGGTGGAGCTTGTGCTGGCAACAGCGGAGTTATCTCTGTGGCTTTGGTGGGCTCCATGGGAATGTCCTGGCTGTAGATATCGAGCAGAACATTAGAGAGACCCACAATAGCCTGCGGGTGATCGGGAAAGTGAAGAAGTGCGCGCTCAAAATCAGCACGGGCCTCATGTTTCAGGGACTGGGCTACAAGTAGTTCACCGCGCTGGAGACATTAGCAGAAGATTCAGGATTCATGTCGTGACTGAACTTACAGCATTGTAGGCGTCTGCCCAGAGCCCCTCCACACTCTTCCCACCTCCCCAGCCTCTGTCGGCGAGTGCCTTGGCTGTGGAGAACTCAAGTGAGAGCTCATTTTCAAAAGTCTCTACCAGCTTCAGGGCTTCGGTAACGGCTTCTCTCGCATCCTCGAATACTTGAGCTCGGGCATACAAACCGGCTGTGAAGATCCAAATGTCAACCAGTAACGACACTTTCTGCCGTCGATCCTGGAGCTTAGAAAAGCGAGGGTCCGGCGGAATGTAGTTGGCATCGGGCAACGGAGTTGGAAGACGAGTATCCTGTCGAGGAGGCTGATGCACATGGCCTTGGGGAGGTGAAGCATGGGGCAGGTTGTGCGCTACAGGCCTGAGTGGTGTCTCGCTGCTTTCGATCGACTTCCTAGGTGAGCTCGCCGAGGACAACGGTCGTGGGGCGTTACTTCGCGTAAGAGTTCCATTTGATGCGCTCTCAGGAAGGGGCGGCACTTCTACTGACTGGCTGCTCCCTGCCACAGATCGTCGGCCGAGGCTAGTACTACGTTTCCTCAACTTGCTTGAGCTCCGGGCAACGTTCGACTGCCCATCTTCATGTTTATGGTGATGAATCAAGTGAGGAAAATGATGATGATGATGCCCGTTTGCTTGCGGTACCGATCTCTCGTCGGTGACTTGAATGGCAGGCGCTGGCAGCCCTGCTGCTGAGCTACGCGCAGATGTATCTTTCTGTGTCCTGATGGAGCCGCGACCACGGAAAATGCTTCCCTTCGTTGTGCCAGCGCTGCTTTTCGGTGGCGTCAGGGTCGCTGGGACTTCTAGGTTGACCTTCTCGGTAGCGGGCGAACCGAAAAGTCTACCATAGAGCGCAAGCAGCTCGTCACATCCGTCGACAGCAGCTACGGTACCATCAGTGACTTCGATGAGCGCCAGTTGGGTCATCTTGATTTGTAGAATGCCGCTCTTCTCGAAGTTGCCCATACGGTCGACAACGCCAGGTGTGCTGACGTTGTGTCCATTGGCGTCCTGCAAATGCTCACTGCGGCTCGTCCCGGCATCTGTTCCGAACAAAATTGTTGGATCTCCGAACTGCGCGAACGCTGCCTCGCAAGCCTTCTCCGCCGCGGTGTATTCGGAACGCGATGTTAGCAGTAGGGCAAGGAGGTGCCATAGGGGAATCAATTTTCGCTCACGGCCGAACTCAGTGGCTGATCCACTCGATAGGACGCCGTCTGTGCTGTAGGCGGCCTGTGTTTTCGTAGCAGAGGAAAGCGCACGTTTGGCTACCTTAATGGCTCCAGCAATGTCCCTTGTCTCTGCAAGCACGGCGGCTAGAGCGTACAGCGCATCAACATTGCTGGGATCCTCAAAAGTCGGCGAAAGTGACTTGCGTAAGAAATGGATGGCTTTGGCTTGTATGCCGGCTCGTGCATCCGCATCGTAAGTGAATTGCGCCCAATGCGCCTGTGCAACACCAATAGCACAGTATGCGATAGCCAGCGCTGTGGGCTCGACCAGTGCTCGTTTCGCTGGTACCTCGCTGGCACCAGTCGCTGGCTTGTTGTCCTCGTAGTGGTTCAGCCATGTCTCGAGGTTTCGCCCAATTTCAATAGCCTTCTCCGCTTCTTTGCGGCAACCAAAGCGACACAGCAGCCGTATCGCTTCAGCCGATGTTCGAAGAAAAGTGCTGTCGTCGTCGACCCCTTCGTCTGTCTCGCCCTCTTGCTCCGCTCGATCTTTGCCTCGTGTCACGATCTCGATGTACGAATCGTACGCCTTGAAAGCCAGTTCAAATTCGGCCAAAGATGCATGTACAATAAAAAGATAGCGCAAGATCTGCGTAGAGTGGTAGGTCTTGGTCGCGGCTCGATACAAAATCTGAGACGACGGATTAGCATCGTTGACAGGAATCGACATGTTATAGGAATACTCACATCGATGACACTGCGTCCAATTCCTTCTTTCCCGCCTTCGCCTAGGTCGCTGTCGGTCCATGACGCGCCGCAAAGTATGCGCCAGTTGCTAATGACGGATTCTACCCAGACTTCGATCTCGCGATTGCTTTCGCTTGCTTTGGGGAAGTGTGTCTCTTTGATCAGAAGATTCTCGTAAAAGGTCTCTACACGCTTCAATTCTGCCCGCTGTTGTAACCGCAAGGGAGTTCGATCATGAACTGCGGGCTTCTCGGTAGGTGCTTGTATTGTTCCTGCTTCGTAGGGTAGTTCGTGGCGGATGATGGTCGACAGTGTGTTGTAATACGATTTCCAGGCCAGACGATGGGACTGGGCGTGGCCTGCAGAGTCGAAGCCAGCGCTTCGTCCTCCCTCGGAAAATCTGGCCAACGCTCTGAAGGTTTGCAATGCATCAACGGGTCCAATGATGCCGCTGCTGCCTTCGCTCTGATCTGACAGCTGACACAATCGGCCGAGGAGGCTTTCTGTCCACATTCTGAATTGTGCTGACTCTCCGGTTTGCGATGACAGCCAGGGCAGGATAGAGGTGTAGGCCTTCACGGCGTCAGCAGTAGCGCCTATCCTTTCCTGAGCGGAGCCTGGATCGCGTCAGCCATGCGCCATGTACGTGGTGTGACTTATTCTACCCTTCAAGAAGGTTCCCTTGACCACACAGACTTTCGACCAGCCAGTGAGTGACGCTGCCTGCCCAGAGATACGAGCGGCAATTTTGTCGAGACTGTCGGGAAGGCGCGACACAGCCAACTCATGCTCATCCAAGACATAGTGCAGCCATCCCAAGCAGACACTGGCCTGGAAGGCCTCCTGCGACAGATCATCCTCTCCTTCGATGGCGCTGAGCAGTGTCGGGGCGGTCTGAGAGAAGCCGGAGGATGCCGTCGAGGCTGCGGTCGAGGGTCTCTGGTTGATATAGGTGGCTATCTGCGCTTCCGCGCGACCAGTGAGTGTGAGGCCTGTATGCGCCGTTAGCCTTCATGAAGCCGGCCGGGGTAGGGTCGCGGACATCGGCGGTGAGGAGCATGCTTCTCGACCTTTCTGCACAGCTCGGGCACGTCTTTCCATCGCCCGGCACAGCGGGCCTCGTCTAGTTGCTGGATGTAACCCACAGCCTTTGCGCTTTCGGTCTACGTCGCGGTCAGCTATTGAAGCCATGCGGAGGATGACGTTGCTGCAAGGAGCCCCAAGGAACGGTGCGTATTGGTGCAGACTGCAAGAACCTACCACCATGGTGTTAATGATATGTACGTCGCGCTATACGTGGTCGCAGATGACCCAGAATCATGTTCGAGGAGAAATGCAATCTCCAAAGAAGAGGGCCATGGCCGTACGCTCGTCACTGCGCGTCTGCACACTCCACGATCTTGGTGGCAGACCCCTGTCCGCTAATTCGCGCACGGACCTCTTTCTTCCAACGCTCGTGAACTTTTTCTGCCATCTGAGCTCTCCCCAACGCAGCATTGCCAATACTTTCTGGGTTTGAAAAGAAGAAGAGGAGGAGAATATACAGAACTATGGCCCCGATGACGACTGAGTTGGCAACTCTCCGAACGCTCAGCTTTCGCATCTCTTCTACCGCGACCGCACAACTTCCCCAGCATGTGCCTGCCATAGCTGCATCCTTGTCCAGTTGCAGGACCCTTCTGTCGTCGACCCAGACGTCCAACGCCAAATCATCCTCAGAAGCTTCAGTCGCAGTACATAAGTTCCGGACCTTGCTTTCAACCTTACTCCAAGATCGGACTACCCAGGGAAGATGGTCAGCTATTGTTCTGATCAAGGCCACTATCGAAGTTGGCGGCTGGGAGACGCTGCAAAAGAGCCTACCCTGGGTGCGCGGACTTTTGAGTGTCTTGTCGAAACCTGACCCACCAACCTCAAAGAAGCTGTGCATCATCACACTGACCCGCATTTTCATGCTTACACGAGAGTATCCGACCTTAATCCGCGAAATTACGACTCCGACGCTGCCAGCATTCGTACAGACGGGTTTGCAGATTGCTGGTTCAAGATCATCAGCTGGCCTTCTGCTCACTGTACTTCGGTGTTTCTATGAGTTGCTACCAAGGCATCCGACCATCTTCCGACCCCACCTCAAGACGCTCCGACCGCTGCTGTGCCGCCTAGTCGCACCTACTCCCTCCTCTGGACTGTCAGCAGATCAACCCCAAGATGCTGTCTCGTCCGAGATCTCGGACGCTGCACGCAGATTGCTTGTTCAGATGCCATGCTGTGCGCCTAAGGGTGCGTTCAATGAAGAATGGGAGAACGCGCTGCGAACCACAGTCGGTGGCGTGCATCGCGTCGCTGATCGGGTCTTCCGTGCAGTCCTCGAGGATTGGCAGTCTACAGTGCGAGAGACTCCTGCTAACAGTCACACTTTGGATGGCGAGGTCCAGGACCTTGAGGACGACTACCTATCTCTACCACCTTGGTCCGGAATCTTTGCCGGTAGCGAGAGACTTATTGGTCTTATTCAGCTTGTCAAGCAATACCTCGGAAGCCCAACGGCGAATGCTGTTACCTTCAAAGTTGGAGTTATTATGGATCTGATCACTCGAATGCTGTCACTCACAGTTCCTGCGTCTGGGTCAAAGTCCTTCCAGAACACCGTAAGGATCAACAGCCAAGTCAGCAAGGAGGAACGGGAAAACCTCTGGCTGGTACTGCCTGCTGTTCACGTCGCCGCGGTCGAGCTCCTCCTAGCCATGGCGAACCGACTGCAGGCGAGCACACTCGCTATCGATACTTTAGTCCTCGACCAGCTCGTGTGGGTGTTCGGCTCCGAGAAGGACAACGCGCAGGTGCGGACAGCTTGCTACCGAGCCATTGCAGCCCTCCTCGAGCGATCAGGCGTGACCTTACCCAAACCATCCATTGACTCGCTTGTCCCACTTATCCGTACTTGTTGTGAGGATCTTCTGCCTTCTGAGACCAGTCCTACTGTTGTGAAGGACACCCCAGGACAGGCCAAGTCGAAGGGCAACAGCCAGCCTCAGACTTCTGCAAATGCAGACTCCTTCCTGGGTTCGAAGTCTGTGAGTGATCCCACTGCCAGGTTCTTGGGCCTGGAAGACGCTGCGCACGATCTGCTGCCGGTACTACTTTCAGATGTACGCGCGCAATACTTTTCCGACTCCTTGAGGGCGCGCCTCGACCGCACTGCTGTGCTCATCCAACACAAGGATGCCATGTTAGCAAGTGTACTCAATCCGCCGCCGAGCAAGAAATTTGGCAAACCGGCAGCCAGTATACTACCTCTCATTGCTCGGTCATTCCAAGGAGATCGCGACATTGAGGGTATGACGAGGCCCCGAATGCCGGTTATTCGTCTCGGCACTCAGGATGCCGAGCTGGACGATGAACCTGAGGAAGAAGATGAAGTGGAGGCGGAAGGAGACAAAGATACCGATGACGAAGCTCAGGCTAACGAGTCTTTCGTGGGCCAGGAACTCGACACAATGCTCAAGACGGCAGGAGAAACAGACGTAGTCATGCGAGACTTCTCTAGGAATGTAGCTGCTGAGCCTTCTGTACCGACAGCGGTGGAGGAGCAAGGGCCGTCTGAGGCACCCAGCAAACGATCCCACACTGGCGAGACCCCTCTTTCCCCTGCGAAGCGGGTGCGATTTGACGAAGCAAAGTGGGCGGCAGTGCCGGCCATGCCACCAGCTGTCAACGCATCTGTTCAACCGGTAGAGGAACCAAGGAATACCGAGCTACCCGTGATATCGGACTTTACTGTCAGCTCCACCGCTTCTGCAATCCCCGATTTGCCAATGCCAGGCGAAGGCGGTGACGACAGTGAGGACGACGACGACGACGATGTTGTGCCACTGGTATTCGGGCAAGACAGTGACGATGACTCTGAGTGATTTCTGGGGTGTCGCAAACAATTCGTAGGGGACAACGTTGTTTCTCTGGTTCAACAAATGTCAACTATAGTTCGCAGCGAATGCACGGACCGTCTATCAATAAAGCAACAATTGCTCACAAGTTGACCTTAGAATTGCGCAAACTTTTCCACACACTTTCAAAGCCGTATTCTACACTCGAAAGTCTAGCAGATACCCCAATGGCGTCTCGACACTTGTTGAAGAACTCTCGCACAGCCTTCAGCTCCCGCCATTCACCATACCCAACGAACACCCCAGTCGCAACACATTTGCAAGCCAGCAGCTCACGCACTGCTTTCACGCCAAATTCTCCAGAGCAGGTTGTACCCGTACAGCCCGTTGTGCTCCGCTACGAAAAATACCAGGACGACATGCCCGTCAAGTCAACAGAAGCCCAGGAGCAAGGCTTCACCGGCATGCGCCACTACGCCTTCATGTACAAGCAAAAGAAACTCGACTTAAAACCGTCGCTCGACCACATCGACTACCGCGATTACGATGCAGATCTCACAGACTCTGACGCACACTTCGGAACGGACACAGAAGCACCGACCTTCACAGGCCCACCCAAACCACCACTAGACATGGCAGCCTACACTCAGCCAGTTTACGCCGGCACGACTCACAATCCCACCGTCTTTTTAGCGATCCTGCACATCGCGCAGCGCAACCTTCCGGGCATGGACTTCGTCAGCGCATTAAACCACATCCCCAACATCCGACCTGCGGACCAGCTCCCCGTCTTAATCCCCACTGCATCAGGCAATCTCGCACCCGCCCCGTTCCTTGACTCGCGGCCTCCATACAAGAGACCAGGTGACGACGATATCAATGTCGCCTTCCTGCCGTACTTCTACGGTGAAAGGCATGGCATTGCGTATTGGCAATATATCAAGGACTTCAAGCGTGGTATTGCCCTAGGCAGCGCGTGCGTCACACCTTGCAGCGAAGATGATCTGAGGCATTACGGGCTGGTGGATTACATCGCCGCTGAAGATCTGGCTGGCTTTATCAAGCAAGATGGGGGCAGCGTGCGAGGCGTGGATATGATGAGAGTAGTCGGGATTGAGGATGGAAATTGGATGCAGAGGGATGTGGTGGAAGATTGGACGGACTGGAGGGCAACGTTTAGGACGTGTGCTGTTCATTGGGAGAGCAGGATGAGGTTGATGAGGGGCGAGCATGAACGGTGATGACAATGTCCGTGTGGGCGATGCAATGACGATTGGTAGACTGGCGGGCTAGAGCGCGTCGCTAGATCATAAGGAAATCCTCCGGTATCACCTACTGGTCCCAAGAGTTGTTGTTGTGTACCATTGTCGTGAACATGATATAGTCTGACGACCGCGGGGGGAACTATCCGCGTTGCAGAAGCAAATTTGAAGTTAGCTTTGTCGCAGGGCAAAAGGCCTCCACACTCGACAGGGCAAGTTTCTGCACATCGCGCCATAAAAGAGTCGAGCGGACCGTCTTCTCATTTTCTCAATCTCTCAGAAGAACTCCCCTTCACCACCTACGGGTACTCGCTCAAGACTAGTTGCTACCCCTGATTCATCGGGCGTACAACCTGTACTTCGAGGATCCCAGCGTAGTCCATTTCGAGCTACCATTTGTCGTGACGTTGCGCCCAAATTCCCGTTTGTACTCGCTTGGCGCATTCTCCTTCACCGTAAGCTCCTCGTCACCCCGTGGGGCACGTCTTCAGCTAACTCCACCCCTGCCTCCTTGCTGGAACTACAACTCAATCTGTAGACACACTCAGCCATCTCGAACATGGGAAAGGAAGAGGGCAGAAGCCGCAAATTGTGGACAACCAAGACTGGATCTCCAACTGGCTGCGAGATGCAGATCATCGAGAGTACGACAAGGGAGTGAGCGAGCTGGGCGAGGCGCAGACCTTCGATTCAATCAACTCCACAACCCCACTGAGACAACCCCCACTTTCAGCGTACTATGAAGAAGTATCACCTACCAATACCAGCTTCTCAGATGGCTCGATCTTCGACACACCAACATCTCCCGGCGACACGGATGGATCGAAGACGTTTTCTGCAACGATATCCGGATGCAGGCCTCAGCGACGATCAGGAAGGATACATTGACGGTGAGAAGGAGAGAATCTTGTCGATTGCTTGTCGACAGCCACGACTCCGACATTGACAGCCTCGCATCGTACGATCCACAAAATGAAGTCGCCAACGACCTTAACGACACACCATGCATTCCAGTACTTACCTCATGCACTCAGTGAATACACGCAGACCTTCCCTGCTCGAGAAGAGCCCCTGCTTACTCGCGGCGCCGGCGCCAAGGTCAGGCAGCGCTTTGTCTCCTGCATCGCCGCCCATTTCCCGAGGAGATACTCAAGTCTGATACGTCATGGTCCACGACACTCGTAATGGAAGACGAAGGCGAGAAGATATGGAAGAAGAAGCTGGACTTGGCTGATGAGGTATGTCTCATGGAACTGCGTTACAAAAGAAACAGGAAACTGACCAGTCTCCAGTTCTAGAGACTGCACGATGCAGCACAACATCAGAAGAACTGGGTGCTTCCCTCAGTTGAGAGTCCAAGAGGGTACTTTCGGAGTCACCGCATACGGACAGAGACAATGTACCCTGGTGAAGGTAGAAGTGAACGCAAGGACAGGTTCAGCTACCAGGTGCTCTGTGTGGCGATCGATACCTGGGGTTGGAAAGACAGTACATTGAGAAGAGGGGGAAGCACTGCCATAACACAATAACCGCATATGGAGTCTCGTGTTGGTACCACGAGTGACGCCTGGCGTGAAGGTGGGTAGGAAATCGACTGCTGGCAAGCACCGTCGATCAGGAGTCCTGAACAACAAACGGGTGATGACGTCGCAGCGGATTCTCGACCGCAAGGCTTGAATATCATATGATGGTGGCAGGGAGATGTCATCGGCGTTGATTTTCAGGATTTCAGGACTCAGCTGTGTGGATGCCCCAAGCATCGTATTTGAAGTATCGTGTTGGACAGCCGCAATTCATGGTATACGAGATCTTAGTACAACGTCTTGAGGGTGTATTTCGCGATTGTATCCAGGCTTCTGCAGACAAATCACTTAACTAGAGAGGTCATTGGTGATGGTCGTTAGTTGAGGTCTAAGCGGTGCAGTTAGCGCGCTGCAGCGCCAAGCCGAGATGACGAACTCGGCGTCCAGGCTCGACCATGGCGGCGGTGCATTGCAGACGTTCACATTCAACATCAACCATCCTCCACCCCGTCTCCATCGCTCGCGATCCCGCATTTCGATCGCCTACACGCATCTCCGTCGGACCTTCTCCCGGGAAACCTCCCCTCACTACGTGCACTCGAAGCGCCGCCGCCGATAAGCTTCCCGCCTCCGCGCAGCTCCAGAGCTCAAACCGCCCACCATGGTCAAGCCCGTCGTGTCTGCCATGAACGCATGGACATGCGTTGTGCTATCCGTGTTCGCCATTGTCATTCTTTCCACCATTGGAGCACTTTTCAAGTCGGGTAGTCACACAGTGCTGGGTGGGATAGAGGATCCTGAGGATGGCAATGCTGTTGCTGGCGCAGTCTTTGGAGCTGTGTTCATCTACATTGTATGTCAGAGTTTGGACTTCAAGGGGTGTGTGCAGATGCTAAATGTTCGCAGGGCTTCCTCATTTTCTGCGGCTTCCAGGGCTTCCTTCACATCCGTGAAAGCCGTCGCGGCGCGATAAGCCTGTCCTAATCGCCATAAAAGACTCATCATTTCACACTGTCTGGGAGTGATGAGGTACATCGAATCAATCTTGACGGGCGACGATGAATGCCAGTCTTTGGCGCAGTGAACTAGTTGCACGAACGACTTGCAAGAACTAGATGTTTTGCTTTCCACAACACAGCATACGGCGTTGAACGGGATGGTTTGAATGATACTGGGTTTCAGGTGCATGTACAGTCTACGAGACGCTGTCAATAAACCAACTTGACACTACAAATGCCTTGCTGCCATGGACTGCGCTAAAGGTCAAAGAATTCATGATTGCAAGTTTTCGAAACTTCACTGCAGACAGGAGTGAGGTCCAACGATGGCATTCCACGACTAAGTAGTCTCGTCGGCATCGATTGTTGTCATACGCAAGCACGATGTTACTCTCATCGTCACGGTGAGCACCGGGTTGCGCCTTAGCGCAGGTGATGTGAACAGGGTGCCCTTTCAGGCGTCATGTGCCGGAATCGGCAAGTGAACAATGGCGCACGTTCCGAATGATTCACAAGATCTCCAAATAAAGATGCAACAATGCCGAGCATCAGAAGCTGAGACGGTCGAAACACGAGTCAACGGCGTTCTACAGCAGAAGCGCCGACGCAGATTCCTATCTGCGCTTGTTGGGCGGTGAACGCGTGAGGAGCACCCGGCCGACCTGGACTTAGTGAACCCTGACTTCCCCGAATGCGCTCGGTCACCCAGCGTTGACCACGCCTCTTACTACCGTGGTGTTCCATACCTCTCTCACTGCACTAAATCACTCTTCTCCCTTTCTCCACCACTCGCCCGCACCTCTTCACCGATTTGTGACCTCTCGGCCGCCACATAAATTACCGGTTTACTACTACCGTTGCTCTACCCTTCCTGCCCGCAACACGAAGACTAGAGCACCGGTTACTCGAACGCCGAAAGAAAGGACACCATGGCAGACGCAGCGCAGCGCGTTCTGATGAACGAGTTCAAGGCTCTCAGCAAAGAGACATGGACTAACATCGAGGTATGCTACTTCAGCATCTCCATGTCGATCATGAAGTGGCGGCCACCAAGAAGCAGTGACTGACTCACCTACAGCTGATGAACGACAACGTCTTCGAGTGGAGCGTAGCACTCATTGTGCTGAACCAGGATTCAGTCTACTACGGCGGATACTTCAAGGCCAAAATGAACTTCCCCCGCAACTATCCTCATTCTCCACCAGGTACGTCACTGCAGCACCCTGGACCAGACATGACAAGAAAGACTCTCCATGAACAAGCACTAATGCCCCAACAGACTTCAAGTTCATCCGACCGCTCTACCACCCCAACATCTACCCCGACGGCCGCCTCTGCATCTCCATCCTCCACCCACCCGGCGACGACGAGATGTCAGGCGAGCTCGCGGCCGAGCGTTGGTCACCCGTTCAGCGCGCCGAGACAGTCCTCCTCTCCATCCTCTCTCTCCTCGACGACGCCGAGACATCCTCGCCCGCCAACGTCGACGCCGGGGTCATGCTGCGCAACAAGCCCGAGGAGTACAAGGCGATGGTCAAGAAGGACACGGAGGCCTCGAAAGCGGATATCCCGGCAGGCTTTGTCATGCCTACACATGAGTCTGCCTGGAGGCGCAAGGAAGAGGAGGGTGACTTTGAGATGAGTTGGGAGGACAGCGATGTCGAGAGCTTTGGCGGCAGTGAGAGCGACTTTGACGAGGAGATAGATTCGGACTTCGAGGGCGAGGAGGATGAGGACGAGGACGACAAGTGAGGCTGCTCGCTGCCTCGGTCTCCCCTCTTTCCTACCGTTCCCAGTCTTTCCATCTCATGACATGATTTCCAACAGCGCGGCGTCGGGTTCTGGGTGTGTTTCACAAGGCTGGGGGGAGTCAGACGTGCGTTTGTTTCGGGACACGGCGTTATTTTGCATTGCATTGGGAGGCGTTCAGGGGCCTGTGCACCTCTTCTATATCTCCAGGACATCACATTTAGAAGATACTCGATCTATATTTATGTTGTGGCAGGAAAGCCAGCAATGTATGATTTACTTGAACCTCCTGAGCTCTCTTTCCCCAGTCATGAACGAGATGAACGGTGAACGATGAACGAAAGAAATCTGCACAGCTATTCAGTGGTGAGATAGAAAGCTCGAAACTCCAGCAAATTGTCTCGCTATCGTAATGCGCGCCCAAATCGTGATAAGGTCATGCGCCAGTATATGTGCCTTACAAGACTGCTATATCTACGCGATGTGCAGTTCAGACTGCGTCTTTTGTGAAGAGGAAGAAGCACACCTCCAGAAGCTGTAGCGGCCGTTATCCAACTCGTGACTGAGCCTCGTCCTCGTCTATGCACAGAAGCCGTGTCCCTGGCCTCCCTGACCCTCGAAAGCCTTCAGAGTCTGGGCCTTCCCCTCACTTCCCCGCTCAGCTTCGCTGCGCTCCACCTCTCCCGCCCCACCTCGCTCGCTCGTACGCTGAACGCGTACGCTATCGCAGACAAGTATCGATGGAAAATATATGGAAAGGGTATCGATCAAGATGTGCAAGGCCTAGAAAAGATAAATACGTTGCGTTGCCTGTCCCCTCGTGCGACCATCGGCTTTTGCACTTAGTGGCTGCCGTTCTTCCTGAAGTTGAGCAGCTGGCTGAGGCTGTTGAGGCTGCATCCGCTCTTGAGGAAGTCGTGGCTCATGAGCTCCGACGCGCTGGCGCGGCTCTTGACGTCGACGCAAAGACAGACGGACAGGAAGGCTTTGAGTTCTTTGGACAGCTTATCGGGCTTCTTCAGGCGGGGCGTGCCGTTTGTGGCGATGAGGTAGAGAGCCTTTAGGGGCTCCTCGTTGAGGTACGGCGGCTCGGATTCGATCATTTCGATGGCCATGATGCCCAGTGACCAGATGTCGACTTTGTTGCCGTACTCCTTTTGCTTGACGACTTCGGGCGCCATCCAATAGGGTGTACCGACCATTGTCGCGCGCTTGGATCGTTGTTCGGTAAGCTTTGCGCAGAAACCGAAATCAGCTGCGGGGTCGTTAGTCTCAATCAAAGATGAACAACAGACTGCTAAACTTACTGATCTTGACATTACCACGTCCATCGAGCAGAACATTGTCACTCTTGATATCTCGGTGGATGATGTTCTGGTTGTGCAGGTGCTCCAGACCCTTGCAAGTCTATGGCAAAGTTAGCTAGAGCTCGAATCTGTGTCTGCGCATTCCTTACCTCGAAACAGATGGTGGCGATTTGGTCCTCGGTGATAGTCGGATTGTTGTCAATGACATCAGTCAAAGCACCACCCTCCATGAACTCCATGACTACCCAGAGCTCTGACTGCTCTTCTTGCAGGAAAGCATCGAGGAAGTTGACGATGTTGGGGTGCTTGCTGTCCTTCATGACAATGATCTCGTTGACAATCAGCTCTTTGCGAGGCTGGTTGCGGAGGTCCATCTGCTTGATAGCGACCTGAGCTCGCGGTCCGTTCTCTTGAAGGATGCGGCGTGCCATAGCCGAGGTGGCGCCTTCGCGAATGCGGGCGACGTAGACAGAACCACTGGCACCCTGACCAATCTTCTTCTGCTTGTTGTAAGACTCCAGAGGCTTGTCTTTGGAAACAACTTCTCGTAGCTTTGCCATAACTTCGGTCTCTGACATGCTCGACATTCGGACGTCCTTTCGCGGCGTTTCTTCCTTGGGCTTTGCGGTGAGCGCTGCCTCGGCCTTCTTGACAGCATCGCTGGCAGGTGCTCCAGTAGGCTTTGCGACATTGAGTGGCTTCGGTGCTGCAGATGAGCCCTGGTACTGCTTCTGTTGCTGCGGCTGGGCGCGAACTTGAGGAACTTGGTTCTGCGAGCCAGAGTAGCTCGAGTTTGGCTGGACCGGTGGGCGTTGCTGCGAGGTTGGAATCTTGGACTGAGGCGACGCGCCGTATCCAGAACCATTCTGCTGCTGTCGCGGCGCAGAAGGAGCCGGACGCTGCGCTGCCATCTGGCGAAGTGAGCCAGGCGCTTGAGCTGCTGGGGCCTTTTGCGATCCAGGAGTCGAAGGAGCTGGGCGAGAAGGGTTATAGCGCGACGTGCTCGAGGGGCTCGGATCTCGTTCATCGTAGCTACCTCCCCCAAACTCTTGCTGGGCCATTGGAAGCTTCTTCTGTGGTATAGAGGCATTGTATGCGGCCAGTTCCTCGCGCTCTCGCCTTTCTTGCTCTTGTCTTTGCCTCTCCCGCTCACGCTCGCGCTGCATTCGGACCTGGTCCTCTTGTCTACGTCGTTCTTGATCGTAGCGGTCTGCCGAAGAAGCGCTGTTTTGCTGAGGAGCCGAATACCCACCATTGGGCGGTGTGTTCTGCCGCGAACCCGTGCTGTAGCTGTCCTTGCGCTGATACTGAGCCGGGGGTGCGGGGCGAGGAGGTGCGACCGAGTTGCCACCGGCGCCATAGCCAAGCTGCTTCTCTGAACCAGTGTTGACGCCAGGGGTAGGAGTGAGGCTCGAGTACTGATGAGGGTCGTCGGCGCGCTTGACGAGCTTCTCTGTGTAAAATTCGAGGACTTCGAGCACGGCCTTGGGGTTCTTTGCATAGTCATCCTTGGTCAGTGCAGACGCTGTCAGGAGCTTCTCCCATTCTACAGGCAAGCCGACGAATGCGCCGCTGGTTGGGTCGAAACCAACATGTACTCTGTGTGTGAAGTTTGTGGGGTTACTGACACCGCCCATGCTGGGGCAGCGCTGGTATATGCTGTCGATCCAGGAATAGACGTCGTCATCTGTTTCGACTTTGCATGTGATGATCTTTGTTGGTCCGTCGCGAGGTGGTGACGAGCCTTTGCTGGGGTTGAGCGACCGTGTGATCTCGAACGAGAGCGGCTGTGTGTCAGACCTCTCGACGCCGAGGATGTCGCGTAATTGGATGGTGTTGGAGACCTTGGAGGCGTTTGCGCTCTTGAAGAAGTTCAACTCGAATTCCTTTAGGACCAGCCACCGATCCGCCCACACAAACGACTTGAAGAGGCCCTCGTCCTTGACCTTGACCATGCCCTCCTTGACCACGCCCGACGATGAGGCGCTCCTCTCCGTTTGTGTGCGGGACAACGATATCGATGAGCTGTGGCCGTAAGCGGGCGACTGCATGCTCAGGCCAGCCATGTTTCCGGGCAGTGTGTTGCTGGTGTTGGGTGTGAGGGCCAGGCGGGGACGATCTGTCGGTGGTCGTGGCGCCGGACGGGCGTCCATGAACTGGTTGTTTGAGTACATGCTACAGGAGGGTCAGAAGGGGCGACTGGTGTTGGTCGTGAGGAATGGAGAAACGTGTTTCATTGTGGGCGAGACAGTCTGAGGTTGCTTACTTGGGAACACGATGCGCGCTGTCAACAGCAGGAAGCGTGGGAGCAAAACAACAGCGAACGGCGGTGAATGGCGGGGTTCAGCAAGGCTGCCAACACGCAGAGTGGGCAGGCGGGGCGTGGTGCAGCGGCAGAAATGCTCGACACTGCTCTGCCTGCTTGAAATGTTCAGAGTCCTCGGCGGCCGTGGAGTCGCGGTGCGTTGGCAGTAGTCGGGAGTCCTCGCAGGCGGTGTCCGTCGGGCTGCACTGCGCCGTTCGAGCGTCCTGGCCTGCTGTGAGCGGGGGGTGCGTGGAGGTCGATGTCACGCCGAAATTGGGGCTCAGCGCTGCATCTGTGTGTGGCAGGAAGCAAGGAAGGAGACGGGAGCTGTGGGCGCGCCGTGAGCGTCTTCGCGCGGCAGCGAAGCGGTTGGAGTCGTGACCTGGTGGAGCCCCGTCTGCTGTCTGCCAGGGTTAGCAGCAGCTTAGCAGCGTCGAGGGTCAAGCGCTAAAGCGGCAGAAGGAGATGCTGACTCTCGACGCGCTCGTCCAGCCAATCGACGGGCAGTCTGCAAGTGTTCGCCCACGGAGGACCGGGGTGGGATCGCCACGGAATTGCGGGCTGCGCTGCAACCTGCAACCTGCAACCTGCCCAAGAATCGCGTAAAGCGTGCGCGAGAAATATTCCGGATCGCTGGGTGCTGGCAATTGCGGCGTCTTGACGGCGACGAGCAGCTCTCAGCGATAGGCCGGCTGCGCGTCCGCAACACGATCGCCGGAGCGTTTCAGGGCTGCAGTCTGTCGAGCCAAGCGTGCCTATGAAACGCTTCTAGGGTCTCACAGACAAACCTTCCATTGCCGCCACCACATCACAAATAGAAGGTTCTCCTGAACACTTATTTCCACCCCGCAGCTGTTTGGCCAGGAGTAGACTACTACGTACGTGCAATGTCAGACGTGGTTTTTATTGCAGCATATCTGCATATTGCAGTTTGTTTTGCTCGTGCTTCCTGGCTGCGACCGTCAACTCTTACAACACTGCGACATTTCGTTTCATACCTCCGCCCAGCCACCATCTCTGCATCCGACATTTGACTCCGCTGTTTGAGTCGAGGTATGGTGCTCACCAAGAGCAGCTGCGTTCAATATATACGCTGAGCCTGCGGTGACATACTTGAAGCTACCTGGATTGCACTGGGTGAAGCCAAGGACGGAGCATCTGCTGAGTGCAGGGACAAGAGACTCTCCAGGCAAAGCAAGCCTGCATTTAATCTATCTGGCGACAGCATCCACATTTGATTCACGTTTGTGGCATCCGCTCTAGTGACAGTGCAGGCTAGCCAACGCCCCAGACCCCAAGCACGTCTCTGCCAGCACCTTCTTGCCGCTTGTCCTTCCGCTCCTGAAGTTTTCTAACCCTTCTCACTAACAGACCGACACCGAGCGGCCCTACGATGGTGCACAGCACAATGGCCCAGGTGACGACAAGGAAAATATCCGATGGCTCGTTAGAGGTAACACTCGATGGTGAGAAAATACCGTTCGACTCGGCCACTCCAGATACCAAGAAACCAATTTCTCCACGAGCACACATTGCCAATGCGAGGATGAGAGGCGGGTACGTAGAAAGGGGCTTCGGTGGGTTTGGTATTTTTCTTCGTCCGTCACTAGAGGTCGGCGGTAGAGGTGCAGCAGCGGCGTCGTTGGTGGGTGGTTCAGGAGCTGTGCTGTTGGATGCCCGACTCGTTGGAGCATCTGATCTGGTCTTTCCCAAGAGGTGAGGCATGGCTGGAAGCTTCAATTCCTTCAATAGTCGACGGATAATCGCAAAAGGAGCAACTGACAGTCTGACAAGCCACAGACCGCAGACCACTTTTGCGAACGTCATGAGGATTGTGTAGACGACACCTCGCCAAACGATTGCTCCGCGGAACATGCGAGTGATTGGGATCGAGAATCCAATGGACGCGAAGAAGAAGGGCTGCAGTATCTTTGACACTGCTTGGGCATAATACTTTTCGTAGATGACCGTGCCGAACAAGCTGTCGGTCTCTAGAGTGGTCTCCTCTGGTGACGTAGGGATAGCTACATCCTTTCGTTTGCTGGGTCCAGCAGCTTCATCTGGGTAGGTATCGCTAGAGCTCGTGGCGGCACTCACCTTTTCGATGGTGAGAGCTGGCCCTGCTTTTGCCTTGACATCATGAGGTACTTCAGAATCCCACCAGCTGATCGTAGCACCGGCAATATATGCTGCAAACAAATTAGACGTCCCAGCATAAGTAGTGGCAGTGATGAGGGCGATGAGAAGCGCTGTGTGGAACGTGAGGGCAGCATGCGTTTGGCATAGAAGCTTGTTAAGTGCTGATGTGGGATGGGACTCGCGGTACCGGTTGAGCTTCAGGGTAACAGGCTTGAGAACATACAAGCATGCCAAAGGCACTGTAACAGCAAAGGCGACCGATACCAAGACAGGGCGAACGACGGTGATAGTGTCAAAGCTCTCACCTCCAAGGTTGGAGATCACTTGGACCATAACCAAGCCAACGATGTCGTCCATCATAGCTGCACTGGTAAGGACAACACCAAGACGAGAGGACGAGAGGCCGCTAGAGCCTAGCACAGTAAAAGTGGTTCCTAAGCTGGTTGAGCACAAAGCAGCACCTGCCGCAAAAGCCTGTGCTGGAGTGGCATCGAGGAGGCCTTGAAGGGTGTACGATAGGCCGATGGGGACGCAGATGCCAGTGAGAGCCACTCCAGACGAGAGAAGCAAGTTGGCTTTCAAGGACTGAAAGGATGTGTGCAGGCCGCCTGAGAAAGTCAGCTTTCAACGACTGGAGTGTCGATCTTGACGTACCCTCATATACCAGCAAGATCAAGCCAAGATAGCCCAGTTGGATAATGACTTCCTCAACTTCGATTGACAGCCATTTGCCACCTGGCGTCCCCCAAGCAATGCCAATCAAGACCTGACCTAGCAGTCCGCAATACAGAACCTTGTCGAGTGCAGCATTGGCGACATTGAGCAGTAACAGAAAGGATACAAGGATCAATATGGTATGAATACCAGGTTCGTGATAGGGTAGAGAAGCGGCGTTCTCAGACGCGATGCCCGCGGCCATTGATGCGCGAGAGCAGGCAAGGGCGAATAGGCAGCCAGTGCGGGTGGCTGCTTCTTTATGCGCCCCACACGACAGGCTGCTCTGGCTGGTGAGCGGTGAATCAAATGCGACAGCTTTCCGTGCAAATTGGATGTGCAATCGGCTTTCGATGCTCTCAACGGTGACTGGCGAAGATTTTGATAAAGTCCACTGACGTGCCAGCGGCTGACAGCAGAGGCAAGCCACATAGCTTCGTCGTTTGTCGATCCCTTGGAAGGGTTCAGGGGACGTCCCCGCGCAACAGCCGAAGTTCGCGCCCTCCGCGCATTGTTTGGGTACCAACACAACCACGCAGCAAGCCGCAACAGCACTCGAGGCTGCATCGCAAGCTGATTTGGATACTCGCACCGCTATTACTACCGATAAGCGCACTGGATAAGGTGCCTCCTCATGCACAGCATCCGCCATGGCTCCTCTTGAGCAGCAATGGGTCAAGGTCCAGCAGAAGACCTTCACCAAGTGGTGCGCAGCCCCGCAGTCACGTTGATGGGTCGTGGCCCTGAGGCCATGTGCTGACCAGACAACGCAGGTTGAACAGCAAAGTAAAGATCCGCGAAGTTGAGGTCGAGGACCTCATCACAGACTTATCTGACGGCGTGCGTGCCCCTCCCTGTCTCCCCTCCACACGACTGCCTCCTAACACCCATGCGTAGATCAACCTCATCCACCTCCTCGAGGTCCTCAGTAACGAATCGCTTGGCCGCTATGCCTCTCGGCCGAAGCTGCGCGTGCAGAAATTCGAGAATGTCAACAAGTCACTCGACTACATCCGCAGTCGCGGCATTCAGATGACCAACATTGGTGCTGAAGACGTGGTGGACGGCAACAGCAAGATCATCCTTGGTCTGATCTGGACCCTGATTCTGCGATTCACAATCAGCGACATCAACGAAGAGGGTCTGAGTGCCAAAGAAGGTCTCCTACTATGGTGTCAGCGCAAGACAGCATGCTACGACGAGGTCGAAGTACGCGACTTCTCCTCCAGCTGGAACGACGGACTGGCCTTCTGCGCCCTCCTGGATATCCACCGCCCCGACTTGATCGATTACGACAGTCTCGACAAGAGCGACCACCGCGGCAACATGCAGCTTGCCTTTGACATTGCTTCCAAGGAGATTGGCATTCCAGATCTGCTCGATGTAGAGGACGTTTGCGATGTAGCGAAGCCTGACGAGCGCTCCCTGATGACGTACATCGCCTACTGGTTCCATGCTTTCTCGCAGATGGAGCGTGTCGAGAATGCCGGTCGCCGAGTGGAGAAGTTCGTACAGAATATGCAGGGCGCATGGCAGATGCAAAACGACTTCGAAGAGCGTATGCGCAAACTTCTCGCCGCGATCGCCGCACAACGAACACAATGGGAGGAAGCCAAGTTCGACGGGACCTACACCGACGCCAGGAGTCAGTCGACCGAGTTCACGGCTTGGAAGCGTAAAAGCAAGCGCAATTGGGTAGCGGAGAAGTCAGACCTGGCTGGACTGTTAGGAAACATCAAAACAAAGCTGGCAACTTACCGCTTACGGCCATACGATCCTCCAGCGGAGCTGAGCTTGGAGACGTTGGATACAGCATGGGCAGGGTTGATGAAAGCAGAGCGTGACCGCTCGCAAGTCATCAATGAAACGATCCGTGACATCAAGAACGCTCTTCGCAAGTCGTTTGCAGACAAAGCGAATGACTTCGCCCTCGCACTGAACACACTTGGAACCTCAATATCAGCTCTTGAGGGTGAAGTTGAAGACCAACTGGAGCACACTAAGGAGATCAGCAAGTCCCTAGCGCCACTCGACGAGTACTTGAATATCATTGCATCGATCGACGAGCAATGTGCTGAAGCAAACATCGAGGAGAATGACTTCACAACATACACATACGACGAGCTTGAATACGAGTTGAGCCTGGTGCGCAACTCGGTTTCAAAGAAGCTTGCCTTTCTGGAGAACCAGATGGTCGCTCGTAACATGACGAATCTGACCCCGATACAACTTGAAGAGTTCGAGTCTGTGTTTAGACACTTCGATCGCGATTTGTCGAATTCATTGGCTGAGCTGGAGTTCTCGGCAGCTCTGGCCAGTTTGGGGCTTGTATACGATGACGAGGAGATGCATCAAAAATTTCGCGAAACGAGTGGCGGCCGCGACTATGTTACTTTCGAGCAATTCATTCGCTTCATGGTCGACGAGACAGAAGACCAAAATACAGCAGAGCAGGTCTTCGAGTCTTTCAAGGAGGTCGCCGACGGCAAGGTACATCCATTAAGTTCTTTCCTTGTGCTGATGAGATACTGACACGACACAGCCATACGTTACTGAACTCGACCTCCGCCACTCTCTCGTTCCCGACGAAGTTATTGACGACCTTATCTCCACTATGCCCGAGCACAAAGGCCCGGATATGCAGGAGGACCGCGATCTTCCCAAGTACGACTACATCACCTACATGGAGCGATACATGAATGCGAAGCGGGAACAAGAGCAGCAGCAACAACAGGTGAACGGCGGATAGAATCCCGACAATCCGTGGTTCCAGCGGTTGATGACCGATTCTGGCTTGAGCGTGTTGCTCGGTCCGAGACCGGTGTTGACGCCGGTGTTTTTGTGAGCGCTGTATGGAAGGAAGAGGAAAGACGTTGGCTTTGAGCGAGCATGCAGCTGAGAGAAGAGAAGGATTGATGTTCGTTGGCTTCAGTGAGGCAATTTGATTGTTCGAGTTTTGCATAGCGATGATCGTACTGGCGTCAGACATGGATCTTTATGGTGCTGGCTGCCTGGGTACATCAGGGTAGCGAATATTCGTTGCGGGTCCAGGTTGTGCAGATAGATTTCCATCATCAATAGTAACACAAGTGAACATAATGTAATACTGCGTATGTGTTCCCAGTTGCTGCGACCCTCGTTTTCGCCCCGAATTGAACATAAGTTCTTCAATCGCGTTACAGAGCGTTTACTGATAAATGTAAGTCCGCAGATCAACACGCCCAACAAATTGCTGCAAGTTGATCGTTGTGGATCAGGTAGGACCAGTGTTATGACCAGAAGTTGATCGGTAGCAATGCCTCAGGCAAGACACGCCATGCAATTCACGTCATTGCCTCATATCTGCTGTTCCCAACAGCTGCTTAAGCCATCTCGGTAACGTAACTGAAGCCACTCCAAACGCCCGTGCTATGTAACGAACCAGGGAAATATCGAGGTCGCGAAACGACGCGCTACTCGCAAAACCTATTATACCAACTCGTTAACTTGCAACTCATGCATCATACAACGGCCACCACACTCATAACCAGTTCCACATTCCTGTCTGCGGTCCACCCATCCAACAATTTTGTCAACTTCGCAAAGCTGACCGGCTTCATGATGTACGAATCTACCCCAGCCATATACGCTTTCTTCTGATCCGTCACACTCGCAAGACCAGTCAGCGCAATGATCAGGGAGTGGTGCGGTGCTTGCGAGGGCGACAGGTGACTGTTGTACTCTGCCTCAATTCTGCGAACTTGCCGTGTTGCTTCGAAGCCATCCATGATGGGCATCGATAGATCCATGAGAATGAGCTCGGGCGGCGCGAAGGGGGTGGAGTGCAGTAGGGTCCGGTATGTATTGACAGCTTGGAGTCCATCTGAAGCGCTGGAGATGAAGGTGTAGCCGCGCTTCTTCATGCCGACTTGAAGAAGGCGGAGGTTGATAGTGTTGTCGTCAACCAAGAGAACACGGCTTACTGGAGGTGCGCATACTGGTGGTGTTGCCAATGTTGTTCCTGGTGTTATTGCTGGTGTCTTTGCTGGAGTTGTTGCTGGAAGAACCTTCAGAGTTGTGTATGAAAGTTCGGGTGTCCTGGGTGGCGCTGTCGTCGCAGGCACAGGCGCCAAAGCATTTGTACTGATCACCGCACTCGTGGTGATGGGGTCGGCTGATTCCGTTGAACGCTGTAGGCTTTTCTGAACGACTGCTGTAATCTGATTGCTTTTCTGATCGGTATCAGAAATATCGAGGTCTTGAGCAGCGGCTGTGATGCTGGCAATCGCTGCCTTCCCTGTGTCTTCTGCGATGCCGTGTTCTAAAGAACACAGAGTGTCAGCTCGCAAGCGGTTCAAGCAAACTTGAAGTGCTCGAGCAAGTTTCTGTGGCCCGATGGGATAACGAACGTCTTCAATGTTCTCGTTGTTTCCGTGTTTCGACTTTTTCATTGGGCCGGCGCCACGGAGCACGAGCACTACTGTTTCGCAGTCACGCATCGAGAGTTGCGGTGCGTCCAGGAATAAATCATCAAGACGTGGTTCCTCCACCACAACGATGTCAAAGGAAAAGTTTTTCTGCCATTGGCTAACATTAATGCCCGGAGATGCGTTCAGATACTTTGTCAGACTGCCGTGCAGCAGCCGAGATGCTTCTTGTCTGATGCTTGTCGTCTCTGGATCTCGGGGCCAATAGATCGCAAGTGACTTGCCGCTGGTTTGAGTCACGACTGTCGGTGTACTACCCTCAGCTTTAATGATGCCGTTAGTGGTCATGGAGAGGTTTGACTTCAGGGCCCCATTGACCTTCGATTCGGAAGCCTGCTTCCTGATCAACGGGATCTTGACAGTAGCCTTGGTACCGACACCAACTGTAGATTCGAGGTCAATGTGGCCTCCGAGAGTGCTGACAATGGACTTGACTAACGAGAGTCCGAGTCCGATACCAGGCGCTTGATTCGACTCCTGGGCGAACGGTGTGAAGAGCTTGTCTCGCAGGTACGCAGGTGACATACCCTGACCAGAGTCTCTGACGGTCAGGATCGCAAGTTCAGTGGCACCCTTCTCCGCCTTCTGCGTCTCGAGCTTAACATGAACAAATCCGACTTTTGTGTACTTGAGTGAGTTTCCAACCAAGTTCATCACAATACGTCGCATCGATCCGGGCTCGCACCAGTACGTCCAGTCCTGTTCCTGAATTTCGACAATGAGCTCCACATCCGGCCTGCAGAGAGCAGGCAACTGCACTCTGCTCGAGACAATGCTGTGAGATACAGTGTCTCCGGTTTCCTCATGCACTGCTCGGTTTTGGTGATCATTGAAGGCGTGACCGGATGCGACACCTTCGACGACCTCCTCGGTCAGCACAGCAAGGTCGATGTTGCGGTGCGCACTTAAGTTCGTTTGAAGACCATCTGGTGGCCGCACTTGTTCATCGTTTGTAAGAGCAGGGATGCCATTGCCAGCCTTGTTTTTTTCGAAAGCGTTGATCTTGCTGTAATCCAGAACCATGTTGACGGTATCGAGAAGCGTTCTTGCGCAACTCTCTGCAGTGTTGACCAAGGACTGTTGGGATGATGTACAATGCGTGTCTTGCAGGAATTCGCAGGAGGCCAGGATTCCATGGAGTGGCGATCGCAATTCGTGGGAAATCGAGCCAATGAAGTCATTCTTCTGTTCGCTTGCTTTCAAATTCGCTAGCCTCAGGAGCTCTGTGTCGACGCAATTATTGAACGTTACGCAATGAAGAAACTCCAGTTGGTGCGAGAAGTTGCGATACTCTGAACAGTTATAGATGAAGCAGGCGGCTGATCGATCGGTTGTCGAATCCCATATTGGCGTGAACATTATCTGCCGAGCTCCCGGAAAGTGGGCGCGGAGATTGGTAGAATCTGCGGTCGATCTTTGTCGTCGTCGCTTTGATCGCGGTCGGCCATTGTGCAGACTTTCGTTCTCTGACGAGTCAGAGAGCTCCTGGCCTTGTTGATCAAACGTGAACATCCTTCCTCTCGGATACCGCTTTACAAGCTTCAGGAGCTCCTCAGGCGCAAAAGGCTCGAACACAGGCTGGTCCGGTGGTCTGTCAACGGAGTGATACGTATGTGCAAGAACCTCGGTGATGCCACTGCGTTTCTTCCGCACTTCCGGGCTTGAGGGTCGCGTTGGGTGTCTGGTTGCCGTTGCAGATCCGTTGCTATCCTGACTACTTTGCGGGTGTTTCTGCCATGTTAAGTCCTGAGAGACTGCATGCTCAAATGACTGATCAATCTCCCTTAATGGGGTGGTCGCCAATGCTGTGTCAAGAAAGAGCACACCACCGCCGCCTTCTCTGATGTCCATTGCTTCACACATCAGTTCTGCGGCCCGCGTGATCACTTCGATACGTGCGGTACCATCGGCGGTCCGTCTAGAATCTGCATCTGAGTCTGGGTCGGTCGATTCGCCGTGATCACTGTAACGCCGTATATGCTCTGTATCCTTAGAAACCGGATCGACATATGCTGACAAGCACTCGTTCATCCTGAACGTACGCTGGCGATCCTTCTTATCCCTACTCATTTCGAGATGTTGAATCACGTTATCTGCCATTACACCGAGAAAGTCTTTCTCGCTGGGCGTGAGTGCCGGTCTTGTTTTGGAGTCCAAGATGTAGATCGACCCTATGTTGATACCTCTGTTTGTGCGCAAAGGCACTCCGGCATAGTATCTGAAATGTGGTGGTCCGGCTATAAAGCTGAGTTGGTTGAAGCGAGCGTCCTGGCTCAGGTCGCGAACCTCGAAACATGCCACACCGCCTTCAGGTGGCGGCGGTGTTGCGATAGTGTGTTCACAGAGTCGGCCTGCTTTTGGGACTCTGACACACTGGACAAGATATCAGTCGTGCTGTTACTTGCAACAAAGATTGTAAGTTGACAGAGGGTGCACCTACGCCAGCCCAAATCGCATCCTCAGGGTCTTCATACTTTTCAGCGTTGTCCAGTTGGACTGTCTTCGTACTTTCGGCGACAAAATATTGCGTCTCTTCGTCGATCAGCGAGATCATTGCGCGCTCTGCGTGTAGCCGCCATGCTGCAAGTTGTGCATGTGCTGTCAAGACGGTGTCTAAAGGTTCGGGGCCCTTGGGGGGCGAAAAGTACTTGTACAACTCTCGCGCTCGTGCACGATCGTCGCCAGTTCTTTGAGGAAATCCTTCGTATGGGCGACTCGTAATCGAGGAGGTCGTCGAGCAATTTGCCATTCTGGCAAGATGAGTGTGGAAGCAGAGCGCTCACGGCCTGGTAGACATCGAGGGCACGCTCTTTCTCTAACGAGAGTGGATTGGCGGTTGTTCTCCCCAGCCAGTTAGGCTTGTGCGACAATGTGCCGGCGATACTGCGCCGTTAGAATGATTTATTAAAAGGGTCCAGAGCTTTCGAGGCTGCCACTCGGCCATTTTCGGGGGATCGACACGGGCAGTCTCTGTCATGCTCAGGAGAAACAACCCCGTTCGAACATAGACTTCGACGGTTAGGCAAATGCGCAACCTGCGCGTTTCTCACAGAAAATTATTCATTTCTGCGAAGGACAACATCTGCGAAGGACAACAACATTTGTTGCCCCCCTTCAAGACCGGGGCTGGTGGCCATTGGTGTCGGACCGAGGGTTCAAAAGCGCCACTGGGCGCATGCCTCGTTCTAGACCTGAAGTCTGAACTCCGACGAATTCGACGCTGAGAACGACCTAGAAACTTCCTGGCAATCCCCCACAAAGATTGACATGCGAAAGTCATGATGTGTTGCAAGAATCCCATGGGTGACGTCACGCCGCGCGACTCGAGTTCAGGCTGACCAGTCTCCACTTTCAAAAGAGATCCATCTGGTGCGAGGCGCCTCCAATACAGAAGCAAGTTCCACAGTAATCGTATTTGCATCAGGCCTCGTCCTTTGAACTATCTTCTAGTTCAGGAACTGACTTGATGAGTGTATCTGTACATCTTAGATCGTTTGTTGGGCAACTCGTACAGTTGAGTTTAGGCCGAAAGGATGTTGTAAGCTACGAGATGTAGATTGGAAACGCTGCAGAGCACAAGCAGGCAGCTCTTAGGCCGTTGTCGAGCGCAGTGTCGTCGGTAATATCTTCATGCAAGATCAGTTGTGGATGCATGAAGTTCAGGGCACACGTAAATATAGTGGTGTGTAGTCGCAGCCGTTTCGACGATGCGCAATGAACAGACAGAGATATGAGATGAGAATAGGAAAAAGCCAAGGGGGGCAATAGAAATCAATGAGTTGGTAATAAGACACATTATCCAGGCTATACAGGCGCCCAGATCAGATGTCGTACCAGCTGGTAGCATCCCTTGCAGCATCTTACAGGGAATGTGTCTTGCCGTCCCAACACCCCATCAAACGCCCCATGCTCTTTCCACTCTTCTTCATCCATAACGAAGTTCTGGATTCCACGACGACCGATGAACCAATGTTCCAAAGCAGCAGATAGCTTCTTGTAGGCCTCAAAATCAAGATCCTTGGCAAGAATGGCAACATTCATTTGGACCTTGCCGTTCGTGGTCGTCCAAGTATACCGAACGAGGTTCTGGAACAAAAGTCGACATACGCGGAGCTATTTAACGTTTCCACTCTTGAGAGATTGCATCTTGCGTAATTCACTGGTGTCGACTTTTGCCGCCATGTCGATCTCGAATGTTTCACTCCGGGGCCACGTTGAGTAAGATCGTTGGGCGTGTTCGACCCATTTTTTACCAGCTGGTTCGTTTCCGCTAAGACTTTTCGACACAGCACCGATGGCATCTCGAGATGCACTTAGACCGGGGGTCATTGAGATCGCACTGGTACCGAACACGCAGGCGATGAGACGAGACTGCGCATACATCTTCTCCAACGCTCGACATACTTTCCATTCCCCACAGGAACATTGTGACGGCCTGAAGGAGCTTACTCGTCTCTGTGAATCAGCCGACAGGTGCGCAGGATGTTCAGTGGCGACCAGATAGTGAACAATTGGAGCTGCAGCCTCCGCAACCATGATTTTGGGAATGGCGCGTACTCAATTGCGGTACGGGTGATAGCAGTGGCCGGAAGGTACTCATAGACCATCAGTCGAAGCTCTGTTGGAAGATCAAGAAAGCGAAACACCTCGTTTGTCTTGCGGCCTGAAAGAGGGCGCATTGCCTTCCCTCTTGTCTTGTCCGACTGTCGTTCTTTTGCGTCAATCGACACCATCGTTCTTTCCCGTTGCATTTCCAGCCAGCAGTGACGTTGGTGCCTCTGTCAGGTCTTACATTCTCTCCCAAACATCACGAATCGCGTTGCTTTCGTACCTGACTACCTACCGCGACCCTGGGCCGTCAGGCTGACTCTCCACGGCCGCAACAGCCATGGATATCGTCTTCGAGGTCGCAGACACGTTTGTCTTAGACCATATATACTCAAGCCTTCTGAATGGGTTTAGTGGCCCTCTCGCCGCCAATGCAATCTCCTCGAGCATAGGGGAAGAGTCCACCAGCTTCGCTCTACCCGCAGCAACATGGCAATATGAGCCGGCATCGAACTACTTCTCAATACAGACCTCGCAAGCTGCATATGAGAGCGCATGATCTCGCAACGATTGGTGCAGACAGTTGTTGACACTGTATTTTATTACATGGTAACTAATTCCACTATGGCAGCATTGTGCACATCACTGACTCAACACTGGCTGTTCGGTGTTCTCATCTACTATGTCTTCGCGTCCTCTTCCTACTTCTTCGTCTTCGGCAAAGCGACCTTCGCCCACCAAAGGTACCTCAAGAACCAGATCAAGCTCGAGATGAAGCAGGCCAACATTGCCGTTTCCATCATGACCATCTTCACTGCGCCATGGCTCTTGGCTGAAGTGCGCGGCTTCTCCAAGCTCTACGAAACAACAGAGGACTGTCCTAGCGCCTGGTACAACTGGCTGCAGTTCTTATCTTTTGTTTTCTTCACTGACTTCTGAATCTACTGGATACACCGCAGTCTCGATCACAAGAGCGTATACAAGGCGCTGCACAAGCCTCACCACAAGTGGATTATGCCTACAACTTTCGCCTCGCACGATTCCCATCCCATGGACGGCTACGCACAGGGTCTGTCCTACCACGCCTTCTCTTTCCTCTTTCCTCTCCAGGAATTCGCATACGTCGTGCTCTTCATTTTGGTCTCATCCACGACGGAGAGTACGCACACGACTCACCTATCATCAACGGTGCCGCTTGCCAGATCATGCATCACTTGTACTTCAACTACAACTACGGCCAGTTCACTACGCTCTGGAACCGTATGGGCGGCAGCTACAGGAAGCCTAACGATGAGCTGTTTCAGAAGGAGGTCAAATGTGCCAGAGCGAGTGGGAGAAGCAAGCCAAGGCTGTCGACAAGATAGTCGAGGAAGTAGAAGGCAAAGATGATAGTAACTACGAGCCCGAGGTGGAGACTAAAAAGGGCCACTAGATGAGGACTTCAGGCATACTGCAGTATACATAGACAGTTCCACAGAGTGGCATTGGCTTAATGGCATGGGCTACGGTCGCACAGGCCACCACACAAACGTCTGGTCGCCGTGAGGCGACTACCAAAGCTGAAAAGGCTTTGCGCCTTTCATTTATCCCATCATTCGACAAAAGCTTGATAGTTCAGGTCGCCACTTGTGATTGTAGCAGGAGTTTCACTGCTGTCCGTATCAACCAGGCACGACGCACAGTACATTCATATATGTTGCGGTGCAAGTCGGTCCGACAGGCCTTGATCGTCACCTCTGTTGAATACCTTGGACTGGCACGTCTCATGGCATGTATATATGGTCGCCTCCTAGCTAGCAAGCAACTCAGCGCAGTTTTCCATCGATATACAGCGGCTACGTTTGCCGCAACAATATAGTTGCAGTGACGAAGTATGACGATTCTGACTGACATTCGCATAAGAAACTGTATGAAGTTGAAATTCGTGGATCATCTCTTTCTGTTACGCCAACCCTGTGCTACACCGAAACATATTTATATGCTCAAAACGCAAGGCCACTTTGCCACCAGTGTTTCCCAGTGTGCCATCTGACGACTTGTCCTGCCCAGCACCACCAATCATCTTCCTTCGCAGCCCCAAAGCCTAGCCCTCGGAACAACGAGATAGGGATCGGCTCGAAGAGCCAGACGCCACCCAATGCGAAGTCGTCGCAGAGCAGATGTGCGGTGTTGAAGAACCACACGTGTACGTAGATGAACGTCCACATCCGCATCGCCCACTGCGGCACATACTTCTGCGTCCCCGTCTTTCGCAAAACAGACGAGATGACTACCTCAAAAAATATGCCAAACGCCTGCAGCATAAAGAACGCAAACGAGTTCTTCACTGGATGCGTCGGCCCCGCCGCCGTATACGTGCCACACGCATGCAGCACCCCACTCAGCCCAAATGCGGTGAGCAACTGAATCGCCTTCGCCGGCACACTCCTCCTATCCATGCCAAAGTACTCGCAAATCCTTACACTCGGTTGCTCAAATGCAAACCGGAACGTCTGGTGCCACCAGCTGCTCCACCACCCGGCAAGCCCTTGGTCAAGCACGATCGTAAACGAACCCCATGTCTCAGGGTATATCCACGGTTCGGACCGCGCACCGATGTAGGACCCGAAGATCCCTACGAAGACGAGCGGTGCAAGAGAGAAGATTGTTTGTAAGGCGTATTTCACGGCGATCATGCTGAGGAACAGACGGTAGGTGTTGATCATCCACGGCTGCGTGAGGAGGCTGAAGGGGAGGTAAGATGGTGGGTTGCGCGAGAGGATTCCCCAGAAGTAGGGGTCGTGCATCATGATGGTTTTGAGCGCGTCGAGGACGAGGTAGCCTTTTGCGAGGGTCTTGGCGTTGGAGATGAGCAGTGAGCGCCGGTCGGGATAGGTTGTTACTTGGCCAGCGTGCACGCGAGAGGTGTGCTTTGGCACGTCGCCGGAGTTACGGTGCAGTTGTTCTTGTACCCATTTGGGAGGTGGGGGGAGCGCGGAGGTGCGCCAGTTCCAGCCTGCGCCGCGGAAGTTGCAGAACAGGTCGCATACCCAATCGAGGCGCTCAATGAAGGGTGACAGTGGGTAGGGCTGCCATGCGAATTCGCCGTGACGGTCACGAGGACCGGCTTTGGAATTCTGAGTGATATGGCCGTTCTGGTCTGTGGTTTCTTCTGCTGCGTCTGTCTTCGCTTGCTGTGGGGCTCGGTCGCTGCCAAATTGCCCTTCTGTTCTTTCGATACGTTGGAAGTCCGTCTGAGCATCGTTAAACACGAGAAGTGCGGCGAGGTAGACAACACTCCATGCGTGTACAAGTCCAAGGCCTAGTGCTGGTGCCATAGCCCTAGCTCTTTGATACCTGATGCTGTATGTTGCGAACCAGAGCAATACACCCCAAATTAAATAACGACATTTTCTCAACCATGGGCGGTCGTGGTGAGGTATGCATAGAAAGAGAATAACCAGGAATGCTCCGTAAGCTCCGTAGGGATAAACAAACGGATCAAACTCGCCCGATGCTATTTGCGCGTCGTATTTTTGATAGTAATGCTGGATTAGGTCATGGTGAGAGTGCGGCCAGGGCTCAGAGCCCAATACGAACTCCATGCTCAACGAAAGGGTGAACAGAACATGTGAACAAACGCCGGAAAACTTGAGAAAGGAAACACGCGAGAAATCCAAACGAAAACAAGCATGCAGTGGCGCTCATCCCTCTGTAGAACAACTGTCGTCATGGATCGAGGCGTCTCGCTAAGCGGGAGGCTACATAATCGCGCTAGACTGGATCCGCTGTGGCGGGAGCTTGAGAAACACCAAGGCTCTGTATCACGACTTTCGGCGCCTGATAAAGCTGCCGCACAGCTTCCCGGAACCGCTCTTACCCCAGTCTCTCCCTTGATAGACCGAAGATCTGAGGGCAATACCGTCAAGATGGTGAACATCACAGAGAAGATCAAGGAGTACGCAGCCCCTCCAAAAGTTTTGATGCCAAGCCTGACGCCCCGCTAGGATTGAGGATGAGATGAAGAGGACGCAAAGTAGGTCGAGATATCAAAGTAGTGTTGGATGAGGCTAACCCATGATAGAGAATAAGGCCACAGGTATGCGATCTTGCGACTCGCCCTTTTACAACCGGACAATATCACGTGCTAATACCACCACTCAGAATACCATCTCGGTCTATTGAAAGGGTACACATCGATCCCACAGACACAATTTCTCAAGACTGACATATTCCAGAAAGCTTGCTCGTCTCCGTGCTCAGCTGCTTGAGCCTGGCCCAGGCGCAGGTGGTGCCGCCGGAACTGGTTTCGACGTATCAAAAGCTGGTGATGCCCGTATAGCACTCGTCGGCTTTCCATCGGTCGGAAAGTCAACCTTCCTATCTCGGGTGACCAAAACCAAGTCCGAGGCAGCGTCATATGCCTTCACTACCTTGACTGCTATCCCCGGTGTACTCGAGTATGGCGGTGCCGAGATCCAGGTTCTCGATCTCCCTGGTATTATCGAAGGTGCCGCCGAAGGCAAGGGCCGCGGACGTCAGGTCATCAGCGCAGCAAAGACAAGTGATCTCATTCTCATGATTCTCGATGCCACAAAGAAAGCCGAGCAGAGGGCATTGCTCGAGGCCGAACTGCACGCAGTCGGTATCCGACTGAACAAGGAACCACCGTAAGCACCCGTCATGCAAAGCCCAGCACACGTCCCCACTAAGTCGTCGACAGCAACATCTACCTCAAGCCCAAGAAAGCCGGCGGGATGAAGATCAACTTCCAAAGTCCTCCCAAGGGCGGCCTGGACGAGAAGCTCATCTACCAGGTCCTCAAGGACTACAAGATGCTCAACGCCGAAGTGCTGATCCGCGACGAACACGCCACTATCGACGACTTCATCGACATCATCATGATCAACCACCGCAAGTATATCAAGTGCCTGTACGTGTACAACAAAATCGACGCCATCAGCCTGCCGCACCTGGACCAGCTGGCGCGCGAGCCGCACACGGTCATCATGTCGTGCGAGCTGGATCTCGGGCTGCAGGATGTCGTCGACCGGTGCTGGGAGGAGCTGCAGCTGATGCGCATCTACACGAAGAAGCGGGGCATTGATCCGGACTTCAGCGAGGCGCTGATTGTGCGGCGCGGCAGCTCGATTGAGGATGTCTGCGACCAGATTCACAGGACTATCAAGGAGACGTTCAAGTATGCGCTGGTCTGGGGCGCGAGCGCGAAGCATATGCCGCAGAGGGTGGGGCTGAGTCATCTGGTTGCGGACGAGGACGTTGTTAGCATTGTGGGGACGAAGAGTGGGACTCGCGAATAGTGGCTGCCAGAGTGCATACGAGAGCAACTACATTGAGAGAGACTCATTGGTGACTGAACAGCTTTATGAGTAATATTGTGCTCTCACGTATCGTACGCAGCCCAAATAGACTCTCAAGCTGGCACGTCATACTGGCCCTCGGTGGATGTTCAAAGCGACAAGTATAGGCTCCTGTGCATCCAGAAGGCCCACATACTGCTTCTCCAGCAAAGCTCAAGGCAAATCGGTACTCCAGGGGAGAAAAGCGTGATGGATTGGACATACGCTAAGCATACTACAAGCAACGCATACATGCTAGACACACTGGTGTCTGGGTATCGACTCTGATGCAACGCACAACCGCCAGAAACGTGAACGTGAAAAAAACATTAATGCCGCGAGGCGAATGTGTAGTCTAATCGTGACCATGATGCAGCAAAAATACAACAGAAATATCAGGCCTCAGAATACCGCCTGCTTCGCTCAGAGTCCGGAGTGTACTACGACTGGGTCTGGATAGCGGGCGGCATGGAGTTGACCTGCAATGTGGGCGTGGGGATGGTGTAACTCTCAAAGTCTTCGTGCTTCTGGCGGACTTCGTGTCCGAACTCGACTTCTCGTGTGTCCGGTCTAGATGCTGTACCATTGTCTGGGCCGAGATGGGGATCTGGGATCTGGATATCGAGCTACAGGAGTAGTCAGTACAATGTTCTTTCGATTAGCATCGGAGTCGTACTGTGAGGTAGCCCGTCCGCCGCAACGGGATGATCTTGACCGCCTCTTTCTCGCCCACTTCCCTGTTCCACTGGTCTATCCAGCTCTCTAGCTCGTTCAGCTGCCTCTTCACGCCCGACATGCCTACGTCGTCCCACAGCCAGAAGGTCGCTACACCCATGACAGAGTCGAGCCAGGCACGGAAGGTGAAGGGGTCGAATGCTGCCAGAAGCGAGTCGTTGATCTTCTTGACCAACTCTCTAAACTCGTCTTCGTTGATCAACGGGTCCAGGATCTCGGGGTACAGGTTGGCGAAGGTTGGGGCCAGGTCTCCTTTGACCATCCAGTCACGCTTGATGCGGATGATCTTGGTCGCGTCGTACAGGTCGCTGTCGAGCGGGACATGCGGGTTCGGGTGCGGGAAGCAGGGATGCGAGGGCCCCCAGGGAAACTCAGATGCATCGTCGCCGTCGCCGTGTGTCCTGTTGCTGCGACTCCTGCTCAGACTCGTCCGTGCGCTGTCCGGCAGGCTCGCTCTGCCAGCCTGGCTCTGCGGTGGCGCGCGCTTGCCGGCTTCTACGTCGAGAGTGGCTGCGTGCTGCGGGGCGCTGGGCGGCGGTGCATCGTATGCAACCGACATGGAGGGCCCGGGGGTCGGCGGGCGAGACTGGTCGTCGTGCTGCAGGCTGGTGCGTGCGCGGGCCTGGTCGCGCGGCAGGCCGATGCTGGTGCGCCCGCTGCGGTTGATGTCGTCGCCGGCGGTGGGACGCTCGACAAGCAGTGAGCTCGAGGCAGGGCTCTGGCGGCTCTGGTGGCGCTGCGGGAGGGTCAGGAGCGGGTACTCGTCGCGCTCGGAGCGAGGGCGCTCGAGGGGGACGTTGGGCGGGTGGTGGTGGTGGTGCGAGAGCTGGTGGTGGTGGTGGTGGTGGTGGTCCTGGTGCTGCTGCTGCTGCTGCAGACGACTGGCAGCGGGCCGTGCGCGTGGAGAGCTATTCTCCGGATTCCACAGGCGGCCAGGTCTTCTCGGCGGACCGGCGCTCGCACTCGGCGCAGGGTAAACGCCGCGCAGGCTGAGGCTGAAGATGCGATTCGTGAGCGACCAGCGTTGGGGCGGCGGGGTTTCAGTCGCGGTCGCAGCAGGCGGCGCCGTCGCAGGTGGGGGGCTGCGTGAAGTAATCGTGACTGGAGGTGCGGGTGCGAGGTTGGAGAAAGCAAAGCGACCCGTGCGCGCTGCATGAGCGGCAGTGGTCCGGACAGGCCGACAGCGACAGCCAGATGCGACGGGATTAGCGGCGGGCGAGGAACACCACCACTGCAGTCGGCAGGCCGGGTGGCAGCAGTCGTCGGCGCTCTGCTGCAAGTGCAGGAATGCGGTGCAGGAGTCCGGCGACGTCGTCCAGTCCAGTGGGTGCGAGGCTGAGGTTGTGTGTCTCGCACGACTGCTCGGCCGTGTCCGCTCAGTCGCTCTTGTCTCACAGTGAGTCGCGGCAGCTGCGCCAGAGACGGGGGGCCGACGGAGCAGAGTTTGGAGGCCAAAGTCAGTATTCGTAGCAGTCAGTTCGTACCGTAGTTCGACGCGTCCAGAGAATAGTCGAGCAGGTAGTTCAGGTCGGTTCGGTCAGCTCAGGTCGGTTCGGTCAGTTCAGTTCGGTTCGGTCAGTTCAGTTCAACTCAGTTCAGTTCAGTTCAACTCAGTTCAGTTCATCCGCTGCGAGACTGCGCGCCGTGGGCACCGCAATCTCTTGTACTGACGCCTGCAGTGCACCTAGTCCACCATTCGTAAACTGGGCACAGGAAGCCCTGTTCCTCGATCCCCGGCCTGCAAAGGCCCGTGGAGAGTATGCACGGCATGAGCCAGCATGAGCGCGGCAGGGATCCTGAGGGCAGCCAGCCCATGTCGTCTCCATCCCCAGACAATTGGCTGCCCTGCATATCCAGGGCTGCATCTGCTGAAATCTCTCGTGCCACTGCTCATCCCGTTGTCCTCGCCTCCCAACGGTGACGTCGAGCCTGTGTGGTAGCCCAGCTCTAGTCAGGAACGGACCTGCTGCCTCGCCTGTGCTGCGCGCGTCCCTTGCTCTATCTAGCCACGCTGAAAGTTGCGCCGCCGCCTCATCCCAGACCAGCCTGCCTCGGCGAGCACTTGATTCCGTGGCATGAGGAAAGAAGCAAGCTCTCCCTGGGCGTGAAGCAGAAAAGCAGCCGACAAGCACACGCTCTGAGACTCGTCCACGAGTAACTGCAGGCAAGAACGCTGCCACACCTCGCTCGACCTTCTGATCTGACGTGCACGCCAACCTCAGTCGCAAAAGCAGCACGCATGCTTCTTGCACCAAATCCACGGCTGGCCTGCTCCACCACCGACGCCTCGCACTTGCCCACCCTCCCACCATCGTAACCATCCGCTGTGCCGGACCCATCGAGCCTCCAATCTCTACTATTTCGGGAAGTGTTCGTCCGTATTTGCGTGAATCCAGCTGCCCCTAACCCCCTTTTCCACTGCCCTCCGCCTGTCACCATCTTCCCCGCGCACAGATGTGCATCCTCGCAGTGCCATTCCGTCCAATCGCAACGACGCATGGCGCAAGGCTTGCTGCTGCTGCTGAGCCGCATACCACTGTGCATGGCACTGCATCATCCTTCACAAGTGGACCTGGGTCACTAATCACGACTCACGAGCCTTCGCGCACATGGCACTAGATATTATTGCATCCATAGCTAGGCTATCGATCTGCCTTAGATCGGCAGTAGGGCTAACTGTGTACTCGTCGAAAAAGAACGTCGTCGTGCTGCTTCAGACTATCCTCATTCCACATAGCTCCACATCAACTCCACAATACATTGCCCGTTTATACATCCGTCATACCCATTCATGTCTTCGCCGCCGTGGCTGTGGAGCCGATACTCGGAAATCTATGTACGAGAATATGACTATGCGGGGAATCAATAAATCTACGCTGCTCTCTTGTTGGCATTGGCTTGCATCTTGCGCATGGCCTCTCGGTGCGCATCGAGCATCTGCCCGCTTCGCATCATATTGTCCATCATCGATGCTCGTTGTTGCTGGATCGCTTCGCGTTGCTGTCGCTCCACCTCCTTCTGTCGTCGCTCGCTGAGAAGGGCTGCACGTTGCTGCTCGGCGATATACGAAACAGTCTGTGGTGGTGTGACCTCCCGCATGTTCTCCCTCCAGTCTGCGTACAAGTCTTCCCTCTTGCGGTTCGACTGTGAGCTGGGTGTACGCTGAGGCTGATGAGAGTCGAATCCTGAAGCAACACCTTGTCCCACCCAACCCTTCTTCTGCCACTTCTGCGCGGTAGATGGAGGCGGTCGGCGAGGAGACCCAAGGGGAGACTGTTGTTGCAGCAGTGGTGAGGTGGGCGCCTGCTTGAGTAGCTGCCGCCTCTGTGCAAGCGTCAAATCGTCCTGTTCGTTCTGCTCCAGCAATGTCTGTCCTGTGCATGGGAGGGGGGAGAACGAGCGTGACGTCACACGGCTGCGCATCAGGCTCTCGCGCTGGCCCATCAATGTGTTGGTGGGAAGTGGTGACAGAGCATCGAGTTGAGTTCCTGAGTTTGATCGTGACAGGACCCGCGGAGAGAGGACAGATGGCGACCGAGATAAAGGCTGCTGCTCAATTATCGATTGCTGCGAAGTCGAAGTTGATCGGTTCAGGCCAGGCTTGCTGCTGCTCTCCGTAGACATTCGCTTCGACATCCGGTGACTTCCGCCCAAGGGACCTGCTATCTCATCGCTGACGGGTGCTGGCGCTTCTGCTGAAATATGGTCGAGAGCTGCTCCAGGTGACGAGGGCACATGTAGTTCGTCTAGCTCAGGCAGTTCTGCGGTCTCGAGGTGCTTCGCCCACTCATTGGTGCGGTATGACAAGGCCACTTTCGAAAACCTAGGAGGAAGAGTATTTTCCTTAAGGCTTCCGACGTGGATTGGCTCGCGTTCAGTCTGTGAACCGTGTGATGGAGCTTTCTCACTGCTGAACCTGGACTGCTCACCCTCACTATTGCCCTTGGCGCTGGAGATGAGGGTATCAGCTCGGAAGCGTGAATTGCGACGAAGAGAGCGCTTTGTATCCGCTTCAGTTGGCTTGGGATCTGTGCTGCTGGTGAGAGACTGGCGTATCGTCGGCCTTGTTGGCGCGTCGGTCGTTGCTTCCTCGATAGTCGGGCTTGACTCATAAGCTTCAGTATCGATTGGAGCTAGTGCCTCATCCTCATGTACAGACTTATTCCTCTTGAAAGAAGCGACTGGTGATCCAACACGAGTAACATCGTGTTCCGTACCAATTGGTGACTGGGGTGGCGAGAGCTGGCGTAGAGAAACATCATCATATTCGTCGTCCAAGGTAGCAACAATTGATGATGCGCGATCGTCCTCCATGTGTGGTACATTGATCAAGTCTTCCTGCGACTCAGATATAGCACGAGAGTTCCTTTGGCCCGATGCTTGTCGTAGTTTTGACATGTCCGATATGCGCTTGGACATGGGCCTACGTTCATTCAAGGAAATGTTCTCGGTTTCGGCAACAGCCGAGACCGAGGAGTTGTCGCCTGTCTCACTCTCTGCATCATCCTCCTCTGGCACCTTAAATGGAAGTGGGATGACTGCCGGAGGTGGTGGCACTGAAGATGGACCAAGGCTGGTGCCTTTTGTTACATTATCTGCAAGTAGAGATTCCGGTGGGGCAGGCAGGTCCTTGCGATCTCCATCAGAGCCCGTCACTGATCCAACGTTGTTGTATGTGATCGGGTTGCCTTGCGCGTCAAGCTGTTGAATGTCGTCCTTGAGAACACCGACGGTAACGGTGGTGCCGGCCGGGGTATCCGGGTTGGGGGAGCGCATGACGCCGCTCTTCTGCATATTGACGAGCTCCAGACTATCCGTGGCGAAGACATCTTTTTCTCGGACACTAGTCGAGTGCTTCGGGCTTAGGATAGACGATGAAGCGCTGGACTCCTGCACGCTCTTGTCGCCGTAGGCTGCCTCCCACTGTGCGCGCTCTTGCTGAAAGCTGTCTTCGATCTGACGCCCCAGTGCCTCATCTTCCCTTTCCTTGTCTTGCTGCTTCTCCAGCTGCTGAGCGGCGCTTTTCTCGCGATGCTCCTTCACAAGATTCCAGACACGTAGCTGCGAGACGACGCCAAGTACGGCGATGATTACGACTCCTGCAAGCTCAGCTTTGATGTTTTTAGTGACAGGGTAAGTGTTGGTGTTCAATGGGAAGATGTTGTCGTTGACGGCTTTTCATGTCAGCTCGATTCCATGACGCCACAGATGGAACTTACCCCATAGATACAGCCAGAACTCCTTAAGGCCCGCACGACTGAAACAATCAACTCCAAGTATGGTAGCAGTCGCACCCGAGAAAGCGATCGATGCAATGAGACCGTAAGTGCGGGTGTGGTGACTGAAAGACAGGCAGTATGCACCAGCGCTCATGCATCCAATGAAGATTGCGCGGCCGGTTACTGAAGTGATCAGGCCGCCCGACTTGAGGCACAAGAACCACATGCTCACACAGAAACCGCCGAGCAGGCATCCGAAGCCCTCAGTAACGTCTGAGAATACAAGTGAGACGGCGCCAAATATGACACCGGTGAAGAAAGCGGCAACTAAGAAAGCTCCCTGGACACTATTGGAGACAGGAGGGCTCATGAGGTAGACAATCAAGACAGTAACAGCTAGTGCGGTCAAGTATGCAGCTGAGCCAAAGACGTATACCCTGTTCGATGTCAGAGACGTTGACGGACCGGGGCATCTGCACCTACCATTTGTTCTTGATGCCAATAACGGCGAATGCCAGACCCGACAGCAATAAGACGATACCACTGATACCCATGGCTGGCGTTAAGCTGGGTTGGAAGGGCAGAGGGTTTCCTGGATTCACTTCTGCAGATGTTAATTGGTTACACCTAGAACGTGGGATAGTGACTGACCGGTGGACTCTGCGGACTGAGGTGCGGTCGACGCGGTGGCCGGGATCTGCATGGAAGTGCTTGCCTCTGCTGTAGTCGTTGACGGAGCTGGAGTGGAAGAGGCCCGCCCGCTCTCGGATACTGAGGTAGTTGCGTCAGATGAGGTTACTGAAGCTGATGAGCGCGAGGATGCAGTAATTGCAGGAGTCTGCGACCGGTCCGAAGAGCTGTCATCTTGACGGCGGACTGCAGACTGAGGTACAGCTGTGACTGAGTGGAGACACAAGACCAAGGCGATGCACACGAGGAGGAAGCGGTAGGAGCGCATGGCGAAATGTGGTGTCGGCGTGGTTAATATGGGGTAGCAATGGCCATCGAATTAGTATTATGGTGGTAGTTGCGATCTGAAAGTGGCAGGCGCAATAGTGAATGGGACGTTGAGCTGGAGACGTGACACGTGCGTAGCAAGAAACGAAGGACGAAGGTGAGGACTAGTTTAAATGAGTGTGGAAAAGAGGGTGGGCAAAGACAAGTACTGCTGAGCCTGCGGGTCAAGGAACGAATGAGGGTGAGTCGGTGCAAACACGCAACCAGTCAAGTCGACGTGGTGTTGAGGTGCAGAAGGATTGCAGCAAAGAGTGGGAAGGCACCAGGGTGCCTGCAGCCATAAAGGGCATTAGAACGCCCTCGACAAGAGATCAGCAATTGGTGCCGGGAAAATCAAGAGACGAAAAGCACTGACCCGGGCTGAAGTCTAACGAGATGAATCTTGAAGGTCTTTTGCGGAATGGCGGCTATCAAACGGCGCGCTGTTGAGGGGTCATCCCATTATAGGAGTGGTAACGGTCAGTCTTTGGAGGCTTTACGAAATTGCAGTCCTCCCGATGTCAGCCATCGGCCAGACTACGTTCTTGCGATGAGCGCCGGGAGTGAGGCTATGGTGGAAAAGGAAAGGCTGCTGTCCAATTACTCGAGTAGCGATGAGACAAGAAGGGAGCAGCGACGCGAATTGACAACGGTTATCCTCAATGGCCATGCCCAAGGGGGACCAAAACAAGCTGAGTGGCATGCAACGCGCCAGCGCACCCATGCATAACGCGCTGTAATCACTCTGCTTGATGCATGATTGCGCGTACGCGCGGTGGAGGGCTGACAGAGTCGCGGTATTGTAAGAGTGACACGCGAATTATTAACTTCGCGCCAATTAGGTACGGCAACTTTCTAATTCGCGTAGGGCTGACAGGCGACCCGCTGCATAAGAGTCCCGGGGGCAGCATAAATCGCCCTCCTGAATTAGACCGTTTAACATCCTCGCAATGAAACTGCACATCTTGACAGCGATCACGCATATATGATGGCTTTACCTGCGTCAAGAGAAAAAGCACACTGCCAGCCTGGCTCGGGATCAAGAATTCTGCTTTTCGAGGTGCAGCGCTCGACCAGCACAGACGGATCGCCGCGGCATGCACGCACTGATCTGCTCTTTCCGTAGACCGAAGATCCGAATCTGGCTAGGTTTGCTTTCGCCCGCAGACGAACCGCTGCAATGTCTTGCTACTGGTACTGCTCCCCTCCATTCGCAGACGTAGGATTCGCAGATGGTAGGAATTGCAGATCGTGCGATTCTTTGAACTTAGGTTTTACTTGTTGTCTATGACCCGACGCGCCTTGCACACCGCTTCCAAATTGTATGGCAGTGTTTTGGCGATGGTCGTACCAGCTTGGTCGCGATGGCACGTTCGCTCCAATCCGGTTTCATAGGAGTGGATCCCTGTAAATTGGATTGACATTGCCAATAGAAAATCTGAAAAGCAGCTACTCTGGAGCAGTCCCGTACGTCACACAGTGTAGCCTTCATATTCATCTGTGTGTGACAGTGGTAAATACAAAGCTTTTAGGAAACGCTCAGCGCGTCTCTGATAGCGCGGGCGTGCACCTGGCTACAGGTGGCGCATAGCTGTGGAGTCGCAATCTGGAGAGACTGCGCTAACGATCCGCTCCCTTTGGTACCAGACACGAACCGATGGATACGGGTTTGTCAACGTCCATACCGGTACTTCGTACACCAAAGTACGGCGCAGGTTCAAATGGATCCCGGGAGAAAATGATTTTGCTGCTGCAATAATGAAAGGGACGGGACTGACCGCGGCCGCTCAACAGCACGCACCAAGATAACCGTATTTTGAACTTTGTAACTTGTAGGTATTGACTTTGCGAATGGCTCCGGTGCTGCACTTTCGGAGTTGCAACTGAGCCGCTCTGCCACCGAGAATGGTCTCAGCCGACCAAGCAGCAGCTATCGACTGCTCCGAACCCCGCAGCCACGCCTCCTTCTTCACTCTGGTCTCCCTTTGTGCGGAGAAGGTAGCCTGCCTCAAAATTCTCCAGGATCTCGCCCTTTTCTCCTTGTCGAGACCCGCCTCGCCAAAGACACACTCCGTAAACACCTAGCTCGCATATGACCCCTCCCCTTTCAACTACCCCGTTACGAATGATAACGTTCTTCAGAGGTGGCGGTTCGATCATCTCCATCAAGATGTATGCCGGCCACTGTGTCTCAGGAAGCTTCTGAAGGAACGGAGGGATCGCCTTTCGATAGATGTTGTTGCCTCCGCCCTCGCGCTGAGGTTTCAGAACGTATCGAACCGCTGATGAAGAATCAGTAGCGAGCTTCTTTGCTTCCAGGCCAGCGTCGCTCTTGTCGAGCGGATAGATGGGAGCAAATGTCTTCAGTAGCTGCGAGGCAACTTCGTCGTCAGGTAGGAAGCGCTTGAGGTGTGGCGAATGCGGTGTTGCCAGCACCTGCTGAACCTTCTTGCAGCCAGCGAGTTGAGTCAGAACGCTCGGACACTTGATTGCCCTGCTCTTCTCGAGGTGCAGACGTGCTTCCCAGTCCTCCTCCTTCACATAGTCATCGGGTGAGTACCCAGCTCGGTAGTAGATTGTGGTGACCTCGTACGATGTCGAAGGAGAGTGAGGCGGGTTGTATATCAGATTTCGATCTCCATCGAGTTTGGTGTACGCCAATACCTTTCCGAAAGGTACCCGGAACGACCGTACGTCATTCTCCTCGAGTAGTGCGTATTCCAGATGCCTCTGATCAAAAACATTCCTTTCTGGATCCTGTACAACGAACAGGACGCACAGTGGAAGTCCTTTTTTGGATTCGCCATACGCCCTGTGGCCAGCAGCAAGTCCGTTTGCCAATCGAGATGCTGACTGACTCTGTCTTAGAGCATCGGCCTTGACGAGGGAGGATGTTGATGACGGATAAGCACCGAGAGCAAAGAGGTACCTGTGTAATGCAGAGACTTGGGAGGACAGACCGCCAAATGAAGATGCGATAGTGTTGAACTCGACTTGCTTCAGCCCAGGTAATGGGTCGGTCTGAGATGGATCCTCATGGACCATGTAATCCGAACGGAAAAGACCAAGCGAAATGTCCTGGACATAGCCTTCCTTCTTCACAGCGAGGTGTGTTTGCCATAGCTTTGCAACAAAGTCGTCGACATCAACCAGCTCCTCCACGATGCCTTGCAACCATTCCTCATCCCTCGCGATGGCGGAGTACAACTCGTTGTAAGCCTTCTGTATCGACAGACCATCCTCGAAGCATCGTCGTGGGAACAAACTGGGAAATATTGTGACAGGTGCTGTTGTTGCGAGAACACTGGAAGGGTCCTGAGATTGCTGGATAAAGGATGGAGCCGGGCGAACCGCAAGACCGTGAGCTATCGACCAGTCTTTAAGCTCTGCAAAGATGAAGTTCTGCTCTTCAGCAGACAGCTCGGGAGGGTAGTCTGCCATGTTCGCTGCCATAGACATCGATTGATGTTCCTGTTCCTGTTCGTATTTCTGGTTCTGCTGGAAAGGTGAAAGTTTGCGATGGTACCTGACAAACACACCCTCCCCGCACTACTTGCGCCAGCGCCTCGCTCACCGAGCGAAGCGAAGCGGTCCGTGCGGCAAATGGGAAGTAACCTCCCTCCCGGTACGTCGAACATCCCGCCGCTTAGAACCACGAGAACTTAGATGAGCCCCAAAATTTAGCTCCGCGCATAGAAGCATCTCAAATCTATCCGCTTAGACGTTATAGACGTAGGTGCCACGATTGGGACGCTTTGAACAAAAATTACGTTGTTGCTGTTGCGCTTACTGCTGTCGCATCTTGAGCGCTGGAAGCTGCAAGAGCAAAACCACCCCTGTTCTGATGCAAGCAACTAACTCTGATACTCCATCAGGGACTCTATCAGATAGGCTGTTTTGATGCGCCGATCAGGATGAATTTTCAGGCCACGCAGGCTTGACAAAGATGTAGACCGGATTTTTCCGCAGAGCAGGGCAGGCCTAGCGATGCAGCAGGGAGAAGCTAAGACAATTACCTAATCTGATTCCATACAGTTAGCGGGCCATGATGTACATATGCGCTTGACTACAAAAGCATAGACTGTGGCGCATGCTTCTCGAAGCTGCCTTCGGCAGACAAAAGTGAAACCCCCTGCGCCACGCATGTAATGCTTACGGCTCGACGCAGGGCACTTGAAAATGGGGGAAGATAGAATCTGTTGGTCACTACAGAGAACATTGCTGGCTAGTCTAATCCTGAGTCCTTGACGCTAAACTGCACCACGGTGCTCTTAAGCCAATGCCTCTTAGGAGAAATAACAATTAATTAGCTGTTACCACCTGCTCAAGGGTCAATGCCTGACAGGTAAAATTTTGACAAAAACTATTTTCTCTGGAACCAAGCGTCCTGAACAACAGCTTTCGCTGGTGCCCTGGCAGTAGGTTCCATTCGTAACATACTTCCAATCAGCACACCGACCCGCACAATGTCTTCCCGACTCATATCCTCGCGCCTCTCCCCATCAAAATACATCTCCTCTAACCAGTCTTGAAGTGAGCAAGTGGAACTACTGTCAGGTAGTGTTTCTTTCATGGCATACCAGTCTCTTTTCCAACAGTCTGGCAGATCATCGTTAACTGTCTCAAGCATCTGGCGGACAAGGATTGCAGGTGTTGTCATAAAGCTGTCGAACAGCGGTTGTCCGACAATGAGTTCAAAAAGCTAGGCAAATCATCAGCCTGCTATTAATGCATACCAAGGTACTGTGTTCAAGGAGCTGGACTCACCAGACAGGCCATACTCCAAAGATCCACGCGATAATCAACTTTGTCTTTGAAGATGATTTCAGGGGCGCGGACAGGAAGTGGAGTGTTGAGTACGCCAGGACACTCGTCGCGTAAGAAAGATTGGCCAAAATCAACGATCTTAATCAATCCGAGCGATGACTTAACATCTGTAGGGTAGGAAGTGGGTCTAACAAGGTATCGGGGTGCACCAGGTCCAAGTGGCTGGCCGTCCTTTCTTTGAACATCCCCTGTTTCAGGTTGTCCGAGTTTCTGTAGGAATTCCTCTTCTCGCAAGGCTTGCACCGTAGGGATCGCGAAAGCTAGGTTGCGGGTGTGCAGATCTGCGGGGGATTAGCAGAAATTAAATGAATACTGACATCATACTATACCTGCATGCGCGATTTCCTGCTCGTGAAGGGAGCACAAACCAAGCAGAGCCTGTTTTGCAATAGTCTTCGCGAGCGTTCCAGGAAGCCTTTCAATGCTAGAATGCGCGTCAAGGAAATCGGCCACGCTTGGCCCTAACAATTCCAACACGAGGCATTCATGAGTTCCGTTTGGACCACTGATCTGGAAGGAGTCTTGCATTTTCATTAAATGCTGATACCTAGGCTGATCTGAGTGTTTCGCCGCTATTGTACGCAAGACGGCAGTCTCTCGATTTTGATAGTTAGGCTCAGATACTGCGATTTTCACAGCAACGTAGGCTTGATTTCTGGTAGTATGTCAGCACTATCTTTGTCAATCTATCGCCGAAAGCGAAACCTGGTATCGCGCGCTGCCCAGACAGTCGAGTAACCACCCCAGCCTAACTTGTGTAGAACCTTGTACCTGCCATCGCTCAAACAGTCCCCCAAATGAACAGGATGATATCCACCCTTGTGATAGCGATGCAGAGGTTCAGCATCAATGTCACAAATATGCGTAGGCCAATCCATCGGCAGATCGAGCTGGGAAGGTTGTGCAAGCATGGGGGAAAGCAAACGGGAAGGCGCGAGTGTTGATAAAGACAGTCTGCATGCGAGCGCTTGCTGAACTGATATTCTGCGAGGTCGAGCGACTATCCTGGTCACACTCATGCTTTCGCTTTCACACGCGAGTAGAGCTGTGAGAGTTGTCTAATTACTGCAAAGTGAGTGGCGACAAGATCGGGATCTCAAGATGTGACGCCAAGATAGTTAGCGCCATCTCAGCGCTGCACCCAGCAGCTGCGTGCAACGGCACCAATAAGATACTCGCTGCTGCTTACATCTGGAAACACGATTCGAAGGGGCCGCTTATTGAAGCCTCTCAAGCAGTGTAGAAGAGACGGCCAGTGTATAAGTAGAGTCTTCTGAACACTTGTGCCAAACATCCAGGTCGCACCACAGATTGCACGTCATTCAACTCCATCATCACCTTACTGCCAAATCCAGCCTCAACATGTCCCCCATTGCGCACAGTGCTGTTAAGTTCACGTAGAGAATTCGAGACTCGGTCCTTCAACACAGAACGCTCAATTTAGTTCACGAAGCCACCAAACAGTCAGATCTAGCCCATTTCACCGTGGCGACGCTCAAGTAAGCATGTGCATTAGGCCAGATTAGAGGATCAGCCAGCTAACTTAAACGTGTAAAACAGGAATCCTACCCATACAAGCCACACGGATTCCAGGCAGCATGCTACAGTACTGCTGGCCACCGAGGATCAGGCGCAGAACAACAGGTCGCACACTGTGCATATCTACCACGATAACAACAGCAACTACACGGGCCACAGCATCTATCCTGAGAGGCAGAACAAGACCACCAACAATTAAGCTCAGTCCTTAACTATAGAATTCAGTTGATGGAGCAGAGGGAGCGCGATGCGTCTAGTAGACTCAGTATCGCTTGGACCATAATACATTGAAAGATCAAATGACAACGAATTTCCGTTCTCAGGAGGATCCTGAAAACTGACATCGTGACCTTGTGCAGCCCAAGGAAGCCATATATGACTCAGCCTTCGCTCTGGCGGCCCGTGCCCTCGGCAAAACCATAATTATTCATCCCATTTTCATTCAAGTTTAGCGTGCATAGCCCCGCACTTAGTACCATCTCGTAGCTTCGAGAAGCATGCGCCACAGCTCGAGCGATTCCAGCATAGCGCAGGTGTACAATGTAGGCCGCTAATCATACAAAACGTGCTTTCTCAGCGGGCGAACACCTGTTGCTTCCTCGCCAGAATCTGCCTGTCTCCGCGGATAATTCCGGAACTAGACTTTCAGATTGCTGCACGAACTCGCAACTTAGTGATGTCTATTCGACATATTAATGCATCTCCTTAAGTATCTGAGATAGCGATTGCCATGGTCGTGGACGAGAAAGTAGGGGTGCGTCGTGGTTGCAGCGTCCGTCGCTGCGTGCAGATTGCATGAAATGACAATCAGCACAGCTGTAATTTTGGTTTTCAGTCTTTTAGACAGATTTTAGTACTTGATAAAATTACGAACAGGCTAGTGTGAGCATAAGAGAATGGTGGGCTGCACAGTGTTATCGCTCGAAAATTTTCGTGGTTCTACGTGGTTGGTTGTTCTACCTATAGGGAGGGAGGTTAGGAAACAGATTCCCCGCTGCTTCCGAGAGCTCGCGGCACTTGCATCGTCTCCTCGCCATTGGCAAACGACATCCGAGGACTAATTACACCTCTTTCGCTTGAATGCAAGACCCGCAGCGTGTGTTGGTGCTGTTTGCACGATCTTCATTATTCAGCAGACGTGCCGCCTTTAACCGCACAACGCGTCTTCACCTGATTGCGCGCCCGAAATTAACAGAGATTGTCCAGGGCTCGCTTGACCCTGTCATCAACACCTATTGATATTGTAATCGCTCACGACTAACACACACGAGCTGACCTTCTCACTGCACTGAAAGTGGTGGAACACATTTACGCTCTCTCGCTGTTGTCCCCTCACTAGTAACTATTGATTGGTATCCTATCTGGACGCACCTTGATCCAGAGACGCACTGGCTTTGCCAGAATGACCGTTCCAACACCAACAGCAGGTGTCCGGCCCTGCACGCTAGGCAGTGATCCTTCGACTGCGAGTTTACGTATCGCAGGGACACCAGATCCTAAAGGCCGCAAACGGAGGAGGATCACACCCACCAACTTTGTCCCTGCGATTGCTATCACACATGATTCAGGATCTAGTGATGGATTGAGCCTATCATCCTCTGCACAACCGGTGATCTGGGATCATCTGGTGAAATGGGAAACGGGAGACGACAGCATAGTGGGGGACATCGAAGAGGAAGAGCACTATTTTGATGTGAGCGATGAGTCACCAGACGCTGTAGAAGATACAGTCCATGACAGCGAGGAGGAAGATGACGTGCCGATTGTGGGCACAGGGCCTGTCCCCAGCAGGTTGGGGAACGACCGAGTGACTGAAATCATCAACGATTGCATCGAGAAGTATGCGGAAGCTTGGAAGCCAGGGAAGGACGAGACCAAGCACGAAGACGAAGCTGATGAAACAGAGGTACCTGTCGTATACGACGCGCTCCAACTATGGTCAGACGCGGAAAACACTGGGAAGCGAGAAGAGCTTGCTGATAAATATGAAAAGGAGGCGAAGTACTATCGCCATCGTCTTGATATACTGTGCGAGGAAATCTACAAAGACCCAGGTCACTCAGAGGCGGTGATAATAATGGTATGTACTTACACCATTTGCGCTGCAAACTGCTGACTCTGTTGCGTCAGAAATGTAGAAATCTTGAGGTTACTGTGGACATGCTCGAGCGCGCAACGTGGTTGGAAGGAATATACAAGTTGCCTCCAGACACCAACAGCGACGAAGACTCACAAGAAGAAACCACCAAAGGAACCGACCAGCCTCGGCTGTCTGTTCTTCAGACATTCGACCGGACGCGACGACCAAACTTGCCTTCTGAAGTCATCGATCTTGGTACACCCTCAGCCTCTGAGTGTTCAGAGAGCGAGAGTGAGCCACCCGGCAATATTCCCGCCACGCCCTCGACAATTTTATCCCCAAAAAAGCCCAGAGTCGTCATTGAATCGCGTCCATTATCTTCCGATCCTGTTGTATTTGACACGATCGAACCGCCAGCTCCGGCGGTGGTAGCAGCGTCAAATCCCAGAATTGCGCGATTCCGAGCACCGCTTGGAGACGCTCCCGAACATGCTTCGATTGCATCCGTAAGCTGTTGGCGTTGGGCCCAATTGGAAGAGACTCAAGACCGCAAGCGCGCGGTGTCTCGAGCCATCTACGAAATGACCTCGACAGACAGAGAAGTCATGCGGCAAAGACTGCAGAAGGTTGGCAGAAAACACGTGATTCGAGAGATTCCCGCCTGTATTGATATGCTCGCACGAGGCGACAAACGACTGCCTGGGATCCTACCGCAGGACTTGCCCAAAATAGTCATCTTCACAAGACTGTTCTTATGTTGGTGGTTATGCGGCGACTTTCTCCATAGAGATGCATCGGTGGAAGAGCTCGAAGAGCTCACAAACAATCTACGACAGCGCTCCCCGGACCCTTCGACGTTCTGCGGCTACATCGATACGGTGCTAAGTACGACATTCAGTCCCAAAGCCCTGAGTGAGCCAGCACAGCCGTCGCAAGCAGAGATAATTGAGATCTCGGACGATAATGAGCCGCCCGCACCAGATTCCAACAGGAGCAAAGCAAGTATTGATAAGCCTGGTAGTGTGCGCAAGAGCAAGCTGATCGTCCTTGATTGATTCACATGCGTAGGTACTTAGCTCGACTGGAATCCGGGGGTGGCAACTCGGCTATACGATGCCCATTCTTCACTACCTCGTTTAGGTTTACCTGCAGTAGAGCAGAGCACAGCTATTGGCTGCAGAGATCACACGCCTACGTTAACTACTGGCGCTCGTTCTTCCGCATTTGGCAACGTTCCTCCCTCGGCCGATCGCAGTGCTATTTTCACAAGGCGACTATGTTGCCCTCAGGACTTCAAGTACGTCCAGATGTATCTATAAGGACAGAATCCATACAATACGGCGTGTATCGGCAAGAGATGCCGACGCTGTGAACACGATGCCGCTAGAAAATTTGAGAAGTGGTGTGACAATGAAGACGTTAAGCAGAGTCAGCAATAGCGGCCAGGCCTGAGTAAGCGTGCGTTATGGGGATGTATCCTCTGGAGCGGACCTAAAGTCGCGCCGATCATGACTGTACTTGGCACCGGCACGGACAGCAGAGCTCCCGAGGTAGTCTGTGTACACGAGCGCAGGCGAGCATGACCTTGTTCCCGGCTATTATCGTCGTAGATATTGCAAGACGGTTGCAGGATCAGGTCCATGTAGTGCACCAAATACCAGCATCTTTACACGCAGTGGTGGGTGCATGAGAACTGTCAGCACCACATTGGTGTTGGAGCGGTGGGGGCCCTGTCGCACAGCATTTCCAAAGCTGACAACAGCTTTGTTTCAGCACAACCACGAGCTGATAGACAAAGTTCGGTCGGCACCCCTCACACGGATCGAGCCAGCCCTGAGCCGCCAGAGCAATCAAACCAAGATCGAAGGTGTCGGCATATTAAAACGGAAGAGAGCCAATCATGTTTCATCCATTTGATGCCGACGCCGGCCGCTTAGTCTGGCTCTCAATTCCGCATATGAAATGATTTGTGTCCGCACTTCCTGACACCGCTCACCCCGTCGTTCCTCTCTTCCTCTCTCGCTCTGACAGTGACATCTCCCACGCCCCCGGTCATAAATATACATTCCCAAATTGTGCCTCGATAAACCATTGACCATCATGGAGGCCCTTCTCCGCCAGTCGAGGACCATGTGCCCGTTCCTGCACAAGACGTCCCCGGCTACGCTTCGCTCGCTCTCTACCACTACCGCCGCCAGCCACGATGTCTCTCCCAGTGCTGGAAGCATGTCGAACCTCCAGGTGCTCGGCAAGCGCTGCCCCATCATGGGAAAGGCACTTGCTGTCCAGAGCGCCCGCACTGGCAATAGCGCCCTCGCTGGAGCATTCGGTGGCATGCGCGCCTACCACACCCGTGTCAACCGCGCCAAGTTGCACACAACTGCGCACAAAGAGGCTCACGTTGAGACCGAGCGCGTCCGCGGCCAGCAAGGTAAGAATCGATTTTCGGAGGCGATGAAGTCGTATACGTCATCTCCGCCACATCAAAATCTCGACGAACATCGACATCAAAGTGCAAATCGCTGACGTTCGTTGCAGCTCCTAGTCCGTTCCCTCCTGCAGCGCAGAAGTCCGCCACCGCCCGATCTGCAAATGTCGGCAAAGGGCAGGGTGCGAAGGCCGCACACTTTGATTACGAGGCGTACTACGAGAGCGAATTGGACAAGAAGCACAAGGACAAGTCGTACCGCTACTTCAACAACATCAACAGGCTGGCTAAGGAGTTTCCTCGCGCTCACAAGGAATCGCCAGAGGACAAGGTTACCGTATGGTGTTCGAACGACTACCTCGGCATGGGTCGGAACCCGGCTGTGCTGAAGTCGATGCACGAGACCCTGGATAACTACGGAGCTGGAGCCGGAGGAACCAGAAACATCTCCGGTCACAACCAGCATGCAGTGGCATTGGAGAACACTATTGCGAAGCTTCACTCGAAGGAGGCTGCTCTTGTCTTCTCATCGTGCTACGTTGCGAACGATGCGACTCTTGCGACGCTCGGTAGCAAGATGCCCAACTGCGTCATTCTCTCAGACAGCCTCAACCATGCGTCCATGATCCAGGGCATCCGTCACTCTGGTGCGAAGAAGATGGTCTTCAAGCACAACGATGTTGCCGACCTCGAGGCCAAGTTGGCTTCAATTCCCGCTGAATACCCCAAGATCATTGCCTTTGAGAGTGTCTACAGCATGTGCGGCTCCATTGGCCCCATTGAGGAGATCTGCGACCTCGCTGAGAAGTACGGCGCGATCACATTCTTGGATGAGGTCCACGCCGTTGGCATGTACGGATCCCACGGTGCTGGTGTTGCTGAGCACCTTGATTACGAAGCCCACAAGGCCGGCAAGCCCGAAGGCACCATCATGGACCGCATCGACATCATCACCGGAACGCTTGGAAAGGCCTACGGCTGTGTCGGTGGCTACATCGCTGGTTCTGCGAAGCTTGTTGACACGGTCAGATCTCTGGCACCTGGCTTTATTTTCACCACCTCCCTCCCACCAGCGACCATGGCTGGTGCGAAGACGGCCATTGAGTACCAAGCTGAGTACCAGGGTGATAGGCGCCTCCAGCAGCTTCACACCCGTGCGGTCAAAGACGAGCTAAACGCCCGCGACATCCCCGTCATTCCCAATCCTAGCCACATTATACCTGTCTTGGTCGGAAATGCGGAGATCGCCAAGAAGGCCTCTGATCTGCTTCTCGAGGACTGGGGTATCTATGTCCAGGCGATCAACTACCCTACCGTCCCCGTCGGCCAGGAGCGTCTCCGTGTCACGCCTACTCCCGGTCATATCCGCGAATACCGCGAGCACCTGGTTGAGGCGTTCGATGCAGTCTGGAAGCAGCTCGACATCAAGCGCACCAGCGAGTGGGCTGCTGAGGGCGGTTTCATTGGCGTTGGCGAGGCCGGCAAGGCCGAGGAGCTTCCTCTCTGGACTGATGAGCAGCTCGGCGTCGACACTGTCTTGAAGGAGATGAAGGCCGGCCAGGGCGCTGTTGGTATCCTCGAGGCCGTTCTCGAGAATGAGCGCAAGGCCACAGCTCAGGCTGTCGGCGCTTCTGCTTAAGGTGCTTGGCTTTTTCAACGTTGGGTTAGGTCTGGTCGCTCCTTTACTTTTGAGATCTAGGATAGCTTCGCCGTATGGCAGTTGAATTGATCTTCTATCTTCCTGCCGCATATGGACTCGACGATTGACCCAGACGTGAGCGCACGTAGTTTGCGTGATGATGTAAGCGTGAATGTAAGCTCACTCGACAGTGACATGTCATCAGGCCACAGAAGATGCCCAAATCTAAGCCGAACACGTCTCGCTTGTTCAGGATGTCGACATGAGACGAATCTCCAACATGTTCTCGCCGCGAGTGAATTGGTGTGGGGCTGGCCGACTTGTAGACTTGGCAATGCGTTCGCGCTAGTGACGCATTGAGCTTCCGCAAAGACAGCTCTCGTTCGCAAACCCAGCCGCGTGTACGCATCGTGCATTGCGACTCTTTCTTTGTCACGTTACCGCCTCTATCCCCTCGCGGTTTCGTGTCTCCGAATCATAACCCCCAACCGGATCCCACGCGCGGCCGCGCTTACCGACCGAACAAAGCTCGCCCAGCCTCACGAGCTTCCGCGCATGTTCCTCTCATACTAATCGCGACCTTTCCCTTCGCCGGTCTCGCGACCACCAGAGACACGCGCCCACAATGGCTCCTGGACCCAAGAGAAAGCGTGGCGATGGCCGCACCTACTCACAGGACGACAGCCCGCGACCGTCGCCGCATCGGCCGCAGGGCCTCCCGTTTGCGCACAACCAGCATCAGCACAGCCCGCGCGGCGGACGAGGGGGCGGCGACAGGCGGCACAGCAGAGGAGGGAGTGGTATAGGCGGCGGCGGCGGCCGAGGAGCGTTTAGTGTGCCGCAAAGCCCCGGCCTGTCGCATGCTCCTCCACCGCCCGCAAGGTCTGCGGCAGCGAGCCAGCCGCAGCCACCGCCCCGACCCGCGCAGACGGCCCCTCCGGCCCCAGCGCCGCCCACGCCCAAAGAGCCCGTCGCGGCACCCGCAGCGCCGACTCACCCAGTGCCGCAGAGCAATGAGTACCTGACGCCCCGGCGCATTGCGAGGTGGAACAATGACGCACGGCAGGCAGTCACCGAGGCGGCGACGGCGGCCCTGCGCGACGGCAGCGCCCTCACACTGTCCGTCATCTTCCACGAGATCATCGAGGCCGCGATAGACGGCCAGCTGGGCTCAGGCGAGCTGGGCGCGTTGGTGCGAGACATTGTCGCTGCCCCTGCCAGTGACTCGGTGGACCCGCTGTCGACGTTCCTCGACACACTCAGCTCCCTGGCAGGAACCGAAGAGAAGCAGCGGACTGTGCGGCCCATGCTCGTGGCTGCAGACATCGACGTCGACCGCATGCGCATCGAGCTCGACGCGCCCCTGCTCCAGTCCCTCGAGCTGGTCCGCACCAGCTTCAACAAGATGGCAGTCCGCAAGGCTACACACGCACTGTACCGCCAGTCGAACTACAACCTCCTCCGCGAAGAGACCGAGGGCTATGCGAAACTCATGACCGAGTACTTCACCACGGTGAACAGCGAACCGCCCACGCACGACGTCGTCAGCGAGACATACCAGCGCGTCAATGCACTGATCGGTGCCTTCGACCTCGACATTGGCAGAGTCCTTGACGTGACACTCGACGTGTTCGCCAACCTTCTGGTCAAGCACGGCAAGTTCTTTGTTAAGCTGCTCCGCACGAGTGCATGGTGGCCAGAGCAACGTGGCTTGGAAGGCATCGAGTGGGAAGAGCCCGAGGTCGCGACGCTGCCAGAATGGGCACAGCCGAAGTCTGCTACATGGTACTATTCGGAGGAAGAGAAGGCCGATCGAGCCCAGCTCCGCGAACGCCGAGACCGCAAATTCTGGGACCGCGTGGGAGAGCTCGAAGCTTCACGCAAGGGCAAGGGCATCGAGGCCTTTTTCGAGCTCGGCGCTCGACGCATCACATCGAACAACAGACCAAGGGACGAGAAGATACACGCCGAGGGTGCTACACTTTCCGATCAACAAGCTGCCCGAAAGTGGGCTGATGATTGGATGTCACAAACTGGCACGTTACCGCCTTCTGGTAACGACACAGCCGCCCAGCTTCTTGGCTTCAAGCTGCAGTTCTACGCATCAGATGCCCGCGACGCATCAGATTTCCTCCCCGACAACCTCATTCACCTAGCCGCACTGCTCATTAAAGTTGGCTTCATCTCTCTCCTGGATCTCTACCCACATTTGTACCCGCCGGAGGAAGAAATGTCTGCACATCAAAAGAGAATGGTTCAGGCCAAGAAAGACAAAGAAGAGAAGGAGCAGGGAAAGGACAACGCCCTGACAATGTCGGTCCTGACAGACGACTCAGTGTCAGGACCACCAGCTGTCAGCCGCCTTCGTGAAGCCGATAAATTCACAAAGTCTGAGCCTGAGAGCGGCGCCTCTGCCAAGTCCACTGACGCGGCAGACGCCAGACCAGCATTGCCAGAGCCTGCTGATCAAAAGTACCAGCTCCTCAAAAGCTTGCTGTGTATCGGTGCTCTGCCTGAGGCTCTCTTCATACTCGGACTGCATCCCTGGCTGTTGGAAGTCTACCCAGATCTCCTAGAACTTGTGTCTCGGTTAGCACATCACTCGCTCAGCAAGATTTACGAGGCAGCAAGACCTGTTTCTGCCGAACAGATTCCAGTCGTCACGAAAGGATATGGGACTCGCCCGAGCGACTTCGTACATCGACGAACACTTCGCTGGCCCAAGCCAGATCAGAAGGATGCTGGTGACGGCATCGACTATCGTTTCTACTGGGAGGACTGGGACGACAACGTACCGGTCTGCCAGACTGTCGACGACGTCATCAAGCTGTGTACCACACTTCTGGGTCTTGTAGGCCCGGATTGCGGTCAAGATACCGTTCTTTTGACCAAGATTGCGCGGATCGCGAGGAAGGACTTTGCAGACGACCCATCGGACGTCAATCGGCAACGCTGGATCAAATTTTCGACGACATTCCTGGCTCCGACACTATCCTTTACTGGGCAAAACCCAGGCGTGGTGAACGAGGTTTGGGAACTGCTCAAGCAATTCGACACCGCCACAAGGTTCACAATCTACGACCAGTGGCAAGTCAAAGGCTCGACCAAGCCTGCGTTCAGGATGTTGTTCAAGAAAGTGAACACCAAAACCAGCAAGGAGCTGAACAAGATCACCACTACAAACGCCAAGGAGGCAGGGCGCAAGATTGCCAAGATCTCATACTCGAACCCTGGCATTGTCTTCAAGAATATTGTAACACGACTCATTGGATACCCAAACATGATCGACGCCCTTGTGGAGTGCAGCAAGTACATCACCCTCCTCGGCTACGATGTCCTGACCTGGACCCTCGTCACCACCCTCACAAACTCCAACAGGGAAGGCAAGAAGGGCGACGGCATGTTCGCTCAGGGCTGGCTCACCAATCTGTCGTTGTTCATTGGTAGGGCGTACCAAAAGTACGCACTGCTGGACCCAACACCAGTGCTGCAGTACACCACGCACCAGCTCCTGCAATCTTCGGGCGAGCTGTACATGCTCGATGTCCTCGAACAGATGGTCAAATGGATGGGTGGTATCGGGCTTACCGGCACACTCTCCGAGTCTACAGTCTTATCCTTGAGTGCAGGACCGATTCTCCGTGCATACACTCTACAGCACAATCTGTTCGATACCCGTCACCAGGCTGTTACCTCGGCTAAGCGCCTTGCCAAATGCCTGAAGGATAAGAATCTCGCGCCACAGATCCTTGTCGCACTGGCACAGCACGTCGAGGCCTTCATCCATCGCGACGATATGCTTGACGCTCCTGACAAAGTAGTGTTCTTCAACGCCGATAAGCTCTACTCCAACCTGTACCAGTATCTTGAGTTCCTCCGCGCGTATATTTCTGAGGAGGAATTCGACACCGCCTTTCCAGGACTAATTGAGATGATCTCCGATTATGGTGTGGACCCCACCATTGCTTTCACCATCTGCCGTGCGAGCATAGCTGCAAAAGCGAACGCGTTCAGAATTGAGCAGCAGAGCAAAGCTTTTAGAACAAAGGACAAGATTTCCGATGGCGACATTGTAATGGAGGGAGCAGAGAACGCATCAGCTATCGGCGCCGTTGCAACTTCGCAGGCTACGAATGACGACACAACTGCAGAGAGAAACGACGTCGAGATGGACGATGCAGCGAAAATCGGATCTGAAGACGCTTCAACGGAAGCTCTCACTGCTGGAGCGGCGAATGCCGAGATTGAAAGTGTGGTGGAAAAGCTCAAGGCAGTACTACCTCAATCCTTCGCTAGGCATCCTTGTCTTTCGTTCTATGTTACGTTCTGGCAACTCTCTCTTCCTGATGTGGACCAGACCGGCATCAGAGAAAGGTATCGCGAGATGATTGATAAGTTCCAGCGACAAGCAGCTCCTGTTCACACAGGAGGCCGCTATAACTCCCGTATCCCTAAGCAGGACACGCAAGAGCAGCGTCGTGCGAAGGAAGAGATCACGAAGCTGAACAAGGAACGAGACGTCGTTGCCAAGACGGCAAAGGCTACGCAAGATCAGCTACGAGTCGAAATGAGCCGATGGTTTGCGGACGTGCCTATGGTCGGCTCGCAATCCGATGCCCTACACCTAAACCTGCTGCAGGACTGTTTCATTCCTCGCAGCCGCATGTCTCTTCACGACGCGCAATACACCTCTTCGATGCTCCTGTTCATGCATGGTTCTGGCGTGCCTGGATTCCGCATGGTCAAGATACTCGACTACCTGTTCAGCGCGAACAAACTAAGCGCTATTATCGGAATGTACTCGGAGGAGGAGTCAAAGAACTTTGGTCGATTCCTGAACGATATTCTCAGGGAGCTGCAGAAATGGCACGACAACAAGAGCGATGCGTACGCCAAGTTTGCGTGCGGTACAGACAAGAAGCTCCCCGGATTTGGAAAGAAGTTTGACGCCAAACGAAATGCCGAGATCCACCTGGATTATACTGAATTTTGCTTTGTCACCTTCAAATGGCATAAGGCTTTGTTCACTGCGCTCAAGGTCTGCATCGAGAGTGGGAGATACTCGGAGATCCGCAACGCAATCAGTGTCCTGAACTCGGTGTCATCGAGCTTCCCTAAGGTCGATACTATGCGTGACGAGCTACAAGCACCGCTAGAGCGCATCGCGGAGAACGACGAGAGAGATGATCTTAAGATCTCCGCGCAATCCACATTTAGGATCTTCAAGCAGCCGAAGACGCACTGGCGTACCGAATGGCAGTTCCGCAACGTGAGTCGCAACGATAAAATCCGAAAGCTCACCCATGCTGATCAGTCGAAGCAACCCGCCCCAGCAGATGCCGCGAACGGGACCAGCAAAGCTGGTTCTCAGACGCCGCAACCGAAAGACGCTCCTGCGTCGAAACTCAACGCTAATGCGCCTGCCTTCAAGTCCAGAAGCGAATCGTAAGTCAGCCCGCCGACACAAAATCGTCAGTCGCTCACATCCAATACAGCAATGGGACACCAAAACCAACAGACGGTACCGAAGATGTCGTGCAGAAGCGCGGATCAACGCCTGTCACTCCAGCAGCTCGCTCCAGCGAAAGAGAGTCTAACAAGGCTAGTACGAGAGACACTGATGGCAGGGACCCGACCCCCTCGCAGCAGGAGCGTGGCAACACACCATCTGCCCGGGGCACCCCGGGACCTTCCAGTGCCACAACTGTACCTTCTCGTCTTGACAGATCGACGCCAACTCATACTCAGCCTATGGGCAGACCTTCTCATGCCTTGCCCATCAGGCCGGACTCACAGCCTCTTCGATCGCGACCTGATCGTCAATCTGACTATGGCCCTCCTCAAAGTCGACACGACAGCCGTCCGCCTAATGACTATGGACGTCTTGATCGTCCCCTCGATCCCCGTGACAGACCGATCCCTAGTGGTAGGGACCTAGAGAGAGGTGCTGGTCCTATGGAACGCCGTGACTACGGCAGAGGAGACCCAAGAGAGTACGACGAACGAGCTATGCGAGCACCCCCCAGAGATGTCCGAGGACCCATTCGTCCCCCTCCACAGTGGGAGCCTAGGGAACCCCGCGACCCTACGCATGCCAGGGACCATCGCGAGCGACTTGACCACAGAGGCCATCCCGTGCCGCCGGCTGTGGAGCCTAGGAGAGCACCTTCAAGCTCGAGCCTTTCACAAGAGTACAATGCACACCAACGTGATGCGCCACCATCTCGGCACCAGGCACCTGACAGGCAAGACGCTGCACCCTCTCGGCCACCTGCCAATCTGCCAACACCCACGGATGCTCACGCGGTCAATCCCGCTCGTGCTGCTTTGATCGATGCCCCAGTCAATCCACAACGTGCAGCGTTCATCAATGAGGCCGTACCTACAAGACATGAGTCTCCTCGATCCGATCGTGACAGCCGCCGTGAGAGAGAATCACGTCCTCAATCACCAAGGAGAGGGGATGATCGCCGCGGTGAGGAGCGTGGCGCACCACCTCAACACAGTCGCAGTGATGCGCCTCGTGAACTTCGAGAAGAGCGCATGCCTCAACAGGGACCACCTCCTGGTCGTGACCGCCGAGAAGAGATGAGCGTCAACAGCATGCCGACTGGTCCGCGTATACCACGAAGCGAGCCCTCGTGGCCCGAGGTCTCAAGCTCCTCCAGGGGTTCTCGAGAAATGTTCCAGCCATTACAATCATCACGACAGTTGAACAGCCAGTCACAGGATCCCAACTACGGTAGGCTTAATGCGCCCTCTGAGCCAACTCCTTCTGGTCCTCGCAGTCAGTACCCCTTCTCACGCATTTCCACGCCTACTAATAGACGCAGGCGACCGTCGTGATGCAACATCTCAACCACAACCAGCAAGCGCGCCCTCAGGCCCAGCATCGGCCAACGCTACCCCAGTTGGCATACACCCTAGTCGACTCCAAGCGAACTTTGGTGGTAGTAGGCCAAATGCACCGCCGATTCAGACAGACATGTCCAGCGCGCCGAGCGGACCTCGTGGTGGCAGGCCGCCCCAAGGGCTCCTACCTTCACCAGTAGGCCGCGGACCTCCCACAGGGCCTGCGTTCAATCACGAGAGAGCACCACGCAATGCAAACCCAATGCGAGCTATCAACAGCGTATTGAGCCAGAACGCACCTTCGCCAACGGAACGCAATGCGCCGGCTCAGAGCCAGAATGCTCCCGTCAATGTGCGCGGTCGCGGTGCCAACCGCGCCAATGGACCCAACGATGGACCAGGCGGACCGAGCAGCCCTATGCCACCACCACAACATGGCGCGATAACTGGATCTCGTTCTGAAGGTCAGCAGTCCAGGAGCGAAAGACAAGGCCCACCTAGTGAGATGGAAGGTGAACATCAGGATGTGCGATTAGATTCACGCAGCCGTCGCACTGAAGCCAGACGTGAAGAGCGGGCTGGGCGTGATAGAGACCATGAGAAACGGTCGGACGACCGAAGCAATCGCAATGGCTCGAGCCAACGGAGTGAGCCAGGACAAGAACAAGAGCGAGGATCTGACCGCGAGAAGCGCGAGAAGAGAGGCAGTGACAGAGAGAGTAGCAGGCGACACGGCGAACGAGAAGGCGAGCGCTCGAGTCGTGAAGCAGGAGGAGAGCGATCGGGTCGTGAGCCCCGCGAACCTCGCGAAAGGGCCGAACCCCGTGAACCCCGCGAAAGTAAGCCTCACCGCAGCTCTCGTGACGAGGGCCGCCCATCAGGATCAGGACGGGAAGAGCGCGATAGACGCAGCAGAGGAGGCGGCGGAAGTGCTGGCGATGATGGACGAAAGCGACCTCGTGAGCCTACGGACCAGCCGCACGGCGACATGAAGCGCAGGCGATAGACATACACCAGCATCAACATCACCGTTACACACTACATCAAGACTATACTTTCGACGCCAACACCACGTTTAAATATGTCATCTCTTTGTCTGTTGGAATCGGGAGGAGCATTGCATTGCATGGCGTTTGGCATCATGATACCCCGGACATTTTGCGATGGGATGTATGATATTGGGGCATTTGTCACAGATACAAGTTCGCATGTCTTCGAGTTGTTTCAACATCTTTGGGCTTATTCCTGACCCTGATCGTACATCTACTCAATCACAAGTGACGGTTCCTATGATTTGAAAATTTCCTTTACAGGAGAACTTGACGCGTGCATTGATTAGAAGTCTCATTGCTCGACCTCGGGTCCTTGTCATTCCAGTGTTCCAACCACCCCCGATTCTCCCGGTCTGTTGCGTGCCTGCGGACGAAGTCGCCATCGCATAACTCGCAGTTTGTGTATGAGCAACGACGATGACGTAGCATAGAGTTCTGATCCTGATGGATCTACGAGCAAAGGGGCTTGAACTGCATATGGGGCGCTGATGCAGTGAATATACAAGGGATGTTCTGCAGGACGACTTGTTTGATTGGCGATCTGGTTGCTCACGGGGCGTACTGAGCAGCTCAGCAACCACCTTTCTCCCCATTTTTTTCACCCTGCGTGCTCGAGCGGTTGAATCGACTCTTCTCCCAGGTTTTCGATACGTGGACGCCGTCATGGCGATGCGTCGAATATAGTGGCGAGGAATACCATGGCGACCGGTACCATGTCGCATGGCATGATGCCAGGCTGAAGATGAGGGGCTTTGCGATTGAACACTAGCATGTAGTGGGGGAATGTTGCTTGACTTTGCCCGATGAGACAGATGCTCTTCACTGGGCGAGGAGCGGTGAGGCTTCACTGGACGAGGAGCGGTGAGGCTTCACTGGGCGAGGAGCGGTGAGGGAGGATGCAAACATGTTGTCTAAATCAATCGTGCTCGTCTAACAAGCATGCACTAGGTGCCGAGCTGTACCCACTGTCGCTCGCACCGTCCCGGCAAACAAACTCCGGCTCTGACTCCGGCACACATCGACGATGTAGTGTACACATGCACCAACCCCGTCCAACAAAGCGAAAGTTCCAATGTATCGCGTAGAGCCCCGTCGCAAGAGATGGGGAGAGAGAAAAAAAAATCTGGTGGTGGTACAAGGCGGAGGCCGTTGGCGACTAGACCTCTCCATCAGCGACGGCGAGACGCTGCTTGGCCGTCTTCGCCTTCTTGCTGAGGCCCTTCTTCTTCTTGCCGCCAACGGGGTCCTCGGTGCCGGGGACTGGTGTTGCGGCCCCGCTGGGCTTCTCGCTCTGGTCGAAGTGGCCTTCACCTGTAGATTCGTTAGCTCGGTTCTATTTGCCATGGAGTGCGCCGTCTTACCCTCGTGGTACATATCGTCCAAGTTGGCCTCGACGCGCTTCTTGTTCTTGCGCTTCTTGCCTGGCGGTGCATTCTTCTCTTGCTCAGCAAGTTCAGCCTCCTTCTTCTCAATCTCGGCTGCTTGTTCGTCGTCCACGAGCCACATGGCCATGTCCTTGGTGCGGTTCTCCCGGGAGCGGGTGTTGAAGTCGACTGCGCCGCCAGCGCCTCCGGAGATGACGACGCGCTGCACTTCTTCCTTTTGCAGCGCACGCTTGCGGATGCGCTCTTCAATGGTACCACGAGTGATGAGACGGTAGACGGTGACCTGTCTGGTCTGACCGAGACGATGGGCACGATCCATGGCTTGCGAGTCGATGGTAGGGTTCCAGTCGGAGTCGTAGAAAATGACCGTGTCGGCCGAAGTCAAGTTGATACCGAGGCCACCAGCACGCGTGGACAACAGGAAGACAAAGATGGATGGGTCGCTCTGGAAATCGGCGACAGTGTCTCGACGGTCCTCGAGCTTGGTTGATCCGTCGAGGCGGACGAACTTGTAGTTGCGGTAGGTGAGGTACTCCTCCATCAGGTCAATCATCCTCGTCATCTGGAAGTAGAGGAGCACACGATGGTCGTTGGCCTTTAGCTCCTTCAGCAAAGCGTCCAAACGAGCGAGCTTTCCAGAGTCGGTGACGAAGCGCGACATGGAAGGAGCCTCGATATGCGTGAACCTCGTCCTTTCGTTGGTCGGAGGCGGCAACCTGTCGCGCACCGTCAAAGCTGTGACATCCGCCTTGGTCTCCAGCACGGCCTGCTCAGCGGTGCTCGAGATGCCGAACAAGGCGGAGCGTATCGAGGGGTTGAACAAGGTGTTCTGCTTCTCTGCAATGACGGCCTGGCTAGCGCAGTACAGCTCGACTGGCGGTGCCGCAGCGGCTGGCTTCGAACATCGCTCGACAATGTGGAGTCCCGTCTCCTCAAAGGCAGGTTGGGTGACATTGAGCAGGTTGTGCATGTAGCCCTCGGTACTCAGCTCAGCCAGAGGTGTCCGGTCCTGTCGACGGACAATGTTCAGCATCGAGTGCTTTGGCGTGTAACTACCGTTCTCATCGTCGTAGAGCATGTTGAAACGAGCAGCCTTGTTTGGCTTCTCGCCAAGCTGGAGAGACCGCTGGAACAGGTCGCTCTTGGCAATCTTGGAGGCTTCAGTGACTGACAGGTCCGCGAATCGAAGCCACGAATGGGCGCCAGCTTCTCGGGCCGACTGCTCCAAGTTGTCTGGACTCCAGATGTTGAGCCGGTGGTACAGCCAGTGTGCGTTGAAGCCAGCCTTGGGGTTCTCCGAACCAGCCATGTCGAGCCTTCCACCGTTGCGGCACACGAGCCGCGGCAATGTGTACTCGATGGCACTGCGCGTCGAGTATGCTACTCGCACGGTCCGGCCCTCGCGTAAAAAGGACCCAGTCTCGGCAAAAGTGCCGAAGAAGAACGGTGACCATGTATCGGCGCGCTCAAACAGGTCAGGATGGTTGCAGACCTTTCTGAACTGCATGACAAGGTTCATCAGCGTCGCACTGTCCTGGTCGTCTCCCACTGCCTTTTCGATAAGATCCATGATGCTGATCTTGTTTCGCAGGTTGGTGTAGTAAGCGCGCTGTCGGTAGGTAAGGTCGCAGAAGACATCCAGCTCGATCTTGTCTCCCAATTCCTTCTGGACGTGCTTCTTGACACGCCTCAACATGAAGGGCTTGAGGATCATGTGCAGACGTCTCAGCTGATCCTCGTTCAGCTTGGTGTTGCTCTGTGCGTGGCTTTCGATATCCTTGGAGAACCAATCGCTGAACTCGTCGTGAGAGTCGAACAAGGTCGGCATGATGAAATGGAGCAAAGCCCAGAGTTCCTGCATGTTGTTCTGGATCGGTGTGCCCGTCAGCAGAAGACGATTTCGCGAGTGGAAAGCAAGCAAGCTCTTCCATCTCGAGCTCTGAGAGGACTTGATGGCCTGGGCTTCGTCGAGGATCATGTACTGCCAGCGCATCTTCTGGAAGTACTGTGCGTCCTGAACGACGAGCTGGTAAGAGGTGACGACAACGTGGAATGGCGAGTCTCGGTCGTATGTGACGTGCTTGCGGTCCCAGAACTTGCGCAGAACCTTTCGGTCCTTTGCTGTACCCCAGTATGGCAAGACATTGAGATCTGGAACAAAGCGCGTGATTTCCTGTTGCCAGTTGTGCAGCGTGGAAGCCGGTGCAATGACAAGAAAAGGACCCCAAATGTTGTAGCGCTCAGCCAGGTACGCCATGACGGAGATGGACTGGACCGTCTTGCCAAGACCCATCTCGTCGGCCAAGATACCGTTGATACCCTGCTCGTACAGGTTGACCAGCCAGTTAAGACCCTTGAGCTGGTACTCCTTGAGCGTGCAATTGAGCAAGCCCGGTTGGGGTATCCAGTCTTCTCTGTTCTGCAGACCAGAGGGATTCTGAAAGTTCAGCTCGCCGTCTTCTTCGCCGTCCGCGGGCTTGTTGAAGGCCCGGGCCTTGTCCTGCGCCTCCTGGATGGCATTTTGAGCATTGGCCATGGCAGCAGCGTGGAGGGCGCTCTCGTCGTCGTTGTCGAAGTCGAGATCCTCGAAATTCGTAACCTTTGCGCCGCCTCCGGCCGTGGCAAACTTGGAGGTGTCGATGCCTGCGTGCTCCTCGGCGGGTGCGCTCGCCGCAGTCTCGGCGTCGTCGGTCGACCTCTCAATCTCTGCCGTCCTGGCCTTCTTGCCGATGAAGTGGGAGTAGAGCTCCGTCTGCGAGATGAGGAAGTTGAGCTTCCGCTTCTGCCGATTGGCCTCGCGGTCGGCCTCTGCCTTCTTTGCGCTCTCGAGCTCCTGTCGCTCGGCGTTCTTTCGTGATTCGCGCTCGTCGCGCTCGTTCCTCTTCCAGTACGCCAGCATCTCTCGCATACCGCGCTTGGCTCGCGCCTGCATGTCTTTGGTGTTCTTGTTTGTGCGCATCTGCCACCTGCGGGCCTCTTTCGACGCCAGCTGGGCCGTCTTGCGAAGGTTCGATTGCTTGGTAGACAGCGAGTTCTCCTTGATGCGCACGACCTTGGGAACGTCTTTGCGAGCAATGTCCTTGACGATCTGGTTGTAGATGTTGCGGTATACCTGTGAATCATAGGATGTGAGCACCACGGGCCCGAGGTCCTCAGTCTGGCTGCGGCTCCCGAGCAGACCGAGGCGCTCCTGCTCGCGCGGTGTAATGGCAGGAAGGTCGTCGCCGCGGTCAATGGCAGCTTGTCCAGCGGCAGCAGCGTCCTTTTCGGCCTGCTTCTGCTCCTTGCTCTTCTTGAGTCGTCCTGTGCTGCGACCGCCTTTGCGTTTCCCGCCGGCTTCGTCAGACGTCTGGAAAGAGCTCATCGTGCCGCCCTCCATGTTGGGACCGTTGGGCGTGACGTCGCGCATGTCCTTGGCCGGCGCGTTGCCCTGCAGCAGCTGCGATGTGTTCTTGGCCTTGCGCTCGGCCTTTTGCGCAGCCATGAGATGCCTCTCCTTCTCCTCCTCGTTGTCGGCCTGGCCGGCTTTGGCCAGTGCTTCGGCGCGCTTGGCCTCCTCGTTCTGGAGCGTCTTCTCGCGCCGCCTCTTCCGCTGCATGTCTTTCTTGCGCTCCTTTTCTTCGGCAATCTCCTGGCTCTGCACTTGCTGCCATGCCTCGCTCTCGTGCTCCTGGTTGTACGACTGCTTGGCATAGTCGCGATGTGCAATCATGGTGTCGACGTACTTTTGCAGGTGCGCGTCTCGTCGACGCTTGCGCTTGCCGTCTTCTGCGGCTGCAAGTTCCAGGGCCCGCTTCTTGCTGTTCTGCGCGTACGCGTCGCGCTCGTGCGGCGCACCAGCGGGGTCGAGCTCGCTCATCTGCTTGGTCTCGATGCCCGCAAGCTCGGCCTGCACGTCGGCCTCGTCTGGCAGAGGGAGCTCGCGGGCCGCGCGTGGCTGCGGCGGCATGGCCTCGTATGCTCGGTAGCCGTTTGCGTGGGGCACGTCAGGCGGTGCCGGCGACGGTTGGCGCTCCTGCTTGACCAAGAGCGGTGCCTTGGAGCTGTAGGCAGGCGCGGGCTGCGGGGGCTTGGCGGGCCCGTTGTCTGCGCCAGGGGACATGATGCTGGAGAGCGACATGGGGTCTGCGCGCGTCGGCAGCGACAGCGGCAGCGGCGGCGGCGGCGGCGGGGCCTGTGCCAGGTCAGCGACGCGGGCTCCACTCGCCTCCTCCTTGATGGACGCCCGGCTCGCGTAGGGCTGCGGCGGCGGGTGGGCAGGGCCGCGGGCCCTGGCCTGGTAGACCGAGGGCGAGACGGGCGAGTGCGAGTGCGAGACGGCGTCCATGGCGGGCGACGGGTGCGCGTACGGGGCGACGGGCGAGTGCTGCGGGCGCTCGTAGGGGCTGTGTGCCGGACGCGCCTCGGGGTAGGCGTGCGGGTCTCGGGGGTCTCGGGGGTCTCGGGGGTCTCGAGTCTGCGGGCGGCGCTGGTTAGCTCGGGGTCCTTCTAGACGCGTCGCGGGCATACGCACCGGCGGGGAGAAGTGGCTCGGGGGCGGCGCGGCGTCGCGTGCTACAGGCCCATTGTCCTGCGTCGGGTCGTAGTATGCGTTGCGGTCGCGCGTGCCGGCCGCGTAGAGAGCGGTGCTGATGGACGGCAGCTCGGTGGGCACCGGCGCGGCGGGCGAGCGGTGGAGGGCGTGATAGGCGTGATGGGGGTGATGGGGGTGATGGGTGTGTTGGTTGTGTTGGGTGTGCTGGGTGTGTTGGGTGTGCTGGGTGTGCTGAGTGTGCTGGGTGTGCTGGGTGTGCTGGGCGTGCTGGGCGTGCTGGGACGGGTGGGTGTGTTGCTGGTGCGGCAAGGGGACGGCGCTGGGCGACTGGTGTGGGTGCGGCGGTCCTCCTGTGCTAAAAGCAGCTGGTGTTTGCGTCGGCGAGCGGCAGGCTGTCTCCCCTTCTTGGGGCCCTGCCATTGTTCTTTCGCGCAAGTGGCCGTCCATGGGCGCGCAACATCAACAGCGAAGCCTCAGCGAAGCCTCAGCGTGCGGACAGGCGCTCGACCATCGGCGGGGGCCCGCAGCGCTGCAGATGAGATGCTGGGCCTGGCGGTGCGCGCAGTCGTCGGCGGATCTGGTGCGGCGCCGTGTTCCGACGTCTGCTGGGCGTGCTGTGTCGTCTGCGCGCAAGCTCCGTGGGCGGTGATGCAGACGGCAACGCACGCTGGGAACGGCAACGGGAGCGTGGGCAAGCACGGCGAGCGCGGAGGGACGTCGAGGGCTGGTGTGGAAAGCTCTCGCCATCACACGGAGCCTCTGCCAGCCAGCTCTAGCGTGCGCTTCTGCGTCGACCAGCCTGAACCCGATCCATGTTGCGTGAAGATAGACGCGCCGCAGCACCAGCGACCAATTAATGCTCTGCACATGGGCCGGCCGTGGCAGCTTCCTGCAGCCATCAATTCACGTCTGCCTGCATCCTGTGTTGCCTTTCCCGCTGCCCTCTCTGCATTGACTCTTGCGCCTTGCTGGCTGCCCGCCGCTCCCACGCCCTTCCACCTGCTCGTAGTCCCCCCGGCCTGCCTTTTGAGAGAGCTCCGGCTAGCGCGTTCGCCCGTGCCCATGCCCATGCCCATGCCCATGCCCATGCCCACGCCAACGCGCAGCCATCGCGAATGCATCAATCATGAGCTGCCCTCTCCGCCTACCCGTCTGCGCCCCGTCTGTCTTCGCCTCTGAAACAAGCAAGACAGCCCGGCAGCCGACAATAGCTAATGGGCGTCGACGAGCGTTGGGACCTCGATGCTCATTGGATGGCAGCCATGGAAGGCGCGACCCGCACGACTGCTCTTAGCGTGCTTTCCGACCCACTTTATTTTGCTGCGCTTGGCGAAAAGATCTCCAGGCCTGCCAAAACATGTCCAGGTCTGCCAAAGGATCTCCAGGTCTGCCAACAGATATCCAGGTCCGCCAACAGATATCCAGGTCTGCCAACAGATATTCAGGTCTGCCAACAGATATTCAGGTCTGCCAACAGATATTCAGGTCTGCCAACAGATATCCAGGCCTGCCAAAAGCTGCGCGCGCGACCAGCATCGCAGCAACAGCAACATCGCCCAGATACCACCATGTCCGCCGTATTCAAGCAGCTGTCCGGCAACGACCGCGACGATGAAAAGCCCACCGGCGAGAAGAGGAACAAGCAGCGTGTGCTCATCCTCGTACGTTTTTGCGCCTCGGCCAGAGCATCAGAGCTAACGGCTACAGAGCTCGAGAGGTGTCACATTCCGCCATCGCCACCTGCTGCAGGATCTGTACTCGCTGATGTGAGTGTGTCCCAGGGACTCGGTCAGACTTGATGCTAACGGCAGAACAGGCCTCACAGCCGGAAAGAGGCCAAGTTCGACTCCAAGACCAAGCTCTACCAGCTGAACGAGATGGCAGGTAAGCACAATCCTTGTCCAGACTTGCGGCTGCACTCTAGCAAACTTGCTCATTCGTATTGACTCCATGTAGAACTCTACAACTGCAACAACATTCTGTTCTTCGAAGCGAGGAAAGGAAAGGATCTGTACTGCTGGATGAGCAAGCCGCCAAACGGCCCTACAGTCAAGTTCCACCTGCAGAACCTGCACACCATGGAGGAACTCAACTTCATCGGCAACTGTCTCAAGGGCTCCAGGCCCATTCTCTCATTCGACGCAGCCTTTGAGAAGCAGGCCCACCTCCGCGTCATCAAGGAGCTGTTCACCCAGATCTTCGGTGTGCCCAAGAACTCCCGCAAGACGAAGCCCTTTGTCGACCACGTCATGGGGTTCACGGTTGCCGACGGCAAGATCTGGATCCGCGTGTACCAGATCAACGAGTCCGAGACGAGCAAGAAGAAGCCCGTCGACGGAGCCGACAGGGACCCCGACGAGACGGCGAACAAGAAGAAGGGGAAGAGCTCCGACTTTGACGTCAGCCTGGTGGAGATTGGGCCGCGCTGCGTCCTCACACCCATTGTCATCCAGGAATCGAGTTTCGGCGGGCCCATCATCTACGAGAACAAGGAGTTTGTGTCGCCCAACCAGATCCGTTCGGACCTGCTCAAGGCCAAGGCTGGCCGCTTCAACACCCGCACAGACGCCCAGAGGGACTCGAGAAACAGGCGCGCAGACCTCGGCCTCACGAGCCACGGAGGCGTCAAAAAGGCAAAGGACCCGCTCAGCGACGCTGTCCTCTTTGCATAGTTACACCACGGTCTGGCAAAAGCATGGCGTTTTGGAATTTCTCATCTACTACTGGCGCAGGATGGACTGGATGCTGGACTGGATGCTGGACCAGCGGGCCGTCGAGTGTGCGGGTGCGATTCGCGACGGGGCCATGGGCGTGACCGTCTCCAGACGACACGAGTAGAGGGCGCACCGACACGAGTAGAGGGCGCAGAGCCGGCGGTGCGCCAGCGCGCGTACAGTTACAATACATCTACATCTCCACCCCCGCATCTACTCCGACGCAGCGCGTCTGCCCTGCGCAGCCTGCAGCGCACTCAGCGCATCGCCGCCCCGTCTAGCGCCTTCACTCCCGTCCCTCGCACCCACGCTCTTCCCATGCGCCCTCCTCCTCGCCGCCTCCTTCAGATCGATGTCCGCCTTCCGTATCCGCACGCCCTCAACCTTCTGAATCCTCGGCGCCTTGTTCGTTCTCTGCCACCGCCGCTGCGCGTCCGTCTCGCTCTGCATGCTCGCCGTGTTCAAGACGGGGAGGATGCCCTCGGGCGCTTCCGTCTCGATGGTTCGGATCACCGGCGCTGCTGAAGCGCTGCCGCGCAGCAGGGACGCGCGCTGCCGGTCTCTCCAGCTGAGCGGCGCGGGTGCGCGCTCGGCCGTCTCGGGAATCGAGGTCGACGGCGAGCTGGGCGCGGGCCCGGCCTGTGTCAGCGCCGCCTCGCGCTCGACGACGGCCGTGTTGACCAGCGGAGACTTGTTCCAGAGGTACAGGTGCGGCATTGCCTTGCCGACCCACTGCTTGCGCCACACTGCCGAGTAGGGCCTTGCGTTTCCGAGCGGTCGCTTGGCACTTCTTTGGGTCCGCTCGGCTGCCGTGGGGGTGCTTTCGATCAGTGGCATAGGCTGTGGTGACGGGGGGGATTCGCGAGGGGCCATTGCGTTGTTGCAGAGGGGAGAGTGATAGCCCATGTAGAGATAGCGCAGAGATTTGCCAATCCATTGTTTGCGCCAGAGTCTGGAGAATTGCGAGTACGCGGGGTTGCGTTTCGGCGTCTCGGCTGGGCTGTTGTCTTGCGCGTCCGTCTGCACTGGCCGCCAGAACTTGCGGCGTTCGTCTCGCGAGACCCGCGACAGCTGCTCTGTTCCCGAGCCCTCTTGGTCCAGCGCGTGGAGTCTGTTTTGTGCTTGCAGCGCGACCGTCTGCACGTCCGGCAGGCCTGTGCTGATGGTCCCCTCCGTATGCTCGGATGGTGTACTGTCCACCGGCCGATTGGCGAACACCGCACCTGCTGACTGCACGGCTGTGTGCGCGATCGCTTTGACCGCCGTTCCACCAGTGGGGCCTTCGATCCAGACGTCCCACGAGTGGCCCGTGTCTGTCTGCTTCTTCTTCTTGAGGCAGACGCGCATCTCCTCGTCGCAGTACAGTGGTGCTATATTGCGGTACTCGATTGATGTGATAGCCTCATGACCCTGAGCGATCTGTGACAGTTTCAGATGCTTGTTCAAGACCTGAAGCATCAGCGTGAGCGTGAGAGGTCCATGCACGAGCGTGTTGCGATGACCTTCGACGTATCGAGCGTACGTCGGATCGAGGTGTATCAGATGGGCGTTGTAGGTGACAGCAGAGTATCGGAAAAGGAGAGACCGTGTTGGCGTCAGGGTGAATGAGTAGTCAGGATGCTCCAGTGCTGCAGCATGTCAGCAGAGCATCGAGTACTGGCTAGCATCCGTGTACCTTTCAGATACCTCGTGGCTCCAAGTCCTTGCCCGCTCGTGATGGAAATGAGCTCAGCAGCGGTCTTTGCCTTCATGAAGACCAGATTGCGTTCCTCCTTCACCAATGAATCGCTCCAGTCGTTGTCACGGATCGCTCGCTTGAAGTTGTTGGCTGACAGTGTTCCCTCAGACTCGCCTTCAGTAGCGCTTCTCGAAGCAAAGCGTCGCTCAACCGTCACAAAGATCTTCGCCTCATCGCCAGTTCCATGTAGTCGAACGTCCTTGATGCGCTCCAGACATGCGACCCTCTGCTTGAGTCTGAGTGGTAATTCAGAGCGAGCTTCGAGATCGAGCTTCAGAGCTGGACTGAGCTTAACAGCCCCGCCTGCCCACATGCGACGCATCCATGGCTCGCCCGGATGATGCAGCGGATCCGTGCCATCGCCCAGGAGATTCGGCGATTGCACTCGCACGTTGAAGCGCGTCAGGAGTTCGGCCAGCGAGATATTGGGTCTCGAATTGGCATCGTGCTTGACTGTGTTTGGGGTGAATCCTATGAGCGTTGTGTAGAATTGCTCGTAGTGGAGCGTGTCGAGTTCCTCGCGGTGATATTGTGGCCGTCGACTGAGCAGCTCGGTGCGCACTTTCTGGAACCACTCAGGGTCGTTCGCCGTATTCGAGGCATAGTAGCGAACGCATCGCCGCCGCCATACAGTACGGTGAGCAGACTTGATGGCTATCCGCTGTTGACACCGCGCGTGGAGTGACATTGAGCAGTGGAAATGCGTCGCTCTGAGCTCCAGTTCCGCGCCTCTTGCTGCACTTGCGCTAGGCCCAAATCATGACGCCCACCGCGGACGTGCTGCTCTCCTCCGCCTCCAACTGCTCGTACACTCTGCATGGACGTGATGCTACAGGCTGATACGGAATCATTTCCGATTCCCGTTTGCATCGCAGTATTCCAAAATGTGGCGGTGAGCTGGGCCTTGGCGAGTGGCTTCCACTGACTGCCGGTTTGAGTCTCACTCCTGCCATCACACGCATCATCACGGAACCTGGCAAACGACTGCCTCATCTCGGAATTGCTGGTCAATTTTTCGCAACATGTGTTGTTGCCGGCAAGGCATCGTGTCCAGGCTTTCACTCTGCGTCTGACGCATCTTTCGAACAGCAGGTCACAGCAGCCTCATCATCAACAGCTTGCTCTGGACCACGGATTTGAGTGCATGTTGACGTACAATATTGGAATCAATACATGAGCAGCTGCCGAGATCTGTTGTTTGACCAGTTCTGCCCTACACAACATTCACCACACGTAAATATGGCGGGGACCATGGAACTCCTGGACTGTCCCCTCTGTGACTTCACAGTCCGACCAACCGATAACTACATCCTTCAATTACATTTTGAGCAAGTGCATACAGAGGACTCTCCTTTTGTGGTCAAAGACGACCCCGAGCCGTTACCTCCTTCGCGTGGCTCATCCTCCAAACGCAAGCACACGCAAGACACGACTTCCTCAGACAAGGAGGAAGGTACAGTCGCGTGTCCTGAGCCTGATTGCGGTGAGGTGGTCTTGCTTGACGACTATAACGATCACCTTGATCTACACGCCGCAGAAACGTTATCATTTGACGAGTCCACCAGAGAGTATCACTCTCATCATTCATCGAGCAATATGCATAAATCAGCCGCTAAGCACAATTCCCACAGGCGGCCTTCGAAAGCCGCCTCGTCAGACTATCGATACGATACAGACTCACTGGACAGCGCGAGGAAGAGCAGCAGCCATGACAAGAAAAAGCATCATCGCGGTAGAAGGGGCACAGACAGCAGCGAGAAGAGCACACTAGCTCGGAGCATCCTGAGCTTCAACCCGTTCAAGCTGGACAAGTCAGTGAAGCCGCCCAACAAGAGCGCTCGTCTCGGAGTAAGTCTAGTCCTTCCCTGACGCATGCCGAGCTGACAGTGGAAGAAATCAGAACTTGGTCCTCATGCCTGGGAGGACCATATGCCGAAGTGGCTTCACGATCAACTCGCAGCTGGTCCTAAGATTACCGTTGTCAATCGCATCGGCCGCGATGGTCGCCTCATCAAGCAGGAACAAGTGCAGAACGAGACGGCTGGCGTTATTCCTATTCTTGCTCAGCTATCAGCCTTGGACCGCACCGTCAAAGAGGCGTACTACTGCCACCCATCCACACTTCATGTCGGCAAGACTCCAAACGAAGGCAGTTTCTGCGGATACAGAAACATCCAGATGCTCATATCTTACATACAGGGCGCGAAAGCACAGGGCCATGAAGAATTCTCTGGCCGAATGCCCGGCATTCTCAAGCTGCAAGAGCTCATTGAGAGTGCTTGGGACAAAGGCATCAACCACATTGGCAGAGTCCAGACTGGGGGGATTCAGGATACCAGGAAGTACATCGGCACGCCCGAGGTCCGTCGATCATCACAACAGAAGCATGCGTTAGACTAACACAATACAGGCACAAGCTCTCTTCCTCAGCTCTGAAATCAACTGCGCTGTCGAGATGTTCGGCGACCAAGACACCTCACAAGGCAAGGTCCAGGCCCATGATCTACTTCTTCTTGCGGTCGAACGGTATTTCGCTCAAGCTGCCACCAGCGATGGATCAAGTGTGCACAAGACCCTTCTACCACCCATATACCTCCAGCGACCTGGGCATTCTATCACGATCGTCGGCTTTGAGCGTCGCAGTGAAAGCTACTGCAATCTCGTTGTGCTCGACCCTGTCTATGCAACAAGTCCAGCTATGCATAAGCTGATCGGCCGGAAGAACATCAAGAGCTCACGTCCCGAGGTCATGCATGCATATCGAAGAGGTCCGGCGAATCTTAGAAAGTTCGCTGCTTTCGAGATTCTGATGCAAGTACTATAGCAGGCCCGATAGGAACCGCGCTGACCATCATAGGCTTACCGCGACACCACCTTTGTTCCCGGCATGGGATGTATGACCTCCATGACAGATCTCCACCACTCATATACCTAAATACCCAGATGCCATATCGACTACATACCACTTCAATCTCTGTTCGATCCGTGCACCAAAGCTGCAACGATCTGTGCTAAGACATTTTGTGCTAGGTCCTACGTCAGTTCCCCAATTGCAGCTATGTCTACGCCTTCTTCCGCGCTCGTACGCTTGGCTATGATGTCTACCCAGAAGACTACTTTCTCCGTAACTTCCCATGGCAACAATATGGCGGTCTTTGGATCGTCAACGAAGCTCGCTTTGCTCGAGCGGAACCAATCAGCCCACTCATTGCACAGTCTTTGCGACGAATCACCGGTGTGGGAGCATCGCCTCAATCTGCTGACAGCAGTAGCCCAACCAGCTACTTCACGAATAGTTCGCTTGGTCATCAGCCAGTTACGCCAGCAGACCCACAAAGCAACGGCTGGAATCACAACCTTGCGATTCCGGCTTTCGATGGATCTGTGAGCGGCCTACTTTCTACGTCAGACTTTGGCCACAACCAGCCTGTGTTCAACATGGGCGGTTTGGACGCTGCAACTCCTCATTTGGGAAACCCGCGACCCAACTTGACACTCTTGACAGATTTAAGTCGCAGATATCCTGGCTTCCCAAGCCCACTGTCTCCGACTTTGAGTGCGAAGGAATTGTATCCAACACCAACGTCAGACTTTGGAAGCAGAGCTGGTAGACCCCGCGTACTGAGTTCTGCAGTCCGCTCTGTCAGCCCCATGAGCGTGGATGGCTCCAATATGTGCGGCCCTTCGACGCGTTGCATGTCTCACAGCTACGAGTATTTTGCTGAGCAGATGGGAAACATCGACAGTATTCTCGCTCGGGGCAGCAGTAGATCTCAAATTCGCTCACCATCATGTGCTCGATCAACAGCTTCCCTCAGCCCTACCAGCCCACAGCGGGCCCTCTCACCTCGTGCAGGCATGCTTCGTAACATGGCTACGAAGCAAGCTCTTCGTGACTCGAACTGTGCAGTCGCTTCTCCAGATCCTACGATGCAAACCTCACCCACATCTCGTAACGTCCGCCGAGACAGTGTTATCGGCTACGCGAGTCCTCCGTCAGCCTTCGGCTCACGGTCTGTACGGTCCCTCTCGCCCCATCCTATTCAAGCCCGAGCTGCAGCAGTACCGCCGTCCATACAGATCGCCAATGGTACAGAATTCGAAATCGAATCTCCGATCTCGCCCACTGGAACTCTGTTGTCTTACACATCCAATCGCGCGGTTGACTCCGGGCTTTTGGCTGTACCAGCGCTCAGCGAACCGCAGGTGGCGGAATATCGTTTCTGGGTCCCTTGTGGTCGACGTATCTGCGCCTTTGGCTGTGGCGGTGTGCATGAAGGTGAGAATGCTGCGGCGAAGAGGCTCTTCAGAGAGGCAGAGCATGTCAACGAGCGACAGACAGCGGACGAAGAATATGGCAACGGCGTTGAGGCGGACGGCCACCAAGAGATTAAATCAAATGTGCCTGAGTCAAGGACGCAGTGCGACTGTGGCAGCGCGGTGAGCTTCACTAAGCCAGTCGATGAGTGGAGGACTTTCTTGAAGAACAAGGAGAGGGATGTTAGTGTTGCTAGAGTCTGAGTTGGCACTGTCCAAGGCATGACAGCCTGGACGCAGCAGAGCGACTGGGCGAGAGCCAGATTGGGTCGACTGCGATGCCATCTCGATTCACGACATTGACGATGGTCGCTCACGAGCCGCGTCTTGGGTACTTGGCGTTGGAAGCTTGTTTAGTTCTGGAAAACATAAGCATAGTCATTACTTCATCTCAAAGGACGAACATCGTCGATCAGGAAAGGGTATCGTTTTTGTGACGCCTGATGATGCAAATGCGCGAATCGTATGATACAAATCCAAACACGACAGCTTAATCACTGTCATCATCGCTGCCATACCCAGCCAAGAGTGGGCCTGACGGTGCTGGCCGCTTGTTCGTTGAAGTTGTTGTGTAGCCCTTCAGCGCTGCGAGGGTCGAGCCCGACAGTATACCGTTTCCTCCAGCCTGTGCATTCTGCTGCGGCATAAGCGCGCCGTACTCCTCGTCCTCTTCGGCAGCCTCGATCATCTTCCTGTCTCCCATGCCTCCAGAATCCAACTGCGTGGCCTGCTCCCATTCTCCTTTCTCCTTTGCGTACCACACATCATCTGGAGCCTCGTATCCCTGCAATCCAAAACTGCCCTCCACCTTCCGCCTCTTCTTCTGCTCCGTATCTCTGCCCTCGATCTCCGCAACGTATGCGGCGGGGAGTGCTTTGCGGATGGCTTCTGCGGCCTGTTCCTCGATTCTGTGCGCCTCGCGCTTTGCCGCCGCGGGGTTCGGATCGACCGTCGCCCAGCGTACATTCAGGATCTCGTTGTGGTCGAGCGACTGGTGCGCCATAGCTTCCTTCGCAAACTGGCTGTTCGCCTCGTTCATGTACGTCACGAACGCCACGCCGCGCGCGGTCAGCACACGCGTGCGCTCCACCTGACCCCATTCCTGGAAGTGTCGGGCTACAATCTCCTCGATGTCGTCTGTGACGTGGACGCGCCCGATGTACAGTGTGCGGTTTTGTCGCTGGAAGGAGCCCACGCCGCCCATGTCGTCTCTATAGTCGGAGTGCTTATCGCGCCCAAAGCAATCTATATTACTTGGGAAGATGTCCGTCACCGTCGGCAGCCGGTGCAGGTACTCGCAGTCCACGCCCTTGGGACAGATGCCGCGCGCGAAGAACAGGCAGAAGTAGGCCCCCGGCGTCTTGTCGGCTTTCGTGTACCCGCTGTCCTTGGCGACGTTGCAGCGTCCCTGCGCAGCCGTTTTCGAAAGGTATTTGTCTTCCCGGTCTCCGCCTGACCATTTGTTGTACCATATGTTGAAGATTGTGCCTGTCGGGGGTGGCGCGTCGGTTTTGAATGTCGCGGGGTCCACTTGTGGGCGCGCTGGGCGCCGTTTGCGACGGATAATCTTTTTGACTTTTTTGCCTTCGGCGTTGGTGGTTATTATCGTTTGTTCGGTGGTCATGGGCGCGAGCTCTGTGGGTGTGGAGGTGGTCGTGGTGGCTTCGAGGGCGGTTTCGGAGTCCGTGGGTGCGGGCGCAGTTTGCGCGGGTGGTGATTGTACTTCGGCCATGGTGTGCGGTGTCGTGTATGTGAGCGCGGTCTGAGAGAAGTTGTGCTTGAGGGTTGGTGATGCGGTTGCGCTCAGTCAAGTGTCTTAGCGCGTACCATCTTACCAGATTTATCACGTGACCAAGTCCTCTTGAGTCTTTACGACCTCTGGCAGCCTTCCACTGCAATGTCCTCACTTCGGATCTTAAGTATATTCGTGGATCAACACAATAATACATGCGCGCCTGCTCGACAAAGCATCGCCAACGATGTAGAGGCAAGATCTAAGCCTTCGTCTGAAGTGGAGCCAGTGTCAGGGTACTCTCTCGCCTTGCAGCGAATAATGTTGTCGTGTGCCCATTTGGCCCCCAACCACCATGCATTTACCAGGAAGGTTGTGCCATTTTCGTGCACTTTCTCAATGAGGGGTGTCAGCCTCACGCGAATATTTAGCAGCGATGCTCCCGAGGGCGAGGATGATTGCCTCGAGTTGCTCACTTCCACCTTACGCCCGGTATGTCTATTCTCTCTGGTGGTCGTCAGAATGACGCATCAATCCAATACACTGCCGTAGGGCATGGCAATACATACGGCGACAGCGATTTCTCCACACATCATCAGCGTCATGCTCACAGCGATAACGTTGATCGAGCAAGCATAGACATCCGTCACGAGACTGCCGGTGACGGGCCAAAGACAGAAGGAGCGACATACTACGTAATTGAGGCAGGCCAAGCACCAAGTAACAAGACGTCTGGTCACTGCCATCCACCGGCAATTCAAGGCTGGCCTCAAGGTCCTCGCAAGTTGGGTGGGGTATCAGTACTCTTTCTGATTGGAGATATTTTATTGCTCTTGCTGCCGGTGGCTTTCTTAGGTCCGTTTGGTACCCTCCAACCTAAAAGCTCTCATCCTGACAAAAAGTAGTTCTTGCAATCTCGGCATGGTGTCTAGATGGGAAAGAGCTATCAGACACTGGACGGACGGTGGAGCGTGCCATGAACCTCGGACCTACAATCTATCCTCTTGCTTTTGCAGCGATCGGCAGTCGGTGTCTACGAAATGTTGCCATCTACCTCGCTGAGAGAGGTACTACCTTAGCGGTGCGCCTCTGTAACTGATATTTCATATTTGCAGCTGATTGGTGAACAGACGTTAGAGAAGCTGTTGGGTAGCCAGAGTCTCGTCTCGGCTATCAGCACTGCTTTCACCCTCCGATCTGCGAGTTTGACTTCAATTGGTCTCCTACTGCTCTGGGCTCTATCGCCTCTTGGCGGACAAAGCTCGCTGCGACTACTCCACGAAGGAAACACGACGATATCCGAGGCTGGCACCATATACTATTCTGACCATGCAGCGCCTCAGGACTTAGAAGAAGCGGCTACTTGGTTTTCGATTATTCCAGCTATTCTCTCTGCGAGTCTTGCTTCGTCAGCTGAAGCCAAAGCTCTCCCGGTTGACTTGTGGAGTCATCCCAAGGTTCCGAGGTTGGATGCCATAGAGAATGAGGTGCTTGCGGGGGATGGCTCTACGGGACGGTGGGTCACCGTGAATATGTCGGATCCTGCTCCAATATACACGTCTCTTGCCGGTATCAATGTCCAGGGATTGCATCGCAACACAACGTCCACCTTCCAGGTCAAGTACAACTATCTACGCTTGGGATGTGAGAAGTTTATCGGTGGTACCGACGCTGAAGTCCTGGATTATCTCTGGAACACCACCACGTTCTCAATGTGGCCACCTATCCTGGACTTCACCCCCGGTGTTTCTCCCGCTACTCTTCTTACGAATACGACAATCAACATCAATTTTCAAACACTGTTTTTGCCCATGTCCTTCTTCCTCCGATACGGCTGGAATTCCCCAGGAGCATCGAACAATGGAACTGAAACTACAGATGGCCATAGCCAGATCTCAAGGCAACCGGTCAGCTTCCTGTACGGTGCGCAGTTCAACGCCAAAGACACTTTTCAAGTGTACAAGTGCGCACCGCGCGTCGTCACTGTAAATGCTCAGATCGAATGTCAGGCTGACGAGTGCGCAGTCTCACGTCTTCGCCGTGTGCCGGGCGAGTCTAGTGCAGAACTAGAGAACGCGTGTGACACTGGTTCTCAGTACCGGCTGGGATGTCTCACATCCGGCACATACGCGCTCCGCAATTTTTTCATGTATTTTGCGAGTGCAATAGCTAACTATTACTCACCTTACTCAATGAATCCTTTCGACGGCTGGATCGCTGGAAATGATCAGACCTATTCCTCCATCCCAACAGCCAGCAATCGCACACTGAGCGAAATACCCGACCAGCTTATTTCGGATAGGCTTACGACAGTTCTAAACACATACTGGCAAGCTGGAGCTTGGGGTTCCCAGATCACAAGAGCTGGAATGTTCGATACACCTGAGTATCCATACGTTGGTCCAAATGACGGAGGGAGCCGGAACAATGTGCCCGATCGTTTCCTCAACACGACCGGCACTGTCTTCAAAACTCAAGTCCCGATCTACAAGGCGGAAGTTGGCTGGATCGTCACACTGCTCCTCATCACAATCGCTCTGCTTATCCTTTGTGTCATCAACATCATCATATCCATTACGAACAAGGCACCAGACTTGTTCTACTACGCTTCATCACTGGCACGAGAGAATCCGTACACGAATACTCCTGATGGAGGCACCTCGTTGGATGGCGCCGAACGGACCCGTTTATTGAGGGGCATGAAGGTCCAGATTGCCGATGTCAGCCCAGATAACGAGGTCGGTTACGTGGTACTGAAGAGCTTAGGAGAAGGCGAGGATGCCCGAACCGGTCGACTGAGAAAGGATAGACTGTATCGGTAATCACGAGGCCGTGACTGCCTCTAGGCGCCGCGGACGCAGTGCACAAAACAATTCGTGGTACCGCATATGCTGAGTATCGCTTATACAGCCATTAGCCAATATATGACCAGGTCAGCGAGCTGTACAACCCCATCTGCAGCTGCACATACCCAAAGGCGATCCGATAGGCCGGACGCGATTTGCCATTCATCTACTACTGCAAGTTGGCAACAACGATGCGTGCATGATGGGCCTTATCAAGAGCGACCGCTGCACTCCTCAGTCGTGTTAAAACGTACGAAGCCTACGATCCTCTGGCTTGGTCCGACCAAGATATCACGAAGAAAAATCGAATTCGACACATGATTCGATTGAACGATCATGAGACCCAACTTCACAGATTGCGGCATTCGCTATATGTCCAACCCCGCACTCATAGCACGATACAATTACAGTGGACGTGTTCGCCTTGTTGAGGCAAACCGTAGTGAACAAGTTACTTACGATGGATGCGTAGCCATATGCGGTCCCGGGAATGAGTACTACACATGGCCGGTCATCTCAGTCACGTTGACGACGTGGATCTTACCTATCCTAGGCATATTACTGCAAGCGCCTTTTGAAAGTAACGCATTCTGGAGAACAGTCAAGGCGTGCAACAGGTGGATAGGAAGCCCTGTGAGCAGTCTTGCTGCGATCTTGTGGGATATTGGAATTAGCGGAAAGTGTGCGCTCTTCGGTAATAGCTACTGCAATACGAAACCAAGAACAACTTCACTGACGAAGGCACAAGTGGATATGGCAGTGCCGTACAACGAGACCCCAAACCATGGCAGCGACTACGCAAGCATGCGGGACTCATTCTACATCTTGATGAATCTCAACCAGTACAAGATGAAGCCAGTCATCTCAATGACCCGAGAGGCGGAAGGGCTCCTGCGCGTCGCCTTGTTCAGCAAAGAGCTCCAGCTCGTTGGCACACACAAGACGCTCAGCCAGAAGCGCCTGAAGCTGGCCCACGATCTGCGAAGCAACCGACGCAAAGGCGTCGTACCGATCTTTCTATCGACATTGTGGTTCATCCTCGCTCTAGGCATTTCCATCGAAGCCGGTAAGTGCAGCTCTCGTGCTCGATGCTTTCCCGTCTAACAACCTGCCAGCTTTCGGCGACCTAGGCAGCAACCTCCAAGCGCACAACCTCGCAATGGGCCTTTTCGTCTCTTGGCTGCCCATACTGATCCTTTGTTCTATCCTCGACCGTAATCCAGTCGCTTCCGATGATATCCAGCGTAAGCTCAACAAGCTAGTTAATCTGGTCTGCGACTCACTCCTCGATCTCGAAATAAGGACCGAATATGTTGCATCCTTTGCAGATCTACCGCAGGCGCAACATATGGCGTATTGGGTCGAGAAGATTGCTACCAAAGCTGAACTCATCAAAGATAACTACTTCCATGGTTTCGCTGGCCAGGCCAGAACGAGGTTTCATTACGGCGCTGCTTACGCGATCTTGATTGACATAGAGAAGGCGTACATTGCTGAACGTGGAAGAAATTGGCTGAGAGATCCGAGAGAAGCAAGAGCAGCATTGGTGCTTGGTCAGCTCGATCAAGGCTGTACGTGGTTGTAGGTTTCTTCTACCTCGCTGACGGGTTTCCATACTAACAGTATTGCAGTGATGGTCGCCAACTTTGGACAGTAGTTGTCTCTATTCTTCTAGTAGGTGGCACTAGTGTCGGCGCGTTCGTCCTATCTTTCAACACGCCTACAGTTGGCCTCGGCTGCCGAACCGGAGGCTATCTTATCTTTTTCATCATAGCACTCGTACTCCTGATCGCCGAGATCACAGTATGGTGGCTCACCTCGCCACTGAGAGAGCAAGATCAATTCCATTCACATCTTGGGGCATATAATCGCCACGCGAAGTCTCGCAAAAAGACAGTGTTTGCGACTCTCCCTGGACTGGCGTCATCGAGGACATTATTAGCACAGCTACTCCAAATAATAGAGACTGGAGTACTTCAAAGTATCCTGCTACTCCTTCGTTTGCTCCCTTCTAAGTACGGGAGGGAGCGATTGGGTACGACGGAAGCTGCGATCCACGCACACTTTCTCAGCCTACGAAGTCTGACAGCCCGCAACTGGCTCCAACGCGGCTTTTTCACACCTCTGGAGTTCACAAACCTGGTCTGGGCATGCTACCTTCTGACTGCCCAGACAGTTGGGGCATTCAACAATTGCGCGTGCATGACTTCGACTTGGGGCGGATTCGGAGGCTATCTGGACTTCACACAAATCAATGTCGCGAACAGTGCGGTTGTAGAAAAGTACTGGATAATTGGAACAACCACTACCTGCGTAGTGATGGGTTTAGGCATGAGCTATATTGTCCTCGAGGTATGGGAGCTCTCCGGGCTACTTCACATTTTATAAGGTGCTGACCGTAAACTCAGTGGCTCTTGCAAGCGCATCTTAGTACCGAAAATTACGATGATGCTATGAACGGTCTTTGGCGTGTTCGAAGATTTCGACATGCTACGCTGTGGATCAAGTACCCCCTCGATATCCTCGTCCGTCTTGTCGCAAACGCATTAAATGCGTTCCAGGTGCGTGGGATTCAAGATCGTCGGGTTGTCGTGTGGACGAAAGCCTCGACTTATAGACCGAGCGTCGGGCAAGCTTTGGTTCGACTTGGAACCGATGTACAGCATTTGCCTTTTCAGACGGTCGATGCGTAAAATCCTGGATCGTTTGCTGGAGGACCCCGAGAGTCTTTGTGGTGCCCTCACGTCTGTCAAGATTGGCTCGGCCGAGCGGCTAAACTATGAACGATCCTGAACCCGATCTTTAACAAGTCCTCGTTCTCGATCAGGCTTCTCTTCTCGGATAGTTCGTCAACGTCCCAAGTGGCACTGATAAGCCTGCCGTTCAGCCACATTCTTTTCTCATGGCTCAGCCATACACAAAAGGCGCCACATAAGCCGGGGTCATCAGTAAGATCTGCTCTCGTTAGGCATCTCTCTCGAAGAGTAATAGCAGTAAACCTACATTGCATTATGCTCTCTGGCGCTGTCTGCTCCGCCATCTCCGTCAACACAGCCCCTGGGTGCACTGCAATTGCGAACACTTCCTCATTTCCATACTGCTCAGCAACATACTCCATCAGTCTTGCCTGTGCAAGTTTCGATAAACAGTAAGCTGTGTTCGCGATGTGCCCACTCGTAATCATCGTCGCAAGAGAATTCACAACAATGAACGTCTTTGCTCCACCACTCTCCCTCAGCAGCGGCAGGAAGTGATGTGCAACTAGATAAGTCCCGTTGACATTCACATCAAACACATCTCTGAAGTCTTGCGGATCCCCTTCGTCAATCTTGAGCACCACCGGGCCTGAATAACCGGAATTTAGAACCAGGACGTCGAGTCTGCCAATCTTTTCTTTCACAATCTGCACAAGGTTTCGAACGCTTTCAGAGGATGTGATGTCGACTGGTAGACACGTGACTGGGACTGATGGCGCAAGGTTGCGAGCGCGTTGCATGACAGAAGCTAGCTCTTTCTCTGATGATGCGCGTGCAGCGAGGAGGAGGTTTGCGGCACCTGCTTGTGCGTATGCATAGGCAATTCCGGCTCCTATACCTCTAGACGCACCGATAACAAGAACGTTGAGAGGATTCGGGAGTTTGTTGGCCGATGGGTCGATTGCTGCTGTTAGACGGCTATGGGTTGTTGCTGTGAAGGCGTTGGCGAGGGAAATATCTTTCTTCCGATTGGACATGATGCTTCTCTATTGACTGAAAAGGATGTGTGCACGCATCCTTGGAGCGCAGACCTTCGCTGTACTTGTACTATCGGTCTTCTTCTCGTTACTCGAATCCCGGCCGCTCGAGCTGCCAGACTAGGAAGGCCCGATGATGTTCAGAATGAGTCATTTTGACTAGTTGATGCTAACATGCGTCGACATAGCCACGACGGGCAGGTGCATAGAGTCAGAGCTGTGTTATTGCGACAATAAATTTCACCAACGCATCGAGAATGCAGGAACATGAATACTTATGTGCATCACGTATATGTCCCGTGCCAGGTACTGAAGATGTGAGCATTCCCTAGCTAGGTTGTGCCAATTGAACTCGAATTACAGCGCCCACTCTTCCTTGTCGTCCGTCGCGCTGATGAACGGCTCATCAATGAGCTTGACAGCCAGTTCGCTGCAGAGGACACTATACTTATGTCAGCGTTGCTGTTTATGACCATGCATAGGCGTGAGATTTACCAGGATGATCCCACGAGCGCATCGAGCTCTCTGATTGCCTTTTCCCTCTTCGTGCCCGTACTTGTTCCCTTGCTAACATCTAGCTGCAATTCAGCAATCCTCTTACCCCTCGCAATACCCGCCAGCTCAACCACCTTTTTTGCCAGACAGTCGCTGTGGAACGCATGCTGGCACGGGAACACAAAGAACTGTCTCGCAAGCAGCGGCAGTCCGCACACATAGCACCTCTCTCCTGGTTCGACGATAGCATAGCGCTGATCAAGAGCTTTGATATCACTCTTGATATGCTGCGCTGTCTCTTCAGAGTCATCCATCTCTTTTTTGAGCTCGTCAATCTTGCGGCTGTAGTCTTCAAGCGCTGTGCAAATTTCCTCCTTGAAATCGTCGATGACCACGAAATCAGGGAAGAAGGGGATCAGATCCTCGATACGCAGCAGGTCCACACGGCGCAGGAACTCGATTGCCGTCTTGATGCCTGATGACTGGGAGATAACTTTCTTGGCAATGGCGAGCCAGAGCTTCTTGCGGAGGGCGGGTTCGGTGTTCGAGCGATCGGCAACATTACTTGCAAGGTCGATGTCGTCGTACTTCAGCGCAAGGTCTACAGCTTGGACGTATTGTCCCATAGAGCTGTAAATATGCACGCAGGATTGCACACGCTTGTGTTGAATGCAGAGGCGCAGGGCGAAGTCTGCGTCGTAGTTCTGCTCGTGCGCGAGCGATTGTCCCTCTAGATATGCAAGTAATGCTGACTCATCTGTTGTCGAGTGCGAAGCGTAGATGGAGATGAGAGTGTTGTGTATCGCAGCGTCAGTTGACTGGTGCTGATTGATCTCAAAGAGCAAGTAACGGACGGCCTGATTCTGGTTCATGGGAGCTTTGCTGGTGTTGTTGTAGTTCAAGAAAGCTGGAATGAGCTTCTGGGCATTGAGATTCGACTGGCGCATCATAATCTCGACAAGCTCAACGGGGACTTGGGCCATGAGCACGCTGCTATACTTGTAGAAGATCTCTGGATCGGTCTGCTTCTTGAGTACAGCTAGCGATTCTTGCCAGCGCTCGCGTTGAACCCAGTATGAAAGAACGTAATTGTAGTCATTCACAACCGTGGCAAAATACAACAGTTCTTCTTCTCTGCCATGGCTGCTAATGATGTCGTAGGCTGTCTTGCGGTCCAGATCGGTCTTGTACTTCGAAACGAATTCTTGGTAGTCTTTCCTGATGGCCGAGAGATGGTCTTGGGTTTCTGCAGTATTCATGCTTTCGGAGAGCTCAGCTTTGGTTGTGATAGTGTCATCCAGTGTATTCAGCTTTGCCATGTATAACTCGATGAGCCATGTAGCAACCATGGTACGTTGCATGAGAGACGTCTTTTTCAGTGTGAATAGCTTCGTAAGCAGGTACTTTCGAAGCGCGTCTTGTTCACCTTGGTCGATGAACGTTAGAGCTACTTGCTCGAAAGGCTTTGTGCTTCGTCCGTAAACGGCAGCTGCCTCCAGGTACTGGCCTTTGCCGACCAAGTAATCGCCAGATGCTGTTGCAACAGCGTCTTTTTGCGCCGAGGTTTTTGCGAACTGTGAAGCAGCCTCGAACTGCTGTGACCGGAGCATGACCTTCCACACATCTCTTGCTTCATCTGTCACGACGATTTCGAAGATCTCACGGGTCGTGAAAAGCCAGTAGGTGTTCGACTTGATGTCAGCAACAAGGCTCAACGCGCTCTGCCCAGGCTCAAGCACGACTTGGTCGAAGACAACAGTGTCATCGAGGCGATTGATGACCACTACCCTGCCTTCCACTAGCTGCAAGATATGCCACTGACTGAGAATCATCGAGCTGACAGCATCGTTCGTTCGCCTTGTTCGGCCACTCGCGGTCTGTGATGCGGGGATCTGTGACCGTGGCAGTAGCTTGGAATCTGCCAGTACCTTGGCCCCAAGATCGGAAGTATCTTGCGAAAGATATAGCTTGCCATGCAAAACACCTTGTGATGTGAGCCAGCCAAAGATGCGCTCGCCATTAAGACGTTCTTGGTCCGGCGTCTGTTGGTTCTCCGGAGATACGGCTAGAAGCGAGGTGGACGTGGGCGACACGTTCGGAAGCTCATGTACGGTCCCAGACTCACTCTCGAAGAACTTGTAGAAGATCGAGCCGCTGCCCTCATGCGCATTTCGCCCAACTTTCCCAGCGAATTGAACAAATGTCGATGGTGTTGCTACTATTACACGACGCAGATCTTGCCTCCCAGGTATTATGTCCGTCCAGAGACCAGTGACTGGGCCATCTGTCGTACTGTATACGCTCTTCAGGTAGCGCTCCTCCCGCCTGTAGAATTCGGATGAAGGCTCAATGAAGACCTCGTAGACATTGCCGTCTGACGCTCCCACCAAGATCTCCCGTGTGGATGCCGTAGGCTGCGAGGGGTTCCATGCTATGCTCTCAATGACGACGCCTTTTAGTCGCGATAACGCTTTGGGAGTCCGTGATTGCGTATGGAGGTAGTAGTTTTCGGCGAGTGTGGTGGTTACGATGAGGTGCGACGCGGAGGGGTCGAGGAGGAGACGCTTAATTACGCCAATCTCAGACGGCTTCTTGGGCAAGTCAATATCTATGTAGCTGTCAGTATGTCTCGCATGGACTTGGCCCCCATGATTGCCTGCCCTACGAACCGTCTATGTCTGCTGGGCTGTCTAGGTCGATGCGCAGGATGCGGCCAGTCGAGAGAGCCAGTACAAGAACATTGTTGGCTACTGCAGCCGCAACGAAATCCGAAGATATGGAGAACTGCAATGCGACGCGCTCTATGCTGAACATAGGCAGTGATGCATCGTCTTGCGCGTTGCTCGTGCTGGGCGGCGCATAGCCGCTCGAGGTGTCGTAGGCCATGCAGGGCTTGGTAATCGGCTCGCCGTTATCGTGGCGCTGTAATCATCTTCTTCTCACGTGCACACAGCTCTGGCGATTCGTCGAATCTCGAAAGTCGCGCGGTTCTACGTCACGAGTGCACCGCGATGTTGCGGGCGGTGACGCCTAGGCTTGGAGCTTCATCGAGGAGATGCTTCGCTAGAAGATCGGCGATGAATCGGCGATTGACCAGCGGGGATTCCAGGCTGCACCACGAGATTGACAAATCTAAGCACCATACCTATGCACACCCTATGTACATGAATATTAATGATGGAAGCCTTTGTACTGTTTTTTATCGTGTGTATTTTACAGCTTTTACTTGTTCTGTAGCTGTTCGCCCTGCCATTTAGCACAAGGACAATCTTGACTCAGTCCCTAATCACGATTTCTGTTCACTGCACGGACGCCGTCAACGTTTCGGAAACCTCGCACAGCCTCAAACGGTTGTCCACTTGGAAGACAGCGCGTTTCTAGAGCTTGCCCAGATTCGTTTGGCGCCCCAATACAACATCGAGCTCACCTCGAATAATCTTGCGTCTCTCGGAGTCGCAGAGTCGCAGGTGGTTATCAATACAGCCCCAACCTTGACCGTCCAGATAGGTATGCGCAGCTTTCTGGACGCGTTGGACAGGGTGATCTTCAAGACAGTGGCTAACTACAGTGATATTCAGGCCTATCACTCGCTCGAAGCAGCACTATTCTTACATTTTAGAACGTGAGATCCACTAAAAGTCTCTTCTACATCCAGTGCTGACAACGTCACATACTGATGAGGCCAGGCACCTGCCAAATGGCCAATGGTACTCTGGCGCCGCCCAATACTTTCAACAGGTTTTATGCTGGCAAACTATGCCCGTACAATGATGGTTCCAGTGTAGACGAAGGCATAAGATGTGAGTGACGATCGCATACTGCTACAGCAACAAAGCCTATGGTATTACCGAGATGCAAGGCAAGTCGAGATGTCTGCCCGATACGTTCAGTCCTTCGTATAAGTGGGGCTTCTCAACGATATTATCGGGAGTTTTCGTGTTCACACATTTTGGATCGTGTCTGAGCATGTATATCGTGTGGCTAGATGCGCAAAGCAAATCGACCCTGGTCCAAGAGGGTTACGAGATGACGCCACGCAGAGCCGCATTTGCCATCGCAAAAGCTGTGAGACACAAGACCGGTCTCGATGAAAAGCAGTTAATAAGACACAAAACTAAAGACGTCAACAAGGCGCTCAATGGCACTAGTGAAGAGGAGGGCACAAAAATTGATTACAGCATATTTGTGGTGAACACTGAAGATGATGCCGCAGATGATAGGGAGGTCAGGTGACGTCTCTGGGTAGACTGCCGTCATAAAACCCTTCTCAGCGAGACATCCAAACATCAGTAAGATATTGACAGTTTACCACTGTCTATCGGAGACATTTTTCTAGGACACTATATCTTTTGAGACATTGGCCTCAGAATCTGCTTTCTGGGGATTTCCACACGGCTTATAAGATATACAGGCTGCCATCGACCATCTCATATCATCAGCACACAATGTGCCAATTCTCAGGTCCAGACGTCGAAGACAACACATCGGTTATCGCGCAGGCAATGACTTCACCAGCCAAACAGCTGTCCCAACGCCGTTCAGCCAGCAGTCCCCCCATTAAAGTAGCTTCTACAGCCTCTTCAAAGTCATCGCCACCTGAAGACCCCGCCGCTCGGGGCCACACTGTTTGCGAATGGTGGCGCGATACTCTCTGTAACACGGCAAACGGACTGAACGCCCAAGCCGCATCCTTCTCTTCGCACCTTGAATCTCTAAGCAATGCACGAAGGCGCATGCGCCGTCTGGCAAGCAAGTGTACACAAGCACGTCTGTATCCTAACCCTGCCTCTGCGAATTCCAGATCCGCGCTGAAGACTCAGCTTGATACTCTCGTAGCTGACATGGACTATGCCACTCGACTACATGAGATGTACTTTGCGGCCCTGAGCATGTACATTGTTGCTGTCCACACAGTCATAGATAGCCTGAGCTTGTCTGATGAGAAGTTCCATCGTCCAGACTGCGCTCATCATATTAAGCAGTGGACTTCCAATACACGTACCAAAGTTCGCCTCGAAGCTGAGGGGCTTATGGACAAGCTCCACAATATGCACAACACTTTCAAGAAGCTGGGAAAGGATGTGCTGATGAAGTGGGAGAGGAATGGAAAGGGTGACCTTGATCGTATGATCAATGCACTGCCAGAGCAGGCGGATCTCAAGAATAAGGCTGCAGTACGGAAGTATTTTCCCCGGCAGGTCAGAGAGATCGAGGACGCAGAGAAGCGTACAGTGCGTAAACCAACGATCGTCGGTGGAATGGTCTGCGAGACTGAGGCTGAGTGCGATGTGGAGGAGTGCGGGGCCGGGCGTGAGAGCAAACCGAAGGTTGACGTCTGGAGCAAGCTCGTCTGAGGAGAGCATGGGTCAACGGAAATGTAACTCGTACCCATAGTCAACACTGACAAAAAGAGTCTGTACAGCAAGCACTCTATCACTGTCTATCGTCGCTTCTCATTCACATCAAAGCATCACATACAAACCAACAAACACACCACCATCCCATAAAACACTCTCTTTATCATCGCTAAGCTACCAGCACCTTAAGCACCTCACTGAAAAGGAAATTTCTACACACCTGACCATGGAAGTCATCGACGACCTCTTCGGTCCCGAAATCTCCCGCATCTGCAATATCCTCCTCCACGCATTCCTCACATTCCTCGCCTTCCTCTTCAGCATCCACATGCCAACCTTCACCTCCTTCCCGCTACCGCCAAGCTACTCCCCCTCCGATACGTTGTTCTTCTACGTCTCGACTCTGTTCTGCACCTTCTTGTTCGGCCTCTTCGTTGGACGCGGTGAATCGCGAGTAAGATGGGCATGGTCTGCTCTCATGGTTGTGACGTGTGCGAGCGTCTTAGCTGCACGGATCGCAAGCGAGCTGGAGAACAAAGCAAGCGCAGAGCTGGAAGTGTGTGATATGAGGCTGTTCGAGGTTGGTAGGAATCTTCTTTCCTGTGTGAAGAAGTTGGGGGCAAGTGTGTGTAGAAACCCTCAAGCTGGGCTGGGGCGGCTCGCGTGTAAGTCTGGAAGCTGCTCAGTTGGAGTCATGCGATGATTGCGTGTCGTCGCTGAAGTATATTGGTCAAACGCGTAAATGGTCGCAAGGAATACTTGGTCATTGTGGCATTTGTGCCTGTGATCGACCAGCGCATACAAGAAGGTGAGTGTGGTTGTATTATCTCGTCCGTTCGTCCCAAAGGCGTATTTGTATTCAACGCGATGTGTCTCATCACTACCACGTACCTTCTCAGAGGAGCCCCTATTAAAATCAACCAGAACAGTCGGTCGACTGCCATACCCATAGCTTCCCTGACCGACACCCAAAGCACTCCATGACGTGCCTTCGCCAACACGGCGCCGCCAACTACGTCCTCTCAACACCTGTACACGCTCTGCGGATCCACCCTGACCATCTTACCCGTAGGCTTCACAGTCGGCAGTTGGATTCCCATTCCCATTCAAATCCTCTTAACTATACATATTGTACATTCCAGGCGTGAGATGCCGCGAGCCTACGGAACCCCTCTTCAGCTTGTCCCTTAGAATGCTGTCTTTCGGCGTCCGTCTTTGGTTCCTTAGGTCTCAGGAGTGGTTCATAATCGAAGGAAGGTGGCGTGCATAAACGCTCAGGTACCACGACGGCGCGTATGCGATTTGATCGTGATCGAGTTTCGTGCCATGCGAAGGGGCTCGAGGTAGACGTAAGTGGCAACATCATTGTGGAGCACCTTGCTTGAGATACCGAAGTCTGGATATAGATTGGAAATGTGATTAAATATCGAATCAATAAACGCCGACCCTATGCTCCTTTACCCTAGTTGTATGTTTCATAATGTTACGCGCCCATTTGTTCTGGCCTCCTTATGACGTGGTTCGTCGTCATCTTCGTCGTCTGTCAGACCCTCGAGCTCGAACTCCTCCGCGTCTCTAACTCTGTGGTCGACTCTTGCGTAGCCGTTTGGTGCTCCATTTGCGTGAGGTGCCTCAGTGTCAGTCTTCGAGTCTGCAAAGGCGTGCACCGCGTAGAGGTGGATGAGCAGGTTGGCGACTGTTTGGGGTGTTAGTGAGATGTTTAAAGTACAGTAAATAGACCGCACTTACAGAGGAACATCAAGAAAGCAATGCTAAAGAGGATCATAACGTAAGACACGTGTGTGACATTTGCGTCCGCGAGCATCTGCATCTGCTCTTCGGTGGCACCCATGAAGAGAAAGCCACCAGCAATAAGCAGGAAGGGCGTGAGGTACTGAAAGCTGTTCGGATCTGGGTCCTCCAGGTTTTTGGTGACCGCACTGCGGTCCCTTAATACGAAAGCGATTTCGATGATACGAGCAGCGCCGGCGGCCATGAGGGTGAAGCCAAACACAGTGTGGACCATGGTCGAGATAGGCAGATGCTGCGGGTGAGCTGACATGGCCCAGCCGGTGACAAAGATGACCATGCCAGGAATGAGGTTGCGCTTCGGCTGTCCGTTTCTCTTGCGGCTCAGCCAGATACCAACCAGACCAGCAGCCCACCAAATGATACCCATGGATGTGTGCTGCAGATCGTTGTGTACCCAAGGTCCACCCCACCTGTGCTCCGTGAAGGTGTTGACGCAGCCCCAGGCGGCAATGACGAGCGAATCGAAGAACTCCTGGCTGCGACCGGTCCGCTTCAGCCACATTTGTCCCACGAGCAGCAAAATGATGAGGATAATTCCGTAGGCAATGAAGGCGCTGCCCATGATGAAGTGGGCAAGACACTGGCCGGTGTGGTCAGCCCTGCAGAATCCGAGTGCGGTGATGCCTCCAAAAAGGAACTGCACCCAGGTCACCACAGGCAATGCCTTTCCCACCACTCCGTGACCAACGAGAACAACCCTGCGGATCTTGCCGTGTATACCCTTCTCAAGGTGGAGCTTCAAGTACACACCCATGACGATTTGCGTGATCAGCATGAGCATGATGATAGGGACGAATTTGGCGTGGACGTTGTCTTCGGAAAACTGCCTGCCCTTGTGTTTATGGCCCAGGAAGTAGCCGATAATTGCGAGAACGGAGCCGGTGACTTGTACGGGAACGTGCCATTTGGAGCGTATTATCTGAGTTCGTCAGCCTGCTGGCCATACCTTGTGCTTTCCATGGCAGTCTTACACCCAACACCATTCCTGTGGGGAAGATGATTCCCCAGGCGAACCCCTGCAGTAGGATGTGTATCCACAGTATCGAGTCGATTGGGTCCTGTGATATAGCCTCGCCCTCTGCTATCTTGTTCACGTGGTGCTCGTGTGCTGTGACCACTGTGCTGAACAGCAGCGCTGCTGCAAGGGCAGCTTGCCTCATAATTGCTCCCATCGTTGATTTGGATAGAGCTGAAGAGCGCCCGTCTGCGCTGGTGTGGCGAATTTCGTGACTCCGGCGTGGAGGCTTAGACGTCAGTCGACATGTAAAGGCGCGATCGAGGGGTATCTGCAAACGTTACGCGTGCGGCTGAGAAGAATCACAGGAGGAAGCGTCGTCGCTTTCCAGGACCCTGTTGATGCCGCGTCGCAATCTACTGCTTACGTGAAGGGAAGGTGCCCCCGTCATTGGCCGCCCCTTCCGCCTCCTCCGCCCGAACAACACTATTCTCCGAGCGGCATCACGTTTCACTCACTCACCTTGTAACAACATGGCGATCGGTATAGGCGTCACCCCGATTGCTGATAGTGAAGAAGAGCCGCTGACGTCTTCACCTGCTGCTGTTTCGGATGCAGCAGTTGACAAGCTTCCTGCGCCCGCTGTTCAAGACGCCCAGGCCGTGGCTTGCCCTCGCGAAGAAGCCGCTGAACACTCTGCCAATGCAGCCTCAGGTTGCACTGATGTCTTGGATGTCGATCAAAGCAAACCTTCAACAGACGCTGCGACAACACACATTGATCAACCTGATTTGCAATCAATACACGAGACAGCGACTAACAGTAACAGTGCGTGCGCCGTGGAGACTCCGTTGCAAGCAGATACATCCCCACAGGCAAGTGGTCATGCAGCTGACGCGCACCAACAAGACATGCGCCCAGCCACGGGCAGATCAGACGGTGAAGCCGACAGCCTAGGAGATGCAGGAACTTCACCTGAGGCCAGGCGTGCACCAGGACTTGGTGAGCCTGCAACCTTGCAGATGGACCAACAGAGCCGCCCGCAAAATGATCATTCTCAACCACAGCTACGAGAATATGCATCCAACATCTTTGATTGCAACAGTGTTCAGCAAGACGACCCTTCAAATCAATACCCTCAGAACGAGGCAGTTGGTAGCCACAGCATGGTATTGAGCCCGACGCACGGTGATCCTGTTCGACCTGCTAGCAGCGAACAAGGGCTAATCCGGGCCGGCGACGTTTCTGTTATTTTTCAGAGGGATGCTGCCGCCGCCGAGATCAAGTCTTTGGCTGCCAGGCTCGGCCATGGTATCATTCACGAAGCTGCAGTCTGTCTGGCACAACTTATCCTATGACTCCCACTCACGCATCCTACAGATCAACACTTCCAGCTCCGCTTCCACGGATCCCTCGGAGGACCGTGTGACTGCTGGCCAAACTGCCCCGGATACAATCGATGCTCCAAAATCTATGGAGTTGAACACTCTACCAAATGCTCTCAATCTATCATCATCCGGTGTGGCTCCAGGCGAGCATAAGATAGCGTCGGAGTCGTCTGCTCCACATCACGCTCCTATCCCAACGTCAGGCGAGGAATCTCAGCATGCCACTAAATCAGCAGCCGCCTATTCGACGCCGGCACTAGGTCTTGGTCATGCAGCCACGCGAAATGATCATGAAGCAAGTGACAGAACCCCGTTCGCACCTGGCTCAACAGCTACAGGTAGCATGGCAGACGGTCACAATATACCCAGCCACCAACATCAACATGACAATACGCCCAATGCGATTGCTACCAACGACTCCAGCAAGGCTAAGGCTACCCCTTCACATCATTCAACGACAGCGTCGAACGAGCAACGCAGGGAGGCAGATCATCATGTTACGGAGTCTGCGAAAGACGTAGCCGCAGGACCACCATCTGAGAATATGGCCCAGAACGCGAGTGGCACGGTCCAGTTAGGCGGTTATGATGGCTTTACCACGGTAGACAACCAGGATGTAGCGTCCAAGGCAGCCAGGGTCCAGACAGAATCGCAATCTACAGCCTCGCAGGCCAGTGAGCCTACTCCGCCACGCCCAGCAGTGACGCTGAGTCCACAGGAGATCACGCTAGTCGAGCTCAGGGCTCAAAAAGCCGCGTTGCTCAGCTCACTGAGAGTCCAGCCCGCCATTCAGGTGGTCATGGAAGAGAATCAGACTCTCGACGTCGACATGTCTGACGACGATGGCGAGCCTACGGAGACAGAGATCATGGCTGCGGCCAACAAGATCGTCAAGGACCACATTAAGCTGCTGCACGAATACAACGAGCTGAAAGATGTCGGGCAAGGGCTCATGGGTCTTATTGCTGATCAACGCGGTCTGAGAATAATTGAAGTCCAAGATGAGTTCGGCATCGACACAAATGACTGAGGGCTGTAGGCAGGAGAAGGCATGAGGTGATTACAGTATAATGACGGTATGCAGACCGCCACCATAAGATGACAAGAGGATACCCAGGCAGAGATATCAACAAGAACAATGCAGTTGCAGGCATGCATGCATGTCGATAGCAAGGCGTGACACTCTTTCCCGTCCCACGATGAATACGAATTCATGTGCACGTTCGCGAAAGTTCGGTACTTTTTTATGCCGCACCTCCAGCCCAGCAGCCAATCTTTGTCGCGTCTGGCATCACAACCGCGACTTCGAATCCTCCGACTCGGCGGCTATGACACACAGGATACCCTACATGGCAGCAACATGTGTCAAGCTCACGAGTCTCCATGCTCTGGTGCGCAGAGACTGCTCGGCTTAACATTTCACGCCCTGCAGACGCTGAGCCATTTTTAACCGAGTTTCACGTCTCACCACCAAACTAACAGCAACTGTCCACAACAAGTTCGCGCCATGGCGGAATTTCCGGATCAAGCATAGGTCAGCATTCTTGAGGCTCTTTCTCCCACGTCCGTGACGTCGGATCATTTTATTACACGCTTTGCACAGCTATGAAGAGTGGCTCCTGGACTCCACAGCGCTACACTGATCGAGTAAAAGAGCCCACTTGTTCAGCACTGCGCGCAAGATGTCACGCTAGCATATGGAGGGTAGTGCTGTGAAGGATGCAGAATCGTGAGATCTGGAGACGGCGGGTTGAAAATTCTCTGTGGGCGATCGACGTGAGTATATAAAGGAGGGGAAAGCACGGGTTGGCAGCATCATCATCAGCATCATCATCAACATCTGAAGTTCCTAAACCACAAGTACAGCTTGATCGAGATTAACCTTGCAAACCCTAAAGACCACCAAAACATCGCACAACACTATCCGAATACTCGGAACGACCTCATTCCCCACCGCAAGATGTCCAACATCGACTCGCACCCACGCATCCTCTCACTTAGCTCCTCCTCCGTACCCAGGTCGACATCAAACTCCTCTTCCATCATCTCAACGCCCGTCTCGCAGTCCAGCCGCGTCAGCCTCGACTCGCAGCACAACGCACGCCACTTTGTCGACCTGGGCAAGCCGGACAAGGATCTCAACTTGTCGATCAGGAAGCTCTGGATGCAGGTCAAAGTTGCGGCGCGCGAGCACCATCGTAGTGTCAATGCGGCGTATGAGGCGGTGCATGGCACGGGGAGGGTCGGGGTTGTTGGGGGTGTGAGGGTTGAATAGCTTTTGCTGGTTGCTTGAAGCTCGCCGTCTGGAAGACGTCGGGACATCGGTGTTGGTACGACGATGCGCATGAGGCGATTGTTGGACCGTCGGGAGAAGAGAGAGGGGGGTGCGTGAAGGCAGAAAAGTGATTCCAGCGATATACCCCAGAGCACAGGCTCGAGGCAGCATAATATCTAATACTATCCGTGACATCCCAAATGCGCCACAGTTCTGCCTGGAGTATAGTCGCCGACCATGCGATAGTTTTGTCGGGAGTGTATGAGAACCCTGGCATTGCAATTGGTTGCATGCTTCCGATTTTCTGTCACGCTGGAGATGGCGGTGCATCTCCCAGATTTTAGCAATGGCCTCATGACAGAAGCCAGGGAAAACGTCAGCTCTATCCGCACAGGCTGAGACACGGAGGAAGTAAGTCGTATATTTCGCTTGGGTATCATGAAATCACATCATCGCAGTCGCCGTACTGCCCAGCACACGACTGCTCAAAACTCCAGCTCCTCGACCTCCATCCCACACTCGACACACGTCTTCTTCTCCATGCCTGTCTCGGGATCCAGCACTCCACGCCCCCACTCATGTTCATGCTTATCATACCGGCCCTTGATCTTCTGTCCAAACTCAGCATCGCCTCCACCGCCAAGGCGCGCCCGCTTATACGCCTCCACTCTGGTCCTCCTCTTCAGATCGTCCAGTTTGTTTTTGAACTTCTTCTCCTTCCTCTGCTTCGCCACCTTGGTCCTCTTCTCATACTCTTCGTCCAGAGCGGCGGCGGACCCCCATTTCTTGGCGCTGAAGGCGTAGGTTTCGACCTGCAGGCGCAGGAAGAGCTGCATGTTGTGGAAGGAGGTCTTGTGCGGGTTGGGGCGCTCGAGATGCGGGAGCAGGTCTTCGTCGGCGAGCTCGGGGTTCGTGAGCAGGTAGTCGTCGCGGGCCTCAGTCTTGGTGAGGAGCGAGTATTTGTCGGGGTAGAGCTCTTTGCAGCGCGCGCAGATGCTGATGTGGAATATGTCGGCCCATTTCCAATCAATCTCCAGACTATTACATTCGCGACATTTTCCGGACACATCCTTTTTCCCGTCGCCGTACTTCCCTTTGAAAGTGCCGGCTTCTATCTCGGCGTTCTCGGCGGCTTCGAGAAGCGCGGCATCGTCGTCCTCGGCCTCTTCTTTCCCGTTCACAGCGTTCAAGATGGAAATACCGGGTTCGTACGGCCCCGCCCGTGCCTCGCGCAGCTTCTTGCGGACTTGCTCGCGCTCCCACTCGGCGAGTGTCATGCCCTCTGGTTTCTGCTCCTCGCGGCTCTTGCCCGTCCACATAGCACGGTTGTGCGGGTCATCTGTCGTGCTAAGGAAACCGCCCTTCGTGTCCGTCATGGTGCTGAAGTCGTAGTCGATGAAGTCGGAACGCTTGATATCTTTGCTCTTGCTCTGGTGGATATACGAGTCCGACGGAGGCTGGGTGAAGCCCCCGGGTGCCTGGGCGGAGTTCGCATCACGGGATTGCGTGGGAGTTGTGGATGAGGTCAGAGAGGAGTAGGCGCGTTTTGCGCCGGCAACGGGAGCGGGTGAGTGGCGAGATGCTTGGGCTTGCTGGGCTTGGGCCTTTGCGCGCAGCCTGGCTTCTTCCTGGGAGTTGTCAGTATGTTACGATGATGTCTGATCTAGCATCTCACTATTCGCCTGATCTGCTCGGGCGTGGGAGGATTTGGCGGCAACCTGCCTGCTGAGCGAGTGGCTCTTGGGGGCGTTGCGGGCCTGTCTGCCATGATGGTGGGTGTGCTGGTCAAGAGAGGGACTATTAAGCAGCTGTTGCAAGAGGCAACAACGAGCGAGTGTCTGGCAGAGGTTCGGCACCCGCAGTGGCGGCTGTCACAATATCGGAGCCGCGATCGAGACCCTTGTTCCTGGACGATTGCGCTAAGAATCCACCACTACGTCATGCCGCGATCTATTCTGCAAATCGCATCCCACAATGCGCCAGACTTCGTAAATGTGGGAAACCGACTGCGGAGTGGAGACGTGGAAGAATCGTCTGTCGTTGCCAACATGAGGCCAAACCAGGAACAGCGCTCTGCTGTCAGCCTTTGATTGCACCGCTCTTACCAATCCACGCGATGACTCTTCGGGTGGCTGTACCCTTCACAAGTCCCAACGTCGCACACTAGCTCGTGAAAGGACCCACGGTTCGTCATAGACAAAGGTGAACACTTGCAATAACAAGTAGCGTCTCTTTGCTCTCTCCGGGAGCCTTCCCAGGAGCATTCAGTGCAAGTCCTCCGTTTTCCGTCGTCATGTCGAACGCGCCAACACGTGCGCACGTGGCCAGCCCTACAGCTCTAGCGTTAGCCGCAGCTCCAGCCGCCGCCGATCCGCAAAATATCCCTGCGACACAATACCTCAGTAACGACGCGATCAACCGGCGCTCCGGCCTGAACAAACGCGAAGCACGCAAGCAGAGGAAAGCCCAGCAGCCTCTTCCCACACCGCCAGACACTTCTTCCGAAACCGATGCTTCCCCAAACCTGTCCAACAAGCCGCCCCAAGCCCGAAAAGTTCGTCCAGCGTCTGCAGAGCCTTCCACAGACACAACCGCCTCGATACCTCAACCTCTACCCTCGCCGATAATGCCACCAGGCAACCCCATCCCGCTGCTAGTATGTAGCATCGGCAACCCCGGGCCAGCCTACGCCAACACCCTCCACAGCGCCGGGCACATCGTAACCTCGTACATAGCGGGGCGCAAGTCATACCAGCCCTTTACGAAAGGGCTCAGTGGCCTCGTTGCGCGCCCCGACAACACCACCTTCTCGCTGTCCCTGCTGAAGGGCTACAGCAAGACGCAAGGCGGCCCGCCAGAAGACGACTGGACATTCTGGCAGTCATTATCCTTGATGAACGTCTCGGGCGTCGGGGTGAAAAAGGCCTACGCCGCGTGGCTCGCGGAGCTAAGACGGAGGACAGATCCGCAGCAGGAAGGGCGGCTGGTGGTTGTGCACGACGAGCTGGAGTCGGCGCTGGGCAAGGTCGCGGTCAGGGAGAGCGGGGCGAGTGCGAGGGGGCATAATGGATTGAAGAGCTGTCAGGCGCAGCTGCAGGGCGTGAAGTGGTGGCGTGTTGGCGTGGGCATTGGGAGGCCGGAGAGCAGGGATCCGAATGTTGTAAGCAGATATGTGTTGGGGAAGATGCAGGAGAGGGAGCGGAGTGGGCTGGAGAGGGCGGCCCCGGGGGTTGTGGACGCGTTAAGGGGGATTGCTGAGAAGTAAGGGGTGGAGGTGTGTGATGGGCATTTGCTGGCGTTGTACCTGCATAGCGCGTTGTTGTAGCATAGTCCTTGCGGGCATGGAGGCAAAGATACCCTTAGACGCCTAGCATTGAAGAAAGGTGGGCAAGAAATAATAATATATTGATTGCCGGTTCAACAGCATGGTATCATCCAGTACTCCGATATCAGTGCTCAAAAAACAATACTCCAGAACCAATTCGTTGGCGGTGACATGACGCCGAGCATCACAGCTAGGGATCCAAACATCCAAATCATCATCGTTTACGCAGGAGCAGCTTTCCTCAGCTTCTTCCTCTCTTCAAGTCGCCTCCTTGCCTCTGCCTTTCGATCAACAGGCAGCATCTCTGCCCGATCGTGCTTCACCTGTGCCGAGCCCTCTGCATGGTGGGATGTGATCTTCGAGAGGTCGAACTTAGGATCAGTGGGGGAGTGTTTGGGGGTGTCCGTCTCTGACTTGTCCGTCTGCTGCTTCTTACTCGCTTTAGAAGACAGCGCGGCCAATCGCGCTTCAAGGTCGAGCGACGACTTCCCTGCCACGTGGGACGAAGTCTTCGCTGCTCCTGTCTTCGCGCTGACCTTGTCCATCTGGCGACGGGTAGCCTGCGTTTCTGGTCCTACGGGCTGAGACGTGGACTTCGATTCTCGTTGCTTTCTTGCTGGAGGGTTCCATGCTGGGTTCACGTACGGCGAACCTGCTGTGGGCATTGCCCTCTTGTCCAGCTGCGGAATCGAACTTTCATCCATGTTCATCCAGGGGTCCGGTAGATCTGGTGAAGGCATGGGTAGCGGACTGGAGGGTAGGACTGGGACCGGTGAGGATGGACCAGCATTGTCTTTAGCAGGACTGGCTCTGCGGATGCTGAGTGGTGTTCGTGAAAACCGTGCCGATTGAGGAGGTTCCAATGGCTTTTTGAACTCGGTGGGAAATGCTGGGGAGTTTGCCAGAATGATTGAGGCCTCACCCTTAGCAGTCCCTAATTTTGATGGAGCGCCAGTTCGGTCGGCAGTGTCTGGCACAGTTCGGCGGTGGGTGCGTCTTGACCTGGGTGGAGTACTGTTCTCCTTGCCAAAAGATGCCGCGAACGACGCCTGGACTGCAGCTTCTGACTCCTTTTGTAATTGTATCGCCTCTTTACTTGCGTCTTCGTGTATCGAGAAGTCGGGCTTCACCTGTGCGCTGACTGTCGTCGTCGCTACAGACTTTTCCAAAGTGGATATGCGCAATTTCAAGGCCGCGTTCTCCATGCTTGTGGACGTGTTCTCAGCCATAGCCTGACGCAATCGCTCTTGGTAGTCTTTGTTCTGCTGCTCCAGCTCTTTCTCTCGTGACCGGAACCGCTTACGCTCCTGCTCGAGCTTCTGAGCCAATTCAGTGACTTCGCCGTCTTTCTTCATCGCAAATTTCTTAGCGAGCTGCTGCTTCGCAACAACCTTCTTCATCTCCCTCTCGCTTCGCTCAGCGTAACTCTCGTATTGGTCTTTCCAGTACTTCCCCGATTCTGAGCGCGGCGCACCGAGATCCATCGTAATATCGCTGTCGTCTCTCGCTTTGAGCATCTGACCAGACTTTGGCTGTGTCGTGGTGCGTGCGTCAAGCAGGGCTTCAGTGAGCCTGGTACGAGGCCTCTTGTCGCTAGCAGAGTCCAGCTTCAGCTCAGTGCCTGGGGTCCATGGAGACGGAAACTTTCCAGGGCAGTTGTTTGGTATGCCGCTCCTGATGATACCGCCCGTCTTCCCCTCGTTGTCCTCAATCTGCGATCCAAAAGATACGGTCTTCCTTCCTTTGCTCGATGTTCCTGGCGTCATGAGGATGCCATTAGCTCGTTTTGCGGGTGACTGAGAGAAATCATCGTGCTTGGGCGCAGGTAGCTCCGTAATCTTGGCGTTGACAGCGGCTATCTTGGCCTTCGTCTCGAACTTTCTAGTTGCATTATTGAGGTCTTCCGGCGCAGGCGTGCCAAAGATAGCTTGTTTGAATGCCTTGACGGCAAATTGGTGGGCGGGCGTCTCGGGAGGGTCGATGAAGGTGGACTCGTAGGCGGGCTCTGCTCGAAGGTCAGGATTGCGTAGAGCACTCAAAAAGTAGATTATTCATACCCGCCTGAAGGTCTTCAATCACATTTGTGATGCGGGGCCCAGTGATCCAGGAGAACATAGCGTCTGCGTCGTTGTGTGGTGCCGGTAATGATGGTAGATGGCGCGTCTGCAGTTACCGTGGGTTTGTTTGTTCGTTTGTTTACTCGCCGAGAGAGTGTGAATTAGTCGAGTCGTTACCGATGCGCACCAACAGCAGTGAAAAAGGCCGTGAGAGCTTCCATAAGATAACGCGATCGCAGAGATTGCCCTATCGACGTACAGAAGGCACGACGCGGGCTGTTGATTTGTGCAACCAAAGCTGAACCCTGGATGGGTGCAGGAAGGCGCGTCTGAGCGCTAGGCCTGAAGTTACCTACCGCAGATCTTGGTGGGGTTCCTCTATGGATTGTTGGCGGCCCCACCGCTACTTCGATGTGTGCTGGCCGCGAAGTCTTCACTCCGTCATAGCCTCGACTTTCACTCATCAACAACACATAAACCGACATGTCTGCAGTGTAAAGGGCAGTGGCTTCGGCTGCTCCTCTCTCCGTCCCCTCTCTATGACGGCACTTCCACCCAGCTTCGAGACAGCCCAATATGGCACCGCACAGGACACCGCGAAATAAAAAACAGCAAAATGTATTCTCCCCAAGCCGAACCAATGGCGCCGGCCCAAAGAGTCCAATGCAGGAGATGCCACCCTTTCGCCCTTCTTTGGTCTCGCAACCCTCAGAGACCTATGAGGCAGCACAGGAAGATGAACGAGAAGTCTTGAAGGCCATCTTCATGGAGGATTATGAAGAGTCAGAGCCCAAGCAAGCCTGGGGAAAGTACTCGGATCGTGAAATACGGCTGAAGCTGAAGTCATTCTCCAACGAGGCCATATCAGTCGTACTGAGTGCAAAGCTCACAGCAACGTACCCTAAATCGCTTCCAACTCTTAGTGTGGAAGGGACCACCAGCCTTCGGAGACGCACTCAAGAGAGGATCCAGCACATTTTGGGAGCCAAACCTGCTGAGCTGGTGGGAGAGGTCATGCTTCACGAGATTGCCACCGAGATTCAGGATGCGCTTGAAGACGAGGTCGCTGTGCGAGAGACCGACGGTACCTTTGAGAACCTTGGCGCAGAGCGCGCCGTGCAAGAGGCCGCAGCTGTAGAGCTGGCCAAACAGCAAGAGGTGGACCTCCAGAAAAAACGAGATGAGGTCAAGGCCGAAGAGGAACGTATGTTGCAGCAGATGGTCAGCGACGAGATGAAACGGAAGGACATCATGGCGAAACGTAAGAGCAACAGGACGTCTGTCATTACGCCAACATCATATTTCCAGACGGCCAATAGCGCGAACTATGTTTCGTTTGACAGGGTGATTTCGTTGCAGCTGGAGGACACCATCGTTGAATGCAGTGCTGTTGAAGGCATGTTGCCTTTTCGCAAAGGTCCGGTAACGGAAGAGCTTCTAGTCAAACCGATCGGCTGCGCAACAAACGTCACTCTAATTCTCAAACGCGTCCGGATCGGCGACAAGGATGCTTCTACGATACCGCATCTGAAAAGAGCAATCATGGAATTTGAAGCGGAGATGGAGGAGGTCAAGCGTCTGCGACAATCTGTCGTTCTTAGTGTGTTCGACTTCAAGATCGAACACTTGCCGGAATCTGGTTGGGACATCAACATACTCATGGAGTATGCTAACAAAGGGTCTATTGGCGAGAAGATTGAAGATGACGGCCAGATTCCCGTGTCAAAGGTGCGATCCTGGACAATCGAGATCTTGGAGGCGCTGGACTTCCTCCATCGCAACGGCATCGTCCACAAGCGGGTGTTCCCGCACAACATTCTACTCACGAAGTCGTCTGATGGAAACGTCTCCGTCAAACTGGCGGATACAGCGTTCCAGCAGAGCTTGCACAACCTTAATGACTTGTATAAAGGTGAAAGAGCTTTCACGTCCTCTTGGTCTGCCTTTTGGGTGGCTGCTGAGCTTGGGCAAGATAGCAAGAGGACACGAAAGACTGATATATGGGATCTGGGGGTGGTCTTCCTTCAGATGCTCTTCGGTCTAAATGTGCCTCACAAATACAACTCGCCCAAGGATTTGTCGGACGCACTGAACTGTTCCGAGCCACTCCAAGAGATGATGCGGAAGTTCTTCAAACCAGACCCACGCAAACGACCTTCGGCATTTGATCTCATACCTTGCGAGTTTCTGCGCAACGATGTGCCTGTGTACGATCGACCTCCGACACCCATGCGCTCCCGACATTCATCTTCGTCCCTAGGTCATTACAGATTTCGCCGCGAGTCCTCCACTGGTGCAGGTCCTTTCTACTCCCGCTATGCAGAGGACTGGGTTGAGCAAGGACGCTTGGGTAGGGGCGGATATGGCGAAGTGGTGAAGGCACGCAACAAGGTCGACGGCCGTATCTACGCCATCAAAAAGATCAAGCAGAAGTCCGCGTCAGCATTGACTGAGGTCCTATCGGAGGTCATGCTGCTGTCACGACTCAATCACCCCTGCGTTGTCCGCTACTACACAGCCTGGCCCGAAGGAGATGTTAGCGGCAGCACAGAGCTATCGGACAATGACTCCACTTTTGACTCGGACGACTCTGAGTCGGACTCCAACGTCACTCCTGGTGATACGCACAGTGTCACTTACAGTCGGAGTACAGGACTGGACTTCATCAGTTCCAATGACTACAAGATCGAGTTTGGCTCTGATGTTGGTTCAGAAGAAGATGACGAGGCAGCTGTTATATTTGGCTCGGATTCTGGTGGGTGTCCCCGATCTTATCATTCCACTGTGTCTAACATGAGATCAGAGGATGGAACGGGCACTGCAAGTGCTGGCCCTCGCTCACCTTTAGTCAGAAGACGGACCGCGTCCGGCACATTCGCAACGCGTACTACTAGGTCCATACTGTATATCCAGATGGAGTTCTGCGAGAAGCAGACCCTACGTGATCTTATCCGTAGAGGGCTTTACGACGACCCAGAGGAATACTGGAGACTTCTTCGTCAGATCCTCGAAGGCCTTGCTCACATTCATGGACACGGCATCATTCATCGCGATCTCAAGCCGGACAATATTTTCATCGATATGGCCAAGGTACCCAAGATCGGCGACTTCGGGCTAGCTACCAGTGGTCAATACCAGAAGCCAGACAGCAAGACGTCGAACGGCAATCAAGATGGCGGTGGTGATATGACGCGCAGCGTCGGGACTGCACTCTATGTGGCCCCGGAGTTGAGCTCCACAGTCGCGGGCAACTACAATGATAAGGTCGATATGTATTCGATGGGCATCATCTTCTTCGAGATGTGCTATCCCCTGGGTACAGCTATGGAACGAGACAAGGAGATTCGCAAACTGCGCGATCGCAAACATGCCCTCCCCGTTGATTTCGAGACTCCACAGAAGTCATTGGAGGGTGGCATCATTACGTCTCTGATCAGTCATCGGCCATCTGAGCGTCCCACCTGTGCTGAGTTGCTCAGGACCGGTAAGGTCCCTGTACACATCGAGGACGAGGCTGTCAAAGAGGCCTTGAAGGCTCTGTCAGATCGCAACTCTCCTCACTACGCGAAGATGATGACTGCCTTGTTCTCACAGAAGCCCGACACCCAGGCCAAAGACTACGCCTGGGATATGGGTGTTACCGCTCAGACCATCAAAGCCAACGATGTTCTTTTGCAGAATCTGGTTAAGGACCGGTTGGCAATGGTGTTCAGAAGTCACGGCGCCGTTGAGGTCCAGCGTCAGCTGCTACTGCCATGGTCTGATCATTACGCCGACAACAATGTGGTCAAGCTTTTTGACCCTTCGGGTACTTTGGTGCAGCTCCCGTTCGACTTCACACTGCCTCACGCTCGCAGCATCGGCCGTGGTGCCCCCTTCTTGGAGAAGACATTTACGATCGGGCAGGTGTATCGGGACACATACTCAGGCGGTGCACCGTTGAGTAGCGGCGAAGCTGACTTCGACATACTTTCTTACGATACCCTCGATCTTGCTCTCAAGGAGGCTCAGGTCCTGAAAGTGGTGGACGAAATCATTGACGAGTTCCCGTCGCTACGATCAACGCACATGTGCTTCCATATCAACCACGCCAACTTACTGGATATTATCATGGACTTCTGCAGAATCAGCGTGCCCCAGCGGCCTGCAGTGAAGGCTGTCCTTAGTAAGCTGAACATCGGTAAAAACAACTGGCAGTCAATACGCAACGACCTGCGTTCTCCAGATATCGGCATTTCATCGACATCGCTCGACGATCTTGCTCGTTTTGACTGGCGAGACACGCCTGAGAAGGCCTTCTCGAAGTTGCGCCGAATTTTTGAAGGGACCAAATATCATGATCGGACTCATGCAATCTTCAGCCACCTCAGCTCTGTCGTCAGCTACATGAAACTCTGGAATGTGAAACGAAAGGTGTACCTTAGCGCCCTCAGTAGCTTCAACGAGAAGTTCTACTCTGGCGGCATCCTGTTCCAGTGTCTCTTTGACACCAAACAACGCCTGGTCCTCGCGGCGGGCGGTCGCTACGATAAACTCATCGAAGAGTATCGTCCGAAAGGACCTGGATACAACCGAACCGGGACCGGCTATCACGCAGTCGGTGTCAACATCGGATGGGACCGGTTGGTGAGCTCTATGACGCGCTATCTCAAGAAACCAGAAAAGTCCACCTTCCTCAAGAAGCATGTCGAAGAAGACACGCCGGCAGTTTCTTGGATGCCACGCCGCTGCGATTGTCTCGTAGCCAGCTTCGACCCGCAAGTCCTCCGCTCCTCGGGCGTCAAAATGGTCTCGGAGCTTATCGCCCACGGCTACACCGCCGAACTCTCCGTCGACGCACATAACGTCGAAGACGTCCTGCGCCACTATCGCGACGATCGCCACAGCTGGGTCATCATCATCAAGCACGGCGTCGCCCCCGACAAGCCCGACCTGAAAGTAAAATCCATCGCCAAGAAAGAAGACACTGATCTCAGATCCGCAGACCTGCTGAACTACCTACGCAACGAACTCCGCGACCGCGAAACCCGCGAGGGCAGCGCAGCCCAGCGCCTCACTAAAGCTGCGCCTGTCTCCGGCCCGTTGAACACGCCGTCAGCAAGAGCGAACGTCGATGTTCTTATCTCCCATCACCGATCAAAGAAAAGCAATAAATGGTCCATCGTCGAAGCCGCGCAATCCCGCTCCCATGCGCTCCTGGACAGCTTCCATGACGCGCCTATCGCTGCCATCGAGACGAAAGATGAGGTCATGAACAGCATACGTGAGACTAGGCTTAGCGATCCAGACTCTTGGCGCCATGCGATCCAGAAATTGCCCATCGTGGAAAGAAAATATCTTCAGGAATTGCATGATTTGCTACTTGGATATCGGGCCAGTTGGAGGAACGAGGAAGAAGTGAAGGGGGAGGGCAAGGCGTTTGTGTATAACTTCAGGACGGGTGGGTGTTTATTGTATGATCTTGATGGGTGATGGGAGGGATTGCATGGGTTGCTGGTTGGGCGAAATGGTACAAGGCTGAAGCTGTGAGGGAACACAGATAATACAATGCCTACAGAAAGGTTACGTAGGCTGCACGCAGCCTGACCAATGACTGAAATTATTAAGTCGCGAAAGTTTTCTTTACACGAATCGTCCTCTTGCCAGTTGTTGAACCCCCTCTGAGTGGTTTTTAGAACAGGCATGTTGAATGCCGTTCCATACCATATCTGTCAATGCCCATGAAGTTAGTAGTCATCTCCTCGTGAGATGACTTCCTTGTAATTAAGTCTTAGCAACACAGTCTAGCAGAATATTAGGACCAGATGTGTTCCTTTAGCCAGGTCACTTACATGTTCAAAATGTGCAACATAACTCCATGACACATCCACCAACGGCGCATACTGCACCACGACGCCCTTTTCCACCAATGTCTTCATCCCCAGATGATACTTGTCCACACCCAGTCGTTCCAGGTACCGCCGCGAGAAGACAAGCGTGCCGAAGTTCTCCTCGATCACTTTGAGCAGGGATCTGGCGGATGCGTGATGCAGGTTGCGGCGGTTGATGTGAGAGGAAGAGGTGAGGCCGTAGCCGTATACGCCCGGAGCGTCGCGGATTGAGCCTCGGCCTGTGCTGCCGAAGGTTTCGATTGCGAAGATGTCGCCTTCTTTCATGGTTTGGTTGGTGCACGTTTTTACGAAGGGGACTTGCTTATCGCCGTGGATTTTGTAACGGAGAATCTGGATGTATTAGTTGATACTGATATGTTATCATATGCATCATGTGGGGAGGCAGACATTGTGACCAGTGATCTGCGTTGCGTTTTAATATGACTTCTCCGCGATGGCAGTGGGGGTACGTACGTTATTGATGGCTTTGATGGAGATGGTCTTGTTGTAGAGTCACCTCGTACGACTCCATTACTTCTTGGATGCAGGCGCTGATATGGTCCATACGAGCGTCGATACCGGTTTCCTGGGGGCCTTTGTTAGTGAAACTCAAACTTTGTGTGACAGGTACATACATTCAGCCCTGTGTCCGAAGCAGCTTTGACGCCCTCAAGCAAGCCATCGTAGATTGGGTTGTGAATAATGGTGAAGGCACTGTCCACGATCCGTCCATTGACATGGACCCCGAAGTCGAAACTAAGAAAATCGTCATATTGGAGGGCCACATTCTTCTGACCAGGACTCGGGGTCCAATGCGCCGCAACGTTGTTCAAGCAAAGTCCAGTCGGGAAGCCCATGCCCGCTTTGAGTGCATCTCCAATCTCAATAGCCTGGTGGCCGACCAGAGCACGCACACCGTCTTTGATCTCATCTGCGAGCTAACTCATGGTGACTCCTGGGTTTGCGATTGTTTTCACATATCGGCGGACTTGACGATGAACTTCGGCGGCTTTGCGGTAATCGCTCAGGAAATTGTCGTCCATGTCATTAACAGCAGCCAGGTGGCGAACCTCCCCTTCTGCTTTGCGCTGAAGGTTCTCATCTCGGACGTTGTAGTCCACGCTCTGGCCTTCAGGGAACGGCTTGCTCTTGAAGACGTCTTCAAGAGGCACCCGTGGTGGGCTTGTCTGATGGGTGGCTGATGGCTTCTTTTTGCCCTTGTTTCTCTTTCTCTTTTGCTTTTGATATTTTAAAGTCAGTCTGGGCAAGTTCATTCAGTGGTATCACCATCCGTGCGCTCACCATTGCGCTTCACGTCTCTTTCGTTTTTGCTGCCATCATCACCATCACCATCTTTGTCTTGCCCCTCGAGTGCTCCTTCAAGTATTCCAGTCTTAACTGCGGGCTTTTGAGGGTTGAGTGCCGTAAATGTAGAATCTTTATAAGTCTATTAGTAGGCATATAATTAGTAGGTACCTATTTAATATTAATACATAAGGCAGTAACCTCCTGTTAGATCTAGAGCTAATAGATATTAATATATTTAACTTTTATATAAAGCTTGTTATGCTCCTTTATAATAACATAGACAGTCTGCTAGTTGTTACACTAGATTATAGGTATATAGTTAAGTGTAAGGTTAATGCTAGTAAAGAAACACATCTACTCTTCTATCTGCAAGGCTGTAAGGGAGAGCAAGAGTAATTTAGACTCTATAGTTAATTTTATAACTATGTGCTAGATAGTTAATTTCTAGTTAATTATAAGTCCTCTAAATTTAAAGGTGTATCCCTAAGAGCTCTAGCAAGTCTTAGGCTTGTTAGTGTATAAGGCATTAGATAATCTAAAGAAGAGAGGATTGTGGTATGTAGGATTGTTAGTGAGATACTTAGCCATGTTGTGCGTGCTGGCAGAGGCTTCAAGGGCGAGAGCCTTTGTGCTGAGCAGGTAGCGCCAGGTCTGGCAGATCTTTGAGATGTGAGACTGTCCTAGGTTGATGAGGTGGCAGGCAAAGACAACGTGCGTTTAGGCGACGTTAGGTCTACCCTAGACAGCAATGTATGCAAGAGAACTAACAAGCTGCTAGTAGAGCTTTGTATAAGCAGTATTAGTCTCCTTAGTAGACTGTGGCAGCCAGTTCTCCATCAGTGGGACGTCTAGAGCCTTGCCCACAGCCTTAATGCTAAATTAAGCGCACACCTTATTAATAAAAGTGTCTTAGACTAGCCAGGTCTTGTGCAGAGCTTAGTTGCAGACAATATAGATACTAAGAAACTAGGTAAGGTCTCCTATTACTTTAATATTGTATAGGTCTACTAGATCCTTCTTAAAGGACTAGTAGTAATAGGTGTTTAATTAATAAAACGCTATAACAATGTTATTAACGTAGACAAATATAATAAGCTAGCAGCTTATATATAGGCATAGGAAGCTGCTAACTGGCTTTAGGCCTAGTTTTACAAGCTGTTAACGTAGCTCATTGTACTATAGGATTAGTGACTCCTTCAGGCCGTACAGGGCGCAGAGCACCAGCATGATCTCGCCTTTAGTATGGCGGAAGGCCTCAGGCGTTTCAGCATATAGCTTGTGGTTAGTTTTTGTGTTTAAGAAGGCAGTAGGGACGTTGTACTACTTTAGTTTAAGATTAAAGTAATTAGTAATTATAATAAGAGCGTAAAAGTTGTAGATAGTAAGTATAGCAGTGTATGTGTTGTCTATTAGAGCTTAGAGGTCTCCTTAGATAACAAGTTAAGCCTTAAACTATAAGAGATATCTATCTTTATCTATCTTATAAGTAAAGACCTATATTAGTAGTAGTACCTTACTATCTATAGTAGCCTTTAATTACTCTGTCTGTCTAAAGACACCTTTAGCGTGTAGATCTTGCTATTTAATCTCTATAGTATGTTAGAATTAATTACTAAACATGTGTGTATTAAGACAGTTTTCTAACTTTAGTAGAGGCAGTAGCTGTAACTAATAGATTTGTAGTACTTTATCTGCGCTAGCTAAGGCTCTATTAGAGAGGATCTTAGTTAAGAACACTTATAGGTAATTAATAAGAGGCTTAGGTCCTATCCTTGCTGCGTAGATCTATACTGCAAAGTTGTTTAGATCCCTTAGCTTTTAATTACACTTGCCTAAGATAATTAGGTTTATGTTAGTTAGATTAAGATTAACGTCCTGTGGCGCTTTCTTGCCTTGTTAGTAGTAGCCCTTAGGAACTATGTGTATTGTGTCCTCCTCAGGTAATGTAGAGGTTAGCAGTGTGTTGTCAGATTCGAGTGCGTTGTCAGCCATCTCACCCCCCAACTGGGAGCCTCTAGCTGTCGGAGCTGAGGTCACAGGTGTTGTTTGGCGGCTGCGTTGGCGCGCAGTCAGCAGGTTGTCGATGCTGACATCATCATCCTGCAGCATCTCTGGATATTCGAGTAGCTCAATCACCTCCTTAATCACTAGTGTAGAGGCGTAGCCATCTATTCTATTAAAGAATAGCGTAGGTTCAAATACAACATCGCGTGTGACAATAACAGTGTCTTTTGTAGGCAGCCATATGCAGAAGATATTAGTGCCTTAGTAGCTAACAAGGTGGCTGATAAGAGTACGCGATTCAAGCTTGTCAGCAGCTCTCAGGTCGCAGTTGTAGACATAGGCGCGACAGCCAATAGGCCTCATATGAGCGACGAGTGGCTTTCGTCCCCATACGACCTTGTACAGCGTCTTCCAGCCTAGTGCTTCAGTTGGCGTACGATTGAGGATGTACGCGGCGGTGCGATACATCTCCTGTGATAGGTTCTTGGGCAGGTTATGGGTGATTTTCGAAATACCATATACATCATGTGATTTAGCGCGCGGAAGATGCGGACGATGTCAATGTTGCTGTCTCAGCCAAATTTAGCGTTTAACAACAACAGAGCTGGCTGCTGCTCCTTCTAGGATAATTAAAGCTTAACTTAATATTATTAGTATCTTAACTTCTTGTAGTGTTGTGATGTAGGCTGGCGGAATGGGTATACTCCAACGTCCTTCGTGGGTACCCCCCAAAACTTTGTCAATAATACATGGATTCTAGCGAAATAGGGCTTAAAAGAAAGAGAAAAACTACCTCTACATTTCTGTAGTAGAGGGTTTTGTTATAACTATTAAACTGCACAAGCTAGAGGCTAGAAAAGGTCAAAAAAGGGGGGGTACCTAGCGAGCATACCTATTAATAGGTATACTTTGCTAGGTAGTGTTAATAACTTAGCTAATACTAGGCAGAATAAGCTAATTCTTTTTTTATTAGAAGGCGCAATACTAGGCGCTTCTATTGAATAATAGATTATGTAAGCGTATCTCTGCTAGTTAAGAAGCTATAAGCCAAAACGTAAAAAAGCATACCCTACCCATCCGCCAGCCTATTGTGATGCCTACAAGAAGGTTAACTTAGCAGAAAATTAATAAGCCAGCACCTAAATTAACACAGGAGGCACCCGCACCTACAACACTAGCAGTATCTAGTTAGTATTAGCACATTACAACTTAGCTATTTAGAAGTTGTTGTACAAAGCCTAACGTAGATTATCACCAAGCCAGCCATATCACTAAACCAGCCATTTTCTCTTAGCACAACTAACACAAGTTACTACAACTACAACTACTTGCTATTAAACAGTAACCTAGCATACTGTATACTTGCATTAGATTTAGAAGATGTTTCTACACCCTCCTAGCACGTTTGTGCGTTGTGTCTAGTTTTGCTGTAGTTCCTACAGCGCTAAACAGTTAACTAAGCTCCTAGTTAAC